GATTGTGGAAGTACTGTTCCGTCGCTTTACGAATCAATCCCACGTCACCATCAGTCCAAGCTGCGACTTTAGTATGATTCTCTCTTCGAAAGAGGTTGAATTGGGCGTAGACGTTGAAGAATCCGCTTTTGGTTAAACGTTCATGATGTTGGACAGCTTCTTTTGCGATTTCAACTTTGCCCGAGCGCTGCTTCAACACTAGCTCAACACAGTGTTTGTACTCAATCCACCATGGAAGATCTGCATGTTTCTGGAAAAAAAAACTTGAGAGCAATTTTACAGAATTAACTAGCTGTATAATAATTGTCTAATTGTCTGTCTGCCTTTGAATTGTTAACAATATCACAATGAGCCAGAAAGTTAATTCACTAGCTGTATAAACAATAAACAGTAAATTCTAAAGATAAAAATTCAACTTACTACAATCACAGGGTGAAATCGCAATAAACCGGTTTTTGTTAAAAATCAAAAAATCGAATTTTTTAAATTTTTCAAATAACATTTTTTTTTATCAATAAGAGCTAAACTGGATCATCTTTCTGGCTCATTTTGCAACGTTTTCACAGTTGACCTCAAGTTCCTAGCTCTTCTCGAAAAAAAGTTATAGCGGAAAAACCAAAACGGGATATTTCAGTGACCGCTACTGTATGTCACGTTTTAAGCCTAGGTTTGGAGCGATGACCCTCCGGAGCTCATACCAAATACGCAGGCTGCGCCTAAGCCTAAGCCATTGTTCCTTCCCCCACCCACATTCCCCCTCTTTTTCTCTTCTTTTTTTTTGTTGTTAATTTTATTCCTAGGTGGCTGAAGAGAATAAATGTGTTATTATTATTAAGAAAAATAAAACAAAATAAAATAAACACTTACTACAATAATTTCATCGTCATCCTTGACACCGATATCTTGAAGCGTTGAGTTTAGCGAAAGAATCTGTTGGCCATTAAAAAAAAGTTCTTGGTATTTCTCGTCGATGTCCCAAAGAGAATTGATCGCCTTGCTCAATTGCTCGACTGAGGTCTAAAATAAAACACTTGAATTGGATAATATTGAATTCTTAAACAAACCTTTTTATCAAATTTTAATGGCTTTTTGCGATGGGAAGATCCTTCGTGATCGTGTAGATTAAGCACTATGCTTAATTCTATCTTATAAGACCTAAAAGCAAAACAAATAACAATGATAATCATGGTTGGAAAATCACAAAATCAACGCAAACTACAGAAGAAAAGGAAATCTCTTCTCTATTAAAGGTTATTAGAGGGGCACCGCACAGAAATGGCGCTCTGTTGAGAAACTTGAGAAAAATGCGATGCGGGCAGTTTCTCGCCTACCTCTGCGTCTCTGCTCACGGACGGCTCACTCTCATCGCCCTTCCACTCTACTCCAACGCGTTTGCGTGTCGCGTCGCGTGCGCCTAGTTCAACTGGAGCAAATGTGATTGTGCTTGGTCACAGTGAGGAAGAGAAAAGAAGGTTACAAAAAGAGAAACAGAAACTGCCAGGGTGAAGGTGTCACAAATAGAGAGATCTGAAGGAAAAAGAGAGAGTGGTCACATCTTCTCGAAGGTGCTGGCAAAAAGAATAACAAGACACACCATGAATGAGTCATTTATTGCATCGCTTTAGGAGAGCAAAAGAATGACATGATAAAATAATTAACAAATCAAATAACAACAATGTAACAATAGTTAGTGCTAATTTAATAAAAGCTCGATTAGAAGCTATGTTAGTAATAATTGTCGTGACTCGTCTCGACTTGTCAAGATCAAAAGTGCAGTATGAAGGAACATAATTGTATGTTCGTCACGGATCATGTGGCAGTGTAATGATCCAATCAACAACCAGTCTTGCTCCAAAGTCATTATAACTTAATTTGAAGTTATTATGTCTTTCCGCAACAATGAGGACCAAGGACATTTATGACTTTTAAGTGCACAACCTGTGCCCCTGTCAATTACATGTCACTAAAATCTAGTTCCTGATAATCACCCTGGGACCAATATAAAGGTCCCGTCTAACTCCTAGAGTTACTTGCATCTTTCCCCAACATCCTCAACCTACTGCTACTGCGACTTCCCCAAACCTATCTTCCTAATACTATTTCAATACTACCTAATAAAAGCATTTATCTGAACCACCTGCTTTTAAAACCGTGCGAAGGACACCCATTAACAGCAACGAGGGTAACGAAACACGACAATAATTGAACATTTTTTAAGAAAGAAAGGAGAGTGAATGGGAAGAAAGTCACTATGCGAATGTCGGCTCCTTTTGTAGCAGCTATCGTGTCGGACCCAGGAGTAGAACGAAAAACGTAATAATTTTTTGCGATAAGGATAAGCGTGAGGTGCGGGGCGGATTTGGTCTTACAAAGATCGGAGAAAAACACGGCCAGACGAAGCGAGCGAAGCGAGCGAGTCGAATCTCATGACTGCTACCCTTTGAGCTGGAGGGCAGGAGAGGGTGGGGTGCTATGAGCTGGAGGTACTATGAGCAGAAGAAGAGTGCTAAGGCCAAATGGTCTATTGTTTCACTCTGTGAAACAAAGCAAAAAAGGAAGAAAGGACGAGAAAAAGTGGCGGCTGCTTTGCGGCCCGTTCTTTAAGTCTATGAATGAAAAGTTAGGAAAAGGGGAGAAATTAGTGGTTCATGCGAAAAAATAGAGTAAAAAAAAGAACACCTTCCGCCCTTTTTTTATTTTTCGAGCAGACGGTTTAAAAAAGTGGCAAAATTCTTCATCAACACATAAATCTTTTTTGCGATGGTTTTTTTTCAGAACAGCGTTTGAGTGCAGTTGATTCTTTGATTCATAACTCGAAGGGGAATTTTTGTAGAGAATAAAGCATGACATTTACTACAACTTTCCAGTTAACCACTTCTTTCTGAAAAATTTTCTTCTTGAGATACAGGCTGTTAAAAATAGTAGTGCAAAATCTTGCTGTATCTCGCGAATTGAATGAGATATCAAAAAGTTGTCAACTAAAGAAACACTACTGAAGACATTTTGCATACTTTTTTAGTTCACAACAGCTGTTCTGAAAAAAAAACCATCGCAAAAAAGATTTATGTGTTGATGAAGAATTTACGCATACATGATAAGGAACTTCAGTTGGCCATTTTAATCTCTTCAAAAATTAACATTTCAAAACAATTTCGTCAAAAAATACAAGAAAAAGAAAGAAAAAAGAAAAAGCAAAACGAGGGAGTCGAGCCCGTGACCACACTCCCCTCATCACCACCGTTAACTCCTGCGCCACTCGACCACATTTTCGCAGGGTGTTGCGGGCGATGACAATCGTGGCGCATGGCGAGGGTGTGAGGGTGGGTCGCCGCGCCACCAAAATGCGAAATCTATGGTTACACGGTCTCCAGAGCTGACAATATGGGCGTGGCCTCGACCAAATGGCGTTTTCATGAATTGAGCAGGTTTTCTCTGATTTTTGTGGTCAAAGGCGATGAAAAATGATTGTTCGACGTGAAAACACACTAATTCTAAGAATTAATGACGTTTTGGCGCATTTTTGCGGATTTCGCTTTTTCGCCTTCGCCGCCGATCGCCGCGGCGCGCCGCCTAAAAAGCGCACTTCTCATTTTGCGCTTTCTTTACCGTTTTCAGACAGAATTGGTTTTGAGAATGATAAATCACGTAAACACTAGCATTTTGAGCGATCGAACCGCGAAAACTACCGAAAAGCAACTGAAATTCACGCAGTTTTAGCCAAAAACCTTCAAGCGGATAAATGTGATGACTTGACAAAATTTAACGCTCTTGCGCTTAAAAAATTCGTAATAGACTATACAATCGGTCTATCGAGAGACAAATCATAAATTATCGGTTTTTCGTGGCTAATCTGGCAAAAAACACTAATTTTGCTGTTAAAATTTGAATTTTGCGCCAATGTATCGCTCTATTGGGCGGAGCGCACTTGCGCCCATTGTAAGCTCTGGAGACCGTGGGTTAAGAAATGTCAAACTTCGGACTGGAATTTCAGCATCTCAGAGGTTTCGTAAGCAGCTTTTGAAAACTGGAATACAGGTTTTGAAAGTCGCTTTTTCGAACTGTGTCGTTCGTTTGTGCTGGAGATAACACCCACTTAAAACGTTCCCTTGTAAGCAAAAGTGTCAAAGCTCGGCCCTCGCATATCTACTCGCATGTCTACTTACATGTCCACTGTCTAAACATGTCTACACATGTCTACAAACAAAAAGAAAAAAAGGAAAAAAACAATGTTTTTTTAATTTAAAAACTTTGACAATTTTTTTCTCGAAAAAAATCCATGAATTTTTTTCTTAAAATTTCTGAATCGGCATAAAAAAAAGGCGTAGATAATTGTGGTGGAGTCGGAAATAGTAAGTTTGTATAAAAATTTTTCAACTTTTCACAAGAAGCGGTACTGTGCGCGTAGACGCACTTTTAAAAATCTAAAAAAATGTGGTTCGGGTCGTGGTCAGCGAGTACTACAACTTGTCAGAACACGCCTAACCACGAAAACCAGTCGCTGGCGAGATAAAAAATAAATAAAAACTTTTTAATTTTTATCTCAAAATTGGCCATATGAAAGTTACTGAAAAAGTTGGAGTGTATACACGGGGCGGACACAAAGGAGGGTGATTTTTTAGAAAAAAAGTTGTTGAAGGAAAAAAAAGTTATGACGTGGCAAATATTTCAATCGATAATTACGGGTTACTGTAGGTGGCCAAAATTCGTCGAAAAATTCTCGCAGATGCCGCCTATGATGATGCACATGGGGGAGAAGAGTGCTCGCGGTAGGATGAAAATGAACAAAGTTATGACGTTTTCAAGTTTTTCGAAAATGCACTTTGATCGATAATATCTCGCGAGCCGAGCGTCCAATCAAAAAACTAAAGATAGGGTGTCCCCCTAATTTTTCGAGCTCTATCGAATGATATATATTAAGCCTAGGTTTGGAGACATGACCCTCTCTAGCTCATACCAAATACGCAGGCTGCGCCTGCGCCTGCGCCTAAGCCTAAGCCTAAGCCTAAGCCTAAGCCTAAGCCTAAGCCTAAGCCTAACCTAAGCCTAACCTAAGCCTAACCTAAGCCTAACCTAAGCCTAACCTAAGCCTAACCTAAGCCTAACCTAAGCCTAACCTAAGCCTAACCTAAGCCTAACCTAAGCTTGTGTCACAACTCACGAATACCGTACTTACGGAAGAGATCCAATGAGATCGGCACTCGGATCAGACGGATCAAATAGTGGACCAAGTGAACGGCGTTCTCCAAGTTGACCGCGTACCTGTGAACTTTCCGTTTTTTTACTTCAGAAGCGTCCTTGGATAATTTCGGAATGATCGACACGGATCCAGAGTACATGCAACTGGATTCCGGGTAGTCCCACGTGGCATAGTACTCGCACGAATTGATAGAAGAAGAAGTAGTAAACCCAGTGGAAGACATAGTTGTTGACGTTGCGTTGCAGGCAAACTGAATGACTAACGAGCAATGGTCCTTATATAGTTTTCCAGAGAGTATACGGTTCGCTCAGTGGGCGGAGTGGCCCTAAAAATCTAGTGCATACGTGAAGTTGTTCAACAAGAGGCATAGATGCGGCTCATTTTGCTCCTGGCAAGAGGCCCTGTGGGATAGTACTGTAGAAAAAGACAACAACAACAACTTTGATTATAGAAATACAATACGAAACTCCTTCCAAAGATCTCCAGATTGCAATTGACCGTATTTCTGAATAACCCAAGAATCACAAGCTGTCTCTTAATCTCTCTAAATCAGTTTGTATATCAATAGGTCGAAATCCCGCAATAACCAAATATTATATCAACACATTCATCTGAGATGAAAACACCACCTACCTTCGGCATTGACGTTGCGGATACTCCCAATTCTGAGACCTGATCCAGCTAACGTCATCACAAGAAGATTTGCTTGAATTGCGAATTGTGATAAAATCGGAGCGTTCTTGCGAGCAAGCAAAATGGACAAATCGGTCATACTAAGTGAGCAGACTCCCATTTCTATTGTTCCACCTTTCTCCCGATTCCAATTTTTCATAAGAGCACTGCAAAAAAAACCCGGTGATATATGCTCATCTATCACCACAATATGTAGACAAACGGGGGCAACCTTATGACTGTCCAGAAATTTCGTGATTCAGCTGTTGGTGCTTTACATCTGCTCAAGCCAACAGCCCCCACAAAAGTCAGAAAAGCGAGAAGACCGCGAGCGACGGTTAGAAGCGTCGAGTTTTCTTTCTTTAACGCTCGATCTTAAATTTCATCTCAGATGAAACAAAAAGTGAGTGTTAACCTCTCACCGATATTGCTTTCGCAGTTGACCAGTTTTCTGATGGAAGGGCGAGCGAGTGGGATTTTCTCGTACCAGTTCATAAAATGAGAAATTGTCTCGACTTTTTCATCTACGGTTTTCCGGGTGAATTCGTCGAAAATATCCGAAACGGAGTAAGATTTGAAATCGAATTTCCGGCAGTATGCTATAAAGAACAGAGCTGATGCGGCCGATTTACGGAGCACGGAAGTAGATACACCAGTGAATCTTGCTTTTCGTGCAGTCAAGTTTCGTCCTTCTGATAGAGCGTTGCGGAAGTAGGCCTCAAAAATCGGAGAACTCCTGAAATTCAGATGTATTGGATTGTTAAAATTCCAGGTTCCGGTGGTTTTTTTACAGGCATGAACTCTGTTTCAATTCCTTCTTGGTTCAGAGACGAACGGTTTGAAAGAGATCCTTGGAAAGCGGTCAGAAATATCTGAAAAAGGCGTGTTAAGAGTATGAACTGCTGTCGAACACGACTATAGAAAACATGTAAACAAAAAAACATTTTTAAAAAATTTAAATCAACAGTTACAGCTTTGCGATCTATTACAAAGTTGTAGAACTCGTTGAGAAGTATCACTTTAGATTTTTCCAAAATTATTGATTCATTACCGTTTGAACGCAACACGTCTATAGAAAACAAAAAACACAAAAACATTTTTAAAAAATTGATACCAACAGTTACAGCTTAGCAATGTACTACAAAAATTGTAGAACTCAAGAAATCTGTCAATAAACATTTTTCAAAATTTATTGAGGCAATAGTGCTCAAACAGAACACGACTTAAAAAACATGTAAATAAAAAAACATTTTTAAAAAATTTAAATCAACAGTTACAGCTTTGTGATCTATTACAAAGTTGTAGAGCTCGTCGAGATCTATCATTTTGAATTTTTCCAGAATTATTGATTGATTACTGTTTGAACGCTACACGACTATAGAAAACAAAAAACACAAAAACATTTTTTAAAAATTTAAATCAACAGTTAGAGCTTTGTGATCCATTACAAAGTTGTAGAGCTCGTCGAGATCTATCACTTTTAATTTTTCCAAAATTATTGAGCCATTAGTGTCCGAATCGCCAGCACGTCTGCAAAGTGGATCGATAACCGGAAAACACAAAAACATTTTTATCGTGCTTCATCCAACAGATACAGCTTTGTGATGTACTACAAAGTTGCAGAACTCGGCGAGTTACACCTGAAAACATTTTTTTCCAAATTATTGATCCATTATGAACCGGATGTCTTGGCCTGAAATGGTCCAAAAACTTCAATTAAACTTTTTCTCGAAAAAAATCGGACAATTTTTTTTTATTTTTTTGATATGTTACTCACCAGATGGTCTACTTAATTATGCCGTAGACCCTCAAATTTCGTGGGCATTTGTAAGAGCACCTCAAAAAAACGGCAACGTGGGGCAAGCGTGTTTAGCGTTGAGCTAAAAATTCTGAAAAAAATTTGTGTAGATACATCTCGACAGGGTCTACAAATTTGTAGTTGACGACAAACGCGTAGCTCGTACGTGTGACGTCATAGAAAAATTTTGAAAGTTAAAAAAATTTTTTTTTCTTTCATATTCGTTGGGAAACCTAGTCTGAAAAAAATTCACGTACTTTCATCACCATGCCTAGTATACGCCCAAATTTTTTCAGAAAAAACGTATAGATGGAAAAAAAGCTGCAGCGGGTCAAAATTTCAAACCGATATTGTCGGGTCGCGTGAAGTGGCAAAATTCCGGAAAAAATATGGGCGGATGCGCCTTCGTTGGCCACACCTACCATCGAAATCCGCTCGCTGACGGTTAAGTTTGGGCCGAGTTATGACGTTTTTTGTGATTTCCAGATTTGTCTGAAAATGAGCATAACTCCCGAGCCAAGCCCGATATCAAAAATCTGGCAAAGTGAAAAATCGTGAAATTTGACGAGCTTTCGAATGGTATATGATATGAGGGGTTTTGGAGTTTTACTTTTTGAAGCTAAGACCAAATGACGAAGGCTTACGCCTTCGCCGAAGCCTTACGCCTTCGCCGAAGCCTAAGTCTACATTAATGCAATAGATGATCAATGGCAATCAGATCTTGTAGAAATGCAAGGGTATTCAAAAGAAAATGATGGCTTCAGGTATCTTCTAACTGTCATAGATTGTTTTAGTAAGTTTGCATGGGTAGTACCTCTTAAGAGTAAAAGTGGTAAAGAAACTGCAGATGCTTTGGAATCTATCTTTACAAAAAGTAAAAGAAAACCAAAAAAGATGCAAACTGATAATGGTAAATAATATTATAATAAAGTAATGAATAAATTATTTAAATATTTAGAAATTAATCACTTCTCAACTTATTCAGATAAAAAAGCTTCAATAGTTGAAAGATTTAATAGAACCTTGAAAGAAAAGATGTGGAAAATGTTTACTCATCAAGGAAATCATAAATGGACTCACATCCTCGATGATTTACTCTGGGGGTATAATAATCATTATCACACTTCAATAAAAATGACTCCAATAGAAGCTTCAAAAATAGAAAACGAAAGTATTGTCTACAATAATCTATTTCCTATAAAACATAATTTTGAGGAAATTCAAAAAAATTCTAAATTCAAAATAGGAGACACTGTCAGAAATACAAAGTATAAAGCTATTTTCGATAAAGGATATCTTCCAAATTGGAGTACTGAAGAATTTAAGATTTCTGAAGTTCATCTTTCCCCAAAGGGGCCAACAATGTATTCTATCAAAGACTTAGCAGATGAGGAAATTAAAGGAAAGTTTTATGAAGAAGAACTTACACTTTATAATAACCCTAGTGAAGTATATAAAATTGAAAAAGTCTTGAAGAAAAGAACTAGAAAAGAAAATGGAAAGAAATTTAAAGAAATATTTGTTAAATGGTATGGATATCCAGATAAATAACTTTGAATAAGATATATTTCAGCAGGAAATGTTAAATGAGCAATCGAAATTCTGAGAAAAAAAAAGTGTATGAATCTTCTCCGGAAGGGGAAAAGTGAATAATCATTTGATTGTTGTTATTTTTTGTTATTTCATGTTTTAAACGGGTTTCCAGTGGGTCCCAGCTCACAACAAAGCCTCAAACTTTCACTTTTACACTTTCTAATCGTTCTCAAATGATACACTTCGTTCTTTCATACTTGTTTGCCAGTACCTTCGAGAAGGTTTAGAGTGTGACCAAACTCGTCGAGTTCTAGATCTTACAGATTGACCACTCTCTCTTTTTCTCCTCCTGTTCTTTCCTTTGGTGTGACGTATAAAGGTCAGCAGTGTTCCATTTCTCTTTGTGTGACCTTCTTTTCTCTTCCTCACTGTGACCGAGCGCAATCACACATTTGCCCCAGTTGAGCTATACGCAAACGCGTTGAGCTAGAGAGGAAGGGAGAGATGTGTCTGTGGGCAGAGACGCAAAAGAAAGCGAGAGACAGCCAACATCGCATTCTTTCACCTCATTCTAACCTTTGTGAATAGAAAAGAGACTTCCTTTTCATTTGCTTTATGAATTTTATAATTATTTTCGTATTAATTTTTAAATTGATTCAGGTGACATGTTCTTAATCATTTACTTGCACGATCACGAAAATAGGTCTCACGACTCTGTTAAATGTGAATTCGAAGCTCAGGTATGTTTTCCATTTATGTACTAAATATACTTCATTGTTTTAGGCTACAATAAAACAGCTCCAGGAAGCAATTCTCTCTAATTTTCATATTGCGGTTAATTTTCAACGGATATTCGATCGCTATGCTCGTCGCATCGATTTATTAACTAACTCATTGGAAAATGCAGGACTTCGAGATGGCGATACATTAATTCTGGTTAGTTATTTTGACATGTAATTCTCATATTTTTTAAAAGCGAGAACTAATTTTTTTTTTCATTTTTCCTTTTCGAGTTATCAAAGTAGAATTGTGTTTTTTGAGATTCAAAAAAGTGCTAAATTCTTACATAGCTAGTGGATTCTGTAAAATTGCTCTCGAGTTTAATAAAATTATTAAAATTGCTCTATAAAATTGTTAACTTTCAGAAACATGCTGATCTTCCATGGTGGATCGAGTACAAAGAATGTGTTGAGTTGGTGTTGAAGCAGCGGTCGGACAAAGTTAAAATCGCAAAAGAAGCTGTCCCACATCACGAACGTTTAACCAAAAGCGGATTCTTCAATGCCTACGCCCAATTCAACAAATTTCGAAGACAGAATCATACAAAAGTCGCTGCTTGGACCGATGGTGATGTGGGATTGATTCGTAAAGCGACGGAGGAATACTTCCACAATCTCCATGATCAGAAGAAAGGAAATGAAGAATCCACATTCACTTGTTATTTCGAAGAACGAGACGCGGACTTAGGAGGCAGGCCAACGAACACACTTGCCTTTGTACAGATTCATGGAGAAGATTCGGTTTCGAAGTTCAACGTTAAGTATGTTTTCTATTCATTCATTCAAGATCCATTTCTGTTTAGATGCCATCATTATGGCCCAAAAGGCTTGAGCTCAGGCCAGGTGCCGGACGTCTCCGAATTTTATTGCTATAAATTATTAGCATTAATCGGTGTCGGCCCCAAATCTCATATTATTCCTCCTAGCATATCGACTGGAACCAAAACGAGCGCGTAAGGATTTTACAGCTTTGCGTATACATATACATCTTTGCATATTTCAGATACATTGCTACTCAATGGGACGTCAGATTTGAGCTTCTTGAAAACGTTATTGATGAGAACAGCCTTTGCGCGGATGTCGTTGTGCAATTAGTTATGCTAAGAGTGCTCCTATTCATTTCTGATCTACATGAACAGAACTGTGGTTTGTTTTAGAGTCTGAAAACTATAATATAATTGATTTTAGGAAGGTGGAAAGGGACGCAGCACGCCGCAATTGTTAACTTTGCCCCGACAAACGATTTCAAGATTTATGAAGATATCAAAAGCGAACTGATCACAACTTTTCCGCACAAAGAATGGAAGAAACAATATTCTGCTGTGAAAAATGAACACGACGACAACTCCTGGTTGAAGATCGCAAAGGTGTATTTGGATCAGTGGGATCTCGCAAACAAGATCGAATTGGCTCGTGAACAATTTGATCCAACTAAAGGCATCCTTAAAAGGCTAGAAATTGGCTTCAAGAAACGGCAATTCCGGGTTAGTCCCACCGACGAACTGGACGAATACATCGACACATTGCAAAAAAATTTGGAGCATCTTCAGATTATTTTAAATTCGGTTGTTTAGTAAACAGTAATCATCGTATTGTTTGTTTTTGCTGAATATGTAAACTCTGTTGTTTTATAAATTTATTGCTGTGAAATAGTTTTAAATCCAACATCATGAACGTTTAACCAAAAGCGGATTCTTCAACGTCTACGCCCAATTCAACATCTTTCGAAGACAGAATCATACTAAAGTCGCTGCTTGGACTGATGGTGACGTGGGATTGATTCGTAAAGCGACGGAACAGTACTTCCACAATCTCCATGATCAGAGCAGAGGAAACGAAGATTCCAAATTCACTTGTTATTTCGAAGAACGAGACGCGGACTTAGGCTTAGGCTTCGGCGAAGGCGTAAGCCTTCGTCATTTGGTCTTAGCTTCAAAAAGTAAAACTCCAAAACCCCTCATATCATATACCATTCGAAAGCTCGTCAAATTTCACGATTTTTCACTTTGCCAGATTTTTGATAACGGGCTCGGCTCGGGAGTTATGCTCATTTTCAGACAAATCTGGAAATCACAAAAAACGTCATAACTCGGCCCAAACTTAACCGTCAGCGAGCGGATTTCGATGGTAGGTGTGGCCAACGAAGGCGCATCCGCCCATATGCTTTCCGGAATTTTGCCACTTCACGCGACCCGACAATATCGGTTTGAAATTTTGACCCGCTGCAGCTTTTTTTCCATCTATACGTTTATTCTGAAAAAATTTGGGCGTATACTAGGCATAGTGGTGAAGTACGTGAATTTTTTTCAGACTAGGTTTCCCGAAGGATATATAAGATAAAAAAATTTTTAACTTTCAAAATTTTCTATGACGTCACACGTACAAGCTATGCTTTTGTCGTCAACTACAAATTTGTAGACCTCGTCGAGATGTATCGACACAAATTTTTTTTTCAGAATTTTAGCTCAATTTTTTTTTGTCGACGCGTCTCGATGAGTACAATCCGAATTTGAAAAGAACTCCTTGCACGTTATTACTAAAATTTTTCAGTATGACCAAAAAAACAAAAAAATTTTCTAAAATTTGAAAATAAAAAAGACATTTTTCTACCTGAAGGAGGGAAGCTGGAATTTTGATGTCAATATAAAACATGCTCGAAAAGATGCGGGCGGGGAATCGAATGGAGTTGAGTTTGAGTCGGTAGGATTTTTCTGAATTTTTTTTTAGCGTTCGGTACTATAGTAATCCTGTAAAAGGGGGCGGAGCTAGATGATACTAATTTCATATATCTTAGAACAGTCCAGGTACTCACTGTACTCAATATCAAACAAATCGAAGCACGATGAGTTTTTCATGCCAGGCCATCTCGGGTCTCTCAGAAATTGCCTCTTAATCAGTCTTAATCGGTAGTAATCGCGTTTTCACAACTTTTTTGTCTCATTTTCACGTTTCACACACGGAAGCAAAGCTCAGCGAACCTTAAGTTCGCTAGTAGGTTTTCAGGAAAGGCGTTTCGCAAGAAAGATGGTTACGCCGCCTTTTAGAGCGGCCGGCACCTCGAAAGTTGACCACAAGGCTATGCCCTCGAAACTGTTACGACCGATAGCAATTTTAGAGGAGGAGACCGTGATACATGTTCAAAAATTATGTTAGCGATGAGGCGTATGTCTCGTGTAGCTCACAGAATAAATAAAAATAGATAATTTATTCCGGAATCATAACACACACTATATTGTTGTTTTCTTGACAATTTTGTACATCATCATTATGTTACTATCATAAGTTGTGACTGCTATAGAACTTCCACGTCCATTTGTAAACTGAGCTCCAACAATTGGTGAAGCGGGGTCACATTCCGAATACCGCCACTCTACCTTAATGAGTCATTACTTCTAAAGATAAGTGTTGCCTGACAAACTTGATACGCATGTGGTTTTCTGGTATGAAGTTTAGATACGATGAACGTGCCGTCTTCGGAAGATGTCAGCACATACGCGCTTTCAGGAGCGACAGAAACACTATTGATAGGTCTTGAATGAGCGTTAACCTAAAAAAATGTTTTTAATTTTTAGTTTATTGAATTTGAAGCGTCATTTTACCTGGCACATCAAATTGCCGGTTGTGATTGAATAGTACTGTACAAGCCCTCTCAAAGTTCCAACGATTATTTGTTTCCGCAAAACGTTTATAACGTTAATATTTTGCCTTTAAAAGTTTCTCACGTGCTGTTTTTTTCATCGTTATTTTCTTACTTCGTTGTTATCCTTGAATTAACTCCTTTCACTGGTTTTTGCCATATGATAAGTTCTCCACGCGAATCTGCGCTGACGGTGATTTCATCATACCGGCAAGTTGAAATATCTGTTATTGCGTTTTTGTGTTCCTGAAAAAATTGTTTACATTAATGTGCGCACGATTTCACGTTTTGCAAACCTTCAGATTCTTTCGATCCGTAAAATTAGAGTCCCCATTGCACATCAGCACAACTATTTCTCCTGAGTATGTACCTGAAACCAACGAATAATGAAAAAGTTGTGTTTTTCGAATTGGTTTTTCTCGTTCTGAGAGTGATCCTACTATTAGTTTTCAATGATCGCCGTCTCTTTAGTAGCTCCTCACTGACTTTTCACTCATTGTGCTTCCCTCATGCTTCGCTAATTTCTCACTGTGTTTCTCAGTAATCGAACCGTGATTCTTCAGTTCTTAGTGTCTCTTTCAGTGACTGTTCATTGGCGGATTACTGGTTTTTGGCTAATCAGCGTCTGCTCGGTGACCGCTCGGTAATTTTCGAGTGATTCTGTTTTGCCAATGCCGCTGTTTGGATTTTAAAATGTGTGCGAATACATTCTCGCTACCGACATGATCTGACCCTCCTTATGTCGAGATTCCCTCTGTGTGATATAAAAAAGGGGAAAAAAATGTTGAAACTGGACAATTCTGAAAAAAATCCCGAAAAAGTCAAAGAATTGAGCGTGCTGTTCAGAATTTTTCTGATTTTTTAGAATTTTCCAAACTTGGGGGTGTTACCTTTCCTTGCTAAAAATATGACACGCACTGTATTTACATCAATCTGTTCCTAGGGCACACGTTGCTCAAGTCTTACGAAGAATGTTTAATACAGTGGGTTGCAAAATTACACGGGCACCCCCGTTGTGCACTGCCACGTGGCGCTAGAGAATATTTCTCATTCGGCAACTTCAAAATCGGATTCAGGGAACACAGTTACGTATATTTGGTGATTTTGGTGACGATAACTGAATAACTGTTCGAACAATTTTAAAAAACTGAAAATAGGCCCTTTGCAACCTCGTTAAATGCCGGCATCTTCTGAGCAGAAAAGATTTTTTAAATGCATTCAGATAAAATTTTCTTGTAATTAACAGTCCGCTAGAATTATCTGACACCCTTACGGTTTTAATAGATGCCGTCATTTGACTTTGATGGCAGGGATGGCAAACCTTTTGGCACGAACATCCAGTTTCCACGTTGGCTCGGCCTTTCTAAATTATTATTTTAGGCTGGGACTGGACACGAAATGAAACTGAAGAACTTTAGATGACAACTGATCACTCGGTTCGACCATTCAGCCGTCTTGAACGCCGAGGTAGAGATTTTTCCGACATCCGTATTAAAATGCCACATGGCATGTCATACGAGAAGTTGTAAACCGTCATAATAACAAAATAGCTCTAAAACGTCTTTTCTAAAATACTAAACTCATTTTTTAATGAAAGGTCCAGACAGTGAAAACGCATAATTCGCTGGGGTGGCCGTATAATTTTGCAAAGGTTGCAAGAGGAATAAATTCAGTTTTATCAAGACAGTCCGAACAGTTTTTGAAGTATCGGTACGAAAATTTTCGAATATACGTAACTGTGTGCCCTGAATCCGATAATGAAGTCGCCGAATCAGAAATATTTTCGAGCGCCAGGTGGCAATACAGCGGGAGTGGCCGTATAATTGTGCAACGCACTGTATAAGAAAGACCGTGATGCTTCATTCAAAACTCCAAATAATCCTCAGTAAATAAGATCGTAGCGCAAACTCACCAACGAGGACTGTGTTATCATTGCAAGAAACACCTCTGCAGTATGGTCCTACATCTATTCCAACAGTCGGTACGAAATCTTTGAGTGCAGTTCCAAGTGTTATAGAAAAAAGTGGTTTCTGTTGCGTTTTCCTTACATCATAAATTTGAATGAATCTTGAAGATCCAACAACAACGATAGGAAAGTTTCTAGCGTTGGGGTGAACAAGTCCTATCTATATTACAGAACGTTAAAAATGAAATTTGCTGAATTTGTTCACCGTTGTGACGTCAATAATTTGGTCATTAGCAGTTGGCTCGGCAGTAACAATTGTTTCCCATATTACTTCCGACTCAATTTTGTTGTCCCAGTTGCCGATATGTATCTGAAGCCGTTTATGTTTTTTCCAAGCCTGATCATGCCGAAAAACACGTTTTGCAATGTTCTTTACATTATTTTTTACAATAAAAGACCAGTAAAATAGACAATACAGTCATGTAATTCAATCTGTGTCTATTCTAAAACTTCGATTGACGGAGAATATTGATTGATTCTGTTCGCATCATGTAAAACCTTCACGGATAATGATGAAACGGACTCCAAGTATCCAAGGGAGATTAATAACTAATAAATGACACTCACATTATTTGATTGTATGATAGCAACATAAGTTATATTTCTTGTATCTAGCCAGCATACGGCAAGATTTGATGGCCAAGGAGAAACTGTTCCTTGTGGGAAAGAAACGTCTTTTAATTTTTCGAACATTGTTTAGTATTGAGAATATGACGAATAAACGTAATACACGATTCGAATATAATTTTTGTTGTCATGGTGATAAAATATAAACAAGAGAATGAGGGAGGTTGGCTGAATTGCTTTCTCACACGCCCTAGCTTTATTATTTTAATTCCAAGTCGTATTGGACAAAGGCGAAAAAGTTGCAACAAAATAACCTGAAAAGCGTCGCAAACGACGAGCAGCTGTCACAAGAAAGGAAATAAACCGTGATCAAAGCAGAGCACTTTCAAAAAACTCGCAAATGGCGTGAATAAGTCAGAAAAGCATAGGAACACATATTCGAGGCAGTACAACGTTATTAACAAAAAAACTGTTTTTTCAGAATTGGAATCTGAAACTTTTTCGCATGCAAAATGTCTCCCAAATCCATGAATTCAGGAATAGATCTTTGACGCGCATTCTGATTTTGGTCCAATTTTTTTTTGTCGACGCGTCTCGATGAGTACAATCCGAATTTGAAAAGAACTCCTTGCACGTTAGTACTAAAATTTTTCAGTATGACAAAAAAATCGAAATAATTTTCTAAAGTTTGAAAAAAAAAGATTTTTTTCTACCTGAAGGAGGGAATCTAGAATTTTGATGTCAATATAAAAAATGCTCAAAAAGATGCGAGGAATCGAATGGAGTTGAGTTTGAGTCGGTAGGATTTTTCTGAAATTTTTTTTTAGCGTTCGGGGTTATTTTGGATGCTGAATCGAATGGCATTTACAGTTTTTCTCGAAAATGTTTAGTTCTCCTTAGGACGTCATTTTAGGGGGGTGTCCTATCTTTATGACGCGCACTGTACAAAATGAACACAAAACTTTTAATCATCAAACCAATATCAAACATAATACATAGCTTATACAAACACTGAATTTTTAACGCAGAGATCATCCATTCCAAGTGGTGCGATTATATATATTCTAATCGACATCTTCTTCCGGTGGTAAAAAGTCCTAAAGTCATTGATTTATTTAATGGTGTTGCATTAAGTAAAGCTTACCCCAATTCTTGCATGAATATTTGTGATCGGAATAATGCCACATCGTCCACCCGATGCCGGAGATGCCGGTCGACCATTATTGTCCGTTGTATGCGGAATTTTTTCAGTCTCAACCTGCAATTTTGGTTTTTGAATTTTTGTCAAATCCCGCGCTGCTCTAATCCCGCATCCCGCAAAAATCAACTGAATCCTGCATCCCGCAAAAAATAAGTTGATCCCACATCCCGCACCCCGCATTTTGAAAAAAATTCTATCCCGCACAGGTCTGACCTGCATCCCGATCAACCTTCCATCTTCGCTCCAGCAACTTCCACCGCTGTCGCCTTTGAAAGAGCCACTCGAGCCTAGCACACGCAGTCTTGATGTAATGTCGCTCGATATTACTCCTGCGGAGAATGAGATGTGCGATGTTCTGCCATGAATAACCGAATATCCCATCTGAAATCATTTCAGTGTAGATAATAATCAAAATTCATAAGTTACATAAGTTACATAAGTCATAAGTTACATAACTTACAAGGGAGACCTCCGGAGGGTACATGGAGTTTCGGAAAACTTTGTTTTATGAGTTGTAGGTGTACCCTAGGGAAGCCGTAATCCAGTGTCAAATTTTCCTATGCGCCCCGGGGAAGGGTCGAAAACAGCGCAAAAGTCCAAAAAACTAGAATTGCGTTTTTCGAGCTAAAAAGGTGCTCAAACGTAAGGAAATTCATTTTCAAGTCGTTTGTTAGTTAAACTTACCAAAATGTATTTCATGCCTTTGTTAGGCTGAGCTGCATCCATTATCAAATCTCTATCGCAGAGTTCGGCGGTTTTCGATTGAAGCAAAATTAGATCCAGGGAATCATCAATGAGTACTACGCAAGTATTAACAACCACTTGCTGGTTTTGATATGACGAAAGTGTAATGCAATCGCCTTTTGCAAAATCCTTGTTTTCCCCATGACGGTATGTGATTGCAAGAGTTTTTGTCACCGGGATTGCCGATCGTTTCACATTGTTTTCTTTCGTGTAAAACCAAGCATATTGGCTTATTCTAGAAACCAAATCTCCATCTACAGGAACCGGTTCCAACTCTAGATCAATCTTTCGCCTCTTTCTAGGTGTAGGGCCTAAAACAAAAATTAAATATATGGGGTGTTCAATGAATATCAAACCTTCAACGTCAGCAGGCGTTGATGGTCTTGAAGGAGCTTTATCCGATGCCACATTAAACTGCATCTTTGAAAAGTCCTCCGGCAGTATAAACGCCGTTCCGTTTTTATTCATTCTAAATTAATTGAAATAAATGAGAAATAATCCACATGTGACTTACTCGCAATGAATCTCCATGCCAGATCGACAAGCAGGAAGGCAGATTTGATCGAGCTTTTCGCGAGAACACTTTTAGACAGCACGAAACTGAGCTCCTTGTCGTGCATCTTGATTCGGATCATTTGAGGCATGTTTGGACACGAAACAATCTAAAAACAAAGAATTAATTGTTTTTAAATATTTTTTTTTGCATAGATTAAAGATGATAATCACGGATGGGAAATGACGAAATCAATGTGAGCTACAGAAGAAAAGGAAGTCTCTTTTCTATTCACAAAAGTTAATAATGGAAGAGTGCGATTGTTGGCAGTTTCTCTCCTTCCTCTGCGTCTGCTCAACGCGTCACTCTCAATACCCTTCCACTCTAGCCCAACGCGTTTGCGTGTCGCGTCGCGTGCGCCTAGTTCAACTAGAGCAAATGTGTGATTGTGCTTGGTCAGTGTAAGGAAGAGAAAAGAAGGTCACACAAAGAAAAAGTAGTCACGCCTAAACATCGAGAAATTGCCAGGGTGAAGGCGTCACAAATTGAGAGAATAGAAGGAGAGAGAGAGCGAGAGAGAGAGAGAGAGAGAGAGGTCACACCCTAACCTTCGAGAATATGCCATTTCAAGAGTGTGTTGTTGGGTAAAAGAGAGAAGAGAAGGATGAAGTGTCTCATTTGAGAACGATTTTCGGCTTTATCCTGGATGAGCGGTACTTTGGAGGAATCAGCGGTATCAAGAAGGAATGAACGGTACCATGGGGGAATCAGTGGTACTATGGCGGAATGGACGGTATCATGGCGGAATGGACGGTACCATTGACTGAATGGACAGTACCATTGACTGAATGGACGGTACCAGAAACGGAATGGTACCAGAAACGGATTCTTTGTTTTTAGATTGTTTCGTGTCCAAACATGCCTCAAATGATCCGAATCAAGATGCACGACAAGGAGCTCAGTTTCGTGCTGTCTAAAAGTGTTCTCGCGAAAAGCTCGATCAAATCTGCCTTCCTGCTTGTCGATGAGGCTATTCTATCTTTATCGTATGAATTAACTGGCGTGGAGATTCATTGCGAGTAAGTCACATGTGGATTATTTCTCATTTATTTCAATTAATTTAGAATGAATGAAAAAGGAACGACGTTTATACTGCCGGAGGACTTTTCAAAGATGCAGTTCAATGTGGAATCGGATAAAGCTCCTTCAAGACCATCAACGCCTGCTGACGTTGAAGGTTTGATATTCATTGAACACCCCATATATTTAATTTTTGTTTTAGGACCTACACCTAGAAAGTGGCGAAAGATTGATCTAGAGTTGGAACCGGTACCTGTAGATGGAGATATGGTTTCTAGAATAGGCTAATATGCTTGGTTTTACACGAAAGAAAACAATGTGAAACGATCGGCAATCCCGGTGACAAAAACTCTTGCAATCACATACCGTCATGGGGAAAACAAGGATTTTGCAAAAGGCGATTGTATTACACTTTCGTCATATCAAAACCAGCAAGTGGTTGTTAATACTTGCGTAGTACTCATTGATGATTCCCTGGATCTAATTTTGCTTCAATCGAAAACCGCCGAACTCTGCGATAGAGATTTGATAATGGAAGCAGCTCAGCCTAACAAAGGCATGAAATACATTTTGGTAAGTTTAACTAACAAACGACTTGAAAATGAATTTCCTTACGTTTGAGCACCTTTTTAGCTCGAAAAACGCAATTCTAGTTTTTTGGACTTTTGCGCTGTTTTCGACCCTTTCCCGGTGCGCATAGGAAAATTTGACACTGGATTACGGCTTCCCTAGGGTACACCTACAACTCATAAAACAAAGTTTTCCGAAACTCCATGTACCCTCCGGAGGTCTCCCTTGTAAGTATTATACTTACGACTTATGAATTTTGATTATTATCTACACTGAAATGATTTCAGATGGGATATTCGGTTATTCATGGCAGAACATCGCACATCTCATTCTCCGCAGGAGTAATATCGAGCGACATTACATCAAGATTGCGTGTGCTAGGCTCGAGTGGCTCTTTCAAAGGCGACAGCGGTGGAAGTTGCTGGAGCGAAGATGGAAGGTTGATCGGGATGCAGGTCAGACCTGGGCGGGATAGAATTTTTTTCAAAATGCGGGGTGCGGGATGTGGGATCAACTTATTTTTTGCGGGATGCGGGATTCAGTTGATTTTTGCGGGATGCGGGATTAGAGCAGCGCGGGATTTGACAAAAAAATTCAAAAACCAAAAATTGCAGGTTGAGACTGAAAAAAATTCCGCATACAACGGACAATAATGGTCGACCGGCATCTCCGGCATCGGGTGGACGATGTGGCATTATTCCGATCACAAATATTCATGCAAGAATTGGGGTAAGCTTTACTTAATGCAACACCATTAAATAAATCAATGACTTTAGGACTTTTTACCACCGGAAGAAGATGTCGATTAGAATATATATAATCGCACCACTTGGAATGGATGATCTCTGCGTTAAAAATTCAGTGTTTGTATAAGCTATGTATTATGTTTGATATTGGTTTGATGATTAAAAGTTTTGTGTTCATTTTGTACAGTGCGCGTCATAAAGATAGGACACCCCCCTAAAATGACGTCCTAAAGAGAACTAAACATTTTCGAGAAAAACTGTAAATGCCATTACATTTTCAGAAAAATCCTACCGACTCAAACTCAACTCCATTCGATTCCTCGCATCTTTTTGAGCATTTTTTATATTGACATCAAAATTCTAGATTCCCTCCTTCAGGTAGAAAAAAATCTTTTTTTTTCAAACTTTAGAAAATTATTTCGATTTTTTTGTCATACTGAAAAATTTTAGTACTAACGTGCAAGGAGTTCTTTTCAAATTCGGATTGTACTCATCGAGACGCGTCGACAAAAAAAAATTGGACCAAAATCAGAATGCGCGTCAAAGATCTATTCCTGAATTCATGGATTTGGGAGACATTTTGCATGCGAAAAAGTTTCAGATTCCAATTCTGAAAAAACAGTTTTTTTGTTAATAACGTTGTACTGCCTCGAATATGTGTTCCTATGCTTTTCTGACTTATTCACGCCATTTGCGAGTTTTTTGAAAGTGCTCTGCTTTGATCACGGTTTATTTCCTTTCTTGTGACAGCTGCTCGTCGTTTGCGACGCTTTTCAGGTTATTTTGTTGCAACTTTTTCGCCTTTGTCCAATACGACTTGGAATTAAAATAATAAAGCTAGGGCGTGTGAGAAAGCAATTCAGCCAACCTCCCTCATTCTCTTGTTTATATTTTATCACCATGACAACAAAAAAATTATATTCGAATCGTGTATTACGTTTATTCGTCATATTCTCAATACTAAACAATGTTCGAAAAAAATTAAAAAGACGTTTCTTTCCCACAAGGAACAGTTTCTCCTTGGCCATCAAATCTTGCCGTATGCTGGCTAGATACAAGAAATATAACTTATGTTGCTATCATACAATCAAATAATGTGAGTGTCATTTATTAGTTATTAATCTCCCTTGGATACTTGGAGTCCGTTTCATCATTATCCGTGAAGGTTTTACATGATGCGAACAGAATCAATCAATATTCTCCGTCAATCGAAGTTTTAGAATAGACACAGATTGAATTACATGACTGTATTGTCTATTTTACTGGTCTTTTATTGTAAAAAAATAATGTAAAGAACATTGCAAAAACGTGTTTTTTTCGGCATGATCAGGCTTGGAAAAAAACATAAACGGCTTCAGATACATATCGGCAACTGGGACAACAAAAATTGAGTCGGAAGTAATATGGGAAACAATTGTTACTGCCGAGCCAACTGCTAATGACCAAATTATTGACGTCACAACGGTGAACAAATTCAGCAAATTTCATTTTTTTAACGTTCTGTAATATAGATAGGACTTGTTCACCCCAACGCTAGAAACTTTCCTATCGTTGTTGTTGGATCTTCAAGATTCATTCAAATTTATGATGTAAGGAAAAACGCAACAGAAACCACTTTTTTTCTATAACACTTGGAACTGCACTCAAAGATTTCGTACCGACTGTTGGAATAGATGTAGGACCATACTGCAGAGGTGTTTCTTGCAATGATAACACAGTCCTCGTTGGTGAGTTTGCGCTACGATCTTATTTACTGAGGATTATTTGGAGTTTTGAATGAAGCATCACGGTCTTTCTTATACAGTGCGTTGCACAATTATACGGCCACTCCCGCTGTATTGCCACCTGGCGCTCGAAAATATTTCTGATTCGGCGACTTCATTATCGGATTCAGGGCACACAGTTACGTATATTCGAAAAATTTTTCGTACCGATACTTCAAAAAAACTGTTCGGACTGTCTTGATAAAACTGAATTTATTCCTCTTGCAACCTTTTGCAAAAATTATACGGCCACCCCAGCGAATTATGCGTTTTCACTGTCTGGACCTTTCATTAAAAAAATGAGTTTAGTATTTTTAGAAAAAGACGTTTTAGAGCTATTTTTGTTATTATGACGGTTTACAACTTCTCGTATGACATGCCATGTGGCATTTTAATACGGATGTCGGAAAAAAATCTCTACCTCGGCGTTCAAGACGGCTGAATGGTCGAACCGAGTGATCAGTTGTCATCTAAAGTTCTTCAGTTTCATTTCGTGTCCAGTCCCAGCCTAAAAATAATAATTTAGAAAGGCCGAGCCAACGTGGAAACTGGATGTTCGTGCCAAAAGGTTTGCCATCCCTGCCATCAAAGTCAAATGACGGCATCTATTAAAACCGTAAGGGTGTCAGATAATTCTAGCGGACTGTTAATTACAAGAAAAATTTTATCTGAATGCATTTAAAAAAATCTTTTTCTGCTCAGAAGATGCCGGCATTTAACGAGGTTGCAAAGGGCCTATTTTTCAGTTTTTTTAAAAATTGTTCGAACAGTTATTCAGTTATCGTCACCAAAAATCACCAAATATACGTAACTGTGTTCCCTGAATCCGATTTTTGAAGTTGCCGAATGAGAAATATTCTCTAGCGCCACGTGGCAGTGCACAACGGGGGTGCCCGTGTAATTTTGCAACCCACTGTATTAAACATTCTTCGTAAGACTTGAGCAACGTGTGCCCTAGGAACAGATTGATGTAAATACAGTGCGTGTCATATTTTTAGCAAGGAAAGGTAACACCCCCAAGTTTGGAAAATTCTAAAAAATCAGAAAAATTCTGAACAGCACGCTCAATTCTTTGACTTTTCGGGATTTTTCAGAATTGTCCAGTTTCAACATTTTTCCCCTTTTTATATCACACAGAGGGAATCTCGACATAAGGAGGGTCAGATCATGTCGGTAGCGAGAATGTATTCGCACACATTTTAAAATCCAAACAGCGGCATTGGCAAAACAGAATCACTCGAAAATTACCGAGCGGTCACCGAGCAGACGCTGATTAGCCAAAAACCAGTAATCCGCCAATGAACAGTCACTGAAAGAGACACTAAGAACTGAAGAATCACGGTTCGATTACTGAGAAACACAGTGAGAAATTAGCGAAGCATGAGGGAAGCACAATGAGTGAAAAGTCAGTGAGGAGCTACTAAAGAGACGGCGATCATTGAAAAACTAATAGTAGGATCACTCTCAGAACGAGAAAAAAACCAATTCGAAAAAAACACAACTTTTTTTCATTATTCGTTGGTTTCAGGTACATACTCAGGAGAAATAGTTGTGCTGATGTGCAATGGGGACTCTAATTTTACGGATCGAAAGAATCTGAAGGTTTGCAAAACGTGAAATCGTGCGCACATTAATGTAAACAATTTTTTCAGGAACACAAAAACGCAATAACAGATATTTCAACTTGCCGGTATGATGAAATCACCGTCAGCGCAGATTCGCGTGGAGAACTTATCATATGGCAAAAACCAGTGAAAGGAGTTAATTCAAGGATAACAACGAAGTAAGAAAATAACGATGAAAAAAACAGCACGTGAGAAACTTTTAAAGGCAAAATATTAACGTTATAAACGTTTTGCGGAAACAAATAATCGTTGGAACTTTGAGAGGGCTTGTACAGTACTATTCAATCACAACCGGCAATTTGATGTGCCAGGTAAAATGACGCTTCAAATTCAATAAACTAAAATTAAAAAAAAACATTTTTAGGTTAACGCTCATTCAAGACCTATCAATAGTGTTTCTGTCGCTCCTGAAAGCGCGTATGTGCTGACATCTTCCGAAGACGGCACGTTCATCGTATCTAAACTTCATACCAGAAAACCACATGCGTATCAAGTTTGTCAGGCAACACTTATCTTTAGAAGTAATGACTCATTAAGGTAGAGTGGCGGTATTCGGAATGTGACCCCGCTTCACCAATTGTTGGAGCTCAGTTTACAAATGGACGTGGAAGTTCTATAGCAGTCACAACTTATGATAGTAACATAATGATGATGTACAAAAATTGTCAAGAAAAACAACAATATAGTGTGTGTTATGATTCCGGAATAAATTATCTATTTTTTTATTTATTCTGTGAGCTACACGAGACATACGCCTCATCGCTAACATAATTTTTTTGAACATGTATCACGGTCTCCTCCTCTAAAAATTGCTATCGGTCGTAACAGTTTCGAGGGCATAGCCTTGTGGTCAACTTTCGAGGTGCCGGCCGCTCTAAAAGGCGGCGTAACCATCTTTCTTGCGAAACGCCTTTCCTGAAAACCTACTAGCGAACTTAAGGTTCGCTGAGCTTTGCTTCCGTGTGTGAAACGTGAAAATGAGACAAAAAAGTTGTGAAAACGCGATTACTACCGATTAAGACTGATTAAGAGGCAATTTCTGAGAGACCCGAGATGGCCTGGCATGAAAAACTCATCGTGCTTCGATTTGTTTGATATTGAGTACAGTGAGTACCTGGACTGTTCTAAGATATATGAAATTAGTATCATCTAGCTCCGCCCCCTTTTACAGGATTACTGTAGTACCGTACCCCCGAACGCTAAAAAAAAATTCAGAAAAATCCTACCGACTCAAACTCAACTCCATTCGATTCCCCGCCCGCATCTTTTCGAGCATGTTTTATATTGACATCAAAATTCTAGCTTCCCTCCTTCAGGTAGAAAAATGTCTTTTTTATTTTCAAATTTTAGAAAATTTTTTCGTTTTTTTGGTCATACTGAAAAATTTTAGTAATAACGTGCAAGGAGTTCTTTTCAAATTCGGATTGTACTCATCGAGACGCGTCGAAAAAAAAAATTAGACCAAAATCGGAATGCGCGTCAAAGATCTATTCCTGAATTCATGGATTTGGGAGTCATTTTGCATGCGAAAAAGTTTCAGATTCCAATTCTGAAAAAACAGTTTTTTTGTTAATAACGTTGTACTGCCTCGAATGTGTGTTCCAATGTGTGTCTCCCCTAGAATCTGTGTCTCCGCCCCCTTTTACAGGATTACTGTAGTACCGTACTTTTTTTTTCTACCTGAAGGAGGGAAGCTAGAATTTTGATGTCAATATAAAACATGCTCGAAGAGATGCGGGGAATCGAATGGAGTTGAGTTTGAGTCGGTAGGATTTTTCTGAGATTTTTTAGCGTTCGGGGGTACGGTTCTACAGTAATACTGTAAAAGGGGGCGGAGCCAGATGACACTAATTTCATATATCTTAGAACAGTCCAGGTTCTCACTGTGCTCAATATCAATCAAATCGAAGCACAATGAGTTTTTCATGCCAGGCCTTTTTCAGTCATTCTCCATCTCTCAGAATTTCATTTCTCCATCTCTCAGAATTTTCTGACTTATTCACGCCATTTGCGGGATTTTTGAAAGTGCTCTGCTTTGATCACGGTTTATTTCCTTTCTTGTGACAGCTGCTCGTCGTTTGCGACGCTTTTCAGGTTAACTTGTTGCAACTTTTTCGCCTTTGTCCAATACGACTTGGAATTAAAATAATAAAGCTAGGGCGTGTGAGAAAGCAATTCAGCCAACCTCCCTCATTCTCTTGTTTATATTTTATCACCATGACAACAAAAATTATATTCGAATCGTGTATTACGTTTATTCGTCATATTCTCAATACTAAACAATGTTCGAAAAATTAAAAGACGTTTCTTTCCCACAAGGAACAGTTTCTCCTTGGCCATCAAATCTTGCCGTATGCTGGCTAGATACAAGAAATATAACTTATGTTGCTATCATACAATCAAATAATGTGAGTGTCATTTATTAGTTATTAATCTCCCTTGGATACTTGGAGTCCGTTTCATCATTATCCGTGAAGGTTTTACATGATGCGAACAGAATCAATCAATATTCTCCGTCAATCGAAGTTTTAGAATAGACACAGATTGAATTACATGACTGTATTGTCTATTTTACTGGTCTTTTATTGTAAAAAATAATGTAAAGAATATTGCAAAACGTGTTTTTCGGCATGATCAGGCTTGGAAGAAACATAAACGGCTTCAGATACATATCGGCAACTGGGACAACAAAATTATAATGGGATTATAATACCACTTCGGCATCTCACCCATTTTCGACACATTTTCATTCTCTGAAATTAAGGAGTGAAATTCCAACACTTTCTAAAAATGGTGAGATGTCGATTTTCTTCAGTAAGTGCGTATTATAAAAATTAAGCTAAATAAATGCATTTTAATGAGAAACCACTGACCACTGACCAACCTTGACCTCGAAGAGCTCGCAATTCAATGGAATAATGACCTGTTTTCATCTATTTAATCTATTTTTTTACAATTTCACCCCCTTTTCGCACATTTTTCGGCCAATCAGTGCAATTCAGCTATTGAAGAAACATGAAAAATGCTTCAATTTTATCATTCACAGAATAATGACAATCATACAAACAGCACAATGTTTAAAAAGTTAAGTAAAGCCCATTCAAAAAGCTGCTCTAAATTACACTCCAGAACAATTGAACAACTATTGAGAACTACACAAAAAAAAATCGAAACTCTTCGCAATCTTGGTAAAAATGCCCCTTATTCGTCTGACTTAAAGTGGTGGTGTTGCTCAAATCGACAAAATTATATGATGACGACCAATAATCGATTGTGGAGCAGGGATTATATTATAGGGGCACCGCACAGAAATGGCGCTCTGTTGAGAAACTCTTTTTGCAGTGCAAATTGAGCGACCTCGGGGCCGAGTTTGAAAAGTTAGGCCACGTTTTCCAGTGGAAAATTACTTCGCGGCCTAGAAATTCGGCCAGATTGCGAACAGCGCGCTCTTTCTGTCCGGTGCCCCTATAATAAAACCATTCACGTACGATAGCCCAGCAATGAAAATCCTGTTCCGTGATGAATTCTTTTCCGATCTTCATTTTCAAAGTATCAGCAGTCAGCGGAACAATTTTCATTTCACTATTTTTTAACGAAGAACGTACTCCATTTTAAACTGAATGGTTATGTTTAATTTTTCCGCGTATTTGCTCCGGCGAAACATTTCTCTCGCAACATCAACTGTAAGAATAAATGTGTTTTCTCGAATACATGTGTATACAATATTTTAAAGTTATTACATTCCACCTGTTGATTCGCAGAGTTGAGAGGTGTGCGACCGATAATCGTATCAAAACCGGATGCCCCCTTAGTAAGGGAGCAATGGTTGCCTATGCCATCAAAGGAGAGGTCGTAATCTTCGTCTGCAGCTCGGACGATTAGCATCTCGTAGACATGGCTAAAAAATTCGACTTTCTCAGATATTATGATATCTACAATGAAATAAATAAATCGGTGAGAGAAGAACGATAATGCAGTTATTAAAAAGAGCATGAATTTAACCTATATAAAACAAATACTGACTTGGGAATGCCCGTGTTGATAAGTAGTGGATGTGTGAGATCAGCCACTATTTTCAAATGTTTGTCGTCAACGTATCCTGGTTTTGACACGATTCGCAAGATCTGTTCCTTCAGAATTCCATTGTGTGCTGATGGCCACGCTGATATCTACAAAAAACAGGCTGGAGCTTTAATATACATTAAAATGAAATCTTATTAACATATTTAGAGGCAACGTACAAGTGAGTCATTGAGCCTTTTTGATGTGTATGAAGAAAGTAGAGTCACATCGCCAGCAATTCGCTTAGTATATTTGTCGATGGATGCAGCATCTCCATGATGAGATACATTACCTTTCCTACCTTTTAGCATCCGTGGTTTTTTGGCTTATCACCCTTTTGTCATACTCTCTACTCTACAATTCTCTGCCAAAATGAAAAAGCCTACGAACGAAAAAGTAGAACGTATTTGGCTATGTTCAGTTTATCACAACGTTTCATTTTCAGAGGACATGTTAGATTCTCTATCTACTAAAATGATGGAAAATAAATGGGCTTTCGAGAAACAAATTCACGAGTTGAAATGGGAATAGAAAACAAAAATAAAAATCTAGCCGTTCGCCCAGGTGAGATAATCTTTTAAAAAAAGACATTTCTATTTTTATGAATTTTTAGAATTGGTTCTGGACGTCATCACACTCGACGATGATATTATTATAGGGGCACCGGACAGAAAGGGTGCGCTGTTCGCAATCTGGCCGAATTACTAGGCCGCGAAGTAATTTTCCGCTGAAAATGCGGCCTAACTTTTCAAACTCGGCCCCGAGGTCGCTCAATTTGCACTGCAAAAGGAGTTTCTCAACAGAGCGCCATTTCTGTGCGGTGCCCCTATAATACTCCTTCAACTTTGCCAGTTAGGCTTGAGTCTGCAAACACCGAGGGGGCAAGAGCGGTAAATTGAGTATAGCTAGCTAATTCGCGTTTATAACCGGCAATAATTAGATTGCAAATTCTTCTAAATAAACTGATAAGTGTTCTAATTAAATTGACAAAACAAACATTTGTCTGATTAGATTGACAAACAACTGATATGAGATTCACACTTCATCTAATTAGGTCTCCAGAAATCTGGACCTGGGAGGCAGGTTCCAGAAATCTGGACCTGGGTATCGCCAAAATTTCCTGACATTAGGCTTGAGTCTGCAAACACCGAAGGGGCCAGAGCTTTTCATTCATTGAATTAGATTAACACTTTGATCGAAAGCGTTAATCTAATTAGATGAATTGTGAATGTAATATCAGTTCTTTGTCAATCTAATCAGAACATTTTTTGTCAATCTAATCAGAAAATATATTTTGCAGTCTAATTCCAGTAAATTAGCAATCTAATTAGGGCCGGTTATAAACGCGAATTAGCTAGCTAGATGAATAACGAGTTCCCTGAGTTATTAGATGTGAAAACTAATCTAATTGCAATTAGATTCGAATTAGTTCTAATTAAATCGAAATCCATTTACCAGAGGCTGCTCAGAAAGATGACATAAACGCTAAGTAGCTTTTTGCACAATAGGAGAATTCGGAGATTTGCTGTTGCAACCAACGGACGTTGACAGTACTCCAATTTCTGAATTCTATGTGAGCAGCGTCTTTGAAAGCAATTTGCCTTTTGTGAAATTTTTTATGTCGTATGAATTTAAAGAAAGAAAAATTCATTCAGAAATAACGTGTATAAATGCATCGATTGAAGGCAAGCAAAGTGAACTAGTAGTTCAGAACTACTCTCGAGGCATTTCAAAGTAAAGCGCTTTGTTTGGAAAACCCTCCATATGTGATGTTCGACACGTGTAAGGGTTTGTATATGAAAGGTCACATTGTACCAGTACGAGTCAAATCACTTGTGATTTGAACATAGACTGAGTTGAAACTTTACGAGTTGCTAACGGTTTGTCCGGTTGGCTTACAGTGCTGTTACGTTTTCTGAAAAAAACTCTGTGATGCAAACTGTTATCAACACAAATACGGTTTTGGCTTGAGGAGTGGTACAACTGTCAAAAACTATTAATGAGAGAAAGGTTGAAGGATTATGCTGGCCAGCCCACATTATGCAATCGATGGCAACCTTACTTTAGAGAGACAGATGGGACCATGAAGCTGTTCTTCCGTAACAAAGGGTTACTTGAATTCGATGAATCTTCGCGGGACGTCAGCATAGATAAACCAATTGATGATGTCTTTCTACCTATTGGACCGGCACTTATGGACTTTCTAAAGGAACACAGTGATCAATTTTGCTTTCAAAAACTAATTAGGAAAGCGTTGGTATCAGATCATGCAAAAACTGTTTTTTGGAAACTAAACAAGTTTTTTTACCTGCAGTGTTTTGAAAGAGGTGATAGTATCTGTGACGGTATGTTAACAGATCCTCTTGGAGGAGAGAACAAATCTCCACCGCGTATCTAAAACAAAAATTAATAAGTCGCGTTTTTAAAAGTATTTTATGATAATATAGTCAAACAACAACTCACAAAAAAGCCTTCACCTCACCTTTTTCCAAAATTCTGAAAACATTCTTAGAAATCAGAATAATTCTCCGTCAAATTGAGCGTGCCATTAAAAATATTTTTCAGACGAAAAAAAAGATAGGAGTCAAAGCTTGCCCTGGCAGTCTAATTAAAACAACAAAATGTTTACCATTCGGCTATTTCTTCGATCCAAATGAATATGAATGGAACTTCCCGAATATTTCTCCTCTTCTTTCTTTGTGACTCGTATGTCAGCGATCTACAATTAGCACTTTCATGTTTTAATGTTGTTAATCACTTCCGGATGGCATAAAAGAAACTGCTATTGTTGAAACATTTGTTGTCTTTAGTCAGCAAATTAAGTTTAGTTGACCTACCCAAAACCTCACAGAACTGATTCGTTATAACTTGAAAATGTTGGCTCACATTATTTTCGTCATTTTCAGATCCTGTATTCTGTATAATCAGAATACTTTGTTGTTTCTCTCTCTCTTCCTCAGCAACCGCATCCACGAATTGTTTCTGTCTCGCTGAATTAACAGTTCCCCAAACTGATTTGAACAAGTAAATGAATATTTCTAACAGTGTTACCTGAGAAGAGAATTTTGAAATTGGTTCGTTTTGCATTGAGGTCTTACAGTACTCATGCCTAGGAACAAACCCATGCTACCAGCAATATTTGATAGCAAATCAGCAGTTTGTAACTGTTTTTGTTGTTCTAGAAAATCATACGAAACTTGACGGAAGTATAAACTGATGAACGAAATATCCGATCTTAAAATGATTTTTGATACTTTCGAATTTTGACCGTGTAACTTACTCGACTTGCTTGCCGGTATAATTAAGATTTGTTGCGACTTCCTTTGGAATTGTAGAGTAACTTGTCGTGATCTCAAACTCAAGCAATTTACATTCAGACGCACAATCACACAGTTTTTCCCACTCCCAACTTGCTGCAACATTGCATTGAAACAATACGTTCAAAATCAACACAAAACAAACAGTTTTGTGAAGCCAAACAATTTGATAGTTCTAAAGGAGAACAGACGTCTTGGTTGTGAGAAGACAAATTACGAGCTGAATACGCAAGAGGGGAACAGTTGCAGAGTGTTTCAGTTTGAAGTCGTTTGCATTCCGTTTCACAATGATTGGCAGTGTACTAAAATAGAAAAGTGTGTAAATTTTGTTCTTTTAAGAATATTTACTAATATTTTACCACCCGACCATTGCCAGACCATGCGAGGCCGAGCCAGTAGACATACGAGCGGAGCGAGCCTTTTTTGCATTGCGCAGAAATTCTCGTAGCCAAGCCTAAAACCCGGCGGTAGCCGGGCGCTTTTATATTATAATTTTTTAGATCAATCGGTCAAGTAAAGACATTAGAAAAGGTACAGTTAGCCTCTGCCTTCTCTCGCCGAATAACTGTACTTTGGAAGTAGAAAAGACTAGTTGTACGCTTTCCTTGGGGTTCCCAAGGAATCAAGAGACCTTTTCGTCTCCACAACCGTTACGTTTCGCCACTAAAACAAATTTGGCAACTCTCACGTGTTACAACCATAGAAAATGGCAACCAAGTGTTTTGATACGTTACGTTCCGCAACTATTACGTTTCGCATTTAGTACGTTTCGCAACCGCTTGGCAACGCTGAATTCCAGTTGTTCTTAGCAGATGTGTTTTGAGTCGAGCGCCGGCAGTGAGGGACAGGCGAGTCGGTGGAGCCTAATTCGGAAAAAAAATCTTACGGCTTACGGCTGCCAAATTTACTCGGACTGTAACAGGTTGTCAAGTTGTTCTAACTGTCTGAATTACTTCTATGGGTCATATTCATTCAGTTTTTACTCATTTGGACCAATTAGAATTTCTGGCATTCTACAGTCACTAATGACCAGATTGCAGGAGTGTCCATAACGTGCTGCAATCTGGAAATTTCTGACCTTACCCCGACTGTAACAGGTTGGGAAATTTCAATCCGGCCAGGTTGGAAAAATGTTTTGGCGTTTCTCAAACATCCCGCACCTATGATTTTTCCGATTGATGAGCCGTTGCATTTAAATCAGAGAGACACATGTGAAAGGTGCTTCATCTTGGAACATGAACTCTTCAATTTTCAAATTGTTATGTTTTGTGCGCAGCAAAACTACGGGCATTGCTGCGCAATCCAAAAAAGGCTTTTCTCCGCTCGCATGCCTACTCGCTCGGCCTCCGTCCTCGCATGGCGCTGAGCGGACATTCAAAAAGACAGACAGAAGGAAAGGCGCCTCTTGTGTTCTATATTTAAGGAAGATAAGAACGATCATCTTGTTCGGAAGCCAGAAAATAGACATGGTCGTAAACTGGTGATGCCCTACCGGTGAAATATATCTGACTAACCGGTAGTCCTTGAATATGTTCTTCCCATCCTTTAGTGCAAGAACCCCAATTGTCTGTGTCCAACAAAGTGATCTAAAATTATTCGTATTAGTTGAACAGAACATTTCGCTAATTGTGGGATTTTTTCTCGTTGGATGGATCTTGGCTCCAGGTTATAATTGAACTAGAGGCAAGAAATTTATGATATTTTGGGTATGTATTGTAGGTGTCCTAGACTACTTTCAATATAGAAACAATCACATTTTTCTATTATAAGGGCACCTCACGGAAATGGCGCTCTGTTAGGAAACTATTTTTGCAGACAGATACAGAGAGAGAGAAAACTGCAAATTGAGTGACCTCGGGGCCGAGTTTGAAAAGTCAGGCCACGTTTTCAGTCAAAAATTACTTCGCGGCCTAGAAATTCGGCCACATTGCGAACAGAGCGCCATTTCTGTGAAATGCTCCTATAATACGTCCGGAACTTTCTTTTTCAAAAGCGGTCACTTGAGTGGTATGTCATTAAAAATTCATATCTCTCAAATCAGGCATCCTAAATTAATGAGACTCAACCAAAAGGAGTACATTGAGTATGCGCGTCTAGTTCAATTAAAACCTGGAACCAAGAGCCCGGCTTGACTCGGACATCACACTCATTCTCTTACATTTTTCTGAACAAGTGATGCGTGAAGCATATCTCCAGGTGATACAGAGACAGCAAAGGAATTGATACGTGGGTATTTATCATGTTCATGAACCATCACAGTGAATCCATAATCGACGTTGTAATTGGAATACTGGTCTCCTGAAATGAAAAGGCTTTTTGTATCTATATCGTTTTTAATTATGTTACTGATTTTGTGTTCATTATTTCCATTCACTATAATTTCCCAACCAAATCCAGATCCGCTATACCACTGTCTACGTGTGTTATCACTGGACAGTCTGAAAATTTTCCGATGGAAAAGTACATTACTATCATGTACTGTCACATTTGCGTATGATTCAATGTTTTTCGTAAAAAACCAGTTTCTTAAAAACTATTTTTTACTCTAAAATTGCTTATTACCTGTAACATATACCCGATTCAGTAAGTTCAGTGACAATACGATCACAGCAATTTTCAATTTGCCGACGACCAAAGCTGCAGGAAACTATCGTATCTTCACATCGTTTACTAGAAAAAAATTGGTTTTGAAAAAAAAAAGAGGAAACCTGTTGGATTTCAAAAAATCAGGTATATAAAAGACCTTTCCCGTTAGGTGTTTGTATTGGTCAGTGAAGTTTTGGTACTCTTCATGTTCATTGACGGTTGCCATGTTTTGAACGTAACTCTGAAAGATACATGTATTCCTTTTAATATATAAAAGGTTTTTGCAAATACAGTGCGTTGCAAGTTTATTAGGCCACCCCCGTTGGGCACTGCAACGTGGCGCTCGAAAATATTTCCGACCCGACGACTTCGAAATCCGATTCAGGGCACAAAGTCAAGACCTATGAGCACAAAATAGGTTACACATATCTGAAAAACCGTTTCAAACTGTTTTTGTCATTCTGGCGGTTAAATCAGTTGTCATCTAAAGTGCTTCAAATTCATTTCCTGGACAATCCCAACCCAAAAAAACATCCTACAAAGGATGTTTTTTTTTGAGCCGACACCGGAACTGAATGTTCATGCCACAAGGTTTTTATTCCCACCACCAAAGTCAAAAGACAACATGATTTAAGACCAAATCAACTACGGGGGGGGGGGGGGTATCAAATGGTTCCGCCAAGTTCAGCCACAAGGCTTCGTTCTCCAAAGGTTCTCTGCGAGAAGACGAAGCGGACAGTTCAGATTGTACACGTATTCATTCGAAATGATGATTTGACCGGCAAAACAAGTTTCTGAACGAACAAAGCTGACCAAAAGAACATATTGGTCGACATCATGCCAAGAGCGCATTCGATGCGATGAGACTTATGGCAATCAGTAATGCTCGAAGTGGGACATATGACCTCACAAGCAATGCTACGGAACTCTTCAAAAGCTTCCCACACCATACTTTTTCTAAATCTATGTCCAACGTTCCATTCCGTTACAGGACTTTACAAAGTTGAATTGGTACGGATGAGGAACCTTTTGGCGGTGATGGCTTTATAAACTTGCAACGCACTGTAACCTGTCGCTTCTTTAAATCATGTTTCTCGTAAAATAAACTTACAATTTTTGCGTTGAAGCAATTGCTTTTTGGAGAACCCATTTTGCGGACTTTTGGTACAATTAGGTTTATTTATCCGACGTTTCGGTTTTTCAACCACTACCTGGGTTCTCCTTGAAACAACTGCTTCAACGCAGAAACCATAAGCAGGAAGAGTGCATACAGATAATGGCCAACGACTGCAATAAACTTACAATTTCATTGAAGAATCTGACAATGTAGGAAAAAACTGAACCGGACATGTTCAAACTTTTTATTTTCTCAAGATCGAAGTAGTTCAAATTACAAATTGTAACATCCGGAAATATAATACCTAAAATTGTGATTCTATAATATTATCAACTCTGTTAATAATATATAATTTATATTATTAACAGAGTGCATCCACATTAAAGGGATGACGAATGAAAAATTTTCTCTTTTTGATTTGCTCAATTTTTTTTCTTCTTACCGTTAGTTGGGACAATTGTATTCACTTGAAACAATGTTGGTTTTGCATGATAGCCCAACAAGAGATAACCGCTCTGAAAGAAAAATCAGTTCAAAAATGTAAATGAAATTCAACTCACATGGATCATGAACAAAGAAAGACATGACAGTACAACAACGGACCAAAATATACGCGATGGCCATGTGTTCGAGTTGTATATTCTGACGAGGCCATGATATGTTGTTAATCCGGAAAACTCCTTAAAATTTTGTTCTCAGACATCTTGTCGAACAATCATGTATTTGAACTTACTTTAGTTTCATAGTCATATAGTTGCAAATATACTCGATCAATTTCGCTTTCCGTCATACTCACTCCGTCTTGTTATCATTCCGAGTCACTTCATCTTTATCAGTCCAATTATGCCAAAACTGTTTATGACACAAAAAAACCATGAAAGATAGAAATTCACATCTAAAACATTTGAATGTGTGAACAGTTTAAAATCAGCGCTTGCGACTAGGTGCGAAAATCCGTGGATATCAAGGTCTTGAAAACAAATAGGTGTAAGAGCATGAGAATGCAGTTAACAATTGCTCCCAAATAGTGTTGGAAACTTCCAGAAATTCTAGCTATCTTGACAGTAACTACATTTTTCCATACTTGCCGATTCGAACAATTAAATGCCTCATCACACAAGCCACTCTTGCCGAATACGGAAGACCAGTTGCAACAGAAAAGAACTGAAGAAGCAATTAAGTCTTCCTCTGGAAAGTGTTTTTAATTGGAGAATAATTGGAATATTTTGCCTGTCAATCATTGTATGCATAGCAAATTGGTGAGCAGAGTATAGCGATTTAGTTTTGTACTGTTCGAACTATAAAACACGCCTACTATCTTTTTTACTTTTTCGTTTCTCATTTTATCTCATTTCATAACAGAACTACCTTGTGTATTCAACTGAAACAAAAAATACGGATAGTCTTTTCAAATTTTTCATTTTTAATTGAGATACATAATATATTGAACGTTTTGTTCTGTTGTAAGACAAAAAGAAAATCTCCTAGCAGTCCGATTGCGATTCAATTGTTTTGTGAAGTACTTCAAGTACTGTTGCTGTAGTTGGTAGGAGGCCCTGTCATTTTTCAATCCATACCCCGTTGATTGTTCTAAAATTGTTACGTTTTTTTCAGATTTGCACGAAATACATCATTGAACATGGGCAAACGAATTTGTTGGGCCGTAGGATACTTTTCATTTATCCTAAGCACCGTAACTGCAAGTGATTTCGATAACGCACACATTTTGGGTATGTATTGAACTCGTTTTGAACAAGACTATTCAAAAGTTTATAGTTAGGTACCGCAACGGGTTTCGCAAAACTCCGAATTTCCATAAACTTCTTGTTGAAATTTTCGGTACATCCCGAGTTATATCCCTTCAAAGTTGCCCTGTTTTCTCCCCGGTCGGCGGCCGAGGAGACTAAGGAGTCTCGCTGGCAGGCGATTCGTGTCGCTGTTTGGTGGAAGACACCAAAGAGGCAACATATTAAAGGACCAGGGAACCCAATAATTTTTTGATTTTTTTGTGAAATTTTTTTGTGACTGTTTGAATTGTCTCTTATTGGCTCATACACTGGTGAAATGCTGCCTCTCAAAAATGCCAATGAACTAAACGGCATGCAGTTGAAGTTGTGGCCGTGGCCTAGCGCCAATGGCCGAAAAATATATAAAAATATATGCGCTTCTCAGCCAGTTTATTTTTTCCGCTTTTTCATCGGTTTTTTTTAATCTCCGATTTTATCGCGAAAAAAACCGGAAAAAGGCGGAAAATAAAATGGCCGAGAAGCGCATATTTCTAGGCCACGGCCACAACTTCAACTGCATCACAAAAAAATTTCACAAAAAAATCAAAAAATGTTTGGGTTCCCTGGTCCTTTAAGTGAACAGAATTGATGTTTTAAGAAAGCAAAACAACTTTCGCGATCAAAAGTTTCGAACCCGACACCTCCAGACTGCCGAGTAAGCACTCTGCCACTGCGCCAACCGGGCGGAGGCGCGGCGAACGCCAATGGCAATGAGAAGTTTGGTGTTCGCCATTCATTTTTGATGCGACTTTTGCGGAATTTCAGCGCAAAAATGTGAAAATTTGAAGATGTTTGCCGGGATGAAATTTTGAATAAATAGATGGATTTTGTAGAAAATTTCACGCTGAATCCGATTCCGTGGAGAAAAGCCGCGTGTTGACTGTTTCCGACCTTCAAATTATCGAAAAACAAGGAATTCGGCCGAATGGGGTCTACTCAATCGAACACAAAATTTCTCCTAGGGGGTCTAGAGCTCTAAAATTTTATATTTGGGTTCTCAGAGAGTGTATCTATGCATTCCAAACTTGAAAAAGTGGGGTCATCGCTGAAAATTGTTCGCTAACTTTTTTGGCACTCTGACGGACTGAAAAACAATGTTTGCCGGAACGAAATTCGAATTTTGTTTCAAAAACGGATTCCCCATCCCTTAAACTGTCAGAATCACTTCTCAGAAGCCGCGTGTTGCACAAACTCCGGCCACAGTGGCTCTCAGACTAACTTCCATTTTCGTTTTCACTTTTTTTTTGTGAAAACTGTGCGTTTTCATGGAAAACGGAGCTGTTCATTTGATTTAGCATGGCCGATTACATAAAGTAAAACTATTTGAATATGGTACTTAGTTAGGGGACCTCGGTACAGGCCCTCAAACATGCGCGGGCGCGACCGGGGAGAAAATTGGGCGGGCCACGCCCCCTTTGTTGCGCCCCCTATTTATAATTTTAAATAAGGGTATAAAAACTTTTCACCAATACAGTGAGCCACCCGGCGGTTCCAATTTTAGTTACAAGCTTGGCCTGATTTGTCCATAGTGGGTTCCGTCCAAAATCTGGTGCTTGTGTTCTTAGTTTAATTTTGAGTCTTCAGGAGCCCCTCAAGTATTATGTTCACCCAAGTCAATCGCAGTCATTTTTTCGACAAGTATGCCATTTCAAGGTAGAATATCGGTAAGTTTTTTTTCTAACTTTACATCAGTGTTTTGTCGGCTATCTGTATCCTTTTGAGGTGTACGACAAATTTTTTATTCCGGCTTGTAAGCATGAATATGCTGCAAATATACTGAACAATGCTTCTTTTGTCATCGATGTTTTACAGTGTGCTGAAACAGGGTTCCTGAAAGTGAGTGTTTTTCAATGTTCAAGTTTATAAACTACTGTGTCTAAAGTTTTTAAGAATCAGACACGAATACTCCAATTTTTTGCAGAACGGGTCACGTATCATAAAAGCATATGTGGAAATCGGATTCCATCCTCTAGTAATCACAAACAGCGATAGGATGTTTCTTGTCGAATGCGTGGACAATTCAGTCGCTCCAATAGTAAATATTTCGCCAGAAGCCACGATTTGCAAACATTTGGTCAGAATAGCTTCCGAATGGAACAGTATGACCGAGTTTCATGTCGGAGATGCAATTGTTCATGAATGGAGTTGTCAACTTCCTGATCCAGGTAAAGCAAATACAAGAAAATTGTCAGTTTTTAAATGAATGTTCAGAAAATACACAAACTTTCCTCACAAACTGTAACGCATTGTCGCAAAGCGGACATATAATTCATTTAGTGGATAAAGATGGGTGAGTTTGTTCTAATTTTTCATTTTTATACACTATTTGCAGGACACTTTAAAACTTGCAAATAGTCCTTAATGAAATTATTACATTCAGATGCGTAGTTGATGCAGAACTAATGGGCGACGTTGTCTACAGTAATCACGTCTCCAAACTGTATGCAAGAGCTCGAACGTTCAAGTTTCTTTCAGACGAAAAGTAAAATTGATTTGCATTGCTTCCATATAATCGGGCTTTGCAGGTATCGCATTGAATGCAATCTAGAGTTTTGCAGCACCAATTCGACATGCAAAGACCGTCCATTCGTAAGTGATGAACTTTTATCGTTCTTATCAGACTTGCAAAATACTCGGCAGTGTTAGTGAGAATTTGCGCATACTTTACGCAATTGCTACTAGAACTTTTCGCAAAAGTTTCTTGAAGTTTTAAATTGTGGGGACCCTTAAAGCTTGCACAAATTCTGAAAAACGTTATGCAATTTTAGAGCAAACTTCAAGGAGTTTTTGCTCAAACTTTAAGTGCCCCCACAATTTTAAAGCAAACCTTGAGCCAATTTTTGCGAAAAGACCTTGTAGAAATTGCGTAAAGTTTGCACAAATTCTGATCAAAACTGTTTGGTATATATTATAGGGGCACCGCACAGAAATGGCGCTCTGTTGAGAAACTCTTTTTGCAGTGCAAATTGAGCGACCTCGGGGCCGAGTTTGAAAAGTTAGGCCACCTTTTCAGTGAAAAATTACTTCGCGGCCTAGAAATTCTGCTAGATTGCGAGCAGCGCGCCCTTTCTGTCCGGTGCCCCTATAATATAATAACACATTTATTCTCTTAAGCCACCTGGGAATGAAATTACAACAAAAAAGAAAGAAGAGAAAAAGAGGGGGAATGTGGGTGGGGGAAGGAACAATGGCTTGACATGACCATTGGCCGGCAGTAGCCAGAGGTCAGTTAGAATACAAAAAGCTAGGGGGGATCTTCTCGATGCGCGCTGCGAAGGCCTCAGAGGACAGTCTTTCGGGAAACAACTTGGCCACTCGGTTCCAAAGGGCAAGATGGGTATGTAAGAAAGAGTCATGGGGTAGTATATATAATTTTTTTTTCTTATGCGTTCGTCTGTTAGTGTCCTTGTTTGTCCGTCTCAATTTTTCTATTTATAGGCAAGTTCAAAAAAGTTGTGACGGAACAGTTGAGACACATTAGAAAAAGCATTTTTTAAAAAGTTATCCTTATTTTTCTTTTGACGATTGAATTATTTCTCAATAAAAAGAGACCCCACAAATTTTGAGGAATTTTGCAATTTTTCCTAGATCCCCCTGTCTATTTCTGAATTTTAGCTTTCCTGACGATCCCAGTACTATCTTTATTTTGTTAACACTATATTCGATCGGATCTCGTCACAGACAGTTTGTTTCGGAACTTCAGTTCATTTGGTTCTATCCTGAACGTCTTCCGAAGCCCTAAAGGCGCTTTAAAGCAGTGCTAGCTCACATCTCATTTAAGAGGCAATGTCTGAGAACCTCGAAATTCGCTAATTACACCAGGTCACTAAAAATTCAGAATGCTTCAATTTGTCTCATATTATACCCAATGGGTACTTACATAACAGTGATACATCAGACAAGTTTTGGTCCGGCTCCTTGGTCCCTAGTCCGATCACGGTCACAAAATAGGTCAAACCTGTAACTAATTTCAAAAAAATGCTAGCGTCTCAGACTCAAGGCCATTCGATTTCTCGCATCTTTTAAAGTATTTTTCATGTTGGCACCAAAAATTTATCACCTTTCCTTCATGGAGAAATTTCGGATTTTTCGTGAAAAAGTTGAGTTGTTGTGCAGTTTTCCACCGTGGTGAAAATTTTTTGCACTTCATAGCCACGATTTTATTTCAAATTCTTAATCTACGGACAATTTTACGTCGATATACCATACTGTCGCACATTTGCCGATTGACATCAAAGTAGTTTTTTTCAAAAGTTTGATCCGGTCTCAAAAAAAAGTTTCTGTTCTGCTTTTGGAAAACTTACAGAAACAAAGGAATTCCTGTTTATAGACGTTTTTCATGCTAAAAACTGTAATTCTGTTATGTATTCGTCAGGTACAGCTTTGTAAACGTAGCGATTAAAACATGTTGCTATTTTTTCTCAGGCGGATAGATTTTTCGAGATGTGTTCCCTTTTACCCAATATTTTATGCTTTCTCTCGTTTTTATTTTTCAATGTTCATCTTACTTTTTGTGAAGAATTTATTTGGTCGTTCTCCGATTGATTCAAGAACGGTAAACAAGAAGTACATATTATAGGGGCACCGCACAGAAATGGCGCTCTGTTGAGAAACTCTTTTTGCAGTTCAAATTGAGCGACCTCGGGGCCGAGTTTGAAAGTTAGGCCACATTTTCAGTGGAAAACTACTTCCTTCCACGAGTCATCCTTCATTTCTTGAGCGCGTCGCGATCGTGCTGCTTTTGATTGCCTTTTCGCTGCTTCACGGGAGAAGAACCCGGCAATCTGACGGAAGTCTTTCCTTTGATCCACTGAAAACCGCTTAGAACCGTCCGGATTTCTAGCTTCTGCCATTCTCTTTTCAACAATTCTCGGATCCGCATGTTGACATTTCTTACTTGAAGTACCCATCCGTCCTCCAATTCCGTCTTCTCGTTCGTCTCCTTCAGTTTTTTTCACAGCATTCGAAATTATTGGGCAACTTTTTTTGACCACTTCTTCCAAAACCACGAATAAATTATTTCAATGAAAAAAATCACGAAGTGTCTGCTGCCGTTCAGGTCGAATTATATGTTGTCCACGTTCAACATGCTCGACCACGCTTGAATATCTCAAAAAAATGTAGCTGAGCATCCTTCCTCTGGGCATGTAAATATCTTTTTCCAAAGCGTCTTCGTACCGCGGTCTCACTTCATCGCTTTCCACTTCATTTTCATCTTCTTCTTCAATGCAAGCAGTCTTTTTGAGAATCAGTTGACTTAGTACATTCCGAAAAAGTACCAAAACGTGGTCTGCTTCTGCGACAGTACAGCATTTAGTTCTTCATCAATAGACCCAATCACAGTTGAAGTGTATCCGGCATGTTCGAACTCGTATGTTCCAGTCAATGACTTCAAATTGCTTGACGGAACAAATTGACCATTGCAAGAGCAACTGTACAATCAGGAAAACAATGAGTTTCATTATAATCTGTAATATTGACCATCTAATAATATCAGCAGTTTGAAAATAGTAAGAAGAATAGCTACACAAAATTTGCTTTGTGCTTTTATACCTATTTGATGTACTTTTGTTGTTGAGTGTTGCCCCATGTGTATTATAGGGGCACCGAACGGAAAAGGCGCGCTGTTCGCAATCTGGCCGAATTTCTAGGCCGCGAAGTAATTTTCCACTGAAAATGTGGCCAAACTTTTCAAACTGGGCCCCGAGGTCGCTCAATTTGAACTGCAAAAAGAGTTTCTCAGCAGAGCGCCATTTCTGTGCGGTGCCCCTATCACATGTACTTCTTGTTTACCGTTCTTGAATCAATCGGAGAACGACCAAATAAATGCTTCACAAAAAGTTAGATGAACATTGAAAAATAAAAACGAGAGAAAGCATAAAATATTGGGTAAAAGGGAACACATCTCGAAAAATCTATCCGGCTGACAAAAAATTTCAACATGTTTTAAACGCTACGTTTACAAAGCTGTACCTGACGAATACATAACAGAATTACAGTTTTTAGCATGAAAAACGTCTATAAACAGGAATTCCCTTGTTTCTGTAAGTTTTCCAAAAGCAGAACAGAAACTTTTTTTTGAGACCGGATCAAACTTTTGAAAAAAACTCCTTTGATGTCAATCGGCAAATGTGCAACAGTATGATATATCGACGTAAAATTGTCCGTAGATTATGAATTTGAAATAAAATCGTGGCTATGAAGTGCAAAAAAATTTTTCACCACGGAGGAAAACTGCACAACAACTCAACTTTTTTTCACGAAAAAAATCCGAAATTTCTCCATGAAGGAAAGGTGATAAATTTTTTTGGTGTCAACATGAAAAATGCTTAAAAAGATGCGAGAAATCGAATGGCCTTGAGTCTGAGACGCTAGCATTTTTTTGAAATTAGTTACAGGTTTGACCTATTTTGTGACCGTGGTCGGACTAGGGACCAAGAAGCCGGACCAAAACTTGTCTGATGTATCACTGTTATGTAAGTACCCATTGGGTATAATATGAGAAAAATTAAAGCATTCTGAATTTTTAGTGACCTGCAGTTTTTGAACTTCTCAGACATTGCCTCTTAAGCCCACCGGTCGCAGCTTCAGTTATCTTCTAACTCTTTATTCATAATGATTTTGCCAGTGCCCATTAGGTTTTGAATTATTGTCTTTTATCTGAACAAAATTTGTATGAATAGTTAAAAAAAAAGATTCCAGCCACCAAAATGTGCATTTACAAAAGAGGAAATCAGCAGTCGATTCAATCGTAGCAAAGTGGATGAATTTGGGATAACTGTCATGCCAGGTTTTTTTCTCAGATTATTCTGCATTAGTTGAATTATTTCTTCTCTTCAGGAAACTTGAACAATGCTTTTGATACGAGTATCAAAGTTAGTTCAGCCTGGCTAACAGTCAAATTTAACCAATACACTGAATTCAAAAATTTGCACAAACGTAAGTGTGAACATTGATAGAAAAATCTTTGAATTCGTTCAGGCTATCACTTGAAAGCATACCTGGACAATTCTATTGAGATATTTCATCATTTTCCCGTTGCGGAGCATTTCTTGATGGACATTTCTTATCGGGGGCCACTTCTCAATGCAAAGCCAAGCACAGTTGGAAGCGATCGAACAGTGGTCTCCCGCGTTTTACATTCGACAGTTTTCCAACCGGTTTTCAGTCAACCTATAGTAGGCTGAGAGTTTTGGGAACAACTTTTGACCAAAATAGTTCAATTACAGAGTTCCAATGAAGACCTGATCGAAACAATCACATTTGGAAACTCGTTAATACCAGACAGAAGCGCAAAAAAATTAGCAAGTACAACTACGGAATCAAATACAAAACAATCCATAAAGTGAGTAAATTTTCAACGCATAAGTCCCATTTGTAATTAATTAATAAGCAGAAAACTAAATTTTATCACAACATCTGATCCAGTACAGACTACGACCGACTCCTCTAAATCTGGACCTGTGAGGTTGGGCAAGTTGGTTTATTTAGACCGAGCAAATGCTTATCAATGTCCGTAGCCAAGCCTGAAACCCGGCGGTGGCCGGGGTTCAGGCCTGTTCAAAATAACATCTTCATTGTATCGGTTGTTCAAAAATGACATTGCAGAGTGCGAACTAGATTATAAATAGAAAATGCAAGTGTGTCTTTTGCACCTAAAGTGGCACTGTTGATGCCTCAACTTTATCATTGTGTTCTGAGTGACTCCAACTTTTTTCAAAGAGTCTCGACCTTTGGAAATGTCTTAGAAGATTAGTTTGCTCAGGACATTAACTCTGTTAAGGTTTTCAAGTTATTTTGTAAATGTCTTCTACTCAAGAATAAAATGATAATTTATAGTTCTGGCTGATTGCTGATGATAACTCATAAGACGTTTGATTAAAGAACAAAAATGCGAAATGTCTCTAAGAACCCTTAGAAGTCTTTAATGCTTTGATTCAGCTGAAAAGAAGAGAAATAATATTTCAGAATACTGACAACAGTCGCACCAAAGAAAGAAACCAGCAAGAGAAAAACGTCCGAACTGGAAACGGCACTCACTACTCCCATTCCTCTAAACAAACTAGTATTATCTACACTGTCGCCCAAAAAAAAGCTAACTCCAACTACGCCGTACATTGGGATCTCCGCTACAACTACACACGAGCCAAGAGTATCGCAAAGCGTGTCGCAGAACACAATAAACGTTTCCCAGAGCGTGGGAGAAGATAACGTCATTCACAAACAGTGCAAGTTTTTTTTAACTTCAAAAATAGTAAAAGATTGTTATTTTTCAGATGATAAGTTTGTGTTTAATAGTCCAGATTGGCGATTCGATGAAAAAGCCATTAATGATAGCGATACTGTATTGGAACGCCAAAATACTGCGTGCTTCAACGCTACAATTATTTCGGTCTGTTTGTTTCGTGTAAATCATATAAGCCAAAATACTCATAGTCGCAGAAGCAATGTAAATGGTCCGGTGTTGAGCATCTTCTTCTTATTTGGTCTTTTTCGTCATTGTTAATATGGATGTTGTTGATAGCTTCATTTCTGTATAAACAATTGAGCAAGAAGCCGCAATGGACTGATTTCAGGTAACTACAAAAATGAGGATACAGGTTGTTTCGGGGCAGAATGAATTCCGAAGACATTACTTTTGATTTGTGTTCATGATTAAGGCATGTTTTAGTCGGATATGGTGGTTTAATAGAAGAGAAAGGTACACCGTTTCAAAAATAATTTCTAAATTTCAATTTTTGAATTCAGTATGTTTCAACTAAAATGTCATTTCCAGAAAAAAGCAATTGAAGGAGGCAACTCAGTCACGAATTTTGAATCAAGATCATCCTTGGCTACACGCAGACGCTTTCGAGGAACCGAATCAAAATAAGCATGGAGTAAAGATCAATCGTTTTAGTTGAACAAGTGTTGTTTTGTATTAATCCGAGTATGCCAATAATAAATTTATTATCTGTGTATGTTTGTAGCCGCTGTCATTATTGGTGTCCAAACTTGAGATTGGTCCGCGAACTGTGTCTACACGGAAGTAACAAATAACATACACGTTTTGTTTTTGTCAAAATCAGTTGAGAATACATTCTCGTACAACACGATGTCTCAAATGTGTATATTTTTTTTAGTAAAACACCCTGATGTCCCATTCGTTGGAAAGTAGGTATGTATCACGTCACTTCCCTTTTCTTCTCGGCTGCAAAATTGTTCTCTCCTATGTTTCTCTTGTCTCTTCTCATTTTCCTCCGCTTGGTTTGTGTGCTTTGATCGTGGTCGCGTACGAGACTAAGTGATCAAAGAACAAAGAGGTTCCGAGAAAACGAGGACGGAGAAGACCAAAAACCAGTGATTGTGTAAAGTGTGCGTGTGTGTGTGTGTGTGTGTGTGCAAAATAGTGGACTAATTGCACTTTGAGGGTTAAGGTGTCCGGTTGGTGTGATTTGGAAAAGGAGGTAGTCATCGAATTCATTGAAAAATATTTTATTAAAATCAAATAAGAGATGACAATCATTTGGCAATTTTGATCAAGGTCGAGACCAATTGAAGTCTAATGTGCATTTCATTTCATTGCTTTTAAAATTTGACCCGTTTCTAGAGAAGATGAATGTACACGTGGCGCATAATAGCTATTAAACTTGATCTAGAAATAGCAGTTCCTCGAGTACTTGATCAACTGGGTGATTGACATCTTTACAAAGTTGGAAGAAAGAAGAAAATGAAGATGCGACTCTCTGGAAAACAAACATCAGAAGTTTGCACAAAAAACCTTAATAAACGTACTGTTGCAGATGCAATCAACAGCAAGAGATGTGCAAATCGTGTCGTAGCTTCTGATGTTCCCAAAGACGAAATCAAATGTGAGAAAAGTGCATTTTGAACTGATTCTCGAGCAACAACAAGCAGTTCACACGAATCCGACGAAAGTCCTTTCACATTAGGATCTAACGCCATAATTGCCTTCAACGCAACCATCTCCGTTTTTGTGACTTTTAATCGTCGCAGTTGATTCAGTATCAAGTCGGTCATGTTCCGACGCACAAGACTGAAAATCGAAAATCATATATGAACACATCATTTCCCTTTTGGGCATGTCGTGTCTTCGACCATCTGAGCGCTGACCACAATGATCAAAGTTCAAGAGATCAACACCGACCAAACTAAGTCGCTAGAGCGCAAACTTTGTTCTCTGCATTACACATACTCTCTCAGTTAAACAGCAAGTGGTGTCATTTTCAAAGTGGGAGAGAGAGGGGGCGAGGGTACTGCGTCTATGTTCTTTGATGCCGTTTTCCGTTTCTCTCAGTCTCAGTTGTATGTAAATGTGTAGCCCCCTCTTTTCATCGCATAAGCATCAAAGATTACGGATCGAGGGGAAGTGACGATAATAGAACGTGTTGGTCTGCTGACTTTACGGCACGACAGAAATTGAATCGTTTTGTTTTTGTGCTACTACTACTCTCACTTGAAAAAAAGGATTGAAGATACTCACTCGGCTTTGTTCTCAATAAGAATGAACTTCTTGCGGTTCGAGTGTTTCGTAAAAAGGGGTTGAGAAGCAGGAAGTTTGTGTCCGGATGGGAGGTATATACTGTCAGTTTCCGGAGCATCAATAATAACAGATTGATACCCGGAAAATAAAAGAAGGAAAGGTGCTACCACACTCCTGGCCAATGCGAGCTAAAAATCAAGTTATATGAAACGATCAGGGACAGTAGCAATCGTTGACTTACCTTTTCAAAACCATTCAGATCAGCAATTGGTCTCAAAGTGTTTATGTAATCAAAAGTAAATACTATGAGTCTGCGGAGGTTAGAAGACACACAATTGACATCAGCAAGACCTTTAACTCCATTAAAGTTCAACTGAAAAAATGTTATGTTTGGAAAAGCTATTGAGAAACGAGCTGTTACCAATGTCCTAGCAGCAATTAGAGATGGCTTAGTGATAGCCGCTTCCATTTCCGGAACATTTTCTTGCGTTGTTTCAAAATTATCTTGAAGCTGTATCACAATATCTTCGATTTCACTCAATGTTGTCAAAACGGATTCATCAACAAAGTTCAGTCGAGAATCCACTGATATTGAATCAGCTCTGGAGGACGGGGATGTTGAGAGGTCTTCGTGATCCTCCTAAAAATTGAACAGTTGATATAAGCGCAATCTTGGGTTTGATTATTACTTTCTGTCTATTCATTGAAGGAAGTTCCCCCGTGATAGATGAAACTGAAACTTTTTTGATAGGTGATTCAATCAACGTGTTTCTTCTTGGGTTTTTTTGTCGGCCAGTTTTATCGCGGTCCGGTCGGATAGCTGAAAAATTTGAAAAATCTATTGAAGAACGACAAAAAAGAAAGTTTTCACTTACCATCAGGCTCCATACCGACTTCTAGGCATTTCTGGAAACGGCAAGATCTGCATACATTTCTCCCAGCTGTAAACGTTCAATTATGACGCTGATCACACAAAATTAGTTCGTACCTTTGTCTATTCTACATCGCTTACTATATCGGCACACATAGTTTTTTCCAGCTCTTACAGTCCGCCGGAAGAATCCCTTGCAGCCGAAGCACGCGACAACTCCATAATGTCTTCCAGAAGCTTCATCGCAGCAGACGGAACTAAAATGAAGAGAAATTAAAAATTTGTCATAGAATTTGAATCCCTACCAAATTGTGGTTTCCTCTCCTTCACTACCGTTTTCACCCGTAGGCGAGTATCCGTCAAGCTCTGGTTTTAACAAAGTCTCCATAGAAAAAGTGTGACCGGGAGAACCACATTGCAACAAGGCGGCAAATGAGAACGGGTTTTGCATGTCAGTCATGTCCTAAAAAACACGTTTAGAGCAGGAGAAAACTCAAGGAGACAGTTATTTGATCAATTCAAGAAAATGAAAAATAGAAAATTTCATCATATCATTTGATTAGTTAGGAGAGGAGGAGAATTATAATCGCCTGAACATTTGATCTACTCGCAGAATGACTTAGCGTCAAGGCATTAATACAGTGCGTGACAGACACTATGATGATGGAAAAGATCTTTGGTCAATGGGTGATGCGTGAGACTGATAAAACAAATTCGATGACAATGATTCTTAAGCGGTGCTGATCAATCAGTTCAAAAAACAGTTTTTGATGGACAGGAAGGGTAAAGAGGATGAAAAATAGTGCAGTTCTAGGAGAGTTAATAATGTGATAATTTATAATATGATGCAAAATACATCACTTTCATTATGACAAACAAGTTTTGTGCTACAGTTTCCTAGTCAAATTAATTTTTAAGAAACAAAGTACAACACGATTTTAGAGAAGCTAGGAATGAGTAAACAATGAATTTTCAATTAGATGGAATCACATTTAAGAAATACAGCAGGAAGAATTCAAAGCTTGGTGAGTTGCAAAATAAATTGCAAACCCAAGCGAAGAAAAATGCATTCAATTGTGGGAGAAACTAGGAGAAAGGGAGGTCTCTTCCAAGCGAGCGGTTAATGTTCAAAGATCAATAGAACACAATGTGGGCGGAGCAACACAGTCAGTTGTCTATGCAGCTTGTGTATTGCGCAGATTTCGCAATGTGACTGATCGCTTAAGTGAGCATACTGATCGTTGAAATGAGCAAACTACTAGAGAATTCTTTCATTCCTGCACGCTTAAAAACCGCGATGCAACAATTGCCGAAATCTAATCTTTGATATCTAGTGATCAGAAAACGAAACCAATACAATCAATCAAAGAACAAAGTTTCAAAAACAACGCCCACTGTTTTCTTTGAAAGAGTAAACGGGAAGAAAAGTATAATTAAACTAGCTAATGTTCGATAATCGGAAATTTTTTGTATTGCTTTTACTTGAAATCAAACGAGATTTTATGTAGAATGAGCTTGGGGCGGGGTGATATGATCTTGAAATAGTATCAGCAATGGTGATAATAGCTTGTACAGCACTAGTCAATAGCTTGAAGGGACCACCATATTTGGATTGAACAGACTTTTTGCAAACAAAGTTTGATGTTTGGTTTTGGCCGCTCAGCATGATCTATGGGGCCAATGTTCATGCGTCTTCAATGCATGAAGACAGCCGACTGCACACTTGGCCTTAAGTAAAGTGCATGAGATTTGTTTGGAAGCACAGACAGCCGATGTCTGAGATGAAACGTTCAGTACACAACACACAAAAGCGTGAGGTTTTGGGAAAACGTTTCGTAGTCTTTGAACAACAACAAGAGCCAGACAAACTTTGCAACTTGCGAATGTTCCTTGGCGATAGCCAGTCTGAACTCAGTCAGGTGAACACTGTGGATGACAATAGTCAAGGATTGGTTTGATGTGATACAATATTCGATCATGGTTCATACACTCAAGGCCAGTTTTGTAGAAAACGGTTAAATTAAAAATAATGTGTTGTTGAAAGTAAGACATTTGGTTAATAAGTTTTTTTAGTAAGCGCAAACAAATGCTTCATCTGTTCGTGTTCGAGCAGATGTTGTTTTCTTTTTTGAGCTGCCAATTAAAGTTTTTTGACTTCTGGGTGTGGCCTTCTCGCTGAAGGAACACTGCAAATAGTGAGACGCAGCTTTCTGTCATCTATAGTGTTCTCTCTGAAAATAGCCTGCTGAAATATGTTTGCTCTATGACAAGAACTCCTCGTAAACGTAAGACCACGTCTTTATTAGTCAATATCACAATAACAACTTAACAAAGATCACAGCAACTACAAGAAACCCTTGAGAATTTCAGTCGTCATTGAGTTCGAATGAGAAAGTCTTAATCTTCAATTTGAGCGGCTTCTTTCGGTTTTTGTCCAATATTTCAATTTGGGAGTTCTGAACGTTAACGGTCAAGCAGATGCTTTTTTCAGTGACAATTTCATCATTCACAAATGCGCCAAGGTGGTCGAGAATTTCATCGTGTATGGTTGACATCAGTTTTTGAACGTTAACCTAAAAAATGCTTAAAATTATAAGAAGCTCCAGATAACTTCATCAGGCCCCCGAGTAAAAAATCTGAAAAAGCGATACGTTTTCCAAAATTCTTGAACCCGGCCAGATTTTTGACGATACTGCTTTGAAGAGTTCCCGTCTTTATTATAGGGGCACCGCACAGAAATGGCGCTCTGTTGAGAAACTCTTTTTGCAGTGCAAATTGAGCGACCTCGGGGCCGAGTTTGAAAAGTTAGGCCACGAATTTTTTGTTATAAATTTTATTTTTTTTTTTAAGTATTAACTTTTACAATGTTCACTTCTGAACGCTTTGCCGATAGAAATTGTTTTTAGTACTCTATTATCATACATTCATCCACTGCATTCACTTGCACGTGGCTGGTTTGAAAACAAAAAAAGAACAATACAGAGGTTAAAACAGGTAAGGTCTCTGGTAAGTTGCTCGTGGCACACGAGTGAATCTAAACCGGGAACCCATAATACGAATTTTCCACTTACGTTCAAACTGGTGATTTTAGAATTTGCAGGTGCCTCCAGTTGAAAAGTAACACATGGATTGTTTGATCCGGTGCTACTAGTTGGTGACTGACTGACTCCACTCTTCATTAATCCATTCACTTCGTTCCGGATCATGCCAAACTTGGTATCTAAGTTTAGTCTGAAAAATAGAACATTTTCAACTAGTTCTTGCTTCTAAAGCTTGGAGATTATTTCGAAACAGAATGCAAAAGATACTAGAATGTGGCTAGTCCATAAAACCACTTTAGTTTGCCTTTATTTTTAGCGCGTTGATGTAACTGCAAATTACGGAAAGTCTGAATGTTGTAAATATGGTCTACCGTTTCAGTTTGCCATTAATAAGGAGATTTTTGTTTGCTAGTTCTCCATCAACTGACAAATCTTCCAAAACGACAATGAACACGTTCATCTGGAAATTTATGAAACGTTATGCTTTCAACCTGAAAACAAACTTACTTGATTGTTCATAATAGCTTGGTAGCTGCGATCGCTTTCGGATATTTCATCAATTGTGATCGCTTCTTCAGCAAAATCTAAGAAGAAGGATGAGAGTGAAAAAAAATTGTCTGTTGAAAATGTACTAATATTGAAAATAATGTAAACAATTTTCCTTTTTAATCCAGGTTCTTGTCTCGCAGCAGAAATTTCGTGTCCACCAACCTGGTAACTCGAATGGATCGTCATTAGGTGCACCTTCAAAGTCAAATGCGGATTCGTCTTCAATTGACGTTGCCATTGATGAAATCTCATCAAGCATCAGCAAAGACTCTATAAATTCGTCGACGTGGATACGGTTTATTGTAAGAAAGGTTAAGGGGCCGTCTATTTTGAGATGTCATCATGATACAGTTAGTTAGAAATGTGTTTCAAATATTTAACTAGAAACTGTCAGCTGATCGAGGAATTATCCAACCTTAAGCTGGTCTTTGGTGCAGGATCGACATGGTTTAAGATATTTTGTTCTCACACTCACGCTAGGAACACACGTTTGGGAAAAACAATGTTTTCTCATCAGGGAGAAAAAGATGATAAAATAAGTGGAGTGACTGCACAATTTCATTGCCGATAACTCACCTGTTCGTTCTCCAATTCTAGGGAAATCCGGGAACTCGTCAAGAAGGGGTGTCTGATCGCACGCCCGGTGATCTCTATTTTCATCGCGATACTCTTTGTTTGGTGTGATCAGTTTGTCTGCAGCTGAGTTTCTTCCAGTGTTCCCTGCTGAAAAAAGTTAACTATTGAAATTCATAAATTTATTCTCAATTTTTTATATGGGACAAGTAATATTTTCCTATTAATTTCTCTGGTGCCAACGACATCGGACCTCAATTTTCAACAGTAAACGAATACTAGTCAGAAACAGCGGGGTGGCACTATTCGAATGAATGAAGAAGTGTGCTTGCGCGATTTTTGGAGTTATGAGGGTGGTCATTGTTTTCACAATAGGATATTTTTCAATAACCTCTGTCCGGTGTTTGTTTGTGCTCAAACAACAATGTTGTGTTAGTCGAAAAAGCAAGAGCACTTCGTTCAGAAGGGCGGGTTAAGTGTATTCACTAACACCGGTGGAATGTGAACAGCACTCCAATTGTCGAAAATAATCATAATCGACGTTGAGTTTTTCGTAAAACTAATTGTTTTCATTGTTTGTATGTTTCATTTTAAGAAATCTACAATGTCCTTTAACGGTTGCATGGGGTGTCGAGCGCGACGGCGGCGACTAAAATTTGAATTACGATCAACGCGTTAGATACGTGGGTTGTACCGTAATTCATTGCGTAGCAATTCAAAAAACGTTGGGACGATACGGAGTTCAAATGTTTTTACTCAGACTGGCACTTCGCCAAGCTTTTTCGCAAAGTAGCGCAGCGATGTCGTGCTTGTCACCCCGTGCGGTTATTGAAGTAGGTAGCAGTTTGCATAGCGTATAATAAGAGAGGTGTAAACGCTTTTATCACAGTTACAATATTCCGATCAGACCAAAACGTTGCAAGCTCCTTAGACATGGATTAAACAATCTCGGCTTCAAGTTTCAGGCTTCATCTTTGGCCTGAAAGTCCTGCCTTTCGTAAAACGCATTTTTTGGCTCCTCGGTCTTTTGCGCAATCTTGTTTGATTTATTCAGCACAATCTTGTTTTTGATTTATTCAAAAACAGGCCTGCACCCGGCTATGCTGGGTTTCAGTAAGAATTCCTCAAAATTGTGGACACGTAGCAGAACACGTTCATTTTGATTTATCTCACTAGTCACAGTATCTGAAAACCAAAACAACAGAGAGAGCAAACAGTTCAGTCAAAATGACTCAATCCTGGTTTTTTTTTGCTCTTCTTCATATCCTAAATGTACATAGGTAGATCGGCCAACGCTTGCTTTCAAGTGGCTGAAAAAACACAGACCGAGTGTCACTTCTACAGAAAAAAGAGACAACACTTGACACCGCAACGAGCGTTTTGTGACAGTAAACCCGTTATTGCTCCAAGATTTCTCACCCAAACTAATGTGTTGAAAAAGTGACTTTCAGAAAATGAGAGTAATTGTCTACTACGCGACTTTTGTCGTTATTGTTACTGCACAGTGCCCCACGTCATTTTTAAAGGTGACCTTTTCTTGGCAAATTTACAAGAATCTCAAGTGAAATAAAATAGCTTTAGGAACCTTGCACGTGTTTTTCAACACGCTATGAAGCGGTGAATATCCTGTGCAACAAGGGCGAGGGGCTACATGACGTTCTTGAAGCATTATCCAATTTTTCATCCAATATTGACAGTCTTACGATCAGCAATACTCCAATGGATCGGGTAACGTTTTAACTATTATGAATTTTTTTTGTTAATATACGATATTTGCGGGCGTAGGTGGAAAAGTGTAACCGGCAAGATTTTTCCTTAGGTCTGTTGAACTAAGATTTCTACTTATTCATTCAATTCCAAACAGAAATTGTTAAAAATTGGTAAAACTCGGCGGTCTCGGCAGGGTCCGCAAACACCGCGTATTCACATAAATAAATTGACTTATTGCATCCGCCGAATTTTGGAAATCGCACTCTACTGCTCAAAGAGTAAATTCAGGGCTGAATTGAACATTCTTACGGAAGCAATTGGGGGTTAACTGGGTTGTCATGTAGGATTTTGACTCCGTAGATCAAAACCAGACATGTTGAAACAGCAATGTCCGGGAGTCTGGCCTTCCGTAGCTATATCGCCAGAAGTTCAAATGAAAAACGTTTTTAAAACTAACATTGCAGATACCTGGATATGCTTTTCAAGGATTTCGAATAAGAAAATTATTCTTACGAAACAATGGACTGCGAGAATTTCATCCAAATACTTTTACCGGTTTTTTGGAAAATTTTCTCGTTGAATTAGAAATCAGAGGCAATTTGCTTGACAAAATACCGCAGACCGGAATTACGGTTTTAAAGCAATTGGAAGTACTTGCCTTGCCAGGTGAGACCAGATTCTTAAAAATGATAACAAATAAGAACATTTAAGATAATTTGATAGAATATGTTCAAGACAACGCTTTTCTGTCATATCACAGTCGAAAATCAATTAAAAATTTGGATTTGAGTGCAAATAATTTGACAGCGATTCATCCGACTGGTTTCCTGGGCTTGGAAAACCTGGTCCATTTGTCATTGGATAACAACTTGCTCACAGATGTTCCTCTTAAATCTTTGGAGAATGTACAAACCTTAGAGGATTTGAGCATAAACGTGAATAATCTTCTCACAGTTCCCGCAAGTCCACTTCCTCTTCCCAGTTTAATTTCTCTCAGTTTGGAAGTCAATCAGGTTTAACCCGAGTTCAGCTTAGAAATTATCGATAGTCTTTCCTCAGGTACGAGCAGTTAACTCGGAATTCTTCTCAATGTTATCACAATTAACTTATTTATACCTGGGTAATAATTACCTGACCACGATCCAATCTATCCCATTCCATCATATTATCAAATTGAAAGTGTTGTCATTGAGTAACAACAAAGATATCACTTCTATTAGTTCTGATGGTAATTTTTGTTGGCCTTGCACTAATAACTAATCAAATTTCCAGCTTTCGGTCATGTGTCGAGCATTTTACGACTAGAACTATCAGATTGTTCTATTGGCTATATTGATGAGGAAAGCTTTCAAAAACTGCAGCACTTACAAGCAATTCTACTCAGTGGAAATCAGCTCACCAAGTTAGTTACGCACAGGAAAGTTTGAATGTTAATGTTTCCAATTTACAGAATTACTTCATCAACTTTCGCAAACCTCCCACAATTGTCTATAATTGATCTCAATGGCAATTCCGTAAATTTCAATTTTCCTAATTGAATTTATTTTCCATTTTTTGCAGATCAACAATATCGAAGATTTTGCGTTCAGTCGATTGCCTATGCTAACAAGCCTTGACATCAGTAGTAATAGATTAGAGACACTGCCCAGCCACATAATTCAAAACTCGTATACACCCAAATCCCACTCTCAAGGAAGGAATTTTTATCTTCAAAGTAAGGTTTCCAATGAGAATCAATATAAATAATGCGTATTTTGAGATAATCCGTGGCGGTGTGAAAAAGAACTTTCCTGGCTTCAACAATGGCTTAAAGAGAATGAAGATGTGAAAACTTCCTCTAATCCTTCCTCAGCAAATTGAGTTTTTTCTTAGTACAATTTGAATGGAAATCAATGCTTTTCAGGTGTTGGACTCCGCCACATTTGAGTGGTTTGGATTTGAGACACTCAGATTCTAAATCCCCACTGAAGTTACCGTTTTCAACAGTGAAGGTTGTTTTTTTGTGAACTTGAGGAAATTTAAAATTGATGATGCCAGTTTCAGAAGAGCAATCCCCCACATGCGGATGCAGGTAATCAGTTGAGCACTTCCAACATTTCGCACAAAGAAATAAACGGATTAACACTGGTTGGATTGATTTTAGGTACAACTCCCATTGAATATTATCTATAACCTACTTGATTTAGGTATAATTCTTGCTATCTTTGCTGGCTGTTTTATTCTGGGCTACGTGCTACGGTACCTGTTCACAGCATGCGAGGCGACCACAAAATCAAAAATTCTTGACGGAAATAGGAGATGTGTCGAAAGCAGTTATAGAAACGAAGGGACTTTGAAATTCGATAATCATAATCACAATCTCAATCATACTCATGGTCTATCATCAAGCTCAAATGATAATGTATATCTAAATAGACCTCGACATTGGTGGTTTTAAAAATATCCATAAATTATTGTTTTTTTTTCTTACTAAATTTTACAAAACATTATTTGCAGTGATTCACTTATCTCTTATCAACGAAGATACAAGACTATTCAAGCGTTTTTAGGCTGCCCTTGAATGCATGATTTGTACCATCGTTCGGTCACTGATCTGCGCGGTAGTTCTAGGCCAACCGGTAAAGTATAGTGCGGAGTAACAAGAGACGCAGGTAATGCGGATGGCGGTTGACCTGGATCTGCGGCGTATATCGTTGCAATACTACTGCTGCGGCGGCGACGGATAGAAACTACAGAAGCGAGTAGAACACCAGACAATCCTTTTCCGCACAGATACGATATTTCCACTCAGCATGTTTTCGCTGATACTACTTTTGTTGTTCTGTCATATTCCATTAGTTGCTCCGTGCCCTGATGTCATACGTGACATTTGTCGCTGTCAAGAAGCTTACAATGGAATTGAGTTGGATTGTTCGAATGCTTCCGATTTTAAAGCTTTGGAAGTGATCAAAACTAACCAAGCGCTGATGGGATTAATACAGTTTTTGAGAATCAATCAGGCTAGCTGGACTGAAATTCCACCAAATTTGTTCTCGGGACTTTATATCAAAAAATTGGATTTATCCGGTAACAATGTTAAATTTATTCATGACCGAGCTTTTGACGGAATGCACCCAGTACTGGAGGAGCTGTCCCTTAATGACAACTTCCTTGAAACGGTAAGTGTGCTACCAAAATTATAGGGAATTCATATACTTTTCAGGTTCCATCAGTGGCTCTTTCAAGTCTCACAAATCTACTTCGATTGGACCTTTCCAACAATTCCATTGTAGAAATTCAAGAAGCAAGTGTATTTCCAACACTCAACAAGGTTTTAGAGCTTAAAATTCAACTATTTGAAGCGTATAAAACTTTCAGTTATACGATATAAACTTGGGAAGCAATGACATCGCATTCATTCACACGAGCACATTCCAAAAAGTGAAGAATTCCTTGAAAATTATCAATCTAGGACATAACAACTTGAGCGCTGTTCCTTCGTCTGGTAAGATTATTGGTAATATTGTGCAATTCAACGAGCTGAAACTTTTTAGCTATTCGTGGTTTAAAACACCTCGAGTCTCTGCATTTGCACAAAAACCAAATCAAACAGCTTGAAGCCCTCAACTTTTTAAATTTGCCAGTACTGAATCTACTCAACCTCGCAGGGAATCAAATTCAGGAATTGAATCGACAGGCGTTTTTGAACGTACCTAACTTGAGATACTTGTATCTCAGTGGAAACAAAATTGAGAAACTGTCTTCGTATCAATTCCAAACATTTGAGCAACTTGAGATGCTTGACTTGACTGATAACAAAATCTCAGCAATCAAAACAAACGATCTAACTGGACTCAAGCATCTTAGGCAACTTTATCTCGGGGACAATTCTATCAAAAAAATAGAACCCAACGCGTTCACTAACAGTTCTATTGTGATTCTCGTGCTCTCTGGAAATAAACTCAAAACGCTGTCAGCTGGAGTTATTGCTGGTTTAGCCAACCTACAGCAAGTATCGTTTCGTGGAAATAAAGTGAGCTCAGAAAAAGCCAAAATTGTAAAACAACTTGAGTCGTTTCAGATAGAAACAATTGATAGAAATGCCTTCTACGACGCTCCATCTTTGGTCATGCTAGATATAGCCCAAAATCAGTTGACCGAGATCCCACCCTCCACATTTATTGCTCAATTGAACTTACTGTTTGTGGATCTGAGTAATAACAAACTCAAAGCTACTCCATTCGCAGCTTTCAATCAAAGAGTTGGAACTGTTATGTTAAAAGGTATGTATTTCAGTTCACATTAGAAAATATTTAATTTATTTTTTCCAGAAAACCCATTGGTTTGTACAGAAGAGATTCATATGCTGCAAGATGGAAATTCTATTAGCATTAAGGATAGTCCCGACTTGATTTGCGGAAATAAGATTCCAGTTTTAGAACCCATTCCCATTCCGGTTCAAGAAGAGTCTGAAACACGAAAAGGATTGGTTCAGGCAAGAGTAAAAAATCAACTTGGTCTGGACAATTTTTTTTCAGTTGCCAAAACTTCAAATTCATCGCAACAAACAACCTTCCGCACATCTTACTCTAAGCGAAAATATCAACACAGAAGACCGACTGTCTTCAAATACAGTTCATCATCGTATGATTTTAGGAAGAACCAGTCATGTTCCAGAAATACAAACCACTCCTCCACCGATAATGCTTCCAGTAATGCGAAAAATGGTTTGTTGTTACTAAACACAACTTTTGCAGACTCGTCAAGATGAGTTGAATAAATATTCCCTGGACAATGTTGAAACGACCACAGTGGAAAAAATCGATAGCATCAGACCAGACAGAATACTACCTTTTCCGGTTCCATTCTTAAAAAAGGGACCAAAGTTGTCCGAATCAAAAATAGTACCAACCGCTGACACACTCTCATCTGATAACAGCTTCCACACGTTGCCACCATCCATTCTGATCGAGCCAGGAAGTACTCCAAGGTTTATTTTGAATTTTTGTATTTATTTTATGATCCTGTTTTTAGAGCATCTCAACAAACAATCGAAGCTCAAGCCGATCAAGCTAGCCAAGGCGAAAAAAAAAGAATCAGTGAATTTTCACTAGATACAGCTACTGATGAAAAACAGGTTATTATTCTCCAGAATACTTCTCGAAAAATTTCTTAATTTACTCTAATCAGGTCAAAACCTCAACGTCGCCTCAGAAGTCGATTCTGTCAACAGTTGTTGTGTTGATTAGTGGTGGAACTGCGTTTATTGTCTTTGTGATTGTTGTTTTTGTATTATGCATTATAAATCACAGGTTTGTACATTTTTTTGTCTATATTACTTTATTTTTCAGGCGACTCCGATTTGAAAACACAATGTCAGACGGCGCAACAGATTGCAACAACCGTACTAAGGAATATATTCTGTCCCAGTACAATGATGCAAGACCAGGTCGTTTTGAAGAGACCCCTGCATGGATTTACAATCCAGGGTCTGGCTACTGCAACTACTATAAGTAATTGGCTATGATAATGTTAACTAATTTAATTGCTGTACGATCTCTAGATGAATAAATATTTTCTCTTTAAAAAATGTTTTTTTTTGTGTTACGTTTCACAAATGAAAAATTTTATAAAAGATAAAAGAAAAAGAACTATCAAATTGTTTTCATTGTCCCCAACTAAAACAGTTCTTCTTTCAGATATTGAATTTTTGGTCAGTCTCAATCATGTAAGCAATTGAAGTACGTTTTATTCCGAAATTCAATTGCAATGTTGCTTTATTTTCTCACATCACATCATCCGATTATCATACAAGAATAGTGTACATGTATGATGGATTCATAAAGAATAATGCGCTATGACCGGACCGTAAGTTTCTTTTTTCTGCAAATTCCCATTCAATAGACTACGCTCCCACATTCCGCTGGACTATGTTTTCTTGCGTCGATTGTGGATACGATTGATCTTCCGCCTGGCACACCCTATATTTTCGTCCGCGAAGGACGTACTGATCTAATTTCTTTTCTTTCAGATAACCGACATTAGAATCACTTAGAGTCCTTGACCTACTGCGCGCAAATGGGTCTCTCCTCCCCCTTTGGACAATGTCGGCTAAATACCTATCTTGATCCCTCATCTCATTACCCCCGTGTAGGATTTTGTGCGATAGAACGCCATTTGGGATGGTTCGCGATATATTTTTTGTCCTCCTACTTGTCTCAACAAGCTCGGCCTTTTGTCCAAAGCTCTTCCATAACCAGGTTTGTTTCAATAGTGGCTATATATAATAGGCTTGCGTAACTGTCAGACTGCGTGCTCTTGTGAAACTACAGTTGAAGGACCGGTCATAAAATGCAGTGGAACGGACGGTCTCATTGTTGTGGACAAACTTAAAACTTCTCATATGGAAATCAAAGAATTTGCATTAGAAAACGCTAATATAATTGAAGTAAGGAGATGATCAACTTTTAATTTTAATGAATACAATTCAGATTGGACCACGCGCTTTCAAAAACTTGAGAATCAAGAAACTGGTTTTGGACAAAAATAGAATTCAACGCATTCACGAAAACGCTTTCCGTGGCCTTGAAAACGTGATGCAAGAGCTTTCCATTTCAGAGAATAGTTTGAAAGAAGTGAGAAACCGCCAAGTGTAACTAGTTTTTAAAAATTCGTTTAGGTGCCGACTGATTCGCTCAAAAATCTCAGAGTTCTTAACATTTTGAGTTTGAAGTGCAACAAGATCGGAAACATTACCAACAAATCCTTCGTCAACATGACCTCGCTCATCGATGTCAACCTTGCTTGCAATGAAATTTGCGAAATCTCATCTGATGCATTTGAGAATGTTCAAAGCTCGCTGCAGAATTTGATTCTTGACAATAACTGTCTGTCTAGTTTCCCAAGTCAAGCTGTCAGGAAGATGAACAATCTTATTGCTTTGCACATTAAATACAACAAGGTATAAGTCACACTAAATGGAAAGTAGTACTAGCTCTTGTTTAGATCAGTTTGCTCAACCAAGGTGATCTGACCGATCTCACATCCCTTTCAATGCTCTCTTTGAACGGAAACAACATCAGCGACATCAAAGGCGGAGCTTTGCATAACACTCCAAACCTCCGCTATCTATACTTGAACGAGAACAACATTCAGACTTTTGACAGTGGAGTCATGGAACAGTTCAAGCAGGTTCAAGTCATTGACCTGTCTTTCAACAACATTAGCGATGTAACAAAAGAGATGTTCCAAGGACTTGAAAGCATCCAGCATCTTAATCTCGATAGCAACCAGATTAGGACGGTCGCCGCCGGTGCTTTTGCCGGAACGCCACTTTTGTTGCTCTGGCTTCCAAACAACTGTCTCTCGGAGATTACCCAGCAAACATTCCAAGGAGCTCCGTTCCTCCGCATGGTCTCTCTTTCCAACAATAACATCCGCTCAATCCAAGAACTTTCCTTTGGACATCTTGCTAATCTTCACACATTGGACTTGGCTAACAACAAGATTATGAGCTTGCAAAACAAGTCGTTGTCTGGATCGGAAAATTTGGCCGTTCGTCTCCAAGGTAAAGTTTTGGATTCATGGTTCTATTAGCATTGTTTATTTTTCAGAAAATCCAATGGTTTGTTCTCAAAACGGATTCCACGTGATGAACGCTGGTGAAGCCATTAACTTGACTAACGAGGTTAACAACATCTGCAAAGGAGAATGGAAAGCTGATACGGCCGATGTCTGCCCGAAAGCCCTGCCACGCGTCTCTCAACAGTCCTGCTGCTCGGATAACATTGTTGTCAAGACTACATCAAAACCGACAACTACTCCATCAACAACAACCACTGAGACGGTCGTCGAGGAGACTGATGAATCAGAAAAAGAAGACGAGAAAGAGAAGGATGGCGAGGCAGATACGGAGGAGGAGACTGATGACCAAAATGAGGAAGAGGAGACCACTGAGGAGCCCACTAGTACTGTTCCATCCACCACTGCTCCAGTCAAACAGAACAAAAAGGTGAACATGGAAAGATTTTGGAGACTTTCTAAGGGACCAAGTGGCAAGTCTCCATTCATGAGACACGCTCAAGGATCGAAACCAAAATATCTTCAAACGGTATGTTCAAACGCTTTAAATAATTATTGAAATATGAAATATAGAGTTTTTAGACAACTACAACCGAGTCATCAGATGATGAAGTCAGTGATAGCGATGAAGCCGAATACATAGGAGAGGAGGACAATGCCGAGGAAGAGAAAGAGGAGAGTGAAACCGTAGAAACTACAACTGAAGAGTCAGTAAAGGTCCCAGCCAGAGTTCAAGAAAGGCAAAGAATTTTCGCCGGCTCCATCCCTCCATGGATGGCTCGCAGCTCGACCGAGCCTGTTGAAGAGTTCAGTGAGGACGAACCAACCAAAACAGTTTCCACCGACGATCAACCAGCTTCATAAAACGGACAACTTCACAGACGTTTGATCAATAACACTAATAACAATCTTAATAATTCTCAGTAATTTTACTATCATCATCTTCCCCCAATTTACGTGTTTGCTACGACTTTTCTCACTTTTGACACTATTTGTTTTCTTTTCGCTCAGTTTATGATTTTCAAAAATGAAATACGATTGTTTTCGTGTGAGTTATTCAAAACGTACCTGATAAACCGTTGAACATCAGGTTTTTCACACTTCTTGAAGAGGAATCGTATGGGGAAATCAGGTCGCAGATGGGAAGAACGACGTAAACGGCAGCTCCGGCTGATTCGAAATGAAAAGTGAATTTTAGGTTGGATGGCGGTTTGTGGAGTTCGTAATGAGCGATGTCGAGAGATAATGAGTCGAAAAAGTTGTTCAGTTTATTGCCCAGGCGTGTTATCTGCAATCATATTATTGAGAAGTTTTTGAGTGAGCATGCGACTTACCTGTAAGTACTGGAAGTGATCGACAACCACTGAAATACTTTCCGTCGGTTTGATCAACAAATTCACAACATCAGGTTCTATGGTAAGAACACCGACAAATGAAACCTGGGTAAAATGAAACATGAGACATCAGACAATCGGTGAGACTCACATCATGAAGAAGTGGAAGACCTTTAGTGCGTGGCCCACTGTCTGTTTCAATCCAAATTGGTGATGAGCATATTTTAAACTGGTCTGAAACAAAATTTTCCACAATGTTTCAATTATTGACAAGGTAAACCAACCTGTCAAACTTTTCCTTTGCGATTCGAGTTTGTGTTTAGAGTATATGGAAAAAGTGGATGTGGAAGCAACTAATCGACGCGGAAAACGAGAATCATTTGACATATCGGGCAAGTTCAATACAATCTGAATAACAACAATTCATTGTAAATGCAAAACTAAGAATTCACCCTGGGCATAACAAATTGAATTTTCATGTTAATCTTCTCAATTCCTCCATTTGATTCAGGAATAAGTTTTCCGTCTTCCTATAAAAAGATTTTTAGTTCGGGCTCAATTTTGTAAAAAAACAACATACAAAAGCAGACTGTAACGTGTGCGCCACGTAGAATCCCCAACGTGTCGTTCGTTCATCAAACGTCAATGTGAATGGACCGATTTGTACATAACCAGCAGGTTTTGGAACTTGCAAAGTAAATGAACAAAAAACATTTTTAAATTTATACTTACCTGGAAGCGTATTCGTATGGGGATGATAAAAAGAAGCAAATTCTAGGTGAACTACTTGTTGGTCACTTGGAAGAGATCGTTGGTGCCTAAAAAAATGAAAAATAAACCAGACTTTATAATTGTTTCGCTTTACTGACCGTTCGCTTTGAAACAAATTGGAAAGCGCGTCTTTCTTAGTGTTCATATCTGAAACGCATTGGATAGTCACATCGTAGATTCTTGTCACAATGAAAAATCCAATCAACTGGGGCCAGGATCTGTCAATGCGCGCTTGGAATGTTTGATCTGAAAGAAAAAGAACAAAATCAGGTTATTTTTAGAGAAATTTGCCATAATTTCCTTCCTTAATGCTCTTCAATTCTTCAGACAAATGCTTTTGCATCCAAGAAACTATAGGATTTGGAATTGGGTATCTCATCCAAGTTGATCTATCAGATAGAGCACCGGCTTTAGGATAAGCGTCAAAAAGCACTTGATTGAGAGTCACTTGCATTGCACCACTGTCAATGTTCCAGTCGGGAGGATAATCTGAAACAGAATTGTGATAACAAAAAAAATTTCCTTATTACCGCTTGCTTTGTGTGCATCATCACACAAATGTAGATCAATTTTTTTGACGTGAAGATGATAGGAAGTTTGGTCAAAGTAAAAAATTTTGTAAACTGAAGTTGTCGGACTTGCTTCAGCTTCAGCACCATCGAATGATTTGTGAACCAGATCGTTCACAGCGGTCTGTGTAGCTGTGTGATGCTCTTTTTGCGACTCTTGAACAAGACTGGCAATGTGACTCGCAAAAAATATAGCTGAGCGAAGCTGAGGCAATGTGGCGACCCATAATATATCCTCTAGAATTGTTTGAATTCTGGCATGAACAACTGACCCATCTGGAATGTATTTTGTTATAAGAAATTCTGAATGAAGAGTACAAACCATTTGTGTTTTTTTTCAAAGCGATTCGAATCTTTCCACCACTTGTGATAAGTCTTAGCGGGGCGTTTATTTTTGATCGTTGTTCATCTCTGGATGATTTTGCAGATGCTTCAATTCTGAGAAGATGCCAGGAAATCTTAAGCATGCTATTCTGCATTTTGAATGAATGAATCTAATGATTACTTGTTTGAACATCAAAGTTTTATTAGAGCTCGGACACGTGATTCTAGTCTGTCGCAAGTCTTTTACTTGTGCCCATCCTGGACTTCTACTTTCCAATGACAATCTTTGAAGCTGAAAATTATGCTCTCATGAACTATTTTTGTATTGATGTTGATTTCTCTCTTCTCACCATAAAAGATCCACCAAAAATATCTGATTCAAAGTTTATTTCCACAGTGTTTATATACAATGACATGTTCTCAATAATCTTGTTGATGAAACCGTAAGAAGTGTTCTCTGATATGTTTCTGAAAAATGCATGCTAAAATTTCTGTGGAATTTCTCATGAATGTGAAAAGACTTACATAATCGGGTTTTTTGTAGAACTAAATTTCTCTCCACTAGTCAATTCTACTTCGACATTTATCTCGTCGATAAACTTAAGAATATGATTTTCAGCTGCCGTAGTACCAAAACAACTTACAATCTGAATCGGACAGGTTTTGAGCTGTGTCCATGGTACATTTACAGTGACGCCTGTGCAAAATGCTCGTTTTATCCGCAACCATTTGGGCAACTCCTGAAATGATTTTGATTTAGATGAATTGAAGAAGTGTTTTTTTATGTAGAAAAACACAGAAAACATGAAGTTTTCATTATCTTGTTTAATGAATTGATAAAACGTTTGGATAAAGTGGACAGTACCAATATACTTGTCAAAACGTCTTCATTAATCTCGATAACTTGCAATTTACTGTTTCCTTTCAGAACGTCCAGGGAAATCTGCTCAGGCTTCAGATTTTTTGTGAATCTGTAAAATAAATCAATTAAACGACTTTATCTCAACCAAACACGTTTTTTGGTTGCTTTATTGTCGGGCCAACTAAGTTTTAGTCAACAGCGTGACTCACTTTGACAAGTGTTTTACAAGTTGGTTTTTGATAATTGAAGTCATTTCCGCACATCCAGATCTTCCGCCAACCTGAGGTAACAAAGTTTTATTTGTTTATTTGTTTTTTTAGCGTATTAAACATCTATAAACACTGTTTTTTGCTATGAAAAATAGAATTGGAAACAGAGATTATAGATTTTAGCCCTGGAGCGCACTTTCCTATCTCTTTCAGAACTCGATAACTCCGTTTTATTCTAATGAATTTTAATTCTAAATATGTTTTCATAGAATATATAGACATTGACAAAATCTTGATTAATTTTTTAGCACTAACATGGACGACGGTTTTTTGGATCAATACTCAAACAACACCGATGCCGGGATTGGCACAGTGCACAGTTGTCGATATTCAAAACAAAATAATGCCATTCAAAGCAACCAATTCCTCTCTTGTTGTACCTGTATCAAGTGAGTAAATCGTAATTTTTTCAGTCAAGTGAAAAAAGTGTTACAACCTAACACTATTAGCAGGCCATAGTCAAAATTGGCAATCTTACACATATGTTTCTCCATAAAAAAACAACACGCTTCCATTTAATGCATTATAGCAATGGACAAATACAACTGTATGGATTGTTTTCGGGTTTCAATGGAGGAAGCACTACTGCGAATTTTGTAATGAAAAGATTCGTACACGAGCTTTTTCAAGAAAATCCGCTGGCTCCTGGTCTTACCCCTGTGCAGGTATTTCATAGAGAACTACCAAGTCTTGTTTATATTATATGTTCAGGTTATGGAAGAAATCAGAACAAAGTTCGAGAAAGTGGCCGAACGTTATTTGATGTCTTTATCGGATATTTTGAATGAACGGCTTCTCAAACTAGAAGAAGAGACGGAAAGTGGCAACAATAGAGTATCGGAGATTAATCAAAAGGTTTGTGATGAACATTTCACGTTCTAATGTATTTTTTAAAATTTCATTGCATTCTCAGATAAGACAAGGATCCACTGCTCTGATAGCCATCAAAATCATACAAGATTTGTACATTTTGAACTGTGGCAGTTCCTTGTAAGCTTTTTGATGTTTAATAGCTGTCTGACCATACAGAGTTGTATGGAAACAATATTTTGCCTCAGTGTTCGGAAATGTTTCGTTTTTTCCAGGGCTGGGCAATTGACCGGCACGGGCTTTTCGTTGGCCGGCTCTTGACCTGGACTTTTGAACCACTTTTGAACCACGCCTGTTTTTCAGGCGCCTGAAAAGCAGGGCCTGTTTCTGTCAGGCGCCTGTTCAACCAGCCTATTTAATTCCATACAGATCTGTGAATGTAGTTTCATAAAAATATGATGTCTGCTCAGAGCACTTGCAATAACACATGAGACTGCGGTCCAGCTAAATGATAACCTACACAATAAGGATAATGCAGTGGAGAATTCTCGATTAAAAGCTCTTGGAATCGATCCTAGTGTACGTCTAGTTTCGAAATGTAAAGTTGAGTATGTATTCCCTAAATTCTAGACTGTTCTCAACCCCACTAGAGCTATTGGCGATTTGCAACGAACTCATTTATATGAAGAGAGCAACGATTTTTGCAATGCTAACGGACCTCCAGTCATCTCGACGCCTGATATTTGGCATTATAAAGTAAGAATTGAAGCCCGTCTTTTATTCTGTTGTTTTTTGTAGATTGACAGCTCTTGGCAACATCTGGTCCTTCTTTCTGACGGAGTTGTGCAGAATTTGAAGGAAGCTGAGGTGGATGACATACCTACGTAAGTTTGGCTTTCTTTTCCGGCAGGAAATAACTGTTATCGCATCTTCAGCGAAGTGTTTGTCCGATTAATCGAAGATCATACCTTGACAAGTACCGCACAAGCACTTGCGGATGCATTTGCAAGAAAACACTTTGATGCTTTCATCACGGCAAGTATTTTTTGCATTTCTACTCCAAACAATTCTAGCTGACCTGGTATAATTGAAATTTTCCCAGCGCTAATAAAAATTAAAAGTCCTATTTTGCAGCGTCTGGGACTATTAAAAATTAGACAAAAAAAGAAGTTATACTCGAGCTGATTTCAAAGGTTTTGCCATTTTTGTACTAGCTCTCAAAAACGTATTGTCTTTACGAACTCAATGTTCTGATTACCTCAATTTTTAAAATTTGAATAACTGTTTTTTCTCCTCTCTGTTCACGTCGCTAACTTTTGCAGATGCAAAAGGATACTTTATGCTGCATAAGCAACCATCGTGAAGAAATGGCTGTTGTAATTGTGAAATTATCAACTGGCAGCCAAGATCTTTATGAAACATTTGATTCCGCTTTGTCCACGATTGATTCCACCAGCAATACACTTTCGGGAACTTCACTCGTTCCTTATGTCGATGCTTCGCGATTGACCACAGGCAAAAACTTTGAAAAGATGAACAAAATAATTCTATCGTCTTGATTTTGTCGAATAAACGTGTTTTTGTTGTAGTACAAATTCTATCTCAAAAATATATACATATGAGCCAAACATGAAAAAAGGGAGAAATATAGAAAGATGCAAATTTAAGTTAGAGATAATTTAATCTCGCAAGGCAAAAGTTCAAATGATCATCAAAACACATTACATCGCAAAAGTAGATTTTTCGCCGCTTCAAAGTCCTTTCGCTTTTTTCCCCGAAATTTCATGCATAAACAATCAGTCCTCCGCAGCTCTTTTCTGTAGAGTGTCAGGAGATCGTTTTTCAGTTTGCTTAGCCAGCCGTATTTTTTTCTAGAAATTGGAAACCGCATAATGGACTCCATCACTATTTCTCCAGTATCACACAATTCTGAATATTTAATGGAACAAGAACTGCAAGTATTTTTTTCTCTATTATCTGTTTTGTCGCCTTATATAATTTGTTTAGGAAAGAAAAGGACATTGGCCAACATGGGCCATGGTTCTAGTTGCAGTTTGCATAGTGCTATCATTGCTTGCTTTTTTGTTGGGAAACTTTATCACAAAGAAAACAGTTACTAACAGGTAAACTAGTTTTCTAAGTTTTACTTTTCGGAGAGCTTTATCATTTCTGTCTATATCCGATCTTGTCTTCATGACAACAGCAAGACTACTAAAAATCAAGTTGTATTCTGGAAATTTCTATTCAACTTCAAACCATATTGTCCACAACTTTTGCCAAACAATTATTGCTAAAACATCTAAACTAACAAATGATTTATTACTGCTAAATGTGTTTGTTTTACAGAAACAAAAGTCTCACACGTCAAAATGGCAAAGAACGCGAGAGAAAATGGGGAGCTGGCTTTTCAGGCGGATTGTGGGCTGCAGCTTGAATTGTACATTTTCCTTTTTTTTCGTTTTATACAATGCAAATGAACAATTTACGAAATTTTTGTGATGCTGGTTTATTAGAAATATATATATAAGAACATTCTATCAATAAGACTCGAGATAAATCGTTTATTTTGTCGAATCACTACTTTTAGGGAAAATATCAATTATAATGCCGGCGTTTGCAATGTATTCTTTCTCTAGCCAATCAAACAGTCTTTGTGATTGAGATCCTTTAGGGGTTTCAGAAGCTGAATTGCGTAGTTCATCAAAAAACGGTAACGCTAATGCTTTATACGGTGCAATTCGGTGTTTTGGATCCATTTTCAGCAAATTGTTCAACAGTTCCAGTGTTGATAGTGACAACTTTTTACTTATGAACTAAAAAAACCATCCTTATTGAATATAACTAGTTACATTTTGATTACCTTTTGTATCCCTTCTCCATGAACAGTGTCAATGGGAATATTCAAGTTTTGATAATTCCATTTAGTTATGTTTTCTTGTGTTGGAGTGCCAAATGCCTGAAAGTTGATTTCTTTGAATGAAATAAAACATTAAGTAACCTTAATTTGAAGCACTAGTACATCAAGTGAAGAATCAGCTGAAAAAATTGCTCCATTATGAAACAGCTCACCGAGCACTGCCCCACAAGACCACGTATCTGAAAAAGAAACTACAGTTTGTTCACATCTAAAACTAACCAATGGCTGTTCCATAATATCTTGAACCGAAAATTAATTCAGGAGCGCGGTAGTACCGTGAACAAATGTAGGTAATGTTAGGTTCATTGTGAGTTAAACGCTTTGCAGAACCAAAGTCACAAATTTTCAATTTTCCGTTATTTTCATCGACAAGCAAATTTTTTGGTTTGATATCACGATGAACAATATTGTGCAAATGTAAAAATCCAATTCCTCGAAGAAGTTGAAACATGAACATTTTGATTTGAAATGCTGGCATTTGTTGGTTGTTATGCACATACTGACGGTGTAGCACTTTCAAATCGGTTGGCATAAACTCCATAATCAAATTTAGCGAATTTTCTATCTGTAACATAATCAACCAGACTTGCAAAATAAGGGCCGAGTCGGCCCGCTCGGAAAGTCACAAAAAATGCGTAATTTTTTTTAAACTTTTAAACATTTTTCGCGTATTACGTCAGCATTTCGATGCGTTCAAGTTTCAACGACACTCCGGAAATACGCCTTTTCTCCTTGTTTAGCGATTTTTCCGCGATTTTTCCGGAATTTTGGATGAAAGAAGCGCGAGGAGAAGTTTTCCAGTGATAAAGATGGCTTTACTTGTTTTCCCTGGCTTTTTTCTAATTTTACTAAATGAAAACTTTAAATTTTTAATAACATTTCTGGCTGAACGGGCCCGACGGGCCGAGCCTTTTAGAATTTTTTTTTAAAGCCCGGCCCGTTGCAAGTCTGTAATCAACAAATTCAAAATAATTATTTTGTTGACAAACCTGGTGAGTTTTGTAAAAATACAACAGTCTAACTATATTAGGGTGGTCTATTTCACGCATTATTACAAGTTCACGATTCTGAATATAAATTATGAAAAATTCATAGAAAGATTAATACGTTATGAAAAATTCGTGGAAAATTACTTTATAGCGTTCATCAACATGGACTTTCTTGATCGCAATCTGTTCATTGTTTTCTATAAGAACTGCTTTGTAAACGGTTCCGAATGAGCCATTTCCAATTAACTGCAAACAAAGTTTAAAAGAATAAAAATTATTGAAATGGTTCGTAGAGCATGACTACCTGCATACTCGTAAACTGTATTTCAACTTCTCGGTCTCCTCGACTTCCTGTGCCCTGTTGTGCCATGACTGTGTAAGAAAGTACTTGTTCCGCATAAGTTCCAGTTGAATGTCTCATATTCATTTTTGTTGAGTAAGATGATTGAGAAAACAAAATTATGAGCTGTTCACATAATCGTACTCTGCAATATTTTCTAAAGTCTGGGAAGTAATGCATTCTAGGAAGAATTTGAGCAGACTAGAGCACTTGAAAACAAATTTTTGAAACAAAAACGAAACTCTGAATTTCCTATTGTATAACCAAGAAAAAAGTAGCAATGATGATATTTTCCGAAAGACAGCATTTTGTTCAATACATTCTAACTGAATTAGCCATTTGTCTTAGTGACGTCTAATTTTATTTGAAATAGGACGCAAATACAATTATTGTTTGTATGATACATTTTACACAGAGAAAAACATTCAGTTACAATTTTTTTCAAGCTGACTTCAAAATCATAACAAGTACGCAGAGAAAAAACTTGGTTCAGTTTTATTTGTCATATCGTGTTTTTCAAAGCAGAACAAAAAACAAATATTTGAAATTTGATGTGTTTTACTAGCGAAAAAGACTAATAGCCCATAGGGAGATTGCTAGGGATGCGGGAGGTTCAGTAGGAATGCGAATAAAAACCAAAAGAGAACGGTGACAAACTACTGATGCGTGTGGTTTGAAGGACCAGGGAACCCAAAAATTTTTTTTAATTTTTTTGTGAAATTTTTTGTGTCTGTTTGAATTGTCTCTTATTGCCTCATACACTGGTGAAATGCTGCCTCTCAAAAATGCCAATGAACGAAACGGCGTGCAGTTGAAGTTGTGGCCGTGGCCTAGCGCCAATGGCTTAGAAATATGCGCTTCTCGGCCATTTTATTTTTTCCGCTTTTTTACCGGTTTTTTCGCGATAAAATCAAAAAACTCGCGACTTCGTATCGACTGAATGAAAACAATTTTTTAGCAGTGAACAAATAAGTAAGTGCCGAACAAATGTCAATCAACTGAAAAATGGGAGAAACCGTTAATTTTTGGAAAAATAACCGATAAAAAGCGGAAAAAATAAAATGGCCGAGAAGCGCATATTTCTAGGCGATTGGCGCTAGACCACGGCCACAACTTCAACTGCACGCTGTTTCGTTTATTGGCATTTTTGAGAGGCAGCATTTCACCAGTGTATGAGGCAATAAGAGACAATTCAAACAGACCCAAAAAAATTTCACAAAAAAATCAAAACAATTTTGGGTTCCCTGGTCCTTTAAGCTTGCACACACATTATGCGAAAGAGTTTAGTATCTGACAGCTCCGAACTTTGACGAATGAGCTTTGTTCAGCTGAGTGTTGGAGCTTAGCAACAAACCAGAATGAGTTGACACCAGTTTCGCCGTTGTCAATCTTCTGGGTTAGTTAGACTATGTGTGATACTAAGTGATGTATGGGAGCTGAGGAATTTTCGAAATTTTCAGAATTAAAAACATCCCACCTGTGCGGAAAATTAATAAATGGGTCCAGAAAGATAACTCATCTACAACACATTTCAAATGCAAAGCACACGCAAAAAGAAGTCGTTGACATCGTCAGAAAAAATGTTATTATTGCTCTGTTTACATTGTCTTCATTTTCGAAACAACGTTTCCTATTCCAATTGTTGGTTGTTGAATCCAGTGCGTCGTTCGCATTACAATTATTTACGCGTCCACTGGGGTACGTGCACACAACGACACGCACGGGCACGCAAACGTACACGGTTTTGGGATTATTGATTTGTTCCTTTGTTAACAAACATGTCACAAAATATTGTTTCAGATTTCTGTTGCACTGCTATTTTTGGTCAATGGAACAACATAATCAAAACTCCGCTATGCCTGAATTTGTGGCAAACGGCTATAATGAACTTTATACTGGTCTGTTTTCATATTATATAAACCCATAGCATTGAATAAAAAATGAAAAAGATGCAGAAAAATTTCGATTTTTCTGAGAAAAAATAATTAGCAATGATCAGTTTGCTAAAATACCCGTCATAAATCAATTCCAAACTAATTTATCTTTAGCTCACTCATGTCAGGGTCTTTTTTCATTTCCACAATCATGTCTGAAAAGTAAAGCGAAAGTGCGATTGTTTTTCATAAAAATGAATGAAAAAGCAAATAGTTTTTGTTTCACAGAGTGCACAAACAACCATGCAAACTCCGTGATGTCTACTCTCCAGTCACTACAAAGCAACGGTGGTTTAGTTACTCCTATTACTCCACTTCAAACGGAACAATCAGAAAAATTCCTTGACCAAGTTCGTTTTTAATAATAATCAAACTTCCGTCTTAGTCGAAATAATATATAAGTAGCCAGAAGGTTTCCCGCTCACGTTGTGTTGATCTTCTGGCATCTGGCTCGTTGGACAGTGAAAGACAGGGCAATTGGCCGGCACGGGCTTTTCGTTGGCCGACTATTGACATGGACATTTGAACCACTTTCAATATTCCGATCGAACCCAAACTTTGCAGGCTTCTTGGATATGGGTTGAAGCATACTGGGACCAAGTTTCAGCCCGATCGGATCATGTGGTCCCGAGATATGTGGATCATTGGCCGAAATTGGCCGGAAGCCAGGGCTTTTTGGAAAAAATCGGCCAATGATCCACATATCTCGGGCGATGATCCGATCGGGCTGAAACTTGGTCCCAATGGCCCTCAATCCAAGTCGAACAATCCTGGACAGTTTGGGTCCGATCGGAATATTGCAAGTGGTTCAAATGTCCAGGTCAATGGTCGGCCAACAAAAAGCCCGGGCCGGCCAATTGCCCAGTCCTGAGTGAAAGATATATTACTTTTTTTAAACATCTAACTGTAGTCGCGTCCGACAACAGTTCTGGTTGGTTGGACTAATATTCAGAAAAAATTGTTTCAATACGAACTAAAACTGGAAACTAACAGCGTTACAAACATGCTCATGAAAATTCACTTTTTTTCAGCTTCAACTGAAAGCTATGCAATCTGTATACAATAGCTTTGGGCAGCAATCCAACCTTGGAACAAATGATCAAGGTGCACAAAATTCACAGGGAAATGTTTCTTTGCCTTTCAACATGAGAACAAATAGTGAGTTTCGGATAAAACTAAGTTTGTGAATAATTTTTATTTTGACAGGTGAAGCAGGGCCTTCAAATAAATCAACTAACTCCACAAGTTTAATTTTTTCCCTGAGTAAAGACGTGAGTAACTATTGTCGACTTCATTTCACTCAATATAAAAACATGTTTATTTTCAGAATAATTTGGGAATCGGATCAAACAGTTGGCTGGAACCTTCAACAAGCAACGCGTCTAAGTATAACAAAATCTCCGAACCAAGAGGAATGCAGGACCATTCAGGAAACTCTGCATTAGATTTTGACGAAGCCCATGACGATGTGGAACATATATTCGGACTTTCTTTGGCTGAAAACGATAACCGCTCAAATTCGTTCTATAAAAGGCCTCAATCTCCAAGTCGAGGTCTTAGTCCCGTTAATGTAAGTATGCATTTTACTCCTGTTCAACTTACTTTATACGTTTCAGTTCACGCCTCCCGATTCTCCTACCCAAGAAGTTACACTTGATATGCTGTTCGGTTTGCCTTCTAGCTCGACACTAGAGAAAGAGTCAACAGCCCCGGAACCACCGAAAATTGCCGATAAAGCTCAAATAGAAATTAAAAATAACTTATTCTCTACTGCTCTCTTTAAGAATGAAACCAGTTCGAAGCAAGCAATAAAGGCAAAATCAACGAATGTGAGTTTTTTGAAATCCTTCATTCGTTATGCTAATCCTGCTATTTTTGATTCAAGGTGCCTATTTACAAGCAAAAAGCTGCACTTATGTCACTCGAAGCGAAAATGAGCGCAAGAAAAGAAGACCCAAACTATGATGCTTTTGAATTTCAAGACGATGAAGAAATCGTAGCTCCTAAGCCCTCAGTCGTTATAAAAGACAAGGAGATTGCTTCAAAAGTTGATAGCAAAAAAAAGAACGTGTACATTCCTGGAGTCGGTTTTGAGAGTTCAAATGATCAGGAGAAAGAGAAAAGTTTAAGCACTGTGAAAAAGCAAATTGTCAAGTCTGTTGTTTCACAACACAACGACTCAGAGTCCGGTTTGTTGTTTGAAAATGCTATTAGTGTGAAAAACGGATTTTTCCACAGATCGAATAATATTCACAGTAGCTGACACATTACGGGTGAGGAAAGATCGTCGGCTGACATGTCAGTTTTTGAAGCCTTCCCAAAGCAATGATATGGAGTGTTCAAAGAATAGGAAAAAACTGAGGTATTATTAGAATTCTAGTACTCATGTATAGTACTTTTTTTTTTACAGAAAACATGAACCTCGAATACCACGTTTTATAATCAAAATACAAAACATGCAATCGAATGTTGATGACATAATAACACCAAAGAAAAGAGGAGCAAAGCGGAAAAAAATGATGAGCAATGATGAAGATTCGGATTGGGATGAGAGCTATAAACCAAAAAACGTTTCTAAGAAAATGTATGTTTTTGTCGGGCCAACTCTATTTCATATATTCTATTTCATTTTTTTTTTCAAGATACTCTCTTCAAGCTGTGCCGGAGGAGGAGTCAGATCTTTTGACGTCACGCTTGACAGTTGAAATTAAAAGTTCATTCTTACCTTCCTGCTGTGACTTTGTGAAAGAGCGCTTGAAGTTGTTTGGATCAGCCGAAGGAATTCTTCCTGTACGTAAAAATATGGAGATTATAGAGATATTCGTAACTCTTCAGAAAGGAACATACGTAGTCTGCAAAACGGATTTGTTACGAGACGATTGCGCAATTTGGCGTGTGGATAATCAGAATTTACTGCAAAAGTTTGTTCCGTTCCGGGATTTGAAGAGCAGCAAAAAGATGTATAGAAGTAGCAGTACGGTAGTTCCAGAAACATTTTATGGCTATCAATTAGCATCGTTTATTTAGTACTCTGGATGGTGTGAGCAAATTTCGCAGCAATACTTTCGCGTTGCTGTCAAGATCATCAAGCAGAGCCGATCTGAAACCACAATTGAGCCGGAACTACCATTACATGACATTTTTCCGGCATCCTCCACAGAAATGTTTAAATCTCCAAGATCAGTGTACATAGAAGGTTTGCTTAATCTTTTAGGAAAGGGTAACATGTTACAAGTGTTTGCAGAACCCGTAGAAGAAAAACCGACCGATGTGGGAACATCGTCATCGAATGATGTGCGCAATGTATCTCTCAGCACATTAATTGAAGCTTTCTTAGCGCAAACGTTTACATTCAAACATATTGAAAACCTTTTGCAGAAACAAGGTATGGCTCATAAACCATTTTTCTCCATTGTATCGTATAAGAAAATTAATTCAGACTGGTCATATCTACGGAGTTTGACAGAAATTGAAAATACAAACAAGAAAGCAGAAAAAAGCATACGTTCTCGTATCCCGATCGAAGAAAAACATGATAGATGGATTGAAGAATACACGAGAGTTGCAATATCGAAAACGTCATTTATTTGCCTCACAAAGTGCCAGGTGAGAGTTTTTCTTAATTTCTTTCATTTGTTTCATGTTTTAATATTTATGTTGTTCCAGATCTGCAAAAAAAAGAAACCTAGGAGAGCGATACACTTTTTTGATAAAAAAGCGTATAACAACAACACTTTGTTAATGGAAGATGACTTTGAATACAAAGAAGATGTGATAGAAGAGTCGCTGCCTGTTGTCGAAGCAATATCATGCGGAAGATGTGCAATAGCTGTCAAAGCGCTTCATAGCATGCGGCATATTCAGCTCCATTTGCTTCGGATGTGTGAGGAAAAGGTCTGTTTGATCACTAAGAGTGTTTTCCAAAAAATGAAGCAATATTTTGAACCATACTTGTGGTTTCATGGCCTGTCCCGGCCGGATCCTAAAAACCGTGATATTTGCCATTTTTCGTCGATACTATCGGGGCATTGCAATGTGAATGCGCTATGTTGAGAAACCCTCTCTTTTTGTGAACGCCGGTGCCTAATTTTTCAGCTGCGAAATCAGTTGAAATCTGGAACAATTTTCTCTGTTTCAAATTGGCGCCGGGCTGGAGATCACAATTGCAAAATTCACTTTGAAATACCCTGATAGTAGTTAGAAAATGGGCGATCTGTGCCATTCTATATCAGTATCACCAATCCCGATGAATAATGCTTGAACTAAAAAAACTACCTGAAAATGTAATTATTTTTACCCAGGACCGTGACAGCTATGTTGTGAACTTTCCATAAAAGTTTTTTTCAGTTGGAAGAAGTTGGCTCCTCTGAAATCGACTTGTCCGAAGAAAAACATGTAGATCTCGCGAAATCTGATAAGCAGTGGATTCTGAGCGTAGTTAATAAATATAACGATATGTGGACTGAAATAGACTTTCAATTTCGTGAAATCTAGCTTTAATTAAAATGTGTTTTGTTTTCGATGTATTTATATTATATTGTGTTTTAATAAATACATTTTTTTTTGACCACAGGTTTTTTGCGGTTTCAGTGCACTAATGCAATGCTGTTACGAAAGTAATGGACTTCCAGGGTCATCCATTCTTTCCTCAACCTATCGCCTTTACACGTTCCAATTCGGTGCCAGTCGGGGAACGTGTTAACCTCTGATAATCAACCCATTGCCCTCGACCTTCAGGAAGATTATCCCACACGGAGGTCAAGGTCAACGTGGCAACTACACGGATCTTCATGGAGAGTTCTAAGTTCTACTCGCTTGGTTCTCCGCTCATTCAGTCGTTGGTAACGCTCATTCCGAAATGGTCTCACTCATTCAGTCAATAATACCGTTGGTTCCGCTATAGTACCGTTCGTACCGCGTTTTGGTACCATTCATTCAGTCGCTGGTGCCGTTCATTCAGTCAACGGTACCGTCCATTCCGCCATAGTACCGCTCATTCAGCCATCGTACCGTTGGTTCGCCCGTAGTGCTGTCCATTTCTTCTTGGCACCGCTGATTCCACCAAAGTTCCGCTCATCTCGGATAGAGCCCCCAAGTCTACCTCCACAAGATAATGTCCTATTGGTAATAAAGTGTCATAGGTATTCGTCTAAACACAGTGAAAAGATCTGGTTGCCCAACAAGTAGTCTCTCTGCCCAGCCACTGGGTTCACCATCCGACAGGGGCTTTGGCAACAAATGCACGGATTCTGTCTTTCATTTTTCAGTTCGTCATGAACTGTCACGACAGTGTACTTCTCTTTCTGTAATTTTTTAAAATTATTCAGGCTATAGGGTAATTTGAAACTAGTTCTTGGCACTCTTGTAAAATTTTTAATTTCCATGCAACCAGCTCCTGCAACAGAAATTCAATCTTTTAATCAGTAATATTCACGTGGACATGAGCGTGGGTATGGACGTTGCTAATCACCATTTTTAAATATTCAAATCTGTTGGAACAGTATGAGAATCCGGTTCTTGTCAATTCTTTTCCTATTCTCTCATGTCCATTTTGATTCGATCAGTTAACAATAATCATGTTGACATAGAAGTGTTTAATTTTTCTTTCGAGTAACAAAAGTCGTTACATCTCGCTTCTGGATTCTTACTCTTGAGAACTTGCGGATTTCGCAACAACATTTTCATAAATTGATCAATTCTCACGGAAAACCAACAGCAAATAGCAAACAGCTTGGTTGAGGCATCATTTTCATCCATTTGAACAGTCTAACAAAAAGTGCTGTTTTTTTTCCAGTTCGGTCATTTGTTGGTTTCAATACAAACCTTTTCTCCCGCGCGCTCTTACTCATTCCCGTTCGCACTCGCTCAATGCATGCGTTGCCATTTTCATCTCTTTCTCTGGAGTTCTTTCGGTATCATCTGTTTCTTTCTTCTCTTCCCTCCATTTTCTGTTCTCTCTCATCTTTTCAATGCGCAGTGAGGGGACCGTTTATTGCACACATTATTGATTTTAGCATAACACACAAATGATGTCAGTTTTTGGCAGACTATTGAATTTGGAATGGTTTTTGTGCTTAGTATTGTTGTATTAGTAGGAACGATTTTAGGTTGGGTCAACTGTTATTCCTTCGTCTTTTTGCTCCCGTTGTTTTCTCTTGCCAATTCATCTTGAACCTTACTTTGTTTTTAGCTTTTTGAACACCCGAAAGTTCTATGAATGCGCATCAAATTATTACTGGCGCACTAAACAACGGGGAAAATGTGTATGCAATAGGAAACATCGAAGGGCTCACATTCACCGTAAGTTTTTGAATTGTTTTCGGCGAATGTTCAATATTTTCAGGCGTGCGCTGTAGGATCCGATGTCGTTATTTTGGATTCAGACTTCAATCGTGTACAAATCGTTCCCGAATCAAAGAATCATCAACTCGTGAGCAGTTTGAGTTGTTGTCAAGAAACAGGAAAGATCGCTGTCACCTATGGGAGTTCTGTCAAAATATTGGAAGCGACCAGTTCTGGCACAGATAAGACGAAGTTGAAAAGCTTGGTTTGTGTTTTATAGGCATCACTGTAAAAAAATGAATGTTTCTTTAAGATTTTCCAGTTCATATGGGTCGAAACACACTGTTTTTCAAATGCAGACTCAATCAGTTCAGTTCTCTGGACAATGGAAGGGATGCGCCTTCTTTTTGTGTCCAAAAACAATATGACTCTCAACCAACACAGAAGCGTCAGAAGTACCAGCCGCTCTACATCCAGTGCTCCAGTGACGTTTCGTATTTCGGATGAAGTGAGCGTTGCTCGTTTTGGCAAAACACAACACTTTTTGTTCAGGATATCTCCGAAGGTCAAGTCTGGGAAGTCATTTGGAGCGCCGCACTTCCCTTTAAACCAAAGTACATCCGTTACTCACCAGATGGATATTTTTTGGCCGTTTCTGGAGAGAGAGATTGCTTTATAAAAGTATTTTTCCAGAACGGAACAGGTGAAATTAATTGGAATTATACTCAAACCTATGAAATATTTTATTTAGATAGAAGTGAATACGAGTTCTCCTCCGTAACACTAAACCATCCAGCTCCCGTTTGCGGCTTTGAGTGGCGTAAAACTGGAAGATACATGCCACGAAAATGCATTCACTCTGTTTTGATTTCATGGTGTGACGACAACACATCCAGAATCTGGAAGGAGTCGCCACTGCCAGAAACTTCCATCATCGATTTGACTGGTGAAGGAGGTGGCGAGCCACTTTGGGAGTTTCAAAAGTCGAAGAAGTTCTTTGGAAAGCACATTCGAGTGAAAAAGACAAAAACAAAGATTCTGAACAAGTTGAGAAGTTTGATGTGAGTTTTCTGAATTCAGACATTCAGTTCCAAATGTTTTCTCTTCAGACCTGAAAAGAAGAGCGACACTGAGAATAATGCGATAGGTATTCGTGCCCAAATTGGAAAGAGCCCTTCGTCTTTTGATATGCAAGCAATGACAATACAAAACCACACTGACATCCAATTTCATTTGGCGGCTACCATCAACGCTGAGACTGATTGTCTGCTTGTTCCTTCTTTCAAGAGTCAAAGTCATCAAAAACCATTTTGTGTTCACTGGCTGAACAACAAAGAACTCGTGTTTAGTGTTGGAGCTGAAAAATTGCTAGCAGAAGCTGTTTTGTTGGATATTGAAGGTATCCAATCTTTTATTTGCGCCTAGTATAAAAAAAACATTATTTCAGTATCTTCCGGGCGTAATTTGGTGAATGAGGCTCTGGAGAACGGCAAAAACGGTGAGAAAGGGACTACTCGCAATAACAGTTCTTTTTTTCCACAAGGCGCCAACAGTGTTTGCTCAGTAAGTTGATTTTTTAAATTTGGTTCAACGGGAATATTACTGTTTGCCTACTTGATATTGAATACAATGATTATTTATAGGATGCCGCTTCATCTAAGGACATTCTCGACGTGAAGCTTGAAATTTTGCTCCGACAATGGACAAAATCAAGCGACGTTTTGTTCTCTATACATCCCATTGACGGATCTCTTCTGACGTGGACGGTCGAGTGGCTCGATGACCAGTATCGCCAGCCAGTCATCTCATACAGTTCTCGTCTGCCAGGTGCCCTGCCATCAAACGATTCGATGTCGTTGCACTCGAAACTCAACACCTTCAACCCGCACGAGCCAGTCTACCTGGATGCATTGCGGAATGATATGGAAAACAAGGACAATGTTGTCTTTTTTGACAAGCTTCTAGAGCGCCGGGTTTCAAACACAATCCATGTGCTGACTTCCCATGACAACGGCACATTGAATCTATGGCATATGTCGGTTGATGATCAGAGTAGTTTCTCTCACGTCGTCAGCATGACCCACATTTCACGAATGTGTGGACATCGATTCCAAATGCAGCAGATTGTTGCACATCCAGTTCTTCCATTGCTTCTTACTACTTCAAAATTCCAGTCACCTGACAAATCGTCGTCCGTGCATATGGATGTTCTTTCCGAAGTGATTTTATGGAAAATTACTCCAGTTGGACCACTTTGTAAGAAAGGAGGTGTCAAAGAGTTGGCACGAATTGCGAGTTCTTCAATTTCCGGATTCTCTAACGTCGGATGGGTTCCTGCTATCCTACCGAGTTGCACTCTTGGAACTGTTTGCAATTCCCCATCATCTTGCTTCATATCGTGCGACAAGAATCAACTAGTAATTTACCAAGCTGTTCTAGACGCTCGTGGTCTTTTGACGGAGCTTTCTAACGCAAAAACTCAATGTGACGAGTCGATAGTAACGCCAGAACCGTACGTTACAACATACAAGTGTTTATTATGAACATACAAGTGCTTATTATGGACATGGTTAACTTTTAGGCACAACATTCTGCGCGCACCTTCTCCAAAACGCGACTTTTTGACATCATTCCTCAAACAGTTCAATGTAGTGTCCACACAATCAACAGCGAAACCTGGCTGCGTTTTGGAAGTTGGAAGAATTGAGGACGTTAATTTGGTACTCAAAATGCTCTATTATTTTTTTAAAAACACGCTTGGTTTAGGAGAATTTGGATTTGCTCTTCATGCACGTTTTCCAATCAAACATTGTTATCGGGGATGATACGGCGCATGAAGTTCATCACCTGAGCAGTGTGATTGATCGGAGCCAAGCAGTCATTTTCAACGACGACTTTTTTATTGTGATGGTCGAGAGGAAAGAACAAGGAAACATGTAAGTTTCATGGTGAATCGCATTTTATTTATATATATTTTTTCAGAATACTGATGTTCGCACTCACAATCTCTTCACAGCCACCACAGAGCATCTCCATTTTCGGTTTGTTTTTATTGTGTTTCTGAGAATTCTGAGGGTTTTTTTTACAGATGAAGATAAACTAAGAAGCCAACCAGACTCTTCTGCTCCTTCAATGGCAAAACTGAAATTCAATGCCGAACTAGTGTGTCGACAAGTGATTCCGCTACCTGAAGGCACTCGGATTACTGGAGTGTCCCCAGCAGCTGGACACTTGCCCTCATCATCTCTCTATCCTGCGTGCAAGACCCCATACGTCTTGGTCACCTCGGACAATGATGATTCTGTTCGATTCTGGTGTTGTGGACGTACAAATGAACCTGGCAATTCTAACAAGTACGAATGGCGCGAGTGGAACATGATTAGTGAGAATCATCCGAGCGAACTTGGCGTTGAAGGTTTTAATCACTCAGTTGATCTCATTTAAACCTCAATTTAGGTGCGATTGTACACGTGACAGCAGCTCATAGTGGCCGAATAGCATGTGCTTATGAAAAAGAAGGAAATGTGTGCAACCCAGACCAGGAGGTTTCTATAGAAGTGGCAGTGTTCGAATGCGAATCTTCCGGAGGAGTCGAGTGGTTCCGTGAAGACTCTTTTACTATTCCGCATAGCCCACATTTTGAAGTTGGTCACAGGTATTCGTGCTCTAACGTTTTTTCTCAATGTATTATTATTTTAGAACGGTTCACAATGTGGTCTACAAAGATTCTCAAGAACATGAACATCTTACTATGTTGCAACGACGTTAGCTCGTACAGCTATTTATGAAAATGAACATCTTATTTCAGGCATGAATGCTCCAAAACTGCCAGTATTTGGTTCGGATGTTTCAAGAACATTGGTGTCAATTGCTCCGATTGCGATAAACATTATTTCGAACCATGTCGGTCGAATGGTTTGCCTTGATTGGGTTTCGACTGAGGATGGTGCTCATATGCTTACTGTGGGAATGGGTACCAGAGTTTACATTTTTACACAGGTTTGTTGATAATCTTGATAAAACATTATGAGTAAGCAAAACTAAAACAACTTCAGATGAGTCAAGATCCGGCGCAACAAAACGTTACTTTGATGCGAGAAAGTGACACAAGTATGAGAAGGCCTTCGATTCGGAAAGCTTCGTCTCTCCTGCCCAACGTTCAACCGCACAGTAAACTGACTCGATGGGTGTGTTGCCGTCTGCTTACCCTTGACAGTGCTGATGGATTGCCGCCGATTCCGTCTGCGTTGAGTTGGGTTCGTGATGGAATTCTTATAATTGGAATGCAAAGCGAGATGCGCGTCTACAATCAATGGAACTTTGAGCCTGTGAAAAGAGAAGTTTCCGACAAAATGGGGAGGCATGCAGTTCCGTAAGCAACTTTCAAAGTTTTACTAGCTCATGTTCAATATTTCCAGAAAATTGGGAACAAATTCACAAATTGTCAACTTGACACTTTCCACCTCACATTCGATGTTGGACCAGTTGACAAAGAAAAAAGAAGCCATTGTGTCAAGCCGCAGTCGAGTGTTCTTGGATTTTGTGAATAGTGTACACAAGTAAGATTGTCTCAACTCTACGTGTAAATTTATTAAAATTTTTAGAAGTCACTCAAAAGAAAGCGAGCCACAAATGTTACTGGACATTTTGAAAAGTGAAGGCGTCTTCGAAGCGGCTCGAATGTGTTCACCAATTCTTCCACAGTATCATCCGAAGCAGTTGATTGTGCTTCTGAACGCAGGGAAAACTAGACGAGTCAAAGCGATTCTCAGTCATGTCTTGAACTTTTTAAAGCAAAGAAAAGACATTGTTCACAATCCCCTCAGCAGGAACGCTTCAATTCGAAGAATGCCATCTGTCGATCGAGGCCCAGTGTCCCCAGAGTCAAATGCTGCACTCGCAAAACTGGACGATGACACCATGGACTACAATGAAATCGATGATATTCCATTTTTGCCGCTATACGTTTTGACTGAAGTTGATGAAAAAACCGGAGATTCCAATGACAAGCGCGAAGAGTCGCACAATGTGGTAAGAAGAAAATGAACAAATAATTGTTTTTAAAGTGTCATTTTAACAGAACACTAACGATTATGACGACTTGTTTGGCAATGGGTACAACAAAGAGAGTGACATTGACGAGCTGCTGAAAGAAACTGACTCAACCTACAGCGGCCGATCCCGTCATGTATCGACTGGCAGCGAAACTGCGAAAATGGATGATCATGTTTCCACCAGTTTCACGTCGAAGGATTGCCGAAAGCTCACCGAGCTACTCACACACACGCACTTGCCCGGATTATCGAGCGTTGATCAGATGCACTTATTAGCAATTGCAGACACTCTCAGTCATTTCACCAATGACAAGAAAGACAAACTAGATCAAGTTAATGCAGGTTAGTTGACTTGAACAAAAGTTAGTACTGTTCTGAAAACTAGAAAATTGTATTTGCAGCAATGAAACCAGTTGTCCCGTCCGTTCTTGGGGATGCCACAGCTGGTGGTTATGCTACTGCAGCTGCTGGAATTGAGACGGTTGATGAGTGTGGCCTTAGGTATTTGATGGCAATGAAACAACACGAATACCTGCTCGTATGTCTTCCAATGAAGCAGAGAATGGAGTTGAAGAAAAGTGGCCTCTCCGCAGCAAGTATAATATGGGCGCAGCACTCGGAAACTGAGACAGAATTGTTGAATGCTGTACCAGGAATGCAGAAGGCAAATCCAACATGGGATGAATTACGTGGGCTTGGAGTAGCGTGGTGGCTCAAAAACACGTCAAGTCTGAAAATTTGCATTGAGAAGGTTAAGCAATCAAAATTCTCCTCACAAACTTAACACATGTTTACAGCTTGCCAAAGCAGCATTTCAACAAAACCAAGACCCGATGGACGCTTCATTATTCTATTTGGCTTTGCGCAAAAAGAACGTGTTGACCCATCTTTTTAAGACCATCCGCAATCAAACGATGTCCGACTTCTTCATGAACGATTTTAATGATGCTCACTGGAAGAAGGTTGCTGCAAAGAATGCGTTTGTTTTAATGTCGAAACAAAGGTTTCAACATGCTGCCGCGTTTTTTCTATTGAGTGGAAGCTTGAAAGACGCTGTTCAAACTATCATCACAAAATGCAATGATCTGCAGTTGGCATTGGTTGTTGTGCGTTTGTATGAAACAGATTTGGAGGGACAGCAAGCGACGATTAATGAGCTTCTTTGCAGGTCAGACTTCGCTTTTGTAAAAAATTTCAATCTTTTTTCTGTTGCAGAGAAGTCCTGGGTTTGTCCTATGATGAGTTTGAGGCACAAAAAGGGAGAACCGACGATGATACGGTTCTGAGCATACATGCCTCTAAAGAACCATTCGAGAGATCAATGGCGTTTTGGATGATGAAAGACTACACACGTGCCGCCTACACACTGGTCGAGGAAGCACAGTCGGATCGTCAACAGTCATGCTTGTCGGATATTTTCAATTTCTACTCATACCTCCGAAAACATCCACTCGTCATCAGACAACGTTTGAGTAAAGCTGGGGCTCTTGTTGGTTCCACGGAAAAGTTCCTGGCTCTTGGTGAACAATTGGAAAGCATCCTCACACCTCCCGAGCGTCGTCTCTTCTTCCGTACATCGGCAGAGCACATGGCTCGTGGATGTCCAATGCTCTCGCTTGATGTGCTCACAATGCTACCGAAACGGATTAGTATTGTGCAAGATTTTGAGGAAGCCTTAAAATCTTTGTTGAATGAGTATTCGGTGGTTTTGAATGTTGCTGCACTTCCCGACAAAACTGTTCATGTTGATTGGAGCCAACCAACATTCTCGGATGAGCCAGATGACTTGAAATTGGAATGGAGTGACGATGAAAAGGATGAAGAGGGCGACAATTTAGATGAGCATCCGGTGAACAGTGAAGAGAAGCAGGAAAAGCAAGAAGTTTCTCATGGACCTGTTAACAGAAAAAATAGCTGTGTGTTTTCAGAGGGATGATTTGCTGCCAACAAAACTTGTCGGTTCAAGTGATATATTTGCCCAACACATGAAATTCGTTGCTTCACTTCGAATCCTCACCGAGGAGCTGTCGACATTAGCCAGCGGGTTTGAAGTTGATGGCGGTCAGCTCAGATATCAGGTTGATTCATTTAAGAATATAATAAAAATTTCAATATTTTTTCAGTTGATGAACTGGCTTAAGAAAGAAGTTGATGTGCTTAGTAAAAACTGTGATTATACAGTGGACAAAGTGGATGACGTTAGTGAACAATTGGACAAGTTTGTTTCTTAGACCATTTCATTATATTAGCTATCAAAAATTTAGTTTTCATGACGAGAATGCAGAAAACATCCAAGAGGAAACCGATTCTGTTCTAGTCGAGAAGAAATGGTTGGTTGCGAACCAAAAACTCCTGCGTTCCTTCACATCCTACTGTACGCTTCATTGTGCTCACAACCACAACTTGGCCTCAGTTCTCATGGAACTCCTCCTCCTTTTACTAAACGTGCAACGACAATCTGGAATTGAAAATAACTCGAGTACTACATTTGAGCGGTTTTCTAAAAATAATAACAAGTTGTTTTTACAGGATCGGTGAATACTGAATCAGTTTCTTTTCCACTCCTAGACGCCGCAGTGTCGTCATCCAAGATGTTTGTATCATCGCCACTTGCATTCCTCGAGAATCAATGTTTTGACTTGTTGACTGCTATTAACACTTTCAACGTTGTGCCAAACATAACTGGAGATTTACAAAAGTGCTACATGCTGTACAACTTGTGTCAGGGGTTTTCGTGTTGTATTTATCAGTCTCTTTGCGATGTTCAACAAGGCTTCGCGTCGACGCTAGTAATCAATTACAAACAAGGGTAAACACTGTTTTTTTTTTAAATTTTTCACTCTGTGTTTTAATTCAGAAAAACGGGAGAAAACCGTGTTACCACTCCACCTGTGAAGTGGCCAGGAGTTGATTCACTGGTTGCCTTGTTGGGTCGAGAACGCAATGAGGATGCACCGGAACTGCGAATGCTTTTGATTGAATCTTTTCTCGCCATCACAATGTCACTGTTCTGTTTTGCAATCTCTGCCTACGATTCTCGATGGCTGTTCCGACTCAGTGCACACGAAATTGACCCGCACAAGTTTGGATTGATATTTGGGGGAGGTGGTGATTTGAAGACGGCAGCCAAACCACCAGTCAGGCCGCCAAGTGAGTCACTTCATACTACCTTTGTTACAAAACAGTGATATACAATACGTGCAAAATAGGGACGTTTAAAGAAATTTACTTTTCTTTTTTCAGAACCATCAATTCAAAGCAGCAGAAAAGAAAGTGACAACGTATCAGACGGAAGTGAGCTGCGTGCTCGTCTCAATTTGCGTATTCTTGGCAATGCACATGGCGGCTCAAAAGACAGTTTTCGACAAGATGTGACCACTCTCCGATGGGTGCCTCCACAGAAAAATATTGTTCAATTGTATGCTGAAAAAGTAAGAAAATGTTGGAAATAGCTCAAACTTTTTTCCATTTGCAGCCTAGCATAATTCATCAGAGCGAAGAGGAAGAGGGGTATGAATCGGATGAAGAAGAAACAGATAGTCACTTTTTACCTGATGATGATGAGGATGAAACGTAAGTCCGCGTTGTTTATAAGTTTTTTTTCAGAAAAAGTACATTATTTTTAGAGCCTTGACATGCGAGAATGCTGCTCCGTCAAGCTTTGCGTGGCAACTAATGCGATTGGCTCTCATCCAGCAGCAACTTCATCGAGTTAACCAGTTTTTGGTTCTAGTTGGATTTGATCCGCAAGGTAAAAAATGTGTTAATGTATTTGCGCCAGAAAACAATGCTGTTTTTTTATCTGAAGTTTTGTTCAACTTAATGGAATCAAAGACATCCGATTCAGCTATTTACATGCTATTTACAGATATTCCGTCCGTAGCCCCACGAATAGAATCGATTATTCAACGCCTCAATTCATGGATTGCACAACAACAACAGATTCTGAAAACCTTCCCGGGCGGTATTCCGGACGATATTCTGCCTGACAACACAATTGACACAAGTGAACAGCATCTGGCTGCTTCTATGAAGTATGTCTGGAAAACTAAGATCAATAAGTTTAAAGATGAATATTTCAGAAAATACGCAGTTCTTGTGAAAAAAAACAATACACCTTTCGAGTCGGACGATAAAAAGATTCAATCGATTCAGCGCCTGTGGTCGTTCTTAGTCCGTGAAGACCATTTACAAGAGATTTTTGTCAAGTATATTTTTTCTCAAGCGAGTGCAATGGTAATTACTCTAAATGAACCGAACTTCAACTACACTGCAAAAATTACAGGAACACTCACCAGAAAATGTCGACATGATCATGGGAATAGAGAATAATATCAATTTGCCAGATGCGTTTAAAATAATGCAGAAGGACAATGAGCCGATTGTTGCATTTGCTTGCAATCAAGAAATTCCTGGATATATAGTTGTTTCTAATGGACGCGAGTTGCAAGAAATGGATATGTCGGATGTGTTCAAGGACCAATACGATGAGACTTCGTGGATGTGGAACCGAGCTGAACTTGATGTAAGATTTTAATGCATCAAGCACTATTATAATATATTAAAATGTGGCATTCAGATGAAGAACATCCACTCAAAACGGGATGCTTTACGCGACAATGATGACTACCAGATATTCACGAATTCACTGAAAAGTGGCAATATAAAACATACTACCGTGGTAAATATTTGATACTATAACATTAAAAGAATTAATTTTGTGAAACAAGCATGTAATTAAAGGACCAGGGAACCCAAAAATTTTTTGTTGTTTTTGTGAAATGTTTTTGTGACTGTTTGAATTGTCTCTTATTGCCTCATACACTGGTGAAATGCTGCCTCTCAAAAATGCCAATAAACGAAACGGCTTGCAGTTGAAGTTGTGGCCGTGGTCTAGCGCCAATGGCCGAAAAATATATAAAAATAAATGCGCTTCTCGGCCATTTTATTTTTTCCGCTTTTTTACCGGTTTCTTTCCAAAAATTCACGGTTTCTCCCATTTTTCAGTTGATTGACATTTGTTCGGCACTTACTTATTTTTTCACTGCTAAAAAATTGTTTTCATTCAGTCGATATGAAGTGCCAAAATGGGAGAAACCGTGAATTTTTTTGGAAAAAAACCGGTAAAAAGCGGAAAAAAATAAAATGGCCGAGAAGCGCATATATTTTTTTATATTTTTTTCGGCCATTGGCGCTAGGCCACGGCCACAACTTCAACTGCATGCCGTTTCGTTCATTGGCATTTTTGAGAGGCAGCATTTCACTAATGTATGAGGCAATAAGAGACAATTCAAACAGTCACAAAAAAATTTCACAAATTTATCAAAAAATTTTTGGGTTCCCTGGTCCTTTAAACATTTTGCAAATTTTTATCATCTAAAAATTCTTTTATTTAAAAACAGCTGACTCCCTGGATAATAGATCGGAGTAGAAAAGGCTTAAAAAAGGTATAGTGCAGAAATGTTGTGCTTGTGATGTAACTTTGTAAATTTTTTTGACATTCTGCAATATTCAAATTTACCCCGATTAGAAATATTGCTGTACAGATCACAAAGCGGAATGCTGCAGGAGTTCGGCGCATCGACTCGCATCCTTATGCACCATTTTGTTAGTTCATAAAACGAATTAATATTATATTGGGGTTATTTTTTTCAGATGTCACCGGCTCCTCGGACGGCTCTATCCGCGTTTGGAAATGGGGAACCAAGGATACCGTGTACACCGCTAGAGTAGCAGGTCAACATGCAAAAGTGACGAAAATCGCATTCTCGTGCAACGGAAATAAGTTTGCGGCTGTCGATGGGGACGGAATGCTTTGCCTGTGGCAAGCCAGTCAGTCGACCGAGCAGAAGAAGCCTTTCTTCGTGAGTTCTTTTTCTACTGTTTTTTTGTTGTCATTTTCATTTGGTTGTTTTCAGAGCCAACGTTGTCACAACAAATCGGCTACAGATGTCAGATTCCTCGGACACTCTTCTTCTGTTCTTTTAACGGCTGGACTCTCTTCGCTCGATTTCAATTTGGGACTATGGGATACTCTTCTGCCAACCAACCGCGCACTGGTTCATTCTTGGGCTGCTCATCCGGAAGGTGCCACGTGTGCACTGTACATTCCAAGTCAACAGGTGAAATTAATACTGTAGATACGTTTTAACATTTACTTGCAGACTATATTTTCCGGAGGTCGACATGGAGAAATTTGTCTTTGGGACATTCGCCAAAGACAATTGAGGCAGACGATCAAAGCATTTGATCAGATGCATACTGTCAAAACTCTTGTGGCTGATCTTTCGCAAGACCTTATTGTATCTGGATCTAGTGAAGGAGATATAAAAGTACTATAAAACTTAAAAAAGGACTTGAGTAAGAATAAAGTTTGTAGATATGGTCTGCTGATTCGAACCCGCAGTTGATGTACTCGTTGCCAGGAGAGCATGCAGCCAAAGGAGGATTCTCATTCCGTCAAGGTTAGTGACAGAACATTTCCAAGCCCGCATAACAAGTTTCAGTAGGACAATCAGTTCAAGGAGTCCAGCAACTGTTTGTCGATCAGAACATGCGTCTTTTCTCTTGCGGAGCCGATTCGTCGCTCAAGTTCAGAACACTGCCATCAGTTTTCAACATGACAAATATATTATAATTTATTTTTTTCCGTTCACCCATTTCCATCTCGGTTCATACAGTAAGTCGAATGCTTTACTGTAAAGTTTTATATGTATATGCATCAGATAGCCAATTGCAGTAGTAGAAAAGCTAGTTTTTTGTTTACACATTTACTTAGAATGTAAAACTTTCCCTTCGAGTTATTTATGACTGCACAAGAGCTTCACTTATTTCAATATTATATTCCTTCTATATGGCATGCAATAGAATGTATAAATTAGTAGAAACTGGCTTATATTCGACATGAAGAGATAAATACGTACATAAAATTTTGACAATGATGGAAGTGAAAGCGTTATACCCACAATGATGTCGTTTCATTGTTTTTTGCTTCTTTATATATTATACAAGACGCATTTCTAGGTATTGTTGATAGATTAGGAGGTCTTTGACAGGACAGCGTTCTACTTCGTTCCCGTGGAACTATTGCTGGCTCATCTTCGAGCCGGCGAATGGATATTGATAAGTGACGAGAAGACGACACTTTGGAAAGGATAGTCCGATCAAACACAAATAAAGTAAGATAGAATGCGTTGAATGTGAACTGAACATTCAAAAAGTTAAATTATTTGTATCTGGGAAACTCGCCCGTATTAGATATGCTCCTTTGAAAATTTGGAATATAGTAGTAACCAGTATATTGTCATTCAAATAAGGACGCAAAACACGTAATAAGCCATCAGGAGTTGATAAGAATACAGCCAGAAGAGTAACGAGCATGAACCTTTGCGAATTTTTGACTCGTCTCTGAAAACATAATTTTTTACGGAGTTTAATATTATTGATCACAAAAAAGTTAGTTTTTTATTAGATCCTTAGTTTATAATTTTAACAATTACGTTTTCAGTTTCTTCATCAAGTCTATGAAAGACAATTTGAAGTAACGGATCAGACTGTTGACGATCAGGACGGCAACAAAGGACTAACAAGTCCATAGATACAATTATAGAAACTGGAACCAATGTTGATATAAATACGTCAACGATATTGTAGAGAACCGAATAGCTCTGAAAATTATGGAATCATATAATGGATTATTCACAAAAAACTAACAAGAAACAAGACTCACCTCAACACTGACGACACATTGAGTGTCATTTTGAAAAACTGCTACTAACAAATAAATATTAGTGACAATAGCTATCATGAAACAAGGTATAACCATATGCCATGGACTTCGCCAGATTGTAGAGTAATGAAGTGGCTGGAAGACTGCCAGGTAGCGCAAACCGGACATGAATAGCCAACAATAAGTGCTGCAGGTATAAGAACACCGTAAACCAAACTCAGTAAACTGAAAAGGTTACTTGGTAACGAACACATTTCTAAGTGAACCCTCACTTTGCAGACGAAAGACGTAAAAGTTTCGTTTTCAAACAATATCACAGGAGCCCACATCTGGAAACATGAAAGAGCTAGATTGCACACGTCGAATATTGCCATGGACATCAGATAAAATCCAGTGCCATTGGTAAACTGGAACAAAGCTTTGAAAAAATTAAAACTATGAGAAACTTGCTTGATCTTTATCAGTCTTGTAGAATTTCCCCATTTTATGAATGACGTATAAATTTAAGAAAAAACCAGAAAGCATTACAAAAGTGAACAAACTTTCGATGAACAGTTTGGTGAAATCACTTCCAAAAAGCCAAATCGAAACATGTTGCTTGATCATTTCTCGAGGAAAAAACTAATCAATCGGAATGAAGCGTTTATTATGAGATATGCGAGAAGATTAACTCTTAATTCCTTTCAGCAAAGAGTGACACTTGGGATTTGACGATATCCGCTGCAGGCTTCATCGTTCTATCCACACTCTGTGTGAGCAAACTCTTTTATGATTTGCGAGCCGGAGTGTCTTCTAAACTTTTCTTTTTTGCAGATTATCAAGGATTCTATTATGCATAGAGCTTCAGTCAGTCTGTCAGTTGAATCAGAAGTAATCTGTTTGTGTGGGGGGAGTTTCTGACTGTCTTCACATTTTTGGATTTGCAACGAGTAACTTATCAAGACTATACATCTTTTTTATTGTCAAATGACTAAGTGTTATTAAAAACCCGCAAAAGATACATCGTTTCCGGCCATGATTTCTCTAACGTCCTCTAATCGTAGAATCGATGAACACTTTCTAGGGACTTTTTGATTTCCAATATCATTGTTGTCGTGGTCCTCGCAATGGTTCCTTCGGTTCCGCATTCACATACAGTAGGCCCACAAAAATTACCCGGTTTCATCATGTGAAAAAATGAGTGACCCCTATGAACATTTGCCCGATGCCCCATGTGAAACCTTTCTGAGAATGTCCTTCTAAGTAAAATCAACTTTTCCCGGAAATTTTGAACTGCACTGTCCTTTTTTTTCCTTCATTTTGTGGGGTTCCTGGCATGGATTACTGTCTGAAAGACCCATGTCGGTATCACTTTTGGTTCTGGAGAAAAACGCAAATGTATATAGAGATGCTCTCTATGTTCGATTTCTTGGGACAAATTGAACGAACAGTCGCATGTATGAAACGCATGAAACAGAGGTGGGGGGGGGGACAAATTTAACGAACAGTCGCATGTATGAAACGCAGGGCCGTGTCCAGGCTCCCTCTCGACAAAACTATGAAACTGTGTGGTGTGATGAAGTGTCAATTTTACTTAAGGTTATATTATTATTATTATTTACAACAAAAAAAGCAACGACTCACAATAAAACATTTCATACAAAGTTTCATTACCGAATTCATCATTTTGCTATCAGAGATCGTGTTAAACTAGTCATTTAATTAAAGCGTTCGGTTTAAAAATAAATGAATGAAAATTACAAAAGAAACCTAGACTGTGTATGATGGTAGAAATAATCTACGACATATTATTGAGTGCTGTATCTTCAGTACTAACAGAGAACAAAAAATTGATTGAACCAGAAATAAAGTGAAAAATAAAACTATTAAGTGATCTGAAGCTCGAATTTTTGTCATTTTTCTTGTCATATATTGGGAGTCACCTGGGCTGAAAATTCTAAAGAGCGGGAAAAACGTTTGTACAGCTTCACAACCTAGAAACTCCTATTAAACGTGTAAAGGGAGTGAGGAAATTATATTTTGAAGTACATAGCCACTAATGTTCTATTGAAATAGGTGAGGGGAGGGGGACAAGCCCACAGCCAGATTCTGAGCAAATTATAGAAAGAGAAAAACAGCAAAAGACAGGAAAATAAAAATAGTTGAGGAAGATGAAGCGGCTGGTCTAAGAGCATCTTGTTCTGATTGACGATGCTCGATGTTTTCTTCATTTGAAGAATCCGTCTCCAATGGCTAAAAAGTTCAATCTAAAAAGCAAACAATAAAGAACAAAAACTAACCACTTCCTCCTGAACGTTATCCGTGTTAGTCTCCTCCGGAATCTTGCAATCAAGCTTGCAAGTTTCCAATTTATCAGCATGCAGTCCGGTGAACATGTTCTTTAAGGATTGACACATAAGCTGAGCAGCCTCATGCTTGCTGCACAGTCCTCCGAGCGCGGTGATGTACTCTTGCAGTTTTTCGTTCACCTTGTCACAGACATCCTCTTCGCTGTGCTCAAGAAACTTTTCGCTCAAGTATGTTCCAGCAGACAGAGTCATCTCTCCGATTTTCTCCTAAAAACAAGTTCTAGTGACTAAATATTGGGCTTAGGCTGGTCGAACAGGCGATTTCAGGATCCTGTTTTTCAGGTGCCTGTTTTTTCAGGCGCCTGTTTTCTCAACGCAAGAACGCAGCGGCGCGTTGAAAAAACAGGCGCCTGTTCGACCAGCATAATTGCACTAATAATATTACCGATTTCAAGCAGTCGCGGTGTTTAGTGAGTATTTCTTGACCTTCCGAAGAGCACGCGTATGTGAGAAGATAATAACTCTGAGGATTATCACTATAAGCTACACAAAATGAGATCGGTACCTTCAAAAACGACCCAGAATCTTTCCTGTGAGTAAGCAAGTCGGAGACAGTGTTCGAAACTTGGATAATCTCATTATGTGAACACATGTGAGCAATTGGCAGATCATCCTTTAAAAAACAATTTGTTGTTTCATCTCCATAATCAAAATTGCTTTTAGTTTGACCAACGTTTATTGGAAAATCGGAAAATGCAAATAGAATCGACCGGAAACGCAGTCACAAGAGTTCAATGATTGCTTTGAAACCCTATTCCAAAAAAAAAAAAATGTGTTGAATTTCAATGTTTATTTTTCTTTCTTGCCTCAACTGGTCACGCAAATCCCCAACAGCTCACAGAATATAAATAGAAAAAAATCACAGCGTTACTTGTGATTCTGGCAATCGAAACAAATGGGGCAAAAAGCACTTACCTTAATGCACTTGTCGAGTTCTTTCAAATGCTCACACTGGTCCGGAGTGATAGTAACTACATTGTCCTTGAGTTCATATAATGTCCACGCCCATTCGTCAAGAATGTTTATGAAACACTTGACAAGTCCTACATAATTACACTGAAAATAAAAACAAATGTTACGGGGTCGCAAAGTTTATCCGACTTGTGATACTTCTTCTTGGGCGTTTGTGACGGCGAGAAGGAAAATACTTAAAAATAAAACTCTCATTCTGTTTTTTTGCAGTTCAATATCACAACCTGCAAACAGTTATTAGAAAAATGATATGTTACGTTACGCTGTTATTTTTTGTTAGCAAAACATTATTTGACGTTTAAAAATGAAGCTGTCAGACAACTTCTAAACTGCAGTAAAAAGGATAAAGAATGAGCGTGGGCCAAATGTTGAAGGAGAAGAAGTGGAGAGAAGAGAAGAAGGATAGAAGATTGTGTTTATGGAAGAGAGCATGAAAAGCCAGGAGGAGGGCGAGGGGAAAGAGCCCGAGAAGGGGAAGAGGTTCGAGAGAAAATAAGCAGCGAAAGTAGTAGTGAAAAGGCTAATGAGCTAGCGACAGGCGGTCGGACGGAAGCATCAAGATGCCAGTTTTACTACTGTTGAATTGCTTTATAATAAAAACGCAATAAAGGGAATTTGCATTTATGTATAGTAAACATAAAACTCGAAGAAGACACGACAATTGAACGTAATAAAAAAAAACCAAAAAACAGAAAAGGCGGTGTGCTCCACACATTGATACCTAATACATTTTTTTCAAATTGCTCATTCGGACTGGTATTTTATATTCACTAAAAACAAGTGGATACATGAAACGTGAATATTTTTAAGAGCACTCTCTTTGAGGAGCGTTCAACAAAAACTCGCATCATTTTCATCCTCATCCATTTAATTGGCTTTAGTATTTACTTGTCTCTCAGTCTGTTTACACAGCAGATTTACTAAAGTATCTTTGGCTCAATTCGAATAAATAATGTGAAGTCTGCGGGGTTGGTCAACAAGAGTTGAGCAGCAAAGAAACGCATTTTGAATGATAAAATAATATGATGAAACAAATTGAAAAATTCTAATATCGGCTCCGGGACATCTCGAAACCGCGACATTTCGAAACCAGACATTTCGAAACCAAAAAAATTAAAAGCAACCAAATTCACAGTAGAAAAGCTATCTACAGTAGTTTTTCGTATTGCTCAGATTAAAAACTTTTCAGCGTGTTGAACAGAAGCCAGTCTTACTAGGAAATTCCTTTTTTTTTGCCATTTTAGAAAATTCTGAAAAAAATCAGGGTGGTACTATAAGATATGGAGAACACTTTCCGACTTTGACATTCGGCAAAATATTTCTGGAAACTTCTTGCAAACTTCGCAAAATTTTCGCTAAATGTGACACTTATCAAAATTACATTTTGAGGGTCATCGTCTCACAAAAGTCAAAATAGCGAAAATTTTCAAGAAGTTTCCAGAAATATTTTGCCGAATGTCAAAACCGGAAAATGTTCTCCATATCTTATAGTACCACCCTGATTTTTTTCATAATTTTTCAAAATGGTAAAAAAAGGTATGCCCTAGTTAGACTGGCTGCCGTTCAACACGCTGAGAAGTTTTTAATCTGACAAATCTGACAATACGAAAAACTACTGTAGATAGCTTTTCTACTGTGAATTCTTTTTCAGCCGAGTCAGCGGCGGCACGGGGGTAGTTGACGTAAAGATCGTATCATGGCTTCCGTAGTTCAACTTTCCGGACTTCCTATTTCGGTTAATTGTGAATAGATACATACTAGGCAAACCACCCAAACTCGGAGAAGTTCATATAAATCATATCCGACTTGAAATCTAGTCGTTCTCCTTAAGTGATAAAACTTGCGAAATTGGCTTTGCGCCACTGTTAGGTGGTTTTGGCTCGATGAGCAGGTGTACCGTCTTGCTGGATGACCCTATCTTGTTTTCCGTAATCAACTAGATCCAAGACAGTTCCTTCGACTCGAGAAGCTTACTAGAATAGCATTTACGGTTGATTTTCGCCCCAATATCAGTGCTGTTTTGCCATTGGCGGAAATGCTCCAAAGAACCATTACTGAAGCTGGGTAAAAATTTTTTAAAATTATTTTTCCATTCCGACGGACAGTCTCAATGTCCCCTGAGATGATCATGTTGTTGTGATCATTATTGTCGATACCAGCAGCGTGTAGCCACTCATCTCCGATCAGAGTCTGCAGGCGCGTGCCTTGCCGCGTGCCGGCAACGGGACTTCCGGCTTTCTTGAAGCGAAAGTCCTTGTTATGGAACGATCCTTTTGAATACGATAAGGAATCATATTTAGTTCCTGTCTGACAATAGTTTACATAGATTTTAAGCTCATACGGAACTCTGACGACATTTTCTACGTGCTTCTCTCCGGGTTTTTACTGATTTTTGCTCTAACCGCTATGACCATCTTGGGAGTTGTCACTGGGACCGGGGGGCCACTTCTCTACTTGTCTTTCAATGTTCCGAGGTGTCAGAAACATCGGGAAGTCATAATAACAAACAATCTTTCGACGCCGAGCTTCCTAACTATTTTAGACAATCGCATTCCTATCCTTATGAACCCCATAATAACGGACCTAGGCGATGACGGAGCCACCATTTCTCTCAATCTTAAGAGAATTGTCTGCAAGACAAACGGTCAAAAATGAAGTGATGAATGAAAAAAATAACACGAGCGGTCATCCCATTGGTTCTGTAGGAGCCAGCGCTGACGCGAAGTTTGGGCGCTATATTTATTCCCCACCCTGTATGCATCCAGTCTTATTAGAAGATTCCTTTTTTTTGCCATTTTAGAAAATTCTGAAAAAAACCAGGGTGGTACTATTAGATATAGAGAACATTTTCCGACTTTGACATTCGGCAAAATGTTTCTGGAAACTTCTTGCAAATTTGCAAAATTTTCGCTAAATGTGACACTGATAAAATTACACTAGCTGGTTTCATTTTGAGGGTCTTTGAGGGTCTCACAAAAGGCAAAAAATCAGACTTGTACGTATTCTTGAAGAAGTTTCCGCGCGAGAGAAGAAAACGCGCTCAATTCCATGCCGTTTTGAGTGATAAACAAGGAGCGTTGAAGCGGAAAAAGCTGCTCAAAGATTGTATGCTCTTTATTCGATTTCGACAATAGTATGATAATAACCTCAACAAACTCTACAAGCTAAACGGCAGTTGGGAAGCATATAGTTTGTGTTAGAGTGACATTCACCAATATGCGCCCAATAATTGCAAAGTTGATGTCCGTTGTCACAACCTGAAAGTATATTTTTTGAATGAGTGATTTCAAAATTTTGAAACATTGATGCATTCAATTTAAATCCAAATAGAACTAGTTCTATTACATTTTCCGTTAGAAAAATTCTGATGAATGATACTTTTATCTAGAAATAATTATGTTTTAAAGATACTGTTTCTTACCGGGACGAGGAGTTGCTGCATAAACAGTGTCAACATGTTCGCCACATGATTTACAGGATTTTTGACAATTTGGGCGCATGTAGAATGGGTTTTTGGTGCATTCGCCTAGCATAAACCAAAATGTACATTCCGCATGATGGTCCTTGCAGCTGTCATCTTTTGTTGTTGGTGGAATTGTAGTTGTTGGCGGTTGTGTAGTAGTTACAGTGGTTGTGAACACTTCTTCAGGCGTCTTAAAAATCAGAACATTTAACTTTGACTTATTACAACTGTCTCCCCTTCGTCGAAAAAAATTTTCGCGCGCTTTTTTGCGTGCGGCTCTCAGTGTCGATTTACGGGATACGGTTTTTCAACTGAAAATGATGTTTTCCCGAGTTTTTGGGATTATGCACAGTTTCCCTTCAAAACGTTTGCCTTTCGTTTGTTCGTATGACCGATACCTACAAAATGATCACAGAGTGCTCGTGTAAAAGTGAAAATTCGAAGAGTAATTTCGTTTTATAAATTTGGCTTGAAAAAACGAACGTTCGGAAGTTTTGAGAAAACAGTTGACAGAATCAAAAAACAGTTGCCTCACGATTGACAAAGGCGGTCATTTTGAGCACAGAGACGGTCCATAAAATGCAAAAATGACTGAGAAATTTCAGTTTTTGAGAATCCGGACTGAAATTCACAGAAAAGTGCAATAATGCGCGCTTTCTTGTGGAAAACGCTAAATTTGAAAACGCTAATTTAAGGTCACAGCTGTTATTTAAAATTCTGAAATTCTCTGTTTTACATCATTTTTCTCATTTTCAGATGAGGTTTCGGGTTTTCGGAAAAAAAATCCAGAAATTTCAGATCTGCTTTTGTTTTCAACGACACTCCGTTTTAACGCGGAGCTCAATTTAGCATTAGCCATTGGGGAGACAGTGATTACTGCCAATTTTGAAATAGAACATTATATAATATATACCTTCTTTGTCGGAAGTGTGGGCGTAGACTGGGTACGTCTGAATCCGTTGGCTGGAGGTGAATATGGTCGTGTATACTTCTTTTTCTGAAAAAAAAAACAGGTAATGGTGGTCCAATCGGAAATGAATATTGAACAGAAAACGCACAACACAAATAAAAGCTAAGCAGTTGGACACTTAAGATTACTTTTCTGTTCTCAATAAAGAAGGAACTTTTAAAAATCTGTGTTATTTTTGGCAAAAAAACTCATAGTCGCACAGTAGTGGTGGCGGTCGGAGTGAAAGTAGTAGTAGTAGTTGGTTTTTGAGTTGTAGGTGTAGTCGTGATGATTTTCGTTGTTGTTGAGAACTTGCAATGGACCCCTTTGGAATTACACTTATCCGCATCTCCTACTGAAAAATTCGTATGTTCAAAAAAAGTTAAGTAAAAGATTTCAAACGAACAGCTGCAGTGGCAAGTTCCACAAGTCTTAGCGCAGTTCAGTTTCATCCAGAACGGGTTTTTGCTGCATTCGCCAGTGACTGCCCAGAAGCAGCACAACTAGAAACACCATATATTGTTAGTTAAATGAAACTGAAATAAAAGTTACATTATGTTTATCCTCACAAATCGGCTCTGTTGGAATAGGCTTTATTGTAGTAGTTGTTGTACCAATAAATAAACGTTTCTGTTGATTTTTAGCCAGTTTTGCATCCAAGTCCATCATTTTGTTCGCTCTTTTAGTTTTCAATTTTCGCTTAGCTGGGCTTGACCGTTCTTGGTTGTTTTCTGAGTGTACAATGATCTTAAAAAATATATGATTGATAAGAATTTGGCAATATTGCTACCGAGTTATTTTTCAGTAAAAAATGATCATTGATTCTGAAAATACGAGATTTTTGCAGCGTAGTACTTTTCTTGCTTTTAGGAGAATCGTTTTGAACTGGCTTCTTCGAGTTTTTTTGTAGATCCTGTCGCAGCCTGTGAAAATTCTTGTCTCACTTTAGAATTTCTATGCCAAGCTAACTTAATCCTTTCAGAACCCCGTCTAACCACTCTGCTTGTCAAGTTCATCATTGCCGCATATCGCAATTCGAACGCTTCAACGCACAATGGAGGAACTAAATTTAAATCGGCATTCTATTAATTTTGAGAAACTCGCTCATTCAACATGAGCTTTCAACCCCGACAAACGAATTACACGCTTCATAACCGAGAATTGTTGGGGTGAGCACTTTTGAAACGACGTGTCTTGTTCCTCTTCATTCTTTCAGGTCATTTGATTTTCATCATTTTCACAAGCTTGTCATAAAGTCATTAAACTTGCCTTCAAAACATGAAACCTCTTCTACAATATCATCTTTGACTCTTGCTCCACATGCGCTTCCCTGTCTAAGCGATTCCTAAAAAAGAAGTTGAACTTGTGACAAACACAAGAAAACTTACTAAATCACATTCTTCACAACCCTGTCCAGATTCTTCGTCTAGAAAAATAATAACAGAATCATCAGGTAGTTGGACGGGAGAACCTGAAACAATGACTCTCTAGACCGTTTCTTGCTATTCTCTTCACAATTTTACATTTGTTAAACAACGCTCTCAAAATATACCGTGTTTTCTGAAAAATTCTGTGAGGACTCACATATGTACGCATTTTCAGTCATAAACTGATAGATACTAGGTATCTTTTCGAGTTTCTCTGCTAATACCAATCTTGCACACAAGATGTGTACCATAAAACATAACAACCATAAGAATGTACGCATAGCTGAAAAACAATTAAGACAGAAACTGCAGGAAAAATCGAACAGACGAGGATTTGTAATATGAATCGTCTAATTTAATTTCTGAGATTATTTCATTTTCACACAATCTGAAGTGATTCTTCACTAGGAATTGAATAAACTACTTGAACGATTCAAGGAAAAAAGAAAAAGAACAAGAAAAAGAACAAGCGCTAACGGAAATTCGTATGTGGATGATATTCTGGAACGAAGTCAGCAAATTCAATCAGAGAGGATAATTGTAATCATAATTGAAAAGGGAAACGAGACAAAAATGAAAAGTACTTTATCCATGGGACTGCAATCTCTGCCTAAAAACAGCGCTATGGGAAAATCTTTTTTGTTGGAAATTATAGAAGCTTCATATTGTTCAAGAAAAATTTTCTTCGCAAAAATGTTTCATAGCACAAGACAGAAATAAACTCCCCGAGGAATATTCTGAGCTTTTTGACTCAAAACTTTGGAAAAAGTCATTGCCGCCTTGAAGAAACCTCATATTGTCTTGCATATCCTTTTTCGGCATTAGTATTTGTTAATTCTGTGAAATCTGTGAAATACAATAATGCCACTTGAACAATTTGAAATGATTTAATTTCTCTTCTTCATATTTGAATTCATAATATCAGTAACACATCAGAATTGAAAAATTCATTTGAAATCTAAAATTCATCAAGAAAACCAATATCCCATCGGTCCCTGTTTGAAGTACGGTATAATAATACTCGATTTTCAAATGAGGCACATTCAATAACCAGCTTTTGCTTCACTGATTCGATTATGTCTCCAGCGGTCAGCAATCACGGTCCCGAGGGCATACTGCTAAAGCTTATTATGCAAATCAAGTCTAGGCAATTCGCCCGTCCATAGACGCAACTATGGCACTTTTCGAAGAAATACTTTATTTGTAGTATGCATCACTAAAAATTAGTTTCCCCAATTTCTAGTATCAACGGTTGAACACTAGCTGTATTTTTTTGTTGTAAGTATTTAAAAGTTTACTATTTCCATGGGATTTTTTTCTCTTGTTCTTAAAGTTTGTGATACTTTACACCGAAATTATTCTATCCAGAATAGTTGACACATTTGTTATTCATTCAAATGACCTAAACACTTGCTTTTATATTTCTTGGGAAGCATAGGAATAGTTTCGAAGGAGCAAAAGAAGAAGAGAGAGAGAGAGAGAGAGAGAGAGAGAGAAAGAGAGTTTGTTTCAAATGCAATCTGCTCTTTTTCCGCTTACCAATTAACTAAATGGTACGTGATTTACTATGCGTCGTCCGCTATCTGACTAAAGCGACTACTCACATCTAGCGAGCTGTAATATAAATTGTTACATCGAATTTTCCCAGTGCTTCTGCATCCCTACTTGGCCTACACAATTGGGAGATTACGTGAGAGCAGGTACAGGTAATCCCTTCCGGAAGGACACCTACATATTTTTTCTTCATCATATTTTCTTCTCTTTGGCTTTAAAAACTGGCATGAACATTGTTGTGAAAACGTGTCTATTACTGCTACGTATGGCATTGACTGTAGTTTTCCACAATAACTGCAGCGCATGCCCTTCTTCCCTGAGTTTTTGACAACTTCCATCTTCATCTTTGCAATCTTTACTCCTCTTTTGGCTAAAAACTTTGTTTCGGATTTAGATTCAAAGATTCGGATTTGGATTCAATCCCACTTGTCAAACAAATGTAAACGGTATAAGTTGAACTAATATGTTTGTTCACGTTTTTTTATAACTTTTTCTTAACCCTATTCATACTCCACCTCTTTCCTATTCTTTTCAACGTTTCAATCTATCTTCCTTCGAGAAGAAGTAGGATTGAGAGTTCTGGCCGTAAAACTCTTTACAATAGATGGTGTAAAGTTTCTCGCCGGTGCAGGAAGAAAGGTACATCAGCTGTATCTTGAGATAAAGGGTTAGGAATCAGCCGTCAGCTGCTTCCTTTCTGATTGAACGCCATTGGTTTCCTGTGTGGTGTGCTACTTCCTCTGCATTCTCCGTAACAAAAATAATTTGATGCTTAGGACATCTGCTCAATTATTCGCGATATAATCTCAAGAAGCTCGCACAATTCACACATTCGGTTTGCCTTTCAATCAAATCCAATTTGTTCAGATTTTGATTCCGCGTACTCTTTTTCTATGTTTTCCCACAGAAATGCGGTAGAAATGAGCAGCAGTCATTTGTATATTGCTTTAGTCAAAGGTTACTCGCTGCACAGCTGTGCCATTCATAAAATATTAAAATTATGAGTTTAGTTTAAATTCAATTGCATTCAAGTCAGCCCACCGAGTAGGAAAAACGATTTTGAAAAAAAAAACACTGCTTCTCACGTTTGTTCAGAACATCTGTGCAATATCTTTTCGTAATAGCTTTCGGCTTCATTTCTTTGAATTTTATCAAGACGAAAGTAACGTTTCAGGCCAAAATTCAGTGCCAATGTACATATTGTTGGCATTATGCCTTGTTGCAATACGTTCAAATGCGTCATTTCTTCAATCACCTTCTAATATCTCATCAAGAATTGGCGAGAGCATAACTTTTCAATGCGCTGCTCAAAAAAGTGTTGAACCCATTGTGTACAGCCAATGGAAATCAAATACCGGTTCCCTATTAGGGTATCATCAAGAAGGCGTTCTTCCGGGCCATGAAGGGCGTTATAGTTATATTAAGGTAAATGATTCTCCAAAGTATAGCTTAAACGTTTTTGTTTTCAGCAAAACCCAGAGGAACTTCATTTCAAAATCAGTCAAGTCAGCATTGAGGACGATGGCGAGTACGAGTGTCAAATGTTACATCCTGATGAAGGACCAATTCGCGCGAAAGCCTTTCTCAATGTGCTAAGTGAGTTAGAAAATTTTTTGAAGACAACTTTCAAAGGTGATGATTGCATAACTTCAGTGCCGCCACAATTCGCGTATTTCTCCAAGTACCAGCAAAACTCTGTGATTACTGTAAAAGAAAACACTGTGCTGAATATCAGCTGTGTTGTGCCAAATGTCAAACCGGAGCCACATGTTTCTTGGTAACTTTTCAATTTAACATTTCATCAATCGTTTATATATTTTTTAAGGTTCATGGACGGCAAGAGACTATCAGATGGAGTTCATCAAACATCGATTTCTCACCTAAATAAAACATTCACAGTTTTGTCAAATCTCGTGTTCCAACCAACTCGAGTTCATCATAATTTCCCAATTACCTGTGAAGTTCAACAAAAGGAAACTGACACAAAACTGAGCGTGAATGCTTCTTTAAACGTTCTTTGTGAGTATTATTTTTACACAACACTTATTTTCAGTACATTTGATTGTCAGTTTTTTAGATCCATCATCTGATCAAAAAGTAGAGATTGTTGAAAAAGGGAGCCAGATAAGAGCTGGAGACAATGTTACCATTTCGTGTTCTGTTTTGGACGGGAATCCAATGTCAGATGTTTTCTGGTACAAAGACAATAAGAAACTCATGTCTGGTTTTACATGGGCACCACACAGCAAAGTACATAAATGGTGATTGGACATTTTGGAAAACAAATTTCAGGAAACAAGCAATGCGTATTCATTTATTGCTAAAAGTGATGATAACTTAGCTGATTATGAATGCAGAGCAAACAACAGCCAAACGACAACTCCGAAAAAAAAAATCTTGCAACTGAATGTCAATTGTCAGTTAATCTTCTACGTATCATTGGTATAATTTTTTTCAATTTTCAGTCCCAGCAGAAAATGTCGAGCTATTCGGCGAGAGTTCCATTCGTTATGGAAAAATCGTTATAATTCAATGCAAAACGCTGTAAGTCACTTAGTAAAAAAAAATTACATAATTTTATGATACGGAAAGAGCCTAAAAGTATGTTTTAGGCCTTCAAATCCTGCTTCGAAGATTTCGTGGCTTGTGAATGGAATGAGTGTTCCAACACTTGCTCAAAATGAAGTGTCTATGGTATCAATTATTATGAGACACTACACATACCAATTATTTCAGGCTACGGGAATCATATCTAGTTCAGAAATGATGATAAATTCGAATGAACTGAGCAGTAATGCCCATCAGATTACAATCGAATGTGTGGCAACTAACACGGAAGGATCTGTTCAAAGGCAGCATGTCATCAAGATAATTTGTTCGTGACGGAGACAATGTATTACCTATTTTATCATTATCAATTCAGCTCCACCGAACGCCCCAGAAATATCCGGCCTGGAAAATGTAATGTTTGTAGAAGGTGATATTGTGAATGTCACTTGTGAAGCCAGGGGAGGTAATCCGTTAGCTGAGCTATCATGGTTTCGCGGACACGAAAAGGTGAGTTTCGAAAAATGAGCATTGGGCGCAAAACTTGGATTTTGAAGAAAAATCTAAAAGGCAAAAACAGATTGAAATGGTTGAAGGTGATTTTTATTTGTTGTAATAATTGAAGCTTTTTGTGAACGCCTTTGTAAACGGTCAGATAAAAATGGAAACGTTTGAAAAATTTAGTTGAGCACTGCTTTTGACAGTTCGGCATAATAACTTGGCAAATCTCGATGAATTTAACATAAATCATTGTAATTTAGGTTAACGGACCCCGCCACAGCGTTGCTGGAAGTTCATCTCTTTCTTCACTGTCATTTCGCCTTGATCGCTCAATGAATAACCAAAAGTTGAAATGTGAAGCCATCAATGCAGCCATTGACGAACCGTTGATTGACACGAAGCATCTGACTGTATACTGTGAGTAATGAATTACAGAAAAAAATATTTCAACCTAATATTGTACAGATCCGCCAAAGAAATTGATGATCACACCAGTCAAGGATGGTAAATTTCTGTTCGAATCTAGAAAACCGGCAAGATTAGTTTGTGCAGCGACATCTTCCAATCCTGCCGCCCACATTTCTTGGAATTTGGGGGACTTGAAAGAATATTCGCAGGGCGATACCAGTCTCAATGAAACGTAAGTCCGACTGGCAGGGTTTTTACGGAACTTAACTCAGGGTGACCGTTTTAGCAACATTAATAGTCGTATAACATGAAACTTAATACCAACTGTTTTTTCTCAGAACTCGTGAAAATCACTACAATGTTGAGAATGTCTTTTCCTTCATTCCAACCGAAGATTACGATGGTGTTATTGTGAACTGTATTGCAAATCATTCAAAGTGGAAACATCAAGTGAACTCATCGTTCACTCTTAATGTTATGTGTATGTTGCAAACCATGCTACGATTTTTATAAGAAAACTCGTAATATTCAGCCGCCCCGAAAATGCTAGTCAATGACCCAGTGACTGTAGTTTTATCCGAAGGAGAATCGTTTAAAGAAAATCTGACAATCAAAGCCAATCCGCCTATTTCCTCCTGGCAATGGCGCAAGAATGGAGTTCTTTTCGATCATACAGTCGGAAGGGTTTTTGCCAGAGGAGCGGTGCTTTCGGGCAGACAACTGACCAACTCCGATGCTGGAATTTACACACTAACGGCCACAAATGCAATTGGTAGTACCAATATTACGTTCAAGTTGAATGTACAGTTCAGTGCAAGGGTAAGCATTCATAAAATCTGTTTTTATTAATTTATTTAAAAAAACGTTATTTTTTCAGATCACTAGCATCTCCTCTCCAATTGTCACTACTGAAGGGGACGGAGTTCTTTTAGAATGCGTAGCTGAAGGAGAGCCTAGCCCGTCTAGAATGATTCAATGGATCAAAAACGGAGTACCAGTCGAATCACGGATCAGACAAAACAAAGCAGTTTTACAACTAAACGCTACCAAAGATAAATCCGGCGAGTACGTGTGCAAAGCAGACAATGGTGTTGGAGTACCTGCCGAGGCAAAAACGTTTTTGCTCATCAATTCTGCTCCTGAAATCATTCGTGTCGCACGTTATTCTAAAACAGCTGGAGTTGTCGGAGGATCTGCCAGAGCTCGATGTATAGTACGTGCCGTGCCGGCAGTTGACATGTTATGGGAAAAAGATGATCAATTGATTAAAGTTAATAACACGAAATATTCTTTGGTCACTACTCAAATCGACTATGCAACTTATGAAGTGAGTTGTAATTCATTTTTTATGACTTATTTTATAAACAAAAACTGTTTCAGAGTTCTCTCTGGATCAAACACATCGTGCCAGATGACTACAACAAACATGTGAAATGTATTGCAAAAAACAGTTTTGGAGTGGACTCTTTGTTAATACCTGTTCTTCCGCCAACGGACCCTGAGAAACCAGACTACCTAACTCTGACAAATTCCACAACGGATTCCATTTCCGTATTGTGGGAACCTAAATTTGATGGCGGATCTGAGCAGATATTTGAGGTGAAATACTGGAAGAACACTGCAGAGTCCATTCATCTGGTCAACACTTCTCACACGGTTTTTATGATTTTGAAGATATCTGGTGAACAATCTGCATATATTTTAGACACTGCGAATTTCTGGTTTGTCCGTGGCAAATGCGTATCATTTTCAAGTTCGTGCCATTAACACAAGAGGATTCTCATCAGCATGGACATCTCCTGCAACATTTTTCACATTGAACGAAGACGGTGTTAATATTGCGATCACTAAAGTCAGTTGAAATCTATTTTTCATGCTAGTAATAAGAAAATCACAGGAACGACAATGGACTGATGCGATTCCATTCGTTTTGGCCGCTGCCGTGTTGGTTATGCTAGCGCATTCAATAATCTGTTGTTTATGGTGCAATCGTCATAAAAAGAAGAAGTTGAGAGGTAAACTATTCACTAAAATTCAAAGTAACAAACTGCAGTTACAGAGAAAACAGAAATGGTAAGAACTGCAATTAACGGCGATGTTCGCCAAGTTCAAATGTACGGAACAATGGTTGACAACAACTGTATGCCTGGCCATAGAGACATGGACGATCAGCCAGAAGCAAGTGAAGATGAGCATTCTGTCAGAACCATGATAGTAAGTATAGAAATTCAATTTTTGAGAAGATCTAGTGGGAAATCATAATGATCTTGAGAACCAACAAGATAATATAATTTTTTCAGGAAGTTTCACCAAATGGTTATATGCAACCTATAAGGCCAATTCTTTATGATGGAAATGATGTTCTCGAATATAGTTTTCAGGGTGAATAATTTCAAAAATGTCTATTCATCTCATTTTACTTTTCCAGCTAACGACTTCATGACGAATCCACAAATGAGCAATGGAGTTAATGTTACTTATGCCAATGTGCCATATCCAGTATGAATAATTAATTGACCTCTGCAATGATAAGACATTTCAGGAACCCCCACAACAATACTATCAAGAACCAACCTGGTCATCCACTCTCCAGTCAAAAAGCGGTACTAGTCCCCAACATCACCTTTCTACCTTCATAAAACCTAACTATGGTGTGCAAAAAGGGCCAATTATGTATGCTGAACTAGATGGCGATCTCGTTTAATTGTTGATTCTTGTTGTTATATTTTGGACGGGTTTTAACTAATAAATAATAACATTTTTCCGGGTGTTAACAGCAACATCATAAAATACGAGACGAACACTTCAAATAACAAACTAAGTTTACAAACAATCTTTTTTCAAGATGATAAGTTAGATAATGTGTATTTTTTTGATTCTCAAGGCTTGTCACCGGGTAGCTTGAGAATGGGAGAACTTTACATTCTTGTATCTTAGGAACCTTCATGTATTACAGCTGAAAGTCTTTTGTGTCATTTTTTTTTGAAATGAAACTTAGTGTAAAAGATTGAAACATGAGAGGAACAATTTCATTAGAGTCAAAAAATACCTGCGTTTCTCAAACATCTCGTGGTAAGATAAGGCTGTTCCAAGTTCCTTGTTTTATATGTCGAAAAATCATGGTTTGCTTTCATTTCCTCTTTGCCAAATGGTTACCCAAATTCGATAAATTAAAAACCAATTTAAATTGACTCCAAACTACCAAATAACATCATAACAATTTGTGTCGTTGCACGCTTATTTCCTTCCTGCAACCAATCGAGCTGGTTTCCATGGTTGCTGAGTTTCATTTCGTCTCATATTTTACGTTACGAATTTTTCCATTCCTTTAAACTTTGTTCTATGCACTTGCCAGCTTAAGCGAACGCGTAAAAGTACAATTTTCAGGATGAGATTACTATTATTCTCACTTTTGTTTGTGGTAGAAACCAACTCTGAGTATGTCAAGCGATTAAGACGTCAAATCATCCCATCACAACAAATCAGCGTAGGCGTTTTTTAAAACTCCCTATCTGCTTAATAGGTACCTTGTAGATTCACTCTGCTGATTCCAAGATAACTATGAAGGAATTTATCAATGTGGCATCGACTGATTCTAGGATTTTATTAAGCAAAAAGTAAGCTAGGTTTTGTTTCAAGATGCAACTGGCCATGAACACAGCTGTAGTTGAACTAACTTTACATAATAGTCTTAACTTAATTCTGAACAGTTTTCCGACTAACATATGTTTACAGAAGGATAAATGGAACATTCTGGAGTACAAGTTCCCGTCTTCAAATTGATGGCTCTGATACTTTTGTGAATGCCTCGTTCAACGCTGCAGACTTCCTTCTCGATCTTTATTTCTGTGAAAACATTCGTGGATCTTCACTGGAAAGTTTGGTATGCATACTTTATGACTTAGTTGTTTCAATTTTCAACATTTTACAGTTATTCTTTGACAACAAAGGGATTGCTACCAACAACAACACTTATCTTTCCTATACTCTTTATGACAGAGCTAATTTGTCGTTTATTGAAGATGATATAGAGTTTCAGGTAACTTTTCTGCTCTGAACTAAAAAATATTGTAACTCCTGCAGGTCATAAATGCTCAGAGAATAGAGCTTGAAAGTGTAACCTGGGACAAATTTATAGAGAAGGCAGTTTTTCTAGAATTTACAAATAACTCTATGACAGGGGAGCCACAAATCGAAGTGAAAGGTGAGAAATTTAAAAAAATTCTCAATTTCCTGCATGCACAATTTCAGTTATGACATCTTCTTTCCGAACTTGCATTAGGTTCTTTGGGGCACCTATTATGGCAAAGTATGGTGGGTCTCTTATCACAATCTCGCCGGATTACCAAAGAATTGACATTTATAACGGGAACTATCATTATGTTCTGATGACCAATTCACCTTTGGTACAAGTAAAGGTAAACTAAATATATGTATTGCAGCCTCACAAATCTTTCTACCGCTCTCCACGTGATCTCAGTGCTAAATTACTACATGTCGCGGCCGCGGCCGGGTTTTCATGTGGGGTTGCGGTAGAGCGACATTGTCAAAATTTTAATATGATAATATCATGAGCAGACATGTTACATTTTTCAGATTGACTTTATAAATGGAATGGTAAAGGTTACGAGTGTACCAACTGAGATGTTCGTAGCTGTTTCGCCTGAAGATGTAGTACTACAAGCGCCTTCCTCCACACGGTAATATTTCTTTGAGTAAGCACATTATTGACTTCAATTTATTCCAGAACATCAATTGATTGTGGTCAAGGACTCGTTTTCTTGAGTGATGTTCCGATTCAAGCAACTAATCTGGGTGTGAATTCGGATTCGTTAACATTACAATTGACACAAAGTGGCAGGGTATATGCCGACGCTTTCAATTCGAATCTCTTTGTTAATACGTCAATTCGAAATGTGAGTTGAACTTGGTCCATGCCAATTCGCAGTTGTTTTTTAGCTTGAAATCTACTCACAACATCAAGAACTACGGATTATGGAAAACGTGCAACGAATATGTATTGAATGCCCAAACATTAAATTTGAGGTGAGCGATGTACCTGTCTGAAAACAATAAAAGTAATTCCAGGCAACAAAAATGGACATCAACAATTTGCCTGTCTTGTTCATAGAAGACTTTGATTTTCCCCGTGAGCGCTATAAGCTTATCGGCTCATTCCAAGGTTTAATTTAACTTTTTCTTAGTAGTTGCATGAAATTCATCGAGTTCTTTCTCAGCACCACCACCACCGCTCCTACCACCACCACTTTTGCCACCACCACTGCTACTACTATCACCACCACCAAATCCACCAGCTCTTTCACCACCACTTCCATTTGATCCGGTTCGATTGCCACCTCAAAGCATGTTGACTGGTTTTGCTGCTGACATTGCACCTCATGTTTTCACGACGACTATAGCTTCTACCACAATTTCTGCAATAGCATTTCCTGAAACTACAACTGAGCAGCTACAACCTCAAATATCAAATGACACTATGATTCCACCACCACCACCTGATGATCTTAATTTAATCGGTAATGGAACAGAAACCTCGCTGAAAGTTGTGGATGAAGAAGTTCAAAAGAAAATTGCAATTGAAAAGGCAGAAGAGAAACGGTATCGCGAATGGGAAAGCGAAGAAAACAACACGGATAACGATGGAGATAATCAAACGGAGACGTTCACTTTTCCAAATGGGACCACTATCACAAAAGTTGTTAATATTCGCAGAAAGATAACCACTAAAATCATTCACAAACACCGTGTTGAAGAAACACCTGGAACGAATTCAAATTCCACTAGCACATAATTTCTGTTTGTTATGTTTTCTACATAAAACACTTAAACCACTTCATTGCCCTCTTAAATTTTTTGTTTGTTTTTCAGAAACTATTGAAGTAGGAGGTTTACGGGAATTCCCATACCCTGATAATATTAATTATACAAATCCAACTATTGATTGCGGTGAAGGCAGAAATAATTCCACTAGTGCAAGCAGTTCTAATCCAAACAATGAAGTAACCACTGTTGGACCAACAAGTTCATTTGAAATAGTCACATTTGCTACCTTGATTCCGACTAGTACAGCAGACGAAATTGTTTATGCATCTACTAGCGCCACCAGTGCAACAATTTCTGGTGAAGAAGAAAACGCATTTACAAGTGGCAGTAGTTTAGAAACACAAATTGAAGTAACAACTACTGAAACTTCTTCAATTTCTTCTGAAACATTCGCTGATCTGATGCTAACATCAACTATTTCAAATTACGAATCAATTCTCACTACATCTAATGGAAACGAACATATATATGCAAGTAGTAGTTTGGAACCACACAATATATTCACCACTACTGAAACTACTCCCAGTCTGTCTCATTCATTTACTGATCTATCACTAACATCAACTGCTACTTCATCTGAGAAGATGATTGACACATCAACTAGCGCAACTACTTTAACAACTAGAGAAAAGTTTGAAGAGACTTCCACAACTGAACAATTCCTTTTAACAACTCTTACTTTTGAAGAAGGGAGTGATTTCACAAGTAGTTTAGAGCCACACAACAAAATGACAACGACTGGAACTACTCCAAGTTTATCTGAGACGTTTACTGAAACAAAGATGAGCTCAAGTACTGCTGCAAGCGACGAAATAACGCAAAATACAATTATTACTACAACATCAGAAGCTACTGAAGAGCTATACCCAACAGTTCCGCTGCTGATGACAACTGCAGAAACTTTCCCAATACCAGCACACATTTCCACAGGTTTCTTAGTGAAAAATTTCTGATTAATAATAATGGTCTTTACAGATGATTTTGTTATTGGTCATTGGTTTACAACAGAAACAATTAGAGAAGGTAAGTTATAACTTTATTATTATAACTTTATCACTTTATTTAATACTAATTATGAATTGACGTGTATGACAACTTTGAAGCTTCAAGTCAATGTTGACAGTATTGTTTTTTAGATAATGCTACAGAAAAGCCAAAATTGGAAATAATAACGTCGGTTGAAGAACATTTACCTTCAACTGATTCTATGATTTTGTTACCTACTCCAAATTCACTAAATATTTATGAAAGTGAGTAATTCCCATGACTACCTTCTATTACAAACAAACAATTGACACATTTTAGACATTACAGTGAAGCCTTTTGACTTTACAGATATAATGTTTCCAAAGCCAGGCGTTATGACTTCAAATGAAAAGTAGGTTTAAAAATGTTGAAAACGGCAATGACGCAAAATGTTCGATAAACTGTATTTATAGGAAAACAGAAAAAATGATGATTCTCAAATTGAAAGTCCCGGAGAGTGTCAAAGTAGACTCAACAGAATTTATCAGCAACATAACCTCCAGTTTGAATCAACTTGTTCAAAGCGTCGAGAATAGATTGAAATCGCGCAAAAGACGATCTGAAACTGACGGGAACGTTCCAGAAACTGCAAATTTCTCCGTCAGAGTTTGTGTTTTCTCATTTCTAATGATTGAAATGCTTTACTTATTAAAGGTTTCAAACGTCACACAAGTTTTGAATTCAACAGTTATTGCTTTTATTCTGGAGAGTTACAAAAACATAAGCAATGAAAATGATAATGAAAATAATGATAATGCTATGAAAAGTTTGGAGCACGAATTGGAAAAAATGGAAACCGGTGAATTGAGTGAATTTTTCCCATATCAAGTAAGCATTTCAATGTTTTTTCCGTCAATTAATCGTTTCAGACGATTGCAAGAATATTGGCTTTTGAAAGAATAATGACTGACTCCGATAGTTATACTAATACAAGTTTTTCTCTCACATATCAATTAGTTTGCATTACAGTTTCTATTATTATCTGTTTAGCTTTCTACTTTTTTATTAGGAAAAAGTGTCTCAAAAGAACTGTAAGTTCATAATTGTTTTCTGTAATTGTAAGCAATTTTCAGTGTTTGAGAAGGGTAGAAATCTTGAGGAACGACTCGTTATCAAATTGAAGACAATAATGATGGTCCTAAAGAAATAAATGCTTAAGTGGCAGTAGTCTTTCAAATTTTTCAATTCTTTCACATCCTGTGAGAAAGTGATTCATGAACTAAAATTAGTTTTGCAAAAATAATTGTAATATGTTTGATAAACAACTTGGTCCTTGAATTCTTCCAGATGTAAAATTATATGCTTCCCATTTTCTCTGAACTTGTTGTTTCGATGTGGTTTTACACTGAACAAATACGTGTCATAAAGTAAAGAACGGTTGAAGGCTATTCTCGGATGAATGAACACAACCGACAAGTACATATACAGTAAATTGTTTCTAAATGCATTGTACTCAAACCTATTCAGGATAATTCTGAACTCACCTATTTTATACATTGTATCTCATTCTTAATATACTTTTTAAGAACTCGCATCAAAACCTTTTCAATTGCTGATCTATAATACAAAATTTTGCGAAAGTAGCTTTAAAGCAGCTGTGCTTAAGTGCCTATTGATTGATTTCACTGAGAAAACTTTGAAATCACTGCTCAGAATCTATAAACAACGTTTCAATTAGCGGACCACTCAAAACTCGCACATTTATTACCGCTTTTCTAACCGAGACAAGGATGTTATAATCTCAGAAGCGTATATCCACTCTCTGTTACAATGCCACAGTGCTTCTTCTTTTTCTTGTTGTCAACATTCAACTTTTTAATGAAAGCCTGGCAGAAAGCAGCAAATAGGCAGAAAAGTTTATTTTACTGACTGATGTCGCCAAGCGTTTTTCATGACAAACGTTGTATGTTCCTCTACTCTCAAATAACTTTACAGAGAACTAAAATACAGCAGTGCTTTTATGTTTTTCATCTGCTTTTCATTATTCTTGCTGCTAAGGCCATGTTCTGCTTGTCCATCAGATTGCTTATGCTGGAATAAATCGGTTACATGCTCTGGACTGAATTTGAAAGCGATACCGCAAAAAATTCCTGATAACACTGTTAGATTGTAAGTTTTCATAAAAATGAATAGTGGGGAAAACCTTCACAAAATCATAGCTTTCATTTCTGCAGGGATCTACGGAACAACGATATAACACACGTGCGTTCATCAGATTTTAAAAATCTCAACAGTCTTGAAATTTTGTGAGTGTATGCCAATATATCTTATACAGAATTCTAATTACTACCATGCTTACCGCAATGCTTATATTTTCAGATTACTCAACCAAAATCTTTTGCAAACCTTGCCACTCAATGTTTTCGAAAACAATGAACAACTTCTGCATGTGTACGCTCTTATATAAAACTCTCAAAAAGTTGTTGATTAAATGACTCTTGTAGGAACCTAACAGAAAATCCCTGGTTTTGTGATTGCAAATTAAAATGGGTAAAAACATGGCGTGGAGGCACATTTGCAAAAGACATTATCTGCAAAGGACCTACCGAGTTGATTGGTGCAACTGTAAAAAATGTTGATGAACTGGTTAGTGATATTTTCTCTTTCAAAAATAGAATATTTAAAGCCTTTCAGTTTATGAAGTGTTCGGACGACGAGAAGCATGTTCGTGAAAATGTGGCTATTCTGGAAAAATGTCCAAAAATGTGCAGTTGTACTGGAACCACGGTAGATTGCCGAAACAAAGGAATAACCGAGATTCCAACTAACGTGCCGCTCTCAACTACTGAAATGTAACTTGAAAATTTTGGAAAAAGTTTCTACCACAAATCTATCATTGCATTTTACAGAAGACTAGAGCAAAACAAAATCACTATCATTCCATCGTTTGCATTTGAAAAGTTGGCCAACTTGAAAAAATTGTGAGTTGTTCCATAAGGGTTACATGGTAAACATTTTGGTTTCTAGAGATTTGAGCAAGAACCACATTGGCAACATATCTGAGAATGCGTTTCATGGATTACACGGCTTGCATACACTGTGAGCACTACCATCAATACACCAAAATACAAATTGTTTCAGAATCCTTTATGGAAACAAAATCAGAAGCCTAGACTCCAATTCTTTTGAAGGGTTGGATAGTCTAGAAGTGTTGCTATTGAATGCTAACAATTTGAGTTGCATTAACGAACGAACGTTTGAATACGTTCCACAACTGAATTTGTTGTCTTTATATGATAACAAAATAAAATCAATCAGTCAACACAGCCTTGAGAAACTGATTCATTTGAATACTTTGCATTTGGCTAGGAATCCTCTAGTTTGCGACTGTAATCTTCGCTGGCTGGTCCAGTTGAACAAGGAAAAAAACATTGAAACCAGCGGAGCTAAGTGTGATCAACCCAAAAGACTTCGGAAAAAGAAACTTTCATCTATTTCTGCATCGAAGTTGAAATGCCATGGTATTACAAGTCAACAGGCCAATTACTTGAAATTGTAAATTTTTATTTTCAGAAGACGATAATCATTCAACGAATATCGAAAATTGCAACTATTCTTCAGTTTGCCCCTTTCAATGTCAATGCTTCGAAACTACTGTTAACTGCACGTAAGGTTTAGTCTAACAACAGAATAACAAAAAAAAACAAATATGTTTTATTTTCAGATTGAAAGTTTTGATTCTTCATTGTGTCTTTCAGTCTAACGAATTTCAGAACCGACCTGCCGTTATGCACATTAACAAGTACTTTTTTCCAGAAAACGTGGCTTGACTCAAATTCCACGTAATCTGCCAAGTTTTGCCACCCATGTACTTCTTTCCGACAACAATATCCACGAAGTTGACTTGAAGAAAAATGTTAACAAACTGCGCAACTTGGAATTCTTAGACCTGTCGACTAATTTCATTGTGTCAATAGAAGATAAAACGTTTGAGAATCTGGAGAGATTGAAAGTTTTGTAAGTTGTGTTTCGATTTTTATGCTGCTAATTAATTTTTTAAACAGAAAACTAAACAACAACAAGTTGCGTTCATTTTCCATTGACTCACTGGATCCCGTTACTGTTCTCGAGAAGTTGTACGTTATTTCAGTTACCTAGAGTATAGAACAAACCTATGAATTATTTGTAGAGACTTGACTGACAATAAGATACAGTGTTTTGCACTAGGCTCATCTAATGCTACAGCGAGAATAAGGACAATGTAAATTTTGATATTTATATGTACATTTGCTAGCTACATTGCACTCTTCTTTAGTCACATTCGTGGAATCAACTTATCGTGCGGTTGTAAAATATCCCCACTTTTGCCATGGCTGGAGAAGGACCTGGTTGATGTAAACCCATGTAGCGATATTGAAAATGGATCTTTTCCGTATTTATCACAGATGAATTGTTCATGTAAGTGAGATTAAGTAAAATATATTTATAATTAATATCAATAGCTGATTTTAGCTGTGGTCAAATCTACATGCTCCGCTATTGTAAATCCTTGCCCATCCAAATGTTCTTGTTCTGAACGTATTGTACGCTGTTCAAACCAAAATTTGACAGCTTTACCCAGCAATTTACCCATTGACACTTTAGAGTTGTATTTAGACGGAAACCAGATAAATGAGATCAACGTTGAAGAATTGAATCAGTTGATACATCTTCAGAAACTGTGAGTGAACTTATTCATTGATAAAAAATATTATAGTTGTTCAGTGATCTTTCTCACAATCAAGTGAAAATTCTACAAAATAACACATTTTCCCATCTTGGAAAGTTATCAACGTTAATAATGAGCTATAATAAGCTTCGAGTTTGTTTATAGTTTATTATTGTTTTTCTAACCAAATTTTCAGTGCATACAACCTTCCGCATTTGATGGGCTCGGAGCGCTTCGAATATTGTCCCTTCACGGCAATGATATTTCATTTTTACCAGAGACTGCATTTTCGAGACTTACGAGCATTACACACATGTGATTAGATAAAATAACTCTAAAGTCAAATTGAAGTAATTTTTTTAGAGCGGTTGGAAGCAATTCACTTTATTGTGACTGTCACATGGCTTGGTTTTCCAAATGGATTAAAACAAAATTCATTGAAGCTGGAATAGCTCGTTGTGAGTATCCGATAAGTGTAGCTAACCAACTACTTCTGACCGCGCAACTATCTCAATTCAAGTAAGTACCGTTTTATTAAATTTGCTCAATAAGTACAACGTCTCATATTCCAGGTGTGAATCAAAACCACCAGAAAAACTACTGAACAAGTGTAATTTCTGCTCTGAATCGCCTTGCAAAAACAATGCGCAATGCGTTCGGAATGGTGCGAAGGGCTATACTTGCAACTGTGAACCTGGATTTTACGGAGCACACTGCGAGAGTAAAGTGGACGCGTGCTTTGGAATTCCATGCTTGAATAACAGTACCTGTAAAGCAACACAATCGGGACGATTTGCTTGTTTTTGTCGGAAAGGTTTTAATGGAGATCATTGCGAAAATAATGTCAATGATTGTGAAAAACACGAATGCAAAAATGGAGGGACTTGTGTGGATTTGGTAAATAATCTTGTTGTTTGGCAAATAATTTTCCTCTAAAAGGTAAACTCGTATAAGTGCACTTGCCCAATCAACTTTACCGGAAAACATTGCGAGGAAAAACTGCATGTTTGCAATCTGAACCCTTCTCCTTGCATGAAAGGTGGTACATGTGTACAGTTAAACAGTACCTACAGGTAATGTTTCAAATTGTTTATGTTACAAAAAAGTCAATTCATGCAGTTGCATCTGTCCAACGGGATATAGCGATCAGAACTGCACAACATCCGTCCAAAATGAATGTGATGAGGTAGAATGCCAGAATGATGGACATTGTGTTGTAAGTCACATAAATTTATCAAAAAGTAATCTGACTCCTATCATTTTACAAAGAATCATCACGGTACTTCCAAATGCATGTGTAGAGATGGGTTCACTGGACCGTTCTGCGAACATTTCGCAAATCTTGATACAGAATATCAGAATACGGAAGGTTTTTCAAAGTTTAATTGTGAACAGGTAGTTTTTACTTTCAAAATTTGTTTATACACCAATTTATCATTAAGGAATGCGCACGGAATCTAAATAGTTCTCATCCCTATTGTGACTGTTGTAAAAAACGTAATGAATCAAATTGCAATATTTCGGATCAAGAATCCTTTGGATTTAATAAACCAGGCGCGTATATAGCTTTGCAACCATGGCGGACGCTAGAAAATTTGACAATGGTTTTAACTACTATGAAAAAGTGAGTACACTACACAAATTTTGCCAAAATTTATTTTAAGGACTGGCATTGTTTTCCATTACGGAGATGAACACTTTATAACAGCAGAATTATACGAAGGGCGGTTAAAAGTTGCATTTTTTGTTGGAAACAATCCACCAAGCCATATGTACAGCTTTGTCAAAGGTTGATTCAGTAATGCAGCAAAGCAAATGTATCATTTTCAGTCGACGACGGTTTGCCGCATCTAATAAAAATCAATATAGCTGGGAGAAAGTGCATTCTAGAAATAGATTCAAATCCATCGCAAACTGTAGAAAACAGCGGACCATTAAAACATCTTGCTGGAGAAACGAAAAAAATGATATACGTTGGCGGGCTGCCAGAAAATGTGTCACAAACAGCCAGATCCAAGTTTCAAATTACAACCAAAAATAGTTTAGTCGGTCAGTGTGGTAATTTTTCGGTTGCAATTGCAGACAGTATTTTCAGGATGTATCAGCTCATTTATGATTGATGAAAAGCCAATCAACTTTGAGGATACTGTAGAAAATGTAAATACAGAATGGAACTGCTCAAGAATCACCGATGTCTGCACAGGTGCTTGAGCTTTTTACTTTTGTATTATTGTTTCTTCGTTTTTCAGATATTGATTGTGGATTTGGTCAATGCGTAAAAGATTCTCTATCTCCAAAAGGTTTCAAATGCGAATGTGATGATAAGCATAAAGGAGAAAAATGTGAATTGAGTAAGCGTCAGTTGGAAAAAAGTCAATACTCTTTATTTACTTGTTCCAGGCAGTGTAAGCTGTGACAAACGAAAATTCCGTGCTTATTATGAAGAAGAAAATTGCCGTTCTGTTAACCGGATAACGTTTGGAAAGTGCAAAGGCGGTTGTGGAAAATCGAAGGTGCGTTCTGACAACGTTCTGACAAAATCATTAGGAGTTTCTGTTGCAGGACACTTGTGTTGCTGTCAAAATAAAAACAAGAAAAGTGAAAATGATTTGTAAAGATGGTAAAGTGTAAGTGTTCATCCATTTACGACAGATTCAGATAATCATGTTTTTATGTTTCAGAAAAATGTCAAGTGTTAACATCATTCGGCAATGTTCGTGTGGAGTAACTCAACTTTGAGCGCGCAATTGCTTCATATCTGTATTTTTGCACATTCCGTCTGTTTTCAGCATAATTCCAACCAAATCATTTTTGATGATAAATGATCAAAGTCCGAGAAGAAAATAAAGGTTTTTAAGTTAGTTGCAGTTATTTGCAGGCTGAGTGAAATGCAAATATATATTTCAAAAAATTTGCGCTAGTTTTATATTTGCTCGTTGATTGCGGCAGATATCGCATGGGCTTACTTGACAATCATATCCAAGTCGCTCATCACATTTATGAAATCTTACTCGAATCTGAACTGACCTAGAAGTTAGGATTATGCCAGAATAATTATTCAATTATTCGAAGGAAATTCACATTTCGTATCAATACACTGTTTTGGTCAGTTTTCGTTTGAAAACATTCAACATCCATATGTTACTTTTTAATTGAAACATTTGAAAGGATTCTAATTTCCGTGAATAAGTGTAGCGTGTAATCGAATTTTAACTTTATTTTGCTCCGAACTTTTCCTATAAAAGTTAAGTGACAATACGCATTTTTATTTTGAATCGAATACCATAACACAATTTTTAAAAGACTTAATATCGAAACCGCTTGAAATGTTTGTAAATTGACAATGAAAAACTGCTTCCCCATATTACTTGTTGCTTGTTTATCCAAATACATCACCAACTCTTTCAAGTGATCTTGTTCCCGTTTTGTTATTCGTTTTGTTGATTCATTCGTTGAGGCGCGAAGTGTAAAGTGAGGATTTCTGGGTTCCTGCTCAGATTCAGAGCCTAGAGGTATCAAGCTTATAGGCGAGAGCCGCTTCTTCTTATTCCTTTCTTTACAACGCGAAAAACGGGGAGGATTGTGTAAGAAAAACGATTGAAGAAAGGAGAAGAAGAAGAGGAATGAGGAGAAGAAGAAGGAGCATTCGTGCGAATGCCACCACCAGTTCTCAAGTTGATGCTCTGCTTCATCTCACTTCTTGCCATTGTCCTCAGCTTTTACACTCTTTGCTAACTTTCTTCTACTTTGAATGTATCTGATTGAGTTTTAGTATGCGCTGGATCAAACTTGCTAGCCTTGGGCTAGTCTTTCTACTCGTTGATGCTGGAGTTTCGAAGAACGAAGATTTGGAGTGCATGTTTCTAGGATACCCAGATTTAGAATACGACGGTTTTGATAGAACTGAAGTAAGTCAGATTGTTCAAACATTGCGCTAAAAAGCACGGATTCAGGTGCTTACCGAGAAAAATTTCAATAGAACCGTTTTCGCCGAGGACACCAAGTCGGTTGTTTTTTTCAATGACGTTGAGGAAGATGACTCTGAGTTAGATCAGTATGAGTGCTTCCTTCAGGTTAGTTCACACATTTCTAGAACAAGATTCATTGAGTGCAATGTTTTAGTTGTCCGCTCAAATCATGACCAAAAGAGGATACAACTTCTACACAGTGAACACCACGAAGGAACATCGCTTGAGAAAGCAAGAAGGTCAGTTTACTCATATTTTTTGCTGTGAAACATAAATCATTAAAGTTGGTCATATTATTTTATGAACCATATGTTGGCATCTTATTTTTCTTGAAAATTTACAGCACCGCTATAAAAATAAGACTAGAGACTGATTCGTTAGAATTAAGCTGTCGAATTCAGCAATAAATCGGAAGAGGGTTAATTTTCAGAAGTGGAAAAAGGAGAAGACACTATTCACGTGTACAAGGACGGGTACAAAATTGAGTACAACGGTGTACGTGATCCGGAAACCTTTGTTTCTTGGCTCATGGATGTATGTTTCATGCTAAAACATCCGAAATATAAATGTTTGCTCCAGATCCCAGATGATCCAGTCACTATTATCAATGACGAGCATGATCTCGAGGAGTTTGAAGACATGGATGATGAATGCGTTCGTATCATTGGTTATTTCGAGCCAGGATCTGTTGGTGAGCCTGGTTTTTTGTCTGAGTGTGTTCAGCACAACTTATTAGACACTATTTGAACTTTTCCCGATGTCCTCACTCTTGAATGTATATTTTTAGCCTTGAAAGAGTTCGAAGAGGCAGCTGAAGATTTCATGGGAGAGATTGAGTTTTTCGCGGTTGTTACGTCTAAGGTACAGTCTGTCTGCTTGCAAGTGCTTCTCAATGACACTTACTAATTGAATTATTCATAAAGAAAAAGGTGTTTTAAGGTCTCAAATCTAGTGTGAAACTGAAAAAGCACGTTGTTTGAAACCAATTCCTAAATATACATCTCTAACTTGATACCTGTTTGATGTTTGAAAACGAATGATCAATGAACCCTTCTTGTCAATTTCCCATCAAGAAACCAGCAGCAACAGTTGTGTTTTTTCAGTGGGCTAGAAAGGTCGGATTGAAAAGAGTTGGGGAGGTCCAAATGCGCAGACCTTTTGAAGAGGACCCACTTTTTGCCCCAACTTCAGCTGACACTGAGGAAGAGTTCGAAGAGTGGGTTGAGAAGAACAAAGAGCCAGTTATGCAAAAGCTCACTCTTGACAACTATTTCAACCTCTGGGTAATATAATAAAAGTCTGAGATCCATAAGTTCATAATCAAATTTCAGCGTGATCCAGAGGAAGAAGAAAGAATGATTCTGGCTTTCGTCGACGAGGAGACTCGCGAAGGAAGAGCCATGAAGAAACTTCTTGACAAAATTGCCGATGAAAATTCAGAGCACGCTGGAACTTTGGAAATCATTCTTGTGGATCCTGATGAGTTCCCATTGATGGTGGACGTCTGGGAGGACATGTTCGGAATTGATATTGAAGAAGGCCCACAAATCGGACTCATTGATATTTCTGAGGTAGGAAAGCAACAAATTTCACTGCTTTTTTTAAATCTGTTTTTAGAAGGAAGGAATCTGGTTCGACATGTCTCAAGTCAACCTGGACGACCCGAAGAAGCACTCCGACTCAAATTTCGAGGCCCTTCAGTCGTGGATTGATCAAATTCTTTCTGGATCTATTGCTCTCGATGGTAGAAACGTATCATTTTTGCTTTCAAATCCTTATTTTCCAGACGATGACGATGACGAGCCAGAGCCACCAGCACCACCACCAACCCCAAAGGGAAAGAAAGCTAGAAAGGAATTGTAGTTTTCTACTTTTTTGTGTGTTTTTTCTTTTTGCATCCACGGTAATTTGAAGTTGTAAACCGATTAGTTGAAATGTTCGCAAAATTATTATGTTTTAATAAACCTGTTTTCCTTTAAACATTCAAGCCAGAAAATTAAGAAATCAATTAAAAATTTAAAGTTAAATACTACTTCTAAATAGATGAATGAAAAATCCTATTTCAACTATTTTTACAATCTCCATGACAGAGCGTCTTCATGCATTAAATTTTTTCCTTTTTTTAAGGAAAGTGAAAGTCTGAATAACTGACTCATCGAAACTTTTTTCATTTATTTCCAAAGTTTGCTCTCGACAAGCTATTATGCAACGTTAACAATGAAATACATGAAACGGTTTTTTGTTTGCGCTTTTACAACTAGCTCTAAAATACCGTAACTTCCATGTAAACATACTGGTTGGTGACTGGCTATTATTCAGTTGAACACTACATTTTCAAAAAGTATATACTCCAAATGCAATTTTTCATTTTTTGTTTCTGAAAAGTAGATCCGTATTTGTAACTCTACTCATTGTCCAGTGGACAAGTTATATAATGAATGATCCACAAAAATAATTTTGAGGAGTGCACAAATTGAATCGAGTCGAGTCGAATCGTTGAGTTGAGTTGGGCAAATCTAAATATTAGAATGATATACATATTTATGAGTCATTTTTGATTGTCTCAGAGAAGAGGATTCCTAATCTTTTGTCAATCCATTCTGCATACACACCAACTAAAGAAATCATTTAGTAAACATTCACGAAAACTTGGTTTGGCTCGAACCTTACACTTTATTTTGTGCTCTTTTAATTTATTGAAAAAGCAGGAAAAGCAAGTTGTGGAACAATCGTCACCTGCGTAACAGGAAGTGCGCTATTGCACAGTCAAACACTAAATCTGCTAATTTTAAAAGTAGTATTCACACTTGAATGCCTTCTGTGGCATTGTCGTAGGTGTCAAAAGAGTAAATGACATTTAACATTTAAAAATGTGTAAACTGGCTTACAGAGTCATTCCGCTGGTGATGTTGAGGTAGAGTTTACAGATACTTGGTTAGCAGCGGCCACAACTGCTGCCTGTCGAGCATAAGCGGCCATCATGTTGTAAGGAGTGTAGCTAGCCGAGGAAAATGCGGGATTTGGGAAAAATGTGGAATAATATTGTGAAATATCTTGGGTCTTCAAAGTTTCCAGTGTGACTTGATAGTTAAACAGGGTTGGTGGCGCCAACGAGGCTGGTATTGCAACGTTGACTGAAGATTGTTGCTTGACCGATGATTTTGGTTTTCGTCGTGGTCTATACTTGTAATCTGGGTGATCCTGTAACTGAGGGTTAAACTGAGAACAATAAAACTATTATTTAATCCGCTACCTTCATGTGCAAAGCACGGAGTCGTTTGGCTTCATCAATGAAAGGTCTTTTCTCCTGCTCTGAAAGCTGTTTCCATTCAGCTCCTAATCTTTTGCTAATTTCAGAGTTATGCATCTTTGGATTCTCCTGTTGTAATAATAAATAAAGTCTTTTTACACACGTACATCACATACCTGTGCCATTTTCCGTCTTTGGCCTCTACTCCAAACCATGAACGCATTCATTGGTCTTTTCACATGATCTGCAGAGGTTTTCGGGTCAACTGGAGATTCCGGAGTGCTCAAATCAGAAGAGACTGATGTAGTGTCATCATCATAGAATGGTTTCACACTGATGTCATCGCATAGCAATGTTGTATAGTCACACGAACTCATTCACTGAAAATAGCATTAGTTACGAAATCAAAGTCAACTACATTCAGAATATGAAAATAAAAAAGACATATTTGGAGTATTCATAACCGGGTAACACACAAGTTATATCATAAAAGTACTGGTCTCAATGACGAAGAAACTAGGCGGCGCTCAAATAGACGAGAGACAGTAGGCGGAGCCGGGGGAAGGGAAGACGGGCATACGGTAACCGCAAGCAGGCGAGCTTTATACGTATCTTTTAACAACTTGAGCATATTTTGTGGTCAAACAAATTGTTAGATTTCTAATTTTTGAGTATATGGTTCTAATATCGAACTCGTAATTAGCTAAATATGACAATATTAAATTGGTATTTTTGGAGAACTGAAAAACTCGAAAAATTAATTCCACAAACGTGTTTTAGGTTATTTTACATATGGAAAATACTGAATTGAGAAAATAACTTAAACTTAAAAATTACTGTTTGATAATAAGAGCATGATGTTCAGAAAAATGCAGTATTTCGAAAACTACAGAAGAAATAGCTTTGTTTGACAACTTTTTTTTTATTTGTTACTTGGAAAGACAAAGATGGATAGAGTCCGGCGCAAAATGGTTCCTTTATACAATGTAAATTTCCGATAAATTCGTTTAAGCCTCTCCTCACTCAACGAGTTGCTTCCAACACCCACTTTCGAACACTTGACGAAGCAAATTATTATAAGTCAATTAGTCAGTTCACGGCTCGCAAATGGTGGGCTTTACAATGGGAAGGAGTAGTCGGTTGGGACGGAAGTAAATAATTTGTTTATCACTTCCCTTATTATACTTATTCATGTAATTTCTCATGATTTTCAGCTCCCATTGGTTTGTTGAACAGGCACTTGACTTTTTGGGGTTATTATCAAAATATTTGCACAAAACTGCTTTCCTTAAGTAGATCTTATCATTTTTCCTTAAGCGTTATAGTTATTGAAAAAAAAGTTAAAATTCACTCTCTATATTTTTTTCGTGTTCGTCTTGTAGCATATGCTTTATTGACTTTGATGGCCGTGTACATACCGTCCCATCTTAAGATATCAAATTCATTATTCTATTTTGTTTGATATTCATTAGCAGGGACGCACTTCATTAATCACTTGATGAGCCGTGTTTGAGGTGTGTTCGAAACTGTCTTTTGAGGATGGGGCAACGACGTCAAGAACTACAAGTTGTTTGGAAAATTGAGTTGGATTCCAATTTCTCGGGATCAAAAATAGGAGCCAGCTGTAATCACGCATCATTCTTACGAGTATATTCGCAAATTGAGTTGGTCATGGTCTCGTTATAACTGCCTATTTTCGAAATTGAATAGTGTATTCTTGATATTATATTGTCATGTTCATTATGACTATTGTGAGAACTCTGAGATGCACATTTCAGTTTCATGATGCGTAGAACAAAAAATATTCCAAAAAGTGATGTTAGTCTAGTCGGGATTTAAGAAAATATGAAAATTTATTAACAACAGATAAAACTTGAATAATTCAAATTGCTCTTGGATGAATAGCCTTTTCATATCGTCTAGTGATAACTGAGTCTGCATTATCAGCCGATGGACGTTTACAATATCCAACTCCAGATTGTGTGACGTAGAAGAACGGACGACAACAATATCCTCCAGTACATGGACTAGTGTTGCAATACACTGTTTCCGTGTAACTACCGCAGCTGAAATGGAAACAAGTTGAACATTACATTTCAAGAACGATCATACCTTCTGGATTGTGTTCCACATCCACCACACTGTGCAGAGCAGCTGGACCACGTTGAGCAATTAGATGTGGATGTGATCGTGGTGATTCGGGCTGTAGTTGTAGTTGCAGTTGTGGTAGTAGCAGTGGTTTTCTTTGTTGTTGTAGTGGTTGGGGCAACTGTGCTTGTTTTTGTCGTTGAAGTAGATGTAGTAGAAGCTGGTCGTTGAGTTGTAGTGGTTGTTGTTGTAGAAGTTGTAGACGTTCCAGAAGTCGTGGGAGAAGATGTTGAGAAGGTGACTGGATCATAACGATAGTTCAGCGAAAATGCTGCTCCTGACACTCCTTTGTAAATGACTACCAATGTGTTTGTTTCGGAGACCGAAATGGTTGGAAAAGAAGTGCAAAATCTGGCCCCGGCCAATGTGAAATCAGTGAGATAGTTGATTTCCAAATAGTTTGATGAACATGGAGAGGATCGAGAAAATGTTGCTCCGGTCATTTGGAAGTACACCTTTGCACCAACTGGAGCCTGGAATCTAAGACATTTTAAGAAAGACAAAGCAAAAAGCACTCTGAAAGAAACAGTTTTCTTTAAAACAAAATTGAACTTTGTATTTTCCAAAGACTTTTTGAAAGTTGTGTGCTTACCGTGATGATGTAATTACAGGTTAACGCTCCTGATGCCGAGATACTTTGAACGGTGCTCGTAGCCTCAAGATTTCCGGTTCCACAACCACTACTGCTTGTAGCAGACACGTTGCACAATTGTCCGCCAAAACCAGGTGGACATTTGCAGTTGTTGCAGTCGTTCGGGTTTATGTAACCTCCGAATTGGCAATCAAGTTTGTCCGAGCAAGTAGCTAAAATAGAATAAATGAAGCATAGACAATCATTTTGATTTTTACAGTTGCAATAAGCCAGATTGATCCGTTTGACATCAGCAAATGATGGTGCAACTCTCTGCCCAATTGTTGCTTGGTAATTGGGATCCAGAGTAGATATTGTGTTTCCCCCATTTGAGGAGAACGCCAACTGATCATAATGCATGACAGATCCATAATCATAACCGACGCCATAGTCGACCATACTGGAGAAAGATTGTTTTGAGAACTGGCTCAAATAGCTGGACTGAATGTTTTGAGTCAGAATTGACACATATTCGTCTCGATCATAACGAGCTTGCTCGTGATAGAAGCCAAGAGCGTGGCCTGAATAACACCAGATATGGAAATTGACGAAAATAAAACTGACCAATCTCATGACAAACAGTTCCAAGAGAAGTGCAACCAACTCCAATGGACACTTGTTGGGACGATGACCCAATCTTCCCGATATAAGACCAGCAGCCACTACCCGAAATAAATTCAAGCGCGTTTCCAGATGTAGGCAGACTGCTTAGTTTTGTGAATCTGGCACAAGTTTCGGCTTCCCATTTTGCAACTCCAGCAGTAATTGCATTCGAATCAGCTGAAAAATTCTCGATAGAGAGTTTGGATAGTTTAAACCTTGCCTCCAGAAGCAGTATTAATGTAATAAGGGATAGGGAAACTCCATCTCAACGATAAACTAGATGTCATTGAACGCCTCCCACGAATCGCATAGAGAAATTCATTTATTTTTGATTTTCTGGCCCAGTACTGATCGCGAACGTTCCGTATAATTTGGTCCATTTGCTCGTCAGTCAACACCATGTCTCCTTCGAACAAGTACGGGATTTCATCAGGTTTCCTTTGAATGGCATCAAAATCTAAGGATGATTCATCAGCTGCATCATTTTCAGGCAGTTTCACATCTAAAATGTTTGCTTGAAGTCTATTCAGAATATTCAGTCTGTTGATGAAGCGCACTGCCTCTGCTTGCTTGAAAGGGCCCTTTCCACTGATAAAATCAGCCAAATAACTTTTCTGAAAACCAAACAGAAAGTTGATTTTATTATTAGATGTGCAATCCTACCGTTTGAAAACAAGACAAGAAACATAGAAAAACTATAATGTTGATTAGGACCATAGCGCAGAATGGAATGTTCGAATATTCAGGAAACCCCGAATACTATCCATGAGGATCATCTCTTATCTTGCCGTTTTATAAGATATACAGTATCTCCCTATCGGGTTGATGCACTTTAAAGATTAATATGGATATGTGTTATGTATCAGGTCAAGGTTCTCACGAAATTCTTGTCTAGAAAGACTACAAACAGAAACATCAACATCACTACGATATAAATATGATTCCTGCACTGTAGCTGAGAAGTCAAGAGTACTGTGCATCAAGACTACTGTGCATCAAGACTACTGTGCATCAAGACTACTGTGCATCAAGAGTACTGTGCATCAAGAGTACTGTGCATCAAGAGTACTGTGCATCAAGAGTACTGTGCATCAAGAGTACTGTGCATCAAGAGTACTGTGCATCAAGAGTACTGTGCATCAAGAGCACTGCGCATCAAGAGTACTGTGCATGTTTTGATTCGACCATTGAACAGAACAGGGTTATTGAAGTTGAATGTATGGGGGGGGCAATCAAATCAAACCCCCATTGAACCAATCATAGTTGCTTTTTTCTTAGGCTATCATTAATCCTCTATTGCCAATTGACGCTTTTTTCGAATGACCTGAGCACATGCGGAAAAGTGCCGGAGCTTTTTTCGCGGCTGTCCACAAAAGAATGTCGTGACTTGACCGTTGGCTCTGTTTGTTTTTCTCTGTTAAATTTGTTCGCATTCATCACCGCACACACTTTCTCATACCCCTGGAGGCGGTTATCTTTGGCAAGCTAAACATGAGAGCTGTGCATAAAAAAGAAGAACTGGACCTAGCCGCGGAGACGGAGAACTTCCCTTTTTGATTGCACTGCCGAGAGCTATTCTATATATAAGCGGACAGTCGGAAGAGTTTCGACTGATTTCCAAAGGTTTCGAGCAGAATGTCCCGGTGTCTAGCTATCAGTTTGTTCCTTGCTTTGCCTTCACTCGTTTCTTCTTTCCCTCCTCGTCATACAGATGTTTTCAATCCACTTGGTCCATGGCACAAAAGAGTAACACCTATTCTAAAATGGAGCCAAATGATAAGTTGAGATGAACGTTTCAGAGTAAACCGTGTGGTCTACCCAAGTTCATAAAAGACTTGCCAGACGAAACTGCTCAAAAAATCGAAAAGATTTGGGGAAATTATACTGACGGCGCCGAATGTGAGAAGGAACATGATTTGACCAGGTGAGCATATTTTTGTTTGCATTTTAGTGAAGTTTTTTGAATGATACACCTCTTACATTGAACAGTCACTGTACAATTCAATTTTTGTTTATCACTAGACAAGTCCTCCGTCAACTCTCTACTGAACAACGTGACAAAATCTTTGCTGGAAAGTGCGGACCATCATTCTTAAGAAATGTTTCTGCAACAGTTCGACAAGAGTTCAAGACAGTTTGGTTCAATCTGAAGCTGAGCTCTGAAGACAAACAGCTCTCTCTCCAAAAGCTTGCATATTCTCTTTTGTCCGGAGAATCCGTCAGTTTTTGCTTTGATTATCATTGTTTTAATTTATCTTTACAGCTTGCTTTGTTCAACAAATGGGAGGAGGAACTTAAAATTAGAAAGGAAGAAATTAACAAGAAAGTTTCTGCTTTGTCTCCGAACGCGCGAGAAGCATTTGAGCAATGGAAAGAATTGAGATTGAAGGTAAAAATTGCGTTTTAAAAAACAAAATTTCTTACATTCCAGGAAAAACTGTTCTTGGCCGGTTTGTCCGAGGATATCCGTAGCGAGTTGAAGACACTTTTCGGCCACGGACCCAACATAGAGGAACCAAGCACAACTACAACAACGGCAAAACCGACCACGGTGAAGTCCACTGTCGACTCAACTGATGATGTCACAACAATTGCTCCAGCATTTGACGAGCAAAGTCTAGGAAAAGAGTTCTCCCTTTTCCTGTTTTCACAGCCCCCAGAAGATTTCCTTTCAGAAAATCAGTGCCATCTGTTTGTTTGAATCTTTTTAACATTTTTAATTTATTGTCAGAATATATACAGATGTGTATTGATAAATTTCTATTTATTCGTAGCATGTTTGTTTTCCACGGTGTCTTGACCTTCCCAATACGGTAACCAAATTGATGGTTTGCGTTTGATCCACAGTGCAATTATTCTTTCAAACGACAAATGACTCTGATAACTTTTGATGACTCTGATAACTCGAAGTGAGTTAAATAATAATATCTAGAGTGATTCCCGACACCGTGAAGATATTCTTTGATTAGATATAGAATTTTGTCAAGATACTATCCCCGATCTCACCCATAAAACTGTTAATCCGTGGAGCTGGTGTGACTTCAGCAGTTACTTTCAGAATGCCACTCTACTCACAGTAGGAAAAACGAATAACTGAAAACAGTTAATATCAAGTAGTTCACTCTAGTTTTGGTTTTCTGATGTATCTCGAACTACTCGGAAAAAAATGGAGTGTCTTCATAAATTACCATGATTCTTGTGATTTGAAGAATGACGAGTGGGAGTTATCAAAGTAGAAAAGGAGTAAAACTAGACAGTTTTGGGATTTCTGATTCTGGTCAGCTGGTGTTGCCGCGCATTGATAATTAACCAGCACTTCAATTGGCACAGATATGGCTTTCGCGTAGTCATTCTGCAAAATGGTTTTTGAATTAAAAGATTCTCGCAAATTCAGTCATATTTCGGCTGAGGCTAACGCACCGACTGGATGAAGTTTGGATGCCTCGACAGAGTCGGAATAACTTAGTGCCCCCGAGTGCTGAACGAAGCATAGTTTGTGTGTCTTCCAGAACATCCACATTCAAGGACTCATCGATATTTTCATAACCGTCACCGGTCCATGGCATTTTTTAAAAATGGGCATGGACTGGTATTTTCGAATCGGATCGTCCGAAATATGCTATAAACGACGAATTCCCACCTAGCGGGTTTGAACAACTATCTGAATTGTCGTTTTTAGTTTTGATATTGTCTACCTACTGTCTCACATTTTCAGAATGACAACACATAGTATCTTCTTATCCGGAACTCAATAACATCCGCTCCAGTGACAGTCAGAACAATTCGTCGTATAAATACTCGCAACGGGAGTATCTCTCACTTCGCAGAGACGTTCATTTTGCTCGAAACAAATGAACTGACACACGTGATTAGTATCCAAGATTAACGTTTTGAAAAATTCTGAAAAATTCTTTAAAAAGTTCTGAAAAATTAAATTGTCTGCCTTTCTCTAGCAACAAGAATTTCTCTCTTTTCGTAATATAATGCTTTCGTCCTCTAATATATATGTATTATATATAAATATATATCTATTCATTGCTCAAAGATCATCTGTTGGAAATAGACCCTAAACGGATTGCCCGGGGCGTTTTTTTGCGGGCTATAATAAATTAAATCAAACCATCCTTGATGTCTTTGGTTGCTCCTAATAATTAAGATGATAGCAGCCCTCAACATTCGACATATTTCCGACAATAGCGCATTGAATCAAATAAATCCTTTGCGATACTTCGCTTTAAAAAAGGATGTTTTCGTCAAAACAGTTGCAGAATTTAGCTTACCTCATTGTCGACTACATTTCCGACTGACTCTTCTGTGCCAACAGACAGGTTATCGTCCTTCTAAGCCTGACGTGATTTGTCATTTATGTACCGGAAAAGTTGAGTTCTCAAGTGATGATACAATCTGATAGTCCGTGCGAAGCGGCATTATTTCTCACCGAAGATCCTGCAGATCATTTTCATGTACTTCAACTTGGGCCTTCTTCGAATAGTTCGAACTGCCGACACTGTCGACTGCTGTCATCCGAGTCTAATCCTCCCATTTTTGTATTCAATCAGAATCATTAGCTCTGTAATAAATTATGTTTCCATCATAAGATCCGTTGTGAAACGAATTATTTGCTTACCTTCTCGTGATTTTGTTTGTCCGTCCGAGTAAGACTCCAGTCTTGTTCTGAAAAATGAATTGTCTGTATTTTGCTAGCAACAAGAAATGCTCACTCTTTGTGTCTTCCTTCTTGCTTCCGCACAACCAGCTTAGGACAAGTTGAGACTTCTGACACCGCGCTGACGATTCTACCCAGAGGTGTAACTTCCGGGCCGACTGAGCCGGACCGGGCTAGCAAAATCTTCGGCGCGGCCCGAAACTTTGTGAGCCTGATAGGAATAAACCTGAAATACATACAATCATGTTAGCAGGCAGAAGGGTTACTTTTTGTTCCGGATTGTCCGAAATTTTCTAGCTCATGACAATCCAATCAAGATAGAAACTGGCAGGTTCGAAAAAACATCTGAAGTGTCGATTCTAACTCACATTTTCAGACTAACAAAACATAGTATCTTCTTATCCGGAACTCAATAATATCGGGCTTAGGCTCCAGTGATAGTCGGAACAATTCTTGGCGATAGTAATATTCATGGCGTTAAACAGCAGTCCTCTTCTCCCCATCTTGAAAGGATTACACAAAAGTAATAACTTACCTCTACATAGTAAGGTCTGAAAAACAGGATTACCGGCTCCCGGGGTTTTTTGGAGTCACAAGAAAAGTAGAATCTCACCCTTCGTATTATACTGAGCAGTAGAAAACCAGTAAAAACACTCAACTTTATTATTGGGGCACCGGACAGAAAGGGCGCGCTGTTCGCAATCTGGCCGAATTTCTAGGCCGCGAAGTAATTTTCCACTGAAAATGTGGCCTAACTTTTCAAACTCGGCCCCGAGGTCGCTCAATTTGCACTGCAAAAAGAGTTTCTCAACAGAGCGCCATTTCTGTGCGGTGCCCCTATAATAAAATGCCATCACGTTTTTACGGTGAAATTAGGGCAACAATACGCGTAATAAATCGTTTTCTGACCTACCGGAAAGTCACACTCACCTCTGTGTGAACGACTTGAAGGGTATTTAGATCCTATAAATTGGCGCAAAGGAGGGGGCGTGGCCTGACGAATTTTCTCTTGATTTTCGCGTGCGCATGTTTGAGGACCTGTACCGAGGTCCCCAGATCAAGTACCATACTCGTAATGTTTTGCTCTATGTAATTGGCCATGCTGAATCTAATGAACAACTCCGGTTCCCACGAAAACGCACCATTTACTCAAAAAAAAAGGCGAAAACGAGAATGGAAGTCTTTCAGGTTTATTTTTCTCGGTCAACGCTATGGGACCTCTAAGACGTATAAACGGAATAAACGTCTTCTGATTGTTCTTCTAGAAGGTGCTGGATCCGTGGGAGAATTCACAACCATCTGGATTTCCGTTGAAGTCCTTCTGGGATCCTCTCTCGACGCTCTCAGGATGTTCCGATCCATGGCCTTGGTGGTTCCACGAGGTTTTCCTGGCGCCTTTGAACCGATGCAGGTATTCTAAATATTTTATTGGGTTTGACAAACACTTTGAACCTTACCTGCGTCTTGAATCTTTTCAAAATGCTGAAAGCCGTGGAAATACCGAGCTGAAACTGCTGAGCAAGATCTTTCAACTTCATGCCTTGCTGGCGACCTCGGATGATCGCTTTTTTAACATCTACGGGCACATTTTGTCTTCCACAAGGTTTTCCCATGTCTACAAATCATTTTAGAGTCATATGTTATCACAGAAAAAAAAAATAAATCGAAAAAAATAAAAAAACGTCAAAAATGAAAAATCAAAAAAATGAAAAAAAAAAACATTTTCTGAAAAAAAAATAAATGATGATGCAGTTTGAAAGTCCGCAACTTTGCGTAACGGTACTTATTGTATACCGTATAAGTTTCAGGGTCCCCGGATAACTAGAAAAAAAGTTATCCTCAAAAAACCATTTTTTCATAATGGCCAGCACTTAATGGCCAGCACTGTACGTCCGTTCTTTTCTCAGGAGTCCGTTCTTCCCAGACAGATCCGCTTTGTTTGGATCATTTTGTACATTTTTTGATGTAATGTCGAATTGTTAAGACACAAAAAAATACAAAATTTGCATATTAGTATATTAGATGCATATTAGCATTTGAAAATAAAGCGAAAAAAGCGGAAATATTTCACGATGTCTATTCTCTTACAATAGTACTAATTGTGCATGTGTACTTTTGGGTCAGTGGTTGATTTTTTCACAACATACCGAATGTGGATAGTTTCTTAACAGAACGCTTCATTGGGGCCTCAAACACTAAAATTGCAACGGAAATGCGACAGGTTTTCGAATAAGAAAAATGAGATTCTAGGAAGGGAAAGAACGATATGAAAATGTGTATGCAAATAGATGGAACTTATTTGAGAAAGCAGAAAGGAAAGAATGCAGTTCCATAATATACATAATATGTTTGTAAAATAATGAATTGCAATGAAGTACAGAAATTTGATACAGGAAAAGAGGGTTGAATAGGATAAAGTGAATGAGGCAATTTAAGCGTCAAGGAGGTTTCCAGTTGTTTGTTGAGAAGCCGATGGGTCAGATGAGGAGGCGTGGGAGTTGGTTTCGATCATCGTCGAGTAGTTCGTACTAACGCCAGCTTTCGACATTCTTTGTTCTTCTGTGCTACCGCTTGTTCCCGGTTGTTGCTAAAATAAATATAATTTATTTTCACATAGAAAACAAAAAGTAACAAAAATGTTTCTTGAGAATACACTGAATTTGAAACTAATAATTTTATCATACTGTTTTTTTATGTCATGCTCTTTTATAAATTTTGTTCGGTTACAGCTATAATAGTCATGCGATCTACCATTAGGAAAATTAAGAAACTGCATTGAATTCACTGACCGGTGGGCGTTGAGCATTGGAATGCTAAAAATGTATAATTTTTCACAATCCACAAACTAGTTACAAGTTACCTGGGTATATTGTTGGTATTGTGGGTGGAAGTTGTGGATAGCGTCTTGCATAATGTCTTTCGGGTTCATGGTTTCTTTCAAGGATGAGCTGATAGATTGCAAAGTGACCGGACGTCCATCGTTTCCGCTGTTTGCTAAAATAATAATACTTAACAAATGTTGTCTAATTTACAAATCAAACCATTATGAGCATCAGCGTAGGCGGAGACGTTGAAAGCGAATCGAAGAGCAATAGCGGCGAAGAACATTTCAATGCAAATGAAGAAGTTCTGCCATCCAGCGGCAACAGTTCCTCGTCCAATGATTTCCGTTCCCTCGGCGTCAGTAATCGGATCGATGGCGGAAGTGGCACCGAGAATAGCAATCAAGAATCCTAAAAATGTTTGAATACGTAAAGATTGGAAAAATGTTCTCTAGTCTAGAACGCCTACAATCAAATCTATAGATATATATACAATTACCGGCTAAAACAATATTTGGTTCACATAATTATAATAATTTGATTCCCACGAACATACCTTGCCAGAAAGACAGGAAAATAACACTTTTCACTGTAAGGAATTTGAGAACCGGACGGTATGGGCTGAGAAGATCGCGAGTAGCAGCGTAGAACAAGAACATTCCATAAAGAGCCAAAGAAATGGAGACATTATACACCAAAGTGATGTAAATATATCCTTTGTCAAGACTCCAGTTTCCGTCTTCGTACTTTCCAACGGCAGTCAGCATCAGGGTGATCACTGCCATAATTGGCTTGATGAAGCAGAATTGAAGCGTGGCCTACCAAATTAGGTTCATTTACGGCAATCTTGGAAACTGATCTTACTTGTTTGCAGAAGCGAAGAAACTCGATAGTGTACTGTTTTCCAGCCAGACAACATGTGCATGTAAAGTAGTTGGTCGGACGAATAGGTTTTCCGCGGATTTCTGCCATGATGTTGCTCTCTCCGCCCAGATACTCATAGCAAAGGGAAAGAAATGAGTAAATGACAAACGCTTCGTAGCAATCTCGGATAGAATTGAAGTAGATGTATACGTTATCCGAAAAAAAAATCAACGAGAGCCAAGAATCGAAGGCGTAGATTGGGACGATAAACAGAATTCGCACAATCCATCGTTGTTCAGCCGGGCACGAATACCACCGAAGATGTTGATAGATCTACAAAATTTTTTTTCTATTTTTGTTGACACAATACATCATGATTTGATATATTCATAGTTTATATATATAAAAAGAGTGGGAAAGTTGTTCAGTTATTCACTTTCCTATGTCAATTTTATAACTGAAGTTAAATAGAATAGTAAATGAAGTGACACATACTTGATGACTTGTTATAAGAAGCGCTGCCCAAGTGCACAGCCCAGCCAGTCCTTGAGCGGACGCTGAGCGGATAAACGTATTTCCCTCTGTACCGTTTATCGTCATGCTAGAACATACCTAAAACAAAATATAATGATTGTAGGACAACAAAATGAAAGTGTGGCTATTGTAAAAGAATGAACGAATCTTTTTGTTTGGGAGGAATGAATAGAAAGAAAACGAAAAAAAAACAGGGTTCTCATTGAATTTTTATGATGAAAAATTTTTAGGTTTTCAAAAACAATTCTGATGTTGATTTGAGTGAAATGAAATGAATGAAATGACACGAACAAACGCTGATTGACGGTTTCACAATATTCGTGTCAAATCAAAAACTCAATATCATATAAGTTTGCCTATGAGTCATCATCAATAGTTGCGAAACATGAAGAGAGGCACTAGAAACCGTCAAACAACAAAACATTCGTAATGAGAATAAAATGAACGGAAAACAAAACACAGTGACGATTTGCTTTATCGGGGTGGAGAATTCCAAGGAAATGAAGGAGGCATTAAACGAAAACGTGATGCGTGAAAGCAGCAAAGCTTTGCCAAAAATGAGCGCGTGTGAGGCTGAGAGCGAGAGAGTGAATGAGACAACATGAGAGGAAACAGAGAAAAAGAGAAAGAAGAAAGAATAAGAGGAAGCCTTCACAAAATAAGACCAAGCACACACGCGGCAACCGAGCACAACTCATTTCGATCGACGTGCAAAATGTTTGCAGTATCTGCGGCGCAAAGAGCTAACAAATACATGAAACCGTAAAAAATGTTCGAGAAATTGATCAAAACCGGTTTGAAATTAAATATGTGTACAAAGAGATAATTCGAAACGCAAAAGTTTTTCTGGCAACGTAAAAAATGAAGCAGCAAATGACACTGTTATTCAGTATTATGCTGACAAACGTTTTAACCGAACAACAATCATATGAAAAAAGTTCGGTTTAAGACTATGGCGACTAATTCTGCATGTTTTTCAAACTTCCAAAGTTTATAGCTATAACATAACGCATAAAATCAACCAGCGAACAGGTTAAACACATAACGATAATATCTAAAAAGGTGAGGTGTTCTCCCTGTCTGGTTCTCTCCTTCAATGACCCACCCTTTCTTTCTCTGCTACCTATTCTTACACGCGCACACTCGTTTGCGCAGACATAGAATCGATTGTTTTTCCCGTTACCATCTCATCCAAATAGAATCAATAAGTTCTGAAAGCTTACAGATTGGACTGATGAACAGGCGATGAATTCTTCAAGGGGGCAGTTCCCATGCATGTTTCTCTTTTTTCTCTTCTCTCTTTCAGTAGCAAAACAGGTATTGACAAATCATCCTCCCTATGAGTTTGAAAAGGTAATATAAAAGAAAACAACTCCAAAATTAAAAAAAAAACTCCAAATTATTCTCACAGTCACTATCATCGTGTGAAAAGCCATGTTTCAATGGTGTCTGCTTGAATAGATCATGCATATGCACTAAAGGATGGTATGGTTTGCAGTGTGATCATTGTTACGGGAGAGTCAGGTACATTTTTGTAGCCGCAACCTTAATATCTACCTTTTCATTAAAGACTATCAGAAAACTCGAGTCACATATCCGATGGACCTCAAGACTACGCTTCGTCTGCAAAATGCACCTGGTTAATTGAACCGGAAAATGTTTGCTCAAAAAAAAATAAATGAATGAATAAAATTTCAGAAAAACAACAGTCTCTCCATTAAGATCAACAATTTTGTCACGGAATGTGGCTGGGACTATTTGTATATTTATGATGGTGATAGTGTCTATGGAAAACAACTTGCTGCGCTATGGTAACAAAATTGTCGAAACAGTATAACAACAAATAGTATTTCAGTGGTGAGCAACCAGCTCAAGAGTTCACAGCTGCGTCCGGAAAAGCATTGGTTTACTTCTTCAGTGATTTGGCTATGAATCTCAACGGGTTCAACATTTCATACGAGTCTAATAGGTATGTACTATGCACCTTATTGAATGTCTAAAAAAATTGTCGTTCAGTTGTGCGTATAACTGTTCAAGTCACGGAACTTGTGTTGATGGAGAATGCAAGTGCGGAAATGGGTATTCAGGTTAGTCATTAAGCAAACTAAAATTAAAATATAGCCTTAAGGCATCCACTGTGAACATGAAGTCTGTGGTATTCAAAATGAATTAGCTCAAAATCCTTGCCATGAAGGTGAATGTCAGAACGGGAAATGTGTGTGCTTCTCAAGCAATGTGCATGGAGAGTTCTGTCAGAGTCCATCCAGTGCTGCAGTTTGGGATTTGATGAAGGAAACAAGCATGAACGTCGAAGGAAGAGCTTCCCATGTAACCCTCCAAGTAGATGACAGTATTTGGATAATTGGTGGAGAGTCATTCAATAATAATCACGATGAGAACAGTTTCAATGTATTCAACTTGACCAGCCGACAGTACAGTCGAATTGAATGTACTGGTGAAACACCAGCTCCTCGCTTTGATCACACTATCGTAAAATACAAAGTAAAAAATCGAAAGATGAAAAGATTTTGATTTTTATTGGTTTTCAGAACAAACTCTATATGTTCGGTGGTGTTGTGAGAAAAGGAAAAGGCAAAGAATCAACACAAAGTGTTACCAATGAACTTTGGGTTTTTGATATTAGTACAAAGACCTGGACTTCCAAGAAACACAAGAATGAAACAATTATTGTAAGTCGATAATATACTTGTCGTATTTCTAACATGTTTCGTTGCAGACTGCTCCATTCTCAGTTTCGGGCCATTCCGCGCATGTCGTTGGACATGAAATGTTTGTTTTCTTTGGATACAATCCACTATTCGGTTTCATGCACCATGTACAATTGTTCAATCTTGGTATAAACCATTTTTAAAGATTTTTCAGAAAAAATGATATCGTTTTAGAAACCGATGAATGGAGTATTGCAAACACGACGGACCATGTTTATGGTCGTTTCAAACATTCTTCCGTGGAATATGTGACATCTGGCGTAAGGAACAGGTATCTTGTAACGTCTTACTGATTAGCTGTTATAGGGTTCCGTAGCTGTGCTCATTTACGGAGGAAGTATGTGGAATAACACAATAACTGACAGTCTCATGCAGTTCGACACAAACTCGCGAAAGTTCACCAATCTACCACAATCGGGTTTGCAGTCGTATATGCACTCAGCGGTGTATCTTAACGGACTCATGATTGTTGTCGGTGGCAGAAGCTCTAACCTAACAACTGATGGAAAGTCCGAATGTTTTGCAAGCACAGTTTTATCATATGATATCGGTAAGTGTATCCACTTCAAAAAATTTTCATAACTGAACATAACAATTTTAGCATGTAAGCAATGGTCAAATATGTCTGAACCACCAACAGATTTGCGAAGATATGGACATTCAGCGCAAGCGGTAAATGGAAAAGTTTATGTTATTGGAGGATTTGATGGAACAATGAGGAATGATGTCTGGGTTCTCAGTCCAGGTACTTTCAACCCATTTATAGTTTCATGTAATTAATATAATTACTTTTCAGCTAACTGCTCATCAGCGGCAAAACCTGAAGAATGCAGATCCATAACAGATGGAACAAAATGTGTGTTCATTGACAGTGCCTGCAAACCATTTGATCCAAACGTTTCATACAAACCACCGTTTTCTTCTTTGATTAAGGAGTCCAGCTCAAAAAAATATGACGAGTGTTCAAATACACCATTCCGGTGACTACAGTATAACCAGCTGAATTGGCATGCTCATTATTTTATTACAGGCTAGCTCTGAAAACATGCGAGGAACAAACAGATTGCATTTCCTGTGCCTCTAAATCTGGATGTGGTTGGTGTTTGTCAGGTGAACAATGCTTGCCAAACGAACATGACTGTGTTGATGGCCCTGTAAGAAACCAATATTCATATTCATAAATAGGTTAAATTTAAGGGAATGCTAACATCTTGGGAAAAGTGTCCGCATCGTAACGCCCTGGTTACGTTGAGGCCTTGCAACATGGAAAATAGCTGTGGAAGTTGTCGTATATCACCACACTGTACTTGGTACCCAATTGACAAGGCTTCTCCTTGTGTGAGCAAAGAGGATTTGAGTAAGATTAACCAAAGTCGTTGCTTGTATAATCACGGTGTTCATTTCAGTTGCGGTAGTGTACGAATACGAAACAAAATCAGTTCTACAAGATCGCAACAAATTCCTTTCGCCATCACATTTTCCATCCTTCAGTCGGACCTTATTCCGCAACTCATCAGAGTGTCCACTGCCGTGCGCTCAACGATCAAACTGCAGTGATTGTGTGGAACTGGATCAGTGCATGTGGTGTCCGAGTACCAACAGATGTATCAACTTGGAAGCATACACACTCTCATTTGCATACGGACAGTGCCACTCATGGGTGACTTCAGGATCAGGAAGTATTCTCAACAGAATTTGTCAAGCGGGTTTGTTTTATTTTATTATAATTTTATTTTTAATGCTGTCTACTTTCAGAATCGAGTATCTGCGAAGAGCATAAAACCTGCGGAGAATGCCAACGCGATCCAGGGTGTGGCTGGCTAGCCGATGATTCTAAAACTGGCCTTGGCTTATGTGTCCAAGGAAAATCAACCGGTCCACTTGAACCCCTTCCTGAAAATCGAACATGGCACTTCATTGATTGTCCAGCATGCCAATGCAACGGTCATTCCACTTGCATCAGTTCTCCGGGTTCTTTCCCTCCAGTTCAGATTGAGAAGTGCGAGGCTTGTTCAAACAACACGACGGGAGCTCACTGTGAACGCTGCGCTCCGGGATTTTATGGTGATTCGAGAAACGGTGGAACATGTGCAAGTATGTTAACTTCAAGTTTCGAATCACTTTCATGGACATTATTCATTAAAGAATGTGATTGCAACAAACAAGCGGATATATGTGACGCTCAAACAGGACAGTGCTATTGTCGTACCAAAGGAGTGACTGGAGATCACTGCGACAAATGCGAAGCCAAATATATTGGCAACCCACGGAACGGAACACCTTGTTATTGTAAGTTTTCGTGAGTATAAAGTTGTAATTAATGTTTTGGGATTTGAGACGAATTGGCTGTCGATTTCATCTTCACATTTAAGTTGAAAAACGATGACAAAGACAATCATACAAGTGAAATCTATCTCTACAGTGTACCTTATAAAGTAAGATTCAAGCTTTAAAGGAAGTCCATCCAATTATATTGTTTTTTTTCACAGAAAGATACGGATGTTACGTTTCAAATAAGCTGCGAGTCACTAAAAGGAAACGCGTTAGTTGCACTGAATATGACATCTTCCTATATTGATGGTCTACCAGAACGAACACAAACCATGATGGTACTATGCTTTAAAATTGTTACTTTTCTAACAATGCGTTTTTCAGGTCGACACAGTGTGTGATTCCAAAGGGTTCAGAAGAGTATATGTCGCTTCTGACAAAGGCTACCCGTTTGGACCCGACTCAAATACCACATTTTTTGTGAGTTCATAATTGCAGTTTATCTTCATGAGCTACACTTTTCAGGTTCGAGTATATAATTTCAATACACCGGTACAAATAGTTGTCAGTTTTGCCCAATCTCCTCCCATCAACTGGGTGTTATTTTTTGTGATATTTGCTGCGTAAGTTTTCATAAGCATTTAGAAATAAACAAGTCACTAATTATTTTTTTTAGATGTTTCATTGTTCTGTTGGTGGTTGCTGGATTATTATGGATGATCAAAGTACGAATCGAAGCGTATCGCAGAAATCAGCGAAGGATTGATGAAATTGAACATGTCAGTTCATAATTACTGTTTCCTTTGAGGTGCAACAAATTTCAGATGGCATCTCGACCATTTGCCTCTACAAAAATGGAACTCAGCCTGTTGAACCAACTCTCATCAGCCGGAGCGCCAACCCCATTGTCAATTGAGCCGTGCAGCAACTATCGTGCTGGAGTTTTTACGTTGGCAGTCCGTCTACCAACTGGAGGCCGTAACAACACGCCAAACGGCACGTCAGGACTTGCAGTTGCGTCATCTTTATGCCTTCTCACTCCACAACAGATCGGAGTGCTTCAAGCGCAAGAGAACGGGGAGAACAACAGTGGACGAAAGAGCAATTTTCGAAATTTGTTGAGGCTAACGAGGAGACAAGGAGAGCAATAGTATTGGAAACAGGAATTGGAACCAAAATGTGTCTTGTTTGAAATTACGAGTTTGACTTTATTCTTTCACGATTATATTTTACATTGCATTTTTTTTATTGACTACGTTAAAAAAACATATTTTCAATCTAAATGAGCGTGCAATTCTTCATTTCACATATTCTCTATCGTTTTGATGATTTTGAGCAACAGCAAAGAGTCATTGACAGAACGATTCCAAGAAGCTGAATAATGCATAGAATGACACAAACTGCAACAATCAAATCCAGTGAGTTTGTGACTTTTTCGTACAATGCATCTGAGCAGCCCTGTGATGTATTATTGAATTATAAGCACGCTTGTAAGTTTACGAGTTTACCTTGGTATTAATAAATTGGGAGTAAGAAGACAGTGGAGCCTGGTCAAAAGATATTCCGCATTCACTCGGATAAGAAATTTTTCCATTTTCATTACAGCAGGAACTTGGAACTTTGGCTAAAATATTTAGACTCTGGAATAGACTTTCTAACTTTCATAAGTCTTACCGTAACCATTACTATGACTGCCTCCAAACGCCCCAATTCCGTGCTCAATTCTTCCGTCTTCAACTTCGCTGATGTCTGTTGGAGAATTTGTTTCAGGAGCCCATTTGACACTGAGCCAATCTACATAGCTTCGGACTCCGCAGCATTGGAACTAGACAACACAGTACGATGTAACTATTATAAAAAAAAGTGAAACTAAAACTTACGTTTTCTTGAATAGAGTCGAATGCAGATCGAAATGCAACTTCTTCCGAATACCGGTTTCTCATAGTGTCATACATACTGCTTTCCACGTAGTTTTTTACGTAGTCCTGCTTGTGGAAAGCGGTGACAGCAGCAGCAAGTTCAAGGAAGAATGCGATCACCAAGATTATGCAGAACTGATGAGTACGATTATTTTTCCCGTAGTTTCGAAAGAAAACATACAAATGCCAATGCACATTGGTTCATGTTCCATGCCCCAACACATCCAAAGTATCCCACCAGAATAATCAAAATCCCGGCGGCAAGGAGGAACCATCCTATATGACGAAAATAGCCTGCGATAGTTTGAAATTTATTAGAATGTTACAAAAAATTGAAAGATCAACCTGGGTGTGTCGAGTGAAGAGAAAAAAAGTCGGATGCGGCCGGATCAAAGAGTAGCCACAGACCGATTCCCAGAACAACAACTCCGGATAACTGAAAACATTTTTTAAATAACCACAGAGTTATTTCCAATTGTGTTAAATAATTTCTAGTCGACTTACCCAAAATAAAAAATTGAATAAGAACGTGATGATCCGCAGTGCGTTGACGCAGGCACCCATTGTTTTCTAGATAATCGATGATAAATTTTTAAGAAGATAGCTGTTTTGTGTGGGTGTGTGCGTTGTTTGACACGAGAGAAGCACCGACAATTCTCTTCTTGCTCAGATCATTATTGAAATCTCTTTTTTTCTCTTCTTGATTTCCGCACGCTATTTTCTGTGCTGCCTGCTCTTCTTCTTCATATTGCTCTGCTTTTCTCACTTATCAAATGTTACAATCTGTAGTGCATGAGAAATGTGTACAAAAAATGGATACGATGGGAGAAGAAAGAAGAGTACTGGTTGGAAGTCTTTATTCGAAAAATGTTGACTCTGGAAAATGCTGGGTTAGACATTTTCATAAAGTTATTCATCTGAAAAAGTTATCTTATTTTTCGTTTCAGACAAGTGTAAATACTATATCAAAGAATCTATATCAGACATACAAAATGTTATGCTATAATGTTTACAAAACGTTACAATAATTCTCTCAGCTTTTAGATATTTTCAATACGCTGGGAAACTAGTTTAGTGACTGATTGAGTTTATCCTCTCACAAATCAGAAAGCTTCTTTATTCCTTCTCGTTATTTCAAGAGATTGGAGCCCACTGCCCAATATTTTTTTGATCTTACACTGCTCCGCCCCCACGAAATAGTGGCATCCGTTACACTGACTCAGCTGCCCAACGCAACAGCACAACTCAACGCTTTTGTTTTGGTTTCTGATCATCACCAAGTTAATGACAGTATTTCAAAGATTCAAAGTTTAGAATATTCTTACTTATTGTTATTTAGTTCAAAAATTTCACTTTGAGATTGTTGTCAATTCTCCGGTTTATTCTTGCATTTAACTTAACATTAAAACTCTGTTTAAACTTATGTTAATCCAGAAGAGCCCAAGAGAATGAATCGTGAAGAAGTGTTTGCAAAAGCAAGACAACAAGCAGAATCGGAAGCACCAGACGATGCATTAGAAACACTTGCAGAGTGAGTGCCTTTATTTACAAATTCCTACAGATGTTCTTATAGAATTACTTCTCAAGAGGGTGTCGAGTATTCTTTATCAGAAATTCAGACTATCAACATTGTCGTCTGCGAAAAACTTACAAGGTTTGATGAATATTTTTAGCAAAGCTAAAAAAACTGGAAGCTTCACTGAAAAGGTATCTTTCCAGCTGCCCATTTGAAGAAAAAAAAGAAGCTTGTCTGTTATGCCTTCCGATTTTGGAAGGAATTAAATGCTTGTGAGTTACACTACTCACTTTTTGTGTTACGTTCGTACATACAGAAAATCGGCAGAATGGCTGGAACTCTACACGGAAACTGTGTATGAGACTTTCAGTAAACTGAGCCGTTACGCTCGAGAAGAAGAGAGAAGTGACGCTTGGTATCGGTTAAAGGTACAATGCATAATTATCATTAAACAATTTAAAATTTGCAGGCTATCTTCTACGAAATAACGCTTGCAGCAAAGAAGGTTTGGAAGGAAAAAAACGCTCCAGCCGGATTGGACATTTACGTGTACTATGCGAAACTTCTCAAAAGTTATTTGGATGTGGCTGATGAAGACGCTTTCAAGGTATCAGAAATCTTTTCGACTCACAGATGAAAAATGACTTTCTAATAAACATTTTAGGAATGTGAAAATTACGCTAAAGAAGCAAAGTTTCTTGGAAAAGGAATTCTTGAAGACGAAGATTATCGGGACGCCAAAAAAGCGATGGAAACTATTAACAAGCTGATTTCCGAAGCAAAGAAAGAACAAGAGCTGCTTAGCGATGACTAATTTTTGCACAAATTCGTAAACATATTTTTCCCCGGTTTAGTATCCGCCATGTTTTTTTAAGTGTCAATAGTACATTTAGTCAGCCATCACAAATGCTCGTCATTCATTTTTCTTCCTTGTTCATAGTTCCTTCGTTTGTATTTTGGCCAGAAAAAAACCACGAAAGAAATAATCAAAATTGATATACATCCCAGCCAAATTATAAAAGGCCCTGTAAACGCAAAATTGACGATATGGACTCTTAGGTAGGAAAAGTTGATCTTACATTTCCAGGTTAGTACTGTATGCAGCTGGTCATTGGTGTTAACACAAGTTTGAATAGCCAAATCATGAGAGTCAGGTTTACCCACTGCTAAATTGGTTGCTATCACATAAATAACACCTTGAACTTGTCCAATCATGATGATGAGTCCAGTAGAAGTGGCTTCTGCCACTGGAAATGTCGCTTCTACACCCATTTCTAATCCGATAGGGTAAATAGAGAATCCAGCAGCTCCAAAAACAAAAATTGACAGTATAACCCACCACTGAACATGCTCATAGTTAATGCAGATTGCGAGGGATGCAGCCGCAACACCAGCTATACAAAAAGACACTTTCATCACCTAAAATTAAGTTATTCATATTTTTTGATAAAACTGGAAAGCACCGTTTCGAATGATCCCCACTTATCAACAATCATTCCGCTCACAGCAGCTCCGACTAAGCCCGACATGATTAGCAACGTTCCCATTCCTCCATTGAAAGTCGGATTGTATCCTTTGACACATAGAGCTGGTTGCAAATTATTGTACAAAGCATTAAAAAGTCCAACTCCACCACCTGAAGTTTTTTTTTTGTAAGGTCTTGTTAAACCAATAAATTTCGTTACCTAGACAGATAGCTAAAACTATAAAAGTTTTAGATTTGAAGCACTTAACAACGCCTTCTAGAAATTTTGGTTCATGAACATCATCGCCTCTGGATGGTGTCGCTGGAGTAGGTGGTTTGGATTTTCTAATGAAAAGTGATAAGAGGACTGGGATAGTAGCAACAGCGGTTACAGCAATGTTCTAAAAATGTTTGTGTCTTTTTGTCAGTTATTAATATCAACCATGTTGAAAAAGTTATCTGGATTATTTTGATTGACAAAAACTGGTGCTAAGGAGTACATGACAGCAATACCGATTGGATTGGACATGGATGCCAAGGTATTCGCAATGGCTCGTTCGTTATCCGCAAACCAGTAGGCTGCCAATTTGGTTGGCAAGAACATTACGAATGGTTGGGCAAATGCGGCAACAGCTTGCCCTGTTAGTGCAATCGGGAATCTTGAAAGTTCGATATACTTTTTAAATATGTAAACAGTTACCGGTACGAGCGACAAATAAATGATCCAGAAGCAATTAAACGAATCACATTTCCCAAGAAGTTAGACCACGTTCCAATGTGATACTGCAAAGGATTATATTGTAGTAGCGGTTCAAGTATAGATTTTTGATTGACGTTTAGGAAAGTTTCAAAAAATTATCAGTCTAAGGTTGCACGCAGCTTTTTACTGATAAGCAGCTCTCAAATTACTTCCTTGTTTTTAGGAGAGAATTTCAAGTCATAAACTCGACTCTAGCCACATTTTTTTCATTGCAACTAAACGCAACATTTTACAAATGGCAAAAAGAGTGCGTGGGTGCTCCACGCTGGTGTTTCTGAAGATTAGAAGGGCTGTTTGATTCGGTGAAACGTGGGGAAGTAAATTCAAAAACTTTTCTAGCTTGCTAAAATTTAGCAATGCAAACACTTTCATAATACAGTATCCAAGGCATATCAAATACAAAACAAATTTTAAAAAAAAATTGTCTATTATTTTTCCTGAAACCACTTTCTCCACTAACCGCTGAACGAAGTCCAAATTTGTCAATCCACCAGCATGCTAACAAGCCTACGGGTATAGAAAGAACCATGAAAATTATGTTGAAAAGTAGAGCTGCATTACTATTATCATAATAATTATTAGTGTAGAAAGTGATTGCAGCATATGTGATCCATGTCTGTAAGAAAATAGTAATTGTACAGTCCAACTTCATCAATGTTACATTTCCATTGGAAAAGTTTATCATGCTCGTTGCCAACAAATAAATCCATCGTATGGGGTAAACGCGATAACTGTCATGAAGCATTTTTCCTGTAAATAAAAGGGTTTGCGGAATATCGTCAAGAATTTGAAAACAAGTGTGTCTTTTTGAAAACCTTAATTTGATGCTCCAAATCTGATATCTTTTGGAAAACCATCTCAAATGTGGTAAAACAACGATTTTTGAAACGTTGCGGACAAATCAGTGGCCAAAAATCATTTTTTATCAGATTCAACCATAAACGAGGAAAATTTGCAGTTTGATGTTTGAATAGACAGAAGTGATTATTGGCCGCAAGGATAAAAGTTGATTGAAATTTGAAAATTTCTTATTTTGAACGGAAAATTTTCAAAATCGTAGAATAATCGGGAAAATTTTACAAAAAAGTATTTAGATAAGAAAAACCTAGCAATTTAATGTATTTGTTCGCTTTTTTGGGCAGAAAAATCCTCTGATAGTTCGCAATACGACAATTCTGTTCTTTTTATGCAAATTCACTTTTGACAGTACATGAGAGGCTATTCTTTTGAAAGTACATGAGAGGCTTATCAGTAGGATGTATGGTAAAATAGTTTATTGATACGCAAGCATCAATACGGGAGATCGAGATCAGTACAATGAGGGGGAGATGGGAAAGACTGGGAGCGGTACAGAATGGCATCTTAAGCTTTTCTGTCCTCAAGGATACCGAGAAGTGAAAGTGAACGTGACCTTTGAGAGGTACAGAAAAGTTTTCAAAACTTTTATGTACTTTCCAAAACAACACGGAAATAGAAAAATTGTCCCCGATTCGGAGAACTTCGTTGCATCCATCTGAAAAAGTGAGTAAAAACTAGAACGAAACGAGTGTTCAACTTACATTCACAGCGCGAGCCGGAAATTTCGCACGTTGACGTTTTGTCATAACAAATGTGGATGACATTTGTCAGAGGTCAGTTTCACCGTGAACTCATTTCAAATAGTGTTGAACACTCGTTTCGTTCTGGTTTTGCTCACTTTTTCAGATGGATGCAACGAAGTTCTCCGAATCGGGGACAATTTTTCCATTTCCGTGTTGTTTTAAAAAGTACAGAAATGTATTCAAAACTTTTCTGTGCCTCTCAAAGGTCACGTTCACTTTCACTTCTCGGTATTCCTGGGGACAGAAAAGTTTTGAATACAATTCTGTACCACTCCCAGTCTTTATCATTTTGCTCACCTTCATTATAATTGCCTATCAATAAACTGTGTCAAAGTATTCACCTTCCTCATGCAATTAAGAAAGCACAATTGGCTCGCTAATTCCTTGAGGAAAGAACTTCTGTACTTTAGACAGAATTTACGTATTGTAATCGGTTACAATATTTTTCCGGCATGGGACAGAAAAGTGGTTACAGAACTCAACTTGAGTGTTAAAGTAAAAAAATTTCAAATTGCAACCTTCTTATGTCTCTTATTTTAATTGGAAATTCCATGCCATCAAACTTTAGATCTTTCTCATATTGTTGATTGATTCTAGAAATATCCCAGCCAGAGCATCTTGCTTGTAAGTTTTCCATGTTTGCTAATAATACTTCACACGCATGTTGATAGAATTTGTTTCGATCTTCACTAACACACAATTCTTCAGTTTTTGAATGAATAGCAAATTGTTCTTCTTTTCTTTCTTTCTTCATGCGGAAATCTAACTTGAGGTTAATCTTAACTGATGTATCTCCCTGAATGTCATTAATGACATGGACTCTGTTCTTTTCAAAGAAAGAATTTATAGCTTTTGTAATGCTTCCAATATCGATTTCCTTTTCAATATAGTTTTTAAAGTTTATTTCGTTCGTCTTGTTTCTATAAGTTGTTGTTCTTACAACACCATTTTTTTTTCTTTGTAATCACTGAAAACAAGATCTTGAAAAGGAAATACTTCTTTTAAATTTATGGAGGATTCTGGATAAACCACGCTGGAATGGTTCCTAAATCCCGAAGCTACTCATTCTTCATAGATTTAACTTGGGCTGAATTCAAAATTCTTTTGCTTTTCACATTTTTTGACAATTTATCAAGAATTTTATTGACTTATTTCCTAAGATCATCTCTTGACATCTTGGCATTGAGACATTTTTGTTTTATTTATATCGTGAGAAAAGTACCTATTGAAAGCTAATAAAAAATTTCTATGATTTTTTAACAGCTTAATTATATATATATATAGAATATCTCACATATTAAATGCACTCATTTGTAGAAATTTATGACCCACAAAAACGTAATGACATTGTGCAAAGCTTTTTGAAAAACCGAAAAGAACATAAAATCAAGAATCTACAGGAGCTTTCTGACTTGGAACATATAGAACATCATAGTATAGATGTATTTAAACCAATTTTAGAATCCAACAGAAAGTACAAGAAGAAATAATAATAATAATAACAATAATAATAACTAATTTATTCTCTTCGACCACCTAGGAAAAAAAGGGAAGATAAAAGAGAAAAGAAAAATTTACAGGAGAAGAGAGGGATATAGAGATAGTGGGTGGAGGAGAGAATAATGACTAAAATGACCATTGGCCGGCAATAGCCATAGGTCAAGTAGAATACAATATACAAGAGGGAATCTTTTCGATGCGCGTCGCAAAAACCTCAGGAAACAGTCTTTCGGGAAACATTTTGGCCACTCGGTTCCATAGGGCAAAATGGGTATGCAAGAAAGAGTCATGGGGTAGGCCTAGAGAGGAGAGAAGATACGGGTAACGGGTCAAAGATATTGGATCAAAAATCGCCGGGTTTGAGGAACAAATTTAGGGAGGGGAAGTGGTATTGGTGCAAGATTATATTGTGAAATGTTCTGAGGATAAGGAGTACCCGTCTATGGAGTATCGATATCAGATTGGATTGGCTTATATGAGGAGAATCGCATATTTCATCTTTGGAAGACTCTTCTGCTGAAAAATCTAAGGGGAGACTCTAGTTTGTTTGAGAGGGACGTTGTTGAGGGATGAAAAAGTTCGCAACCGTACTCGAAAATGGGACTGACGTAAACGTTGAAGAGTTTAGAATAGAGACAAGCATTCGTGGAGCGAACGGCTTTCAGAATTTGTGTGCATTTCAATAGGGCTGTGTTGCTAACTATAGTAATTTGTTTCTCGAATTTGAGCTTGTTATCTATCCAGATGCCGAGGTCTTTAACGGAATCTTTGGGCACGATTTCGATGCCATTCAGGGAATATTTAGTTTTAGGGTTTTTCTTTCTAAGGTGAACAACTGCGGCCTTATTTTCTGCTAGTTTCAGTTGCCAGGTCTCGCACCAAGAAGCGACAATGTTTGCACTTTCTTGAAGCGTTTTTGGGTTATCTCCGAAAATTCTGAAGTCGGGAAAAAGGGACAGCAAATCATTAATGAATACTAGGAATGGGAACGGTCCTGTTCCCGTCCCCTGGGGGACGCCTGATAGCACTGCGAAGGAGCAGTCGGAAACGAAGTTATCGACTTTTACGGCGGATGAGCGACTCTCGAGGAACAAGGCAAACCAATCACAAGTTTTTGTGTCTAGATGATACTCTGAATTATCAGAAAATTTTATTATGCTCTAATGCATTGTATCAAGGTTTTGATAATACAAATAAAAAGTATAATGCTGATTCAAGTGATAACTGGAAGTTTATTAAAAAAAATTACTTCGTTGCAAAAGACAATTCTACAACAAATTCAACACAGGGAAGCTCGATCTCATATATATCCCATCAAACACTAATTATCTTATTGATTCATCACGATTATCCATTAGATCATACCAGTCTGGTAACAAAGGAAGTATAATAAAATTCATGCCATGAGCTAGTTAGACAGAAAAAAGTTAGGAAGAAAGACTTAGGAGTTATTTACTTGAATATTGGGATGTAATTTATTTCTGACTTATACATGTTTACACATTCTTATACAATCTTACACATTCTGTTATACATGTGTTTTTATACTAGATAAATGTAACAAAACGTTGTACCAGCGAAAATGTATATCAGTGACCAAGACAAAACTCCTCTAAGAATTGATAAGAGAAAATGGGTCAAGCAACATAATTTCTCGACACAAACTTTATGTGATGGTCTGACAGAGTTAGCAAAAGAGATGGATGTTAGTAGATATGTTGATAAAAGGAATGCACTTCCAAATGGAATAGCTGACAACTCATCAAATTTGAGCCCACAATCCGAAAACAAAATCAAGGAATCCAGTAAGATAAACCTTCTTTCACCATGTAAATAACAGCATTGTCAATTTTTTAAATCACCATTACTGTAATATAATTTTGTCATAATAAATGGAGAAAGAGGTTGCTTTTCTAAATACATTAAACAATACTATCATAGTTGCCACGGGCCGGGCCAGCCCGGTCGGCCCGGTTCAAAAAGCGGGAATTCAAAATTTGAATTATTGATCGCATGAAGCCATTTTTTGTAGGATTAGGGTTTTTTTGCAAGCATCGAACATTGAAAAACAAATGTATTTCTCATAAAAAAATTCATAATAGCAAAAAAACAAAGAAGAAACACTAAAACTTTAGTTCGAAAAATTTTTTTGTAATAACGAAAAAATTTCTGCGAAAAATTTGAATTCCCGCCTTTTGAACCGGGCCGACCGGGCCGGGCCGGGCCGGCACTTCACTGACCAGGCCCGGCCCGGGTCGGCCCGGGCCGGCCCGCATGGCCGGCCCGAAATCTGGCAAGTCTGAATACTATATTAACTATGTTTTCTGATATTAAAACATCCATAGAAATAGCTATATATACTAATAGTCAAATAACTTCAGACTCTGCAAATGAATATATTAATGTATGTCAAGAAGTTTACCGATCTATTGAAAGTTTGAAAGCAGATAGTAAAAGCAAAAGTGAATTAAAAAAAGCTATGACATTTTTAATTAGTCAAATAGGAATTAATGAATGTACTAAGGATGTTTTGGCGGTAACAAATATAGAAAATACTCAGCTTAGGACATTGCTTCAAAAAGAAAGAGATAGTTATGACTTAGCTAAGAAACATGAAGATGATGTGAAGAGTAATGTCGTTGAAATACCAAGTTTGGCTTTAAGCATAGTTAAGAAGAATAAAAGTAGTTGTTTATCAAATGAAGATGTTCTTAAAATAGTTAATAATATTGATTATGATAAATTAACTGAAGAATATTATACTAGAGTTAGTGCTCAAGGTAATAAAAACGTGAAGACTGTTTATGCTAAGAAAAATAATGTGTCTTCCTCAAGTGTAGTACTGCTCAATCTTATTTTGTTTCTCTAGCAACAAGTCATCAAGTATTATTAAAAGTCTTTTTTGTCGGATCTATCGAACACAACATTCTGAAGTGTGAATAGTCTTGTTCTTGTTTATCTTCTTATCAACAGAGATGTTGGGAATAAAAATTTTACTCTACGGAACACGGAACACGGAAAACGGAAATTTTTTTTTACGGAAAACGGGAAAAACTTATTTCTACGGAACACGGAACACGGAAATTTTTTTTTTTTACGGAACACGGAAAAAATATTGAAAAAAACGCGGAACACGGAACACGGAATTCCCAACATCTCTGATCCAGACTTTCCAATAATACAAGCTCTTATTGCATTAGGAAGTAGAGGGTTATTGTTTCTATACATCAGCCTGGCCCTATTTGAAATTTTTGCGGTCCCGCCTCCTCCACATTTGTGATCGTCACCAAAAGGGGCGTGGTGGCGGTGAAGCACGGTTGAGGAGTGGCCGATTGGGCGTGATTTCATTGTCACTATGCAAGAAGTCAAACTCTTAACCATCTCTCTCTCTCTCTTCCTCTCTCTCTGACATTATTGCTATGCAAGAAGTCAAACTCTTAACCATCTCTTTCTTCCGCTCTCCGACATTATTGCTATGCAAGAAGTCAAACTCTTAACCATCTCTCTTCCGCTCTCCGACATTATTGCTGTGCAAGAAGTTCAATACCTGACCAACATACTGATAAAACGACAACTGACTCGCTTGCTTCCCGATAGAAAAAACAATCTTCAAAAACATACTATGAAAAATGACTGGAACTTTCCGAACAACCTAATACATAACTTGAAGTTTTGGCCTGTTTAAGAGTATCAGTATTAAAGAATCTCATTTTTATTTGTTTAACCTCGATATACTCCAGTCCAATGATCATGATCTCTCACTTTACTTGTTTTCATTTCTTCCTATATAATCGGTTTGCTCATTGCCCTCGTGTATTCTGTTATGCGACTAAACAAAGAGCAGTACAACACTCCAGTTACAGATTGATACAATTGGTATTATTGTATGCAACATAAACCGTAGAATACAGTGTATTATATTATTGTTGCTTTCCTTACGGTCCGACGAAACAAAACGGGAAAATGTCAAGAACAGAAATTCGAAATCCACATTCTCTGATAGTGGAAAAACAAGTGAGTCATTATGTCCTTTCTTTAAATTGTCTTTATGTAAAAATCATTTAGCTGACTCAAAAAGCGGCTGAAATCTTCAAGAATATACGTTCTCGCAGTGAAGTATTGCGAGGAAAAGCGGATAATTTGGAAAACTACTGTCGAGAAGTTACTTTGAGAACCACGCGATCTGTTTCCAAGGTTTCCCGGATTAAAAACGTGAAAACTGTTGAGCAGGTACAGTGTTCTATGTTTTTCAATTATAAGAATGGCAAATGTTATTATCAGATAGTTGTGGACCGCAAAGAACAACCCGAGCAACCTGTCAAAGATGAAAATGCTCAAGTGAAAGAGTATGACGAATTGTTACTGGAAAATTTTCGCAAAAATGATTTCGAGGCAACGAACAATATTCGTTTTGTGGTAAGCATTGACATAACCTTTTCCTCAAATATATATTTATCCAGAATGCTCCTTTCATCGTGGAATCATCCATTGAAGAAAATTACAATAAACTGTGGAATAGGGGACAAGAAAATGATGAAGGTACCGATACGAATGGAAATAACGATATACAAGATGATGTTTTGGATTCGACGTCAACTACAACTCGGATACCGTTTGAAAATACTGCGATAAGTGATCCAAGGAAAGACGACATTTCGGCGGATTCTGAGTCGGATTCGGGTACTGCAACTCGTTCAAATAAGAACTCCGCAGACACTATGGAAACAACTGCAAAATCTATTGTATCCTCCTTGGAAGACTCGGATACAATCGCAAGTAGACCGGAAAATCTGGATTCAGTTCCCAAGAGCTTAATTCCAACTAGCACTGATCAAAAAGCCGTCCCAACGCTTCCGAGCCTCCCGTTTTTTTTGTCGTCAGCAGAATTTGAAGAACGAAAGTCGAAACTAAAGCATTTCTCTGAGTCCACTATGTCTAAAATAAAACCTGCTACTGCTGACCAAAACATTGTTCCACCTGTCCCAGCGACTACAAATAATACTACCATACCTGAGAAAGCGAGCGTTTCCCGAGAAGCTGTTTTTCTCACTCCAAAAACCACAATAACTGAAGTGAAAGCACCTGAACTCAAGGTAAAAACTTTGAATATAAAAATCTTTCAAAACAATTTTCAGACGAAAACGACTGAAATCTCTGAAACTGCTCGAGAAAAGGAAAAACATCAAGAAATAAAAGAGAAACCTAAAGTAGAAGTGAACAAATTGCCAGCAAAGAAAACTTTCTTTGACTCCGATTCTGACGAAGAAGACAGTTTCCTGCAGCATGTTGTATATCAGCGTCCAGTCCTCAAAGAAATCCCATCCGTGCCTTTTCCCATAGCAATCATTGAGCAGCCAATAGTGAATGTAAGTTTTTTCATTTCCCTTCTGTTCACCAGGAATGTGGCATTTAAATTTAAAATTTGTGAAACGATCATCAGTTAATAATTCCCAGAAAGCAGCTCAGCTTGTACAATCGAGTGGAAGTTCCAATGAATCGACTACTAATTTCAATGCGCCCGTTAAGCCAGTGCCAAAGAAATCACTTTTTGATGACAGTGACTCGGATTCCGATCTCTTCACTTCCTCTTCAAAAATAAAGCCAACCTCTGCGAAATCGGTTACTGAACTGGTAACAAACCCAACTGTAACGCAAGCATTTTTCAAATCCCAACTGGTAAGATATCTGTTTAAACGGACATCTCGATGCTTAATCAACGTTTTTTAAGGCTTCTACACTCAGCAAGCAACCGGTGTCAACTGTACGAATAAATGAAAAAGTGGACATTCAGTCTTCGTCGCAACAACAGGCAGAACTTTCAGCTCAGAAAAACGAGAGCTCTGACGAAAATCAAATAACTACAATACTGAAGGTGAGAAAAACAGTTTGCACCTCGATTGTACATAGTTGAATGAGTCCGATCTAATAAACAATTCCAAAACGTTTTTTATTCAGACACGACCACGCGGACCACAACATCGCCGGCTTCCAACCAGATCAAATCTGAATCCATTAGAACAATGAACCGTGTTATAAAGTGGAATTACTTCGTTACATTTGTCAAATGTCATATCATCAGATATTGTTCGTATTTGTCTTCAAATAAATTAATTTGCTCGTTTTCGTTAATAATAAAATCATACATACATCACAAATAACTATGAGTTGCATCATTAGAGTCTGCAAGAGCTAGTGCTTGTCACTCTTTTCTTGCTACATACAATTTTTTTTTGTTTTGGAAGTTGTCACAGAAATGAATATTGTGCTTTTATCCTCAGTGCTTCTGATGTTTCCGTGCAAGATAAAGACTGATCAGGCTTTATTGGGGTCGGTATGACGAGAGGTGCCCGGAGGCAACCTCTCGCGACTGAATCGGGGACAAGATAATCTTTTAATTTACATAGATATTGAATAATGCGTACGTTATTTATTTCCAGCTTAACCGTTGCGCTAATTTGAATTTTCCAAATGCATAATTCCCAGTTCTGTTCTAGCTGGAATGAACAGTCTAGGGGCAGTAGTCAATGCGCGTTGAATAGTCAGCCTAGAATTTAGCTGCGTACCTCTGCGTCTATTGTCTTCAAAAGCATCTTGTCGCACTGCATTTTGTGTAGCACAAAACGAATCAATCAGCAAATAACATATTTATCTTCTTTGCTGGAAATATTTTTTGTTGGATTAGTGATAAGAAATGCAACCTTTCATTTTCCTTTGGTTTCTTCGGGACAGTGTGAAATTTTTACTCGATTCAATTTATGTTTTCGTTTTCAAATTTCTGGCTGAGATACATTCAGTTATCATAACACAGCTATGGGAAATAAAAAGCGGCAAGGCCCCTTCCGAGCGGGCCCAGTTTAAAGAAGTATTGTATTTGAATAATTTCAAAGACGACTTTTAGTCATGAGAATTCTTCCTCCTCGCCTTCTTTACGTCCAACAATACACTAAAAAATGTATTGCAGATGACGATGCTTAGTAAGCAAGTAATCAATAATGTTAGGATTCTTCAAAAAAGTGAGTTAGATGTCACTCATCACTTTCTAAAAAGTGTTTCAAGGTGCTACCCGTTACTACAACAACACGTATAACAATCTGAAAATCAACAAAGACACAAAAGTTATCATTCAAGGATTCACAGGCAAGCAGGTAATTCCTCTTTTTGAGAGGCTTGGTTTGGTATTCATGTTTAAGGGAACTTTCCATGGAAAGCAGATGCTTGAGTACAAGACAAACGTGGTTGGTGGTGTGAACGCCAACAAAGCAGGAACTGAACATCTTGGACTTCCCGTTTTCAAAAATGTTACTGAGGTTCCCATTTCGTTTCTTTTTTGTGAATAATTTGTCATATTTAAAGGCTCGCAACAAGACAGGAGCTGATGCCACTGTTATCTACGTTCCAGCCAGCGCTGCCGGAAATGCCATCGAAGAAGCCATTGACGCCGAAATTCCACTAGTCGTTTGTATCACCGAAGGAATCCCCCAACACGACATGGTCCGTGTAAAAACTCGCCTTGTTAAGCAGAACAAGACAAGACTTGTCGGACCAAACTGTCCTGGAATCATCTCCGCTGACCAGTGCAAGATTGGAATCATGCCAGGACATATCCACAAGAGAGTTAGTTAGATTTTGTATTTGTATATGTACATAAGCATGAAATATACAAATTATTCAGGGATGCATCGGTATCGTCTCGCGTTCCGGAACTCTCACGTATGAAGCGGTTCATCAAACAACACAAGTCGGATTTGGACAAACTCTGTGCGTTGGAATTGGAGGAGATCCATTCAATGGAACCAACTTTATTGATTGCTTGAAGGTTTTCCTTGAGGATCCAGAGACAAAAGGTGCGATCTCACATTTTTCAACATAGCGAGTTAAAAAAATATATATGTACATTCAAATATTGCCATTTTTCCAGGAATCATTCTAATCGGAGAAATTGGAGGATCAGCTGAAGAGGAAGCTGCCAAATTTCTCAAGGAACACAATTCTGGCAAGGGAAAGAAGCCAGTTGTCTCGTTCATTGCTGGCGTCACCGCTCCACCGGGTAGAAGAATGGGACACGCTGGAGCTATCATTTCGGGAGGAAAGGGAACTGCTGCCGACAAAATCAACGCGCTCAGAGAAGCTGGAGTTGTTGTCAGTTTTATTAACTTTGATATTACATATACTTTCTCGTTTTTGAAAACAATGTTGCGACCAAGGCTTGAATCACTGTGACTTGTTCTACACTAAAATAGGTTAGAATTGACTGGTCATCTCAAAAAATCAAAACATTTAATATGAGAAAGATCAGTACAAAAATGAAAAAAAGATTGGAAAGTTATTCATCAAACTAGTAATTAATGTTTCTAGACTGTAGACATTGAAATTGAGTTTTGAAAATCAATCACAAAAACGACCGATTCTTTTTAGGTGACCGATTCTCCAGCAAAACTCGGAACATCAATGGCTACTGCTTTCTTGGAGTCAATTTAATTGAAATCTCACTACAATCATCACATTTTTCAGAAGATAGTGTCTATCTACAAACCATAGCTCTTGCAATGTTGTTTGTATTTTTATTTTGCTTGCGTTCGATTAGATACAAATGTATGAGTGAAAATTTTTTGAATAAAAACATCTAAAAGGGAATTATTTATACAACATGAATTATCACAAACATTATCAAGCACATCAAATTTAACGGATCACGGCTAGAAACAATAATCGAACGCTCCATTTGTTCAATAACAATGGATGTTTTAGGGAATCCGTTGTCTCTCGTCCACATCCGTTTGAATTTGACTGAGTACCGAGATCCAGCAGTTGAAGGTGTTCTGAGATGGTTGATAGTTACCACTAATTATATAGTCATGAAAATAGCGTACATTGTATCATTCTCAGCTACTTCTCGAACAGTGTACCCATTTTGTTGAAGATGAACTAAAACACTCTCATTTCCAAAAAAGTGACCTGTTCCAATTGCAGAGAACACGATATTGTTCCGTTTAGATTTCAAGATACTGTCTATCCTCATGGCAATTCGATAGTTACGCCGGGTCAATATATCTTGTTTCAATTTTTTGTGTATCTGAGAATTAATTATCTATTTATTGTTTATCAATTTTTCACAGACTTTCTCAGCTTCTAGCTTCTGTGACACTCCATAGTTGGAGTTGGTGAGTGGTACGGTTAGCGTGTCCTCTGTCAAAGTACCACATTTATATTGTTGAACCAGTTTGTGGAGACTGCTTTGTTCTTTCACTTCTAGTAATGGTTTGTGTGAATACTTATTTTCAAGAAACTCAATTGTATACTGGATAGCGAACAGAATCTGGAAATTTCATTTCTACTAAATTGATACATGTAATTTAAAACAACAAACCTCATGATCAGTTACAGACCACACAGGATTACACTGCTCTTCAGTTGTTTCTATAGGTACAACTGTTTTGGCAGCATCTCTTGATTTTTGGGCAATATACCAATCAAGGAGAGGGCTTGTGGACTTTTCATAAATGTTTTCGCTGAGTTGATATAACAGGAATAACAACCAGACGGGTCGTTTTCTAGGCCAATCAACTGAAAAAATGTTCGGTTAATGCTCTAATATTACATACAAATAAGGCTCTGTTTGAAGTATCCATAAATAAATGTGCTTGTATTTGTACAGAAAACCTAAGGTCATACCTGTTATGCCATCATATATTTCCTCAGATTGTCTTGACCGATTCTCGTCAAAAGGGTTTTGCTGATGAGTCCATGTTACCAACTCACTCCGATAGAAGTTCATGACTGAAATGTAATGGTCGCTACGGAACATTAAAGATCTACTCACACTTTTGAATTTTTTCAATCAACACGTTTGGCAGATATGACTTTACAGTGTCGTTCGATGGCAAGTTTTTGCATGACGCAAGCTGCCGGACTGTGGAATCATCTCTCAGATCCAGTTCGACCAGAACGGTATCCGAAAAATAAAATGCTTCGTGGACTCGATCACTCACTAAAATATGAATCAACTGAAGTAAACATGTTTTTGAAAGTCAAACCTTGATTCCAAACATCAGAAAATGGAACATGAATTGTTCCAAACAAATAGCTAGTGGTAAGCAATTGTGGATGTTCCACAGACCATAAGAATGTCTTTTTCTTATTCTGAATAGTACTTTCGGTAGATTGAAAAACATGTTAACCAGGTGACTTACAGTGGTGTCACACTTTTCACTTGTTGTGATTACTGTAAAACAGAATAAACTTAAAAAAATGAAGCCTAGACTCAAGTTGAAGTTCATTTCCTTTCACTTCTTCCAAATTCGGACTATTATAAACATTTACAACAGAAGCAGGCGACTTGGGTGTGAGGAAGCATAAAGAATAGGAATAATACTTTAGAACTCAACAAACGGAAGAGCTCCAAAAGGTGGTCGCTCTATAGCATATGTATTGTGCGGGTTGTGAATAGGATAGAACAATACAAGGGGTCAATGAGTGTGGACCGGCAATAATTGCTCTTCCCCAAACAACTTCTTGGGCATTGTTTGTTATAAATTGACCCATTTTATTTATTGAGTTATGTAAAAACATTAAAACGAGTCATAGTTAATAAAAACATTCTAATTTCTGAAAATAAACGTTACAATACAGCTGACAATTGCTAAATAGTATTTCACGAAATCTTTTCCACGTGTCGTGGTGGGAATAGTCGCGGTTGACAACGTAGATGCACCAGGAATAGATGAAACAGTTGATGCATTCAGAGCTGAAGAAGTTGTTGCTGTTGTCGCTGTTGTAGTTAGAGTGGTGGTGGATACGGCCGCAAGGTCGTATGGGGTACTGTAGTCTCGAGACTTGACAAAGTTGAAAATCAGTTGGAGAGCTTGTTGCGGTCGGTCGAGTGGAACAAAATGCCCGGAGCCCTATGAATGAAATTTGGAAGCAGTTATACACATATTAAAAAAATGAAACCAACCTTCACGGTCAAAACATCAACATTAACTGTACCAGATGTGTAAGAGGTTTGATATCCTGCTACGGTTGGTTGATAAGTGCTATCAATCTGGTATGTCCATTTGTTTCTGTTGTTTGATACCTTAAAAATTAAAGTAAACTTTGGTTTTTGGAAAATCGTACTTGGAGCCCGAAGCTTGGGAAGTTGGCAGAAGTGAAAACATCGGCTCCAAGCCAGTTGACCATTGTATCAACATCTCCACTGTAGAAAAGGATTTTGAATTGAGCTGGTGCGTTGGCAAGGATAATTTGAAGATTTGGAGTGATACTGTCTACTTGTTGCGTGTAGGCGTTGATGATGTTGCTAAAGTTCAATGGAGTTTTACACGAAAAAAAAACAGAAACAGGTACTTGGCTGCAGCCCAGGCTGGCACAGAAGATGGAATGTTCAAAGCTGTTCTGACTGTTGCTTGATTCAAATACAATTCCATTGCCACGTCCATGTAGCACGGGTACCCATTCAAAGCATCACTTGATTCGTAGTTAATTCCAGTCTGAAAAAAAGTATAGATAATTTCTAGCCTAGTTGTCAGTTTTATATTCATTCAAAAACAAAACCCACCCAAGTTTCGCCATAAGGTGTGAGTAGAGTTGTGTCATTGTACGGAATAGTCCAGCAATGTTGGTACAAATTGTACGGATCAAAAGAGTTCAGCAACAAATTAGCTCCTTCACTTACAATCTGAAAATGTTCAGGTCAAAGTTTGTTAACTCAAAGTTCAAACGGACAAAAACGTAGCAAGGATCATTCAAGTCCCCCCATGGAATGGAATTATTGAAGTTGTCCATGTGACTACTGAATTGGCATTTGAATTCATCTCCAGAGCAGCAAATATCTAGAGCAGCTTGGTATGTTCTAAACAGCACAACATATTTTCCATTTGTAACTACAAATAAAACTCACGAAAATGGAATACCGCCGTGATAATATTGGTAATGGAGTTGTGAATCCAAATCGGTTTTCTTGTCTATCACACCATTTCCAATAGAAAGTCCCTAAACTTCACATCTGTTTGAATCCAGATCTTGTAGTTACCTTGTAGTTAATGTTAATGTCCCCCGATTTGATTCCTTGAACCAGAAGAGCTGAAAGCGTAGGAAGATATACACCCGCATAAGATTCTCCGGTCGTGTAGAAGTCTATTGTTGTGTACTGAGGATATGCATTGAAAAAGCTTTTCAGTGCTGCGTAGTTTTCTTGTGCAGTCTGAATAATGTTTGTGTTTTCATTTCAATGCATTTGTCTAGTGTTCCTCACGATGTCATCATTGTATGGAGTGTCAATATTGTTTGAAGCGTATGAGAAACCAACCCCAATTGGACTTTCTAAATAGAGTACGTTAGCGAACTGTAAGCAGAACTGTTTTTTGAGAATTCCCGGTCATGTCAACCTTATTCCAAGAATACGGATTTTCTGAAAGAGTCTTTCCATCTTTGCTGATACGGAAAGGTCCATTTTCTTCGAACAATCCCATCAATGAACTCGATCCAGGGCCTCCATTCAACCACAACAGTAGAGGATCATTGGTAGGATCGTTTTGTGATTCAACCAACCTTAAACGTATTTTACTCAATCAAAAAAACACCACTAACCCACCAATAATGAAGTTTATGCCCAGAAAGTCCATCTAAGAATCCAGAGTACTGCTTAAACTGAAGGCTGCTGCTCAGTCCAGGTAAATCAATTATTCGATCAGTCTGACCGACAGTACAATTCACAGGGGTCTGATAGTCTGTGAAAACAGGTTGAGGAGTTGTGTCTACCTGAAAGTGATATTGAAAAATTCAAACATTATATAGTCACACATTTGCTGGCGTGCTGTAGTTTTGTTCATTGTGTAAAAAGTTGATTAGCATTTGCAAGGCTTGTGCAGGGCGATCCGAAGGTACAAAATGTCCAGATCCTTTCACAGTGAGCTGGGCCAGATTCTGAGACCAAGATTTCACGTATCCTGCAATAGTTGGTGCGTATTGAGTGCCTTGTTTGTAAAACCATGGATGCCGTTGAGAAAGGACCTAAAAATGCATAATATAGTTCATTAAAACTGGTGACGCGGTATTACTGTCAAATTTCTACGTTGCACGAGTTTCTCGATAAGCCATTCGTCTCCTAGGAATTGACAAATCGTATCCACGTCACCGTTGTAGAACATCAATCTCATGTTATTCGTGGAGTACCATTGTGAATCCATGATTGCGCTGATTGTGTTTTGCATGTCATAATACTTGTCCTGTGTGTGATATTTCCAGTGATTTTCTGGATTCTCATCAGCACAGTCGACCCAGCGGTTGATTGGTTTAGCGTGAATAGCATTTTGCACGTCACTTCGGGACAGGTACGCAGCAAGTGCATCTCCACCGAAGCAGTTTAGTCCTCGGAAAGCGTCTGTTGAACCGTACCAATTGTTTGAGGCAGAGCTTTGGAACTTTGACGCAAATTGTCTTCTGCGATGGAGAAGTGCTCGATGAGCCTTTTCTCTTCTAGTCAAAGACTGCTTCCGTTTGTTGTTTGATACGGGTGTTTGCCAATTTCCGTTGTTGTCGTAAAGATAACAGTCTTGGTACAAATTGTACGGGTCACCACTGGAAACGTTTATATTAAAAGTATCACTTGAGCTCGATCAAACTTCGCTTCATCATAATCATAAAACTTGTCTTGATTATTATTCACTGCATTTGCACAATCAGAACCATCGGGAGCACCTTGATAGTCAAAGTAGATGGTGTCAGAGTTTGTGAGGTTGCAGGCAGTTTTCAAAGAATTCCACTCGCTGTAAAAATATTCGTTCTCGTATGAAACTTATCAAATGTAACAATTACTCGAGTCCGGTAAATCCTCTTCCGTACTGAAGAACAATTTCAGAGTTTGTCTGCAAGTACTCACTCAGAATACCATTTCCTACAGCTGTACCCTAAACTTCATTAGTTCATATTAATGTGTGATAGTTTTAGAAATGATTTACCTTGAAGTTCAAGTTCAGAATTCCAGCATCAATTTGTTGAACGAGATTGAGAGTAAGAGTTGGACAGTACACTCCACCATACGATTCTCCTGTGATAAAGAACTCATTCTGGGCATACTGAGGGAAGTTCTTCTGGAAAAACGCCTTGATTGCGTATCCGTTGTTTTCAGCTGTCTGTAAAGAACAGTTTTAATTATCGGAGGAGTTTCTTTGACTATACAGTATCATCGTTCCAATAGTAGTTAGTATCTTCTGTATATGAGAATCCTACTTTCACAGGAGCCTCCAGGAAAAGAACGTTTGCTTTCTAAAAAACACACTTTTACCAATAAAAACACATTTGAAAAGAAACCTTATTCCAAGAGAACACGTTTTCGTAAAGTGTTTGTCCATTGTCGTCGTTTGGATGAAAAGGTCCGAGCTCAGTGAAAAAACCTCCAAGAGAACTGCATCCAGGTCCTCCGTTCAGCCAAAGAACAACAGGATCATTGACGGGATCACTTTGAGACTCGACGAACCAGTAGAAGAGATGATTGATGGGTTTTTCATCCGGTGTCAAGTAGCCAGAGAACATACGGTAAGGAACGTTGAAAGTCAACCCGGGAAGGTTTTGGATCAAGTCGGCAGCAGCAGCTGCGGTCAGATTGGTGGGACTGTTCGGGTTTGTGTTCAGCATTTTGTGGACATTGTTACTCATGAACTCGGCAAACGGAAAAGTAACTCCTGGAGGAAGTGGTGGCAGAGGAGGAAGTGTTGGGAGAGAGGCTGCAGTTGGGTATTGGGTAGCATTGCATCCTTCCAAGTTAGTGTAGGATGGGAGCAGTGGCGTCGCAACTAGAGCTTTGGGATAGGTTACGTTCAAGTTCAAGTTGTTAACAAAGTTGTAAATCATTTGAAGAGCTGGTCCTGGCCGGTCTTGTGGTACCAGATGACCCGATCCTTTCACAGTCACGAGTTGAATGTTTGACTCAAAAATTTTAATGTACCCAGCCAATTGTGGCAAGTAATTCGATCCAGCAATAACATAGTTCCACATCGTGCGTGGCGTCACTGTCTGAAAAGTTTAAGCGCATTCATAGTTATGGGAATATCCGGTAAACCTTCAAACCCGCTTCAGCGGCAAGCTGCTCAATGAGCCATTGATCTCCGAGATGGTTGCAAACCATGTCCACATCTCCATTGTAAATGAGAATCTTCAAATTATTCTGCTTATAATAGTAACTAGAAATGATGTCCTTCAGCACTCCATCAAGCTCAAAGTAACTGCGATTGTAGAGCTGTTCGTTGACAGTTTGGCTGAAAAAATACAATTTTGAAAAAACCGATTCTTCGTCAAGATTGACTTGAAAGACTGCCAAGTTTGCACAAAGGACGGAATGTGCAACGCGTTGCGGACGTCTTCTCTGTTTAAATAACCAGTCAGAGAGTCGGTACTCCAGCAAGGAAATCCATCAAATGGGTCAGAAGACTCAAGGTTGAGAAGTTTCTAAAAAAACAGGTAGAAACTAACATAAAATAAAAACATACAGCATTATCCTTGAAAGCAAATGAGAGGATTGAATCCTTCGAACGGGCAGTTTGAGATGAAACTGCTGTCGTGTAGCAATCTTGGTAGATGTTATAAGGGTCATTGAGTGAGTTCCAGACTTGATCTTGCACAATTCCGAGAATCTTTGAAGAATAATTTACAAAAAATATATATACATTTTTAACATACTGCGTTAGAACAGAAACTATCAGCATTTGGTACTGCATTGTAGTTACCAAGATAATCGAAATGAATGTATGGGGTGTAGAAATCACATTGCGTAGCGTCGGTCACATTTGGGCAGCAATTCTGGACGAGTGCGTTGTACTCTCTAAAAATCGTATTTTCAGAACTTCAAACTTCTTTCGTTCCGTACATCTCTCCAACAAGTCCATAAGTGTAAAGTTGGAAGATAACTGAGTTCACTTGAAACTTGGTGGTCAGTTCAGCGTTTCCAATGACGATTCCCTATAAAAAGTTTTCAAATGTTTGGCACAATTAATTCAACCTTGAAATTCAGTTGAATGTCTCCTGCACTGATTTTCTCAATGAGAAGCTTTGAGAGTGTTGGAACATAGACTCCTCCGTATGATTCTCCAGTGATGTAAAAGGAGTTGTTTTGGTATTCAGGAAAAATGTTAAAAAAAAAGTCCTTGATCGAATTGTAGTTGTCCGAGGCTGTTAAATCATCGGTATATGTGTAATCATTGACCACTGTGGAGTATGAGAATCCGACTTGATGCGGGCTTTCTAAGTAGAGTACGTTGGCAAACTGAAAAATTCCACTCAGTTTTTTTTCGATTTCCAATTAATGAATAACCTTGTTCCAAGAGTGAATATTCTCATATAAAGTTTTTTTATCACGATTTGGTCGGAATGGCCCATTCTCCGTCAGCATTCCCCATAAAGATGAGCTTCCGGGTCCTCCGTTCAACCACAATAGAACTGGACTGTTGGCAGGATCATTTTGAGACTCAACGAACCAATAATGAAATTTGTGAGTTGTAGATGCGTTCAAATATCCAGAGTACTGATTGAAATTGATTTTGTATGTCAGCCCGGGTAAGTCCACAATCTGAAAGTTGCCAAAATGTCTCAACAAAGATCAGTTGAAAGAGTCTTGTTTAGAACCTTATCTGCTTGCTTGCGGGCATCATTCCCAACATTTTTCTGATAATCGGGTAGCAGAGGTGCAGCTACTTTGTTTACTCGGCTGAGGCAATTATTGAAGAACAACCCTAATACGAAATCACGATAAAGCTGCAGTGCTTGCGACGGACGATTTTGAGGGGCGAAATGACCAGCGCCCTGTAATAAAATGAAAGCAGTGAAAATATACTCTGCTTTAAGAAATATTCTACCCGAATGGATGCAATGTGTAGGTTACTAGAGTAACTGGTAATAATACCACCATCCATCCACTTAAATGCGGCAGAATCGTAATTATGTCTCCAGACGCGGTCTTCAGTGAGGTTGAGTTTCAGAGAAGCTGCCAATTCCCTTCCAAACTTTTGTGCTCCTATGAAGTTGTTCACAATGTCTAGATCTCCGTTGTAAATGAGAACTTCGGCATTGTTAGTAACATAGTTTTTTGTCGTGAGAATAGAAGACAAGCGGATTTGCAAGTCAGTCGAGAGACTGGTGAAAGTAACGTTTCTGGAAACAAAAAAATATGGTTTGTAGTGCCACAACAACACAGTTCGTACCTGCACGACTGATAAGGCTTCGTTGCGTTAGGGTTCACATGGAAAGCTGCCTGCACGTCGTCCCTGTTGAGATAGTTGGAAGTTGCGGTGACTGCAGTGCAAGGATATCCAATAAAAGAATCCGTTGAATTGTAGTTGTTCACTACTGCCTTTAAAATCACGACTACGTAAATGTCTTGAAAATTTTTCGCTCAATCGCTAAAGAGCGTGTAGTCGCTTTTCCATATGCTTCGTTGCTGACAGCAAAAAAACTAAATTTTTCGCATAGAAATCACCTTGATTCCCATTTGTTTTAAAGAAGTGAGCAATTGAATTTTGTTCCGATAGCAATCTTGGTAAATGTCGTAAGAGTTCAAGCTAAACCACAACCTTTCAAATCTGGTGTCTATAGTAATCTCACAGGCTGTCTGTCCATGTTTGGATTGCAAGATCTGCTGCATTTCTGCATGTAGAAGCGCTGTTATAAAAATCACAGTTCAGAGTTGAAGAATTCGTACAGCAGACCGTTTTAAGAGCGTCATAATCTCTGCAAAAATTGTTTCGTTAGAGTTTCCAATCTGTTTATTTACTTTGTTCCAGCGAAACCGTGCGTGTAGTAGTACGGAATGATGCTGTTGTACTGATAACGAGCACTCAAATCACCGTTTGCCAGAACAAGACCCTTCAGATTTGTGATGTTTTGTTTTAAGAAAAGCATAATGTATACTCACTCTAATCTTAATTGGCGAGGTCAAAATATCTGGACGTGGAGTGTTGTTTACCAGAAGAGATTCAACCAGACCAGATGCAAAGAAAGAACCGTAACCCTCACCGGCAATGTAGAGATCATTATTGATAAGTTGAGGGTATACGGTGTAGAAATCAGTAAGAGCATTCAGAATAGCAAGTGTGACCGTACTGTCATCCTGGGATCTTTCATGACTTCCGGGGACTGAGAAACCGGTGTCAGGGGCATCAATGGCAAGCAGATTTGTCACTTTGTTCCAAGAGAATACATTTTCGTAGAGAGTCTGACCATCTGCAGACACTCTGAAGGGACCGATCTCTTGAAACAGGCCAATTAGGGAGCTGCAACCAGGTCCACCATTGATGAAGAGCAGAACTGGATCGTATGTTTTGTTAATTTGAGAATCAATGAACCTGAACGTCAAATTGTATTGAAAGTTAGTACTACTGAAGAATACGATACCAGTAATGCAGGTCATTGGCAGCTGTGTTAGGGTTTGAGTTAAGGTATCCCGAATACTGGCTGAAATTTGTCTGAAAAAAGGAAAGTTTCTAGTTTGGACTTGAAGAACAGACTCAAACCTGGAAGATAGTTCCTGGAAGAAGTGCAATTTGATCAGATTGAGCTCGAGATGTCAGCTGAGCTACAGTAACTGCAGCTGGTACAGCTAGAAACAGTAGAACACTGCCAATTGTCATTCGAAACTGCGGTGAAGATGACCGAGAAGGCAGTGAATCGGTCTGCTTATCAGTATGTTCAACCCTTTTATAGTGTATTCAATGGCACACTTTCAAGCAATAGTTTTGTTGTCATTAAAATTTTTTCAAAGTGGTGATGCGCAGCAGCAATAAGGAACAGTCAGATGAGGAGGTGACAATTTGAACGCGAACAAGCTTTTTTGTGATGAACCATTCTGAATCTTGTAAATTATGTGTTTTGAAAAACTGGTTTCCGTTGTTGCCTAAAATGAGAAAAGGGAACTTCTAAAAAACAATTTTGAGTTCAATGCTTTATTCATTAAAAAATTATAGATACAATGCCTTCTTTGATAGAACTTAATGACATACGGAAAATGAAAAACAGTGGTAGATAATGGTTTACCCTGAAAAAACGACAATGCAACGGAGTTCAGTTTCATTTGATCATCTGCTCCGCTCAATTCATCCTGGAATCTTTATTTCTGTATTATCACGGTCAAATATTGCTGCATTTCAATAAAATATTCCCATTCAAAACATCAATTTTTATTTCTGACCTCGCACGTCTAAGTTTTTAGAGAGATGGTGAAGTAGGCACAAAAGAAGACCAAGTGTGGTGCTACGCTTTTGGGATGATTGATGAAATCCCTCCCTTTGACTTGTGGGTGTGTCTCATACAACTATTTTTGTAATATTTTTCCCATACTCGAACGTGTACTAGACAAGCTCTCCGTGCCGTGGAAAGTGAGAGACGTAACTGTTATTTGAATCAGCGTTCGCAAGACTCATAATAATTCACAGTCAGCTGGCAGTACTGACACTGGCCTGACCCACTACTCATTCTTGCAACACATCTTCTGTCCCGGAGGCCTGTCATGTAATATTAATCTTTTGCAGTCCCTTGTAGCTGTTGGTCCACTTGTGCTCCTCCCCCGATAAGACTGTGGTGTCATGAGCGTGACTGCTCCGCTCAGATCCGGCCCCATGAACTTCTATGAGGAACCTTATAACCCAATTCTGAACCTTCACATTCCGCAGTGAGTATATGCTACTTGTTTTCATCGTGGTGTGGGTGTGTTTAGAAAGCGTTTGTTTTGTGATATCCGTTATCCGTTATCCATTTCATTAAACGTATATTCCTCATGACTTTATTCCAATTAGAAGCTCCTAGTAACGGCATAACAACGGGGCCCCAGAGACCTCTTGATTAGCAGTCATCCTCTCATTTCTGATAGCCAAACCGACAATAGTAGTATTCCCGAAATGAGTACCTCGACCAATGCTACACTTGAATCCTTGATTCTCAGCGGTTCTGCTCTTAACTTTCCCATTCGGTAGGTAATTAAAGTTCAAAATTGTTCTCCTATTCTTCGGCTCCATCCTCTTTATCCACTTGCTTTTACTAATGACGTCTTACTGCCAGAGATTGCGTTTAACAAATGATGAGACACTTTGAAATATAGCTTTCTTGTGGCTTCGGGTTCTCGGAAAATGTTACAAATCGCGGAGAGATTGGTAACGACTGATAGATGAAACAAGTGGACAAAGAGAGGGGCTCCGTTTCATATCTTCCTACTGCTTAGAAATATTAGCATATTTGGACCAGTTATACGAGTTCGCAGCTGTCTTGTCGGATTTTGGATAACTATTTGCATATATGACAGAGTGGATTGAGCTACAACACTACGTGACAGCGTCGAGAATTTTCCTGAAATAGATGGAAGTTGACTCATGATAAGCGAAGCAGGTATCATGCGACGTTATGATGAGCGACATCATAGGGAGATGAGAATGGAGTCAGCTTAAAAGTCGGTCTCTTTGTGAAAATGTCATCGTCATAGAAAGTAATTATCCGGAGACGTTACACTTTAAAGCAGGCGCGAATCTTCTTTCATATGAACAAACTTCATTGAGGAAACAAAAACAACATTTCTAGAGAGTGATAACAGTACTTGGCATGTTAATTATCTAGCTCATTTATTCTCTCAACAGATTCGTGACGTACCCATTCACGCAACCGTTCCGAACATTCGATGCAATGTAATGCATCGTCAAAATCAGCCATACAACTGACTGGGATAAAATTTGTATTCAAACGCGAATTCGATTGCAAAGTCTGTTTTATCCGAGCTTCATCTGGGAAAACTTCGTTTATTGGAGCTACTCGAAGCGAGTTTTTCAAGTTTCTTACTGTGGCTCACGCGCTTCCATTGGCCATAGGGGGCACTAGTGGGCGGAGCTCTGAGACGCGTTGTAGACGACGTTTTTGGTTCTCTGTCTAATGAGGCCGGTTCCCGAGGGGCCGCTGGCTGTGCAAATGTTCTTTCCCGACTCGAATACCTTACTCAGGTCTGTAAAAGATGAGAACCAACGAGCGACATGGACTTCATCCTTGCTTGACGCTTCTACAGGAAGGTTAGTGCGCATCAGGAGACTAAACATGACGTCTTCAGACCTTCATTTTTGTTTTAAATAGTGTCTTACACAATAACCAACAATTTTGTGTACTTTAGTGATATGAGAAGTGATAAGATATCATTTTAGTTGAAATCTTTTCCTGAATTCAACACAACTATTTCAGTGTTCAAATTCAACGCGCACATTTCGAGAAGAACCCTCCCAACAATCTACGCAAATCTAACTTTTTTCACTTTGTCATTGCTCTTTATGATCGTTCTAATCAACCCATAGAAGTCGAACGCACTCAATTTGCTGGTTTCGTGGAAAAGGACAAAGAAGTAGATGGGCAGGATACTAGAAATGGAATCCACTATCGCCTCACTTTGATGCTTCAAAATGGTAAGAAAATAAATATGCAAAACGAGCAAGATTCAGATTCATATATTAAACATGTTTCAGGTCTTCGAACTGAACAGGACCTCTTTGTCCGACTTATTGACAGTGTTACTAAACAAGTAAGTGATCATAAGTAGTTACAGTAGTGATTTGATAATAAACATTTTAAATCACAAAATTCTACAGCTTTCAAACTATTCTTGATTTTTTTGCATTAAAGATTGTTAGTTACAGTATCTCTAGAAGTGAGAGCCCATTATAAACACTTCTCGCTCACAAGTTTGTCAATTTTATTGCAAACGTCGATCTAACTTTATGTTTTATTCTGTTTTTACCCCTACTTCTCAAAATGTATCTTCTCAATGATGAAACAAAACAAGTTTTAGGCTATCACATACGAGGGTCAGGATAAAAATCCAGAGATGTGCCGAGTACTTTTGACCCACGAGGTCATGTGCAGTCGGTGCTGCGAGAAAAAAAGTTGTGGAAACCGGAATGAGACGCCTAGCGATCCGGTCATTATTGACAGGTTTGTGATCCTAGTGAACGTGGTTAAGTTGATTGGCAAAACAAGAAATCTGATTCTGTAGCAGCTGTCAGCTATTTAAGTAATAGCGCGGAATCGGTGAAGCTGCGACCGAATGCCGTAAAATGCGAATGAAAGTGGCGAGGTTGAATAAATGCTATTTCTTAGATTAACCTTGGTCTTAAAGAAATTAGATTGGATTTTACATTTTGCTGCCTGTTCTTCTTCTGCTCGAAAGCAAAACAGTTGAAAGTAGTGTCATAGCTGGTGGTAATTACGAACACTCTATTAAATCGGATTATTGTGTTCGCCTCTCTCTTCATCCAATTGGTCCAAACTACGAGTAATTGCTACTTTTCGCGAGTAGTTCTGAATGATACTCCTTTTGCTGCCACTAACCAATAGTATCTTGTAAGTGACTCAGGCAAATTAGGAGGATTGCCCGCGCAGTTGGTGTCTTTTGAGGAAGACAAAATGAGTTGGAGTTTGCGTGGGTTCATCCTTTACTTTTTTAGGTTCTTCCTGAAGTTTTTCCTCAAATGTAATCAGAACTGCTTGAAGAATGCTGGAAATCCGAGAGACATGCGACGCTTCCAGGTTTGATTGTTTTCCAAAACGGATCTGATAGGGTGTCAATCATAAAAAGACGGGACGGCATCCCATGAAACAGGTGGTCCTTTCCTTTTCTTTTGTGTCAATGCAATGGATCATCATCTTTATGCTAAATTTTCTGAATAGAAAGTGAACAGACAGGCGGCAGAATCTTCCGCTCGATTTGTGTTGAGAAAAAGCTGTAAACTGAGCTGTATTCTCTTCGCAGACGTTTAATGATAGCCAATCTACAATCTGTTGCCCTTTGGGAGAGAAAAGGCGTCGCAGATAAAAATAATTTTTCAAACAATCCATTTGTGGGGAACGTGTGAAAGTACCGAATTGTTCATGAAAGCAAAAAGTATTTAGTCAGTGCTGTGTTATCAGCATCACATACTTTCAGGTTGTTCTCAGCTCAACTGCTCGGTTAGATGGTCCTCTTTTGGCTTGCTCGGACAACATGTTTGTTCACAATAACTCAAAGCATGGAAGACGAACTAAGCGTACTGATGCCTCAGATGGTTAGTTGTTAGCACTAATGCGAAAAAGCTCTTCCCTTTTGCTTCTCTTCACAAACTTAGAGGGACGAGCCAAACATTTCGATTTTTCCAAATTTTTAAAAAACCTTTATCCACCCAAACCTTTTTCCGTTAGTATATCATAATACTATCATCCAATTCTGGGGAAAACGAGAAAAACGGATGATCTGCATCCGCAATGATCAGTGGGACACGTGCAAGACATTAAAGGCAGCTGTCAATAGTTGACACCTCAATAAATGTCATCTTTGTGCGATAAGTGCGCAATTTATGCATGCAGTGTAGGGTCGTAACCTCCAGCCAGCCAGCCAGCTCCTCGATGGCATGTTGTTATCTAGATTTTCCGCTAGCTTCATGATGTTTCATGATATTATCTTTACACATCCGGATAAATAGAAGAGCGATTTTCGCGCATACATAGTGGATTCACATCTCAGAACTGAGATAAACTTTTCAGACTCAGAGTATTCGGAAGCAGCTGAAATTCCAACATCAGTCCCTGTCATCAAAGCACTGTGCCCGAGTGAAGGTTGGGTTCAAGGCGGAACACAAGTAGTGCTGATTGGAGAGAACTTCTTTGAAGGGCTCCAAGTTTCGTTCGGCTCCAGTGGGCCTCATTGGGCTGATGTGAGTACGAAGATTTATGATTTAGAAATGAAGATTATTTTTCAGTCTGTGCAAATCATTTCCCCACATGCGATGAGAGTGAGTACTCCGCCCAGACATGCTGTAGGAGTTGTAGATGTGACCCTTCAGTATAAATCAAAAACTTATAATAGAAGCTCTCCACTGCGATTCACTTACATTGGTACTTATTCGCACTATGAATATAACTTATTTAAACCTTTTTTTTTTAGCATTGACTGAGCCCAGTATCGAATACGGTTTCCAACGACTACAAAAGTTGCTTCCGAAGTATCCAGGAGACCCAGAACGCTTGCCAAAGGATCAGATTCTCAAGAGAGCTGCGGAATTGGCCGAAGCTCTTTACAACAGGTACTTATACTTGCAAAACGAATAGTTTTTATGAAAAGTATAATTCAGAACGTCTGCCGACTCACTGAGCACTTACTATACCGGATTTGATGCAAACACTGATTACGCCAACCGTACTCATACTTCACCCCGGGCTGCTCTTCCATACGCCACAGGCCCACAGGCTATCTCATCAGCAGTGTATCAGACGTCCTACCCAACAGTGAACACCACTCCGGCTGCAAACTTTTTGAATTCGCAAACTGGTTTGTGAATGTGTTTGCTTTGAATAAACTCTAGTGTTTTTTTCAGGTTTTGCCACGTTCAGCGCAGTCAATCCGTTCACCGCTACTCTCCAATCCACATCTCGTTTGTCATGAATCTTCCACCTCACCTCACACTCGTAACTCTTCTCACCTTATCAAAATTGTACCTTCTTTCTATTTTTCATCACCTAACTTTTAATAATTTTGCCATCTTCCTCGAAAAAGTCTGAATAAGTTAATATGTGATACTTTCACCATTTTTCTTCAGGAAACCAAACAAAAAAGCAAATAACTCTCGATTACTGTATCGTTTCTCTATTACTCCTTTATGAATGTTCACTGTGTAGGTCAAATCAACTGTGAGCAATACAATTTAAAAGTGTATGATATTCATGAACATGCTAACTTTGAGTTTGAGCACCAGTACTAGCAATATGCATGCAATAACTTTAAAATTTTTGAGGAATTATTTTTTACAAGTATTGTGTCATGATTGTCGTGTTTTTCAAAAATAAAACTGTCTCTGAATTCATTTCGATTGAGGAGCACACGTAAATTCAACTTTCTGTAGATGATTTCATTATTTGGCAATAAGGAAGAAGAACGGAAAGACAAAAACCAAAAACTATCTCGTTTGGATGTTTGGACCAGACAACACGGGCATAACCTGAATGTCTTACAATATCTCAAGTTCTATTATTAGAGATGACGATTGACTGCCTGGTTGACGTGATGATGCAATGATCAAGACAACACACGTTCGCTTTGGTTTTTGTACTTTCTGGTTGGGCCGACGGTAAACCTTCTGATGATGACGACATCACACTGTTTTTTGGGTGAAAGTGATGACACTCGTAGTTTTTGGACTCCTTTATCAGCTGTTGTGCTCGTTCCGCTTTTGATCGCACCCGTAGATAGCGTAAAGACCACCCACTCCCGTTTTAAAGCAGCCCACTATCAAGTTTATCACACGATGTGATCGTATCTGCGTCTGATGACCGACCCCATTTCTTTTTTCGTCATCTTTGGCGTATGTCATCATGTTTAGTCAACGTGACTTTCCGCGCCACGTGTATGTCGATGTATTTTTGATACTGTCGCTGCTGATGGGCTGATGATAACGAGGCGATAGATACGCAGAGTGCTATGTGGGAAGAAAAGAAAGCGTGGGAACCTGTATGGTGAATTAGTGAGACCCAGGGGAGACAGTGATCGCCACGCGACGATGACTCCTCCCTCACTTAGCGATCAGTCGCGTGCGGCATCGAAACATTATCAGTGAGGGGCGGAGTTCAGTGCTGATGTTCTCAGATATATAAGCGGGCTCACCGATACTTGATCATAACACTAGTTATCAGCTTCTTTATCAATACATTAGTTCAGTTCAAACGCGTTCTTTCTACATTTGACTACATTAGTTTCTTCAGAACAACAAAATACTGTATTTCAGGATTTACAACTTGTTTATCTGATTTCACAACAACACAACCCTCATTAGTCATCAACATGCAGACGCTTTTGAGTCATAGCCGAGTGATGCCGCCTCCTGGTGCGATCACGAAAGAAGAAATTAAGAACCAGCTGATGGTTCACGAGCGCCGCTTCTTGAGCAAGGTTAGTTAATAATATGTTAGAAGATTTTGCATACCTTACGTGGGTGTAATTACACGTTTCCTGAAATATATAAAAGGCGGGCTGAAGCCTACGGCTTCATTCATTCCAAATGCTTACTTTTCATTTTCAGCCTGCTCAAAAAGAGGAGTGGGGTGTTCTGTCGCAGTCCACGCATTCGAAGAACACTGTCAATCCTGTCCGTAAGATCGCCGATGCTTGCGCCGTTGCTCCAAACCCACTGAAAAAAACCATTCGTCTTCACCTCGGAGATCCATCTGTTGGAGGAAAGCTTCCACCAAGCGAAGTAGCCGTTCAAGCAATCATGGAATCAGTCAGCACTCATAGGTAAATACTCTTGCCTAACTCAACTTGATCTAACCCAATACATTTTCAGTTACGATGGATATGGCCCAGCTGTCGGCACTCTTGCTGCCCGTCAAGCCATTGTTGATCGATACAGTACCCCAACTTCCTCCTTCACCGCTGATGATGTTATCTTGGCTTCCGGATGCTCTCATGCCCTCCAAATGGCTATTGAAGCTATCACCAACGCCGGAGACAACATTCTAGTCCCACACCCCGGATTTCCATTGTATTCTACTCTTTGCCGCCCACACAACATCATTGACAAGCCGTACAAGATTGATATGAGCGGAGACGACGTCAAAATTGATTTGTCATATTTGGAGACCATCATCGACGAGAACACCAAGGCAATCATCGTGAACAACCCTGGTAACCCAACTGGAGGTGTTTTCACCAAAGATCACCTGGAAGAGATTCTTTTTTTTGCCGAGAAGTACAAACTGGTTATCATTGCCGATGAAATTTACGGAGACCTGGTTTACAATGGAGCCACGTTTTACCCATTGGCCTCTCTCAGTCCGAAAGTACCAGTTATCACCTGCGACGGAATCGCAAAGAGATGGATGGTTCCTGGATGGCGATTGGGATGGATCATCATTCACAATCACTTCGGAGTGCTCACTGAGGTCAAGAAAGGAATCGTGGCGTTGTCACAGAAGATTGTGGGCCCGTGCTCGTTGATCCAAGGAGCTCTCCCGAAAATTCTCCGCGACACTCCAGAAGACTACTTTGTCTACACTCGAAGTGTCATCGAAACAAACGCTAACATTGTCGATGAAATCCTGCAAGACGTGCCGGGACTGCGTGTTATAAAGCCAAAGGGTGCGATGTACATGATGGTCGGCATCTCCCGAACTGCCCACGGATCGGACGTCAGTTTCTGCCAAAACCTGATAAGAGTAAGTTAACGAGCTCAATTTATCAATAGTAAGGTTTTAATTTCAGGAAGAATCGGTGTTTTGCTTGCCAGGACAAGCCTTCTCTGCGCCAGGATATTTTCGAGTTGTTTTGACCTGCGGCAAAGAAGAGATGGAAGAAGCCGCTTCGAGAATAAGAGAATATTGCTTCCGCAACTTCAACCAACACTCGGACTCTGAAGACAGCTCTGATGAAGGCCTCGATCTTAGCGCCATTGAGTCGGACTAAACAAACTTTTAAGTTTCCTTTATTTTTTCATTACCGGACTTTCATCATTATTTAATAATTCTGTCATTGTTCCCAAACATCCTCCCATCTTTACTTTCCCAAAAATCTCATGATCCGATCCCTCCTTGAATAGTTTTATTGCCACCTCATTTTCATATTTTTATCTTATTCTAATTCAAAGTCATAATTCATAATTCATAAACTTTCTTAATTCATTCTACTCAAAAGCAGAGAACTTAACAAACTTGGCCGAAGGAGCAATATGAGAACCAGCATACTCTCAAGTATCAAGCTAGGCTTTGCAATTTTTCATAATTATATTAATCTGTTTTAATACACTAATTCGACAAATTTATTTCAAAACAAACATTGTTTATGAAAATGATAAGTATTTGCTAGCAATTCTTTATATGTTATCCACTCTTTGAAAGTTTTTTTCAGAAGTAAAGCATCTTACCCGTAAAATGTCTGACTTATTCATATTTCATGTACACATCAGCCTAATAACAATGTTACGTTCAAAGAGTCCGTTTGTTGTTCGTGAGAACATTCTAGTTTCTTTCTAACGCAAAATTTAACTGTCAAGCTGATGCAATCTCATTAGACCGCCTCTGCAAATGTCGTCTTTTGGCCGCACTATTTCGACGACACGGTCATTCGCGCCAGTGATAAAGAGTTGCAACTTTCCATTGTCACGTTAACAATCTGATGATTCTCAGGAAGTGCAACAATTTTCTTTGTTCTCAAAAATGACAAATTTGGAATGAAATTTCAAAGCGGAAATAAAATTGAAAATGGCGGAAGTATACTGTCATTGTGTAACTGATTTTAAAAAAAAATAAATTACAACCTACCAAGTTTATAAAACATAATGAAACTTATAGCTTCCATTTCCGGGAGGTACACCGGAAATTGGACTTGAAAACTTTCCAGTATCATCTGATCATCTGATTCAGATAAAGAGAGAAAGAAGAAAAGAGCTGGAATACTAAAAGTTAACTGAAAACTAACACTTTAGATCCCTAGTTAACAGGTTTATAAACAATCTTCCTGATATGGGATTAATCAAGCATTCTCATTCCTTTTTTCGATCTAACCTTGATATAAAATAAATTGAGAAGGAGAAAAAGCCTGGGGCCATTAAAATTGAACAAACAAATTGTTTTCAATTCAAATGTACCTTCCAAGTAATGGGCCAGTTTTCTCCTTCTCATTTCTCCTCAATTTGAGATGAGCATTTTTGAGGAAAGTGTGTCTCAAAACTAAATGTAACGTTAAATCAATCAGCACTTCCTAAATTAAAATATTCTATAAATATTTATATGAAAAGATAGATATATACGTATGTGTAAATCCTACTTACTGAATTGTGCGGCCGTATTAGCTATCTTTTGGCTCAAGTCTCTTCAGGTGTTATCATATCTTTTCTCCATACGGAAGCATATGAAATATTCACTGAGCAATGCTAGGAAGTTGATGAGATGAGAATTCAAAACTTCTGATTTCATCGCATTTTCCAAATAAATTTCTAATATTCTTCAAGTGCTCCGTGAGGTTCATCTTTCCTATTCCTTTGAGCGATTGTTGTGAGGTCAGCTAAAGTGCGAGAAATCTTTTTTCTTTACTTTTGGATAGTGATTGTAAAGGCTGATGAAGTTTATTCAGTCCATCTTCCCGGTCCACATGAAACAGATGAGATACGCTTATTCACACGACATAAATGATGTTTTGGCTTAATTGAGTACGGTGTTTCCAAAATAAATCACCCTCTCCAACAACACTATTATATCATGAAAAACCGACTGAAAGAGCGTTAGGAATTGTTTATAAGTATTTGAAAACGTAGGCGTTACAACTGAACTCGAACTTGTGCGGGCACCCTTCTTATAGCAATTGTTGGTAGTTACAATGTTGTGCTCATCACGCTTATTATAAAGATACTATTAAAATGCCAAGTTGATTTTATTGAAACTTCAAAAACTCACCAAAATGAGGTTGGTTGTGCCGACAGTGAAGCCTTAATTGAAGCCACTATTATTGCAATGCTCAGAAATTGTTATGTGTAAGCTCAATCTCATCCTATTCATCATTGTATACACTAGAATTTATCACCTAATACACTAGAACTTCACTTCCGTGGTAATATTCCACCTGCTTCAATTTTAAATTTATTGAAAATCGGAAACAAACATCCATCTTTTGAATTGCAGTTATCATTGTTTTTGCTATTATCTTTACTTTCCTACTCACTACTATATTTCAGGATAAAAATACTCTTCAAAATCGAAATGAAGTAGAAGTTGATTGTATAGGGTATGAACAACGGAGTGATAAACTGCGGAGATGCGCAAGCTTATCCCAACGACTCCAAAGTTCAAGAACTGGCAGGAGACTGCGTTCGAGAAGGTGATTTCATAATGAATGAAACTAAATACCAACTAATCCTCTCAGACTTCAACTCATATTTTGATGGATGTGCGCTGAAATGTGTTAGGGACAAGTTTATTTTACCACTGACTCAACACGAGAGTTTAGAAAGTATAGTTTATGGGCAGGTACATATGAAATTATATGGCTTCAAAAAAAACAATATATTTTGAGATTTTTCCAATTCTGGTATTACTAGCTGCGCTCGCAAATGCAGCAGTTGCGCTGGTTCTATCAAAAAAGCACATGATAACTCCAACAAATGTGGTCTTAAAATATATGGCTATCGCCGAGCTTTTGGTAGGCATTGTCCCTCTACCATGGACGTTGTTTTTCTTCACAATGGGGTACGAATACTAGAAAATCTAACATTCACATTTTGCTGTTTCAATTTTCTTCCAGGAATTTTAAAAAAACGTACCGGCTTGAGCTTTGGTGGTGTTATTTGCAAAAATACAGCATGGACGCATTTCCACCAGTTTTCCACAATATAGCTATGTGGCTTACAGTTCTTTTGGCAGCACAACGGTAACATGAGGCAATGTTTATTATAGATTTCGTTTTTTCAAAGTTACATATCAATAAGTTACCCGTTACATGCTCGTTCGGCATGCACTGTGAAAAATGTTCGATTTGCAACTTTTATTATAACTGTAAGTGTTTTGGTGAAAAAAAAAAAAAATTATTTAAAGGTTACCTCTCTACTTTGTGGTCTTCCAAAATCATTCGATTATGAGTACGACACTGTTTATGGTTGGGTATTTATTCATAATACATGGACATATACAAGGTTGATATTTTTCTAGACTATATATTGTGTAATACTTTTTTATTCGAATTCAGTAGCTGTCTAATGGTTCAAACAGTATTGTTGGATAAAATGGGACAAACTGTATTTTTCAACATCTATTTCTGGACTAGAGCCCTCGGTTTTATCATCTTACCTAGTTTTCTGCTAGTTCTTCTCAATGGTCTTTTGATTAAGGGAATAAGAAGGGCTCAACAAAGAAAGCAGCGGTTGTTGAGGTTTGAAAAATGGAGAATAATATAGAAGCATAATAGCGGTTGATAATTTCAGAGAAAAACGATCGGAAGAAGCAGCTCGTCAAAGAGATAGTAACTCTACCAGTTTGATGCTTGTTGCAATTGTTTCCATTTTTTTGGTAACCGGTTTCATTCAAGTAATTGTTTCAAAGCAAGATTTTGAGATTGTTAATCTTCCGCAAGCTATATTCATGGGATTGCTATGCGTCTGTGAAACTTTTTCAATAAGATTGTCAATGCTAGAAGGAGCGTTTCCAGCAGTTTTCCTGATAACAAGTAACATGATTGTCATAGTAAGCGATTATATTAAAATATAGTTAAAACATCGATATTCTGTCATTCAGGCAACCTATCCATTTAATTTCGGAATCTACTGTTTTATGTCCAGCAGTTTCAGGCAAACTTTTAAAGCGATGTTCTGCCCGTAACTTTTTTCATTTTATGCAGATTAAAAAAAATCAAGTTTTACAGGGGAACGTATAACTTGCGTTATGAACGTCGAAATGAAGCGGCAAGCTTTGTTCACTCAAGTAGGCGTTCCGAGTTCTGTTCTCACATTGTGAATCAAGGAACAACTTTGGAGGTTTTAACACAAGTGTCAAATCAATGTTTACACGTGGATCATTTGCATGCTGACAAAAATTAGTAGCTGGGGTATTTTTCAAATAGAATTGTTTATTGCTCTTTTTGTGCATAATCAATTGAATGAAAGTGTTTTTACTAATCTCTATTATAGTAATATTCATTTGAAAATGCTTCAAACTTTCAAAGGTGAATTGACCGGCAAAACAAGTTTCTGAACAAACAAACACCTGATCTACCGGACTATTGCTGGTCCAATTGATCATTTTATCGTTTTTTTCTGCCGGTTGTAAATACAGTAGCGACCACTGAAATATCCCCTTTTGGTTTTTCCGCTATACCTTTCTTTAGAGAAGAGCAACCGGGCCAAAATTTTTTGTGCGTATTACCGGCATATATAATGTACTTTCTGCAAAGTGTCGTTATAGTGCTGCGAAAGAAATATTTTTTCCAAAAATATTTTCAATTTTCACGATTTTAATCGTATTTTCAATTTTTTTTTTTGGAAGCTACAACTCCAATATATATATGCGAGTTTTGTGGAGTGATGAGAGCAACTTCATGTTGTTCGGTTCGGATGGAATTTCTTACGTGAGACGACCAGTAGGGACCAGATTCGACCCAAAATATCAAACTCCCACCGTAAAACATGATGGTGGCAACGTGATGGTATGGTCCTGCTTCAGCAGTCATGGGGTCGAACCACTTCACCGCATCCGAGGCAACATGGATCGCTTTGTGTACGAACAGATCTTGCAAAATGTCATGCTACCGTTCGCTCGTACCTCCCCGAGGGTTCGTTACTTGTTTCAGCAAGATAACGACCCAAAACACACCTCCAACCACATCAAAATGAGTTAAATGTCTCAAACAATCAGTATCCTTTTCTAAAGAATTGGTTCGCCATCAACCGTGTGACTGTAATGGAGTTTTCCAGCCAAAGCCCCGACCTCAAACCCATCGAAAATTTGTGGGAAGAGCTTGAGAGACGCGTTTCCGGTATCCGTACGCCGAGAAATTCTCTCAGTTGGAGACTGCGTGGGCTCAGATTCCACAGTCTGTTTTGACCAACCTGATCCAGTCAATGCCAAGAAGATGTCAAGCTGCTATCGATTCTCGAGGGTTTGCAACTAAGTATTGATCAATTTTAAACTGTTCCTATTGCTTATTACCTCATTTACAAGTCGTTTCCCGGGTGAAATCGCAATAAACCGGTTTGTTAAAAATCGAAAAATTTAATTTTTTGAATTTTTCAAAGAAAATATTTTTTATCGATAAGAACTAAACTGGATCATTTTTCTGGCTCATTTTGCAACATTTTCACAGTTGACCTCAAGTTCCTAGCTCTTCTCTAAAAAAAGTTATAGCGAAAAAACCAAAAGGGGATATTTCAGTGGCCGCTACTGCATATTGACTTCTACTATTCATGTTCTTTCTTCATAATCATTATTATAAAACCGACAAAACAAAACTTTATTGTACTCTGTTATTCAATTTTGTAGACATGCGAATTTGGAATAAGAAAAATTACAATAATCAACTGCAGCAATGTAATTTAAATGGACTGCTTGATTATACATTTTACATAATTTGATTTGCTGTTGAGTTGTCCGTTGTAATACATCACACAACTGATAATTCAATTTAGACTTTTGTAGTGACAACGTTTTTGCACTGGTAACTGACGTCTTCTCTAATTGGCTATTTAATGAATTTAGACTAAGCAACTGCAAATTCAGATCGTTGTGGCAAAGCAGTGGAAATACCGTAAATACCGTAAAATAGAAGGACATGCGACTTAAAAGGCAATGTCTGAGAACCTCGAAATTCGCTAATTACACCAGGTCACTAAAAATTCAGAATGCTTCAATTTGTCCCATATTATACCCAATGGTTACTTACATAACAGTAGAATTTAAAAAAATTAGACCAAGTCGTCGACCCGGGGGTCATGACAAAATTTTCGAGAAAAAATTAATTTTCGAAATGCTTCAAAAAAATCAAGAATGCCTAAAAGTATACGAAAACAACAAATATTTTTTTTTTTTTTTGCAGAAGCACAATAATGTCTAGATTCAGAATTAGCAATAAAATCATGGCTATGTAGTGTTAAAATTTTTCAGGATGAGCAGAAAACTGAAAAATTTTCTGAAAAATGTCACAAAACAATATTTTCCTCCATGAAGGAGAGGTGCTAAATTTTTGGTGCCAACATGAAAAATGTTTAAAAAGATGCGAGAAATCGAATGGCGTTGAGTCTGAGACGCTAGCATTTTTTTGAAATTAGTTACAGGTTTGACCTATTTTGTGACCGTGATCGGACTAGGGACCACGGAGCCGGACCAAAACTTGTCTGATGTATTACTGTTATGTAAGTACCCATTGGGTATAATATGGGACAAATTGAAGCATTCTGAATTTTTAGTGACCTGCAGTTTTTGAACTTCTCACATTGCCTCTTAAAACTGCTCTAGCTCATTGTGCCCTTCTGACACAGTATTTACGGTAATTGAAATTACCTTCATTGTTGAAGTATTAAACGTTTTCGTGGATGTAGAAGTACTTGCGAAATGCGTAAAAGGCGCTTTTCTGGAAAAAAATGACCCGGTTTTTTTTTAAAGTGTTCATACTTCCTCTTGAAAATCAGCGATCTCAATTCTTTTTCAGATGTGGATACACTGTTCAAAAGTTCCTTTCGTTTCTTTATATGTTGTTGGAATTCTTTTACACATGCGTCACATTTTTCAAAATTCTGAAGTACTGCCGCGTTCTTAACTATTTTATCTGATTTACTTACTGAAACGTTCATATGTTCAACGAATGTTCTCAACTTTTCAATTCGTTTGCTTTCAAAGTCATGTTTTAAGTCACTAGTAAATTTATTTTTGATGATATATGTTTCTGCAGACAAATCATCATCGAACGATGCCTTGCAACCTATAAGTAAGTTTCAAAGTCTTCAAATTTGTTTTAAACAATAGAATTATCTAACGTCTATGTTCTTCAGCCATAACCATGATTCTTTGAGAGTACTCTTCCAGTTTATTCTGAGCAAGTAGGATAAGATTGCTCAAATTTTTGCGAATATCCGACAAACATCTTTCTTGCAAAGACTCCTGAAAGTCATTGGGTCAAATGCAAGTTTGCTTTGCATTTGAACTAACCTTCATTATTTCTTCCATGAAAAGTTTGTAGCAGTTTTGCAAAGCTACCCATTTATCGTCTATAACTTTAACGACATTTGTACATACTAAATGATTGAAGTGAATTTGAATGCCTTAAAATTTTTCAAATATGTTGAAATACAACGTCAGCACTAATAAATAACCTTCCAAATATCCAGATAATATCTCCTCGCTAGTTTTTTCACATCCAATATAATAAGTTGTGAAAATATGCTTTCCAACCGATGTAATTGATGTTTTGTATGAATTCCTCAGTGTTTCCAGTTCTGACTGGCCTTGGAGAACGTTTACAATCAAGCTTTCAACACTCTGCAATATTCATTAACACAAAAGTTGACTAATAAGCCTATTACTTACATTTAATGCAAGTTTGTTAATATTTGTTAAAGTATCCGGGCATTGAGAAAGCATTTGACTTCAATAATAGATGCACAAAATATTTTGAGAAATAAGACTTTTCAGGAAGTATGCTTGATTAAATTTGATTCGCCTATTTCTAGTTAATTTTCAAGTTAAGAGCAGATTTTATAATGGATATATTTATAAAACTTGCAAAACTTTCTTATACATATATATATATAGGCTTATATATATATGGCTTATATATGGATATATACATCATCTGTACCACATGTACAAAATTTTGATTTCATTGCTGTTTAATGCAATTTTTTGTAGCATATTGACTATATCTTCACCACTAGTTCCTGTTTTCTTCGTGGAAACATAACCATTTCGTTTTTTATCATACTTCGAACCCAGTGATGACGTCACAAGGTCGATATGTGACAGAACAAAAATAGCTTTGTCAGGAAGAGGCACCAGAGAACATCGGGAGAAATATTGAATCGGAATGGGAGAAGGGAAAGAAAAAGAGCGAGGGGCACTACAACCGAAACGTAGGCAGAAATCGCGTTTTCATCAGTCTGTTATCATCATCGTTTTGCCGCGTACTGTTCTTTCAAACCGCTGTCGTATCATATAATACCTTCTCTTCAATTTTCCAGATTTTTAGACAACCTAATTGGCTAAAATGAACTACAACATGACACCGAGTTTCATTCCGGCGCCTGAACAGCAGTACAATTCCTTCGTGAGCAACGGATCTAACTTCACGTCGCCAATTTGTACAGTCAGTTAATTTAAATTTTATGAATTAGTAACAGCTATATGATAATTTTCAGGAAATCACGTGCTGTGTTTGTTGAGCCTACAAACCACGCACAGGGACAACAATTTCAACATCAAGTACCATATACTATTGGACAAAATGCTCAGTTTTCTTCTTACTACACTAACGGAACGTCATCTCAACCAGAACAAAGTTACTCGAACCAAGTTTTCACTTTTTCCCATAATGCGCATTACAATGCTCCAAACTATGTTCCGGCCTATATTCCACCAGACCCATATGTTAGAGAATCAACTCGCCAGAATTCATCTTCTTCATTTTCAAATTCTGATTTTAAAGTTCAAGACAAAGTAAGTAGTGCACTGAACTTCAACAATAAACATTAATTTACTTAAGGATCAAATCCTCGAAGAAATTGTTCGCGAATGCAATGAAATAGAACGCCGCTCCACGTCCAGTGGATCTCCCATGTCGAGTTGGTCATCTGACGAACGTGAAACTTCTGAACCACGCTCTTACCATCCATATAAGACTCCAGAAAAGAAAGAACGCAAGAAGGCACAAAACCGCTTGGCTGCGACCAGATATCGCGAGAAGAAACGCCGCGAGAAGGAAGAAGCCATGACTTGCATTGAAGGACTTAGTCTCAAAAATAACAAGTTGAGAGATCAGGTTGATTTGAATTCAGTAGTAGACATATATATTCAAATGATATATATTTAGGTTGACGAGCTCGAACGTGAAGTCAAATATTTCAAGAAGTTTATGCGTGAGATGGGAATGCCACAGTCGGAACTTTATGCTTAACTCCATTTCCACCTCTGATATCATTCATCCTATTTTTAAAACATTTGAAGTTAGTGTTCTTCGTACCAACATCTGATTAGACCAAGCTCACGACATAATCATATTTTGATTTATTGAATGGTCAAAGATACACTAACTTCTCTACATCATCGTAACGTTGAAGAAAAAAAAAGAAAAAATTGAACTACTGATTTTTTGTCCAATACTTATGGTACTTAACATGTTCCTGAGCGTGAATTGCAAATTATATTGAATTTTATCTCCAATAAATCCATTTGAAAAAAATTACATTATGTGTTTTAGTAATTTAGAGACATTGCTTATGATTTTTAAATATGATCTTTAATAAAACGCTTTCTCCTCGATCAAATTTCTTTGAACGGCATTCAGATGAACTTGGCGGAACCATTTGATACCCCCCGTAGTTGACTTGGTCTTAATCCATGTCGGCTTTTGACTTTGGTAATAGGAATAAAAAACCTTTTGCAATGAACATTCAGTTCGGGTGTCGGCCCGGTCTTTGCAGGATGTTTTTTTGGGTTGGGATTGGCCATTAAATGAATTTGAAGCACTTTAGAGGACAACTGATTACTCGGTTCAACCATCCAACCATTTTGAATGACTTACAGAGACTATATTGTCGGTATCGTCACGAAAATCCTTTAAAAAAATACGTAATTTTGTGCCCTGAAGCGTATTTTCAAGTCGCCGAGTCGGAAGTATTTTTGAGTGCCACGTTGCAATGCGCAGCGGGGATGGCCTTATAAACTTGCAACGCACTGTATTATGATATAAAATGAATGCAAAATCTTTATAGAAATCGTTCGTTTCACAAGAAGCGCGTGATTAGTAATCGATGGTATAGAAAATATGACAGACAGTTTCATGTTATAGTTTGAATAAATTTCTTATACTTTGAAAAATAAACACTTTAGTTGAGGGAAAGTAGGAAATTTTCAATATACACTGTTTCAATTTGAAGATGTAAAACAAAACACATCAAACCCATGCCATTGATCATTTCAGCTTACAAAGGAAAAAGGGAAGTAATTGAGTTAGATGTTAATAATTATGTCAGTTTGATCATCAAAGAAATCAGCAATGCTACAAGAAAAAATAACGTTATTCCGATTGCAATGCTTTATAATACAATAAACGTCATACTGATGATAAGTTACAGAACACACAGTACGCCAAAGTTGTTTCCAAGTAAGTCTTTTTCACAAGTGACAAATAATGATATAATTATAATATAGGTTTAGAAGGGATTGGCAAATGGGTTTGCTTGTGGCAGAGTTCCGCGCGGCGCCATCGTTGGAATCGGAGGAGCTTGGCCCTGAGCTGCCCTCATCTCGTTCAAGGTCGGCGACTTTCTCTGTTGAGCAGCAAACGGATTGACGACCGGAGTGACTCCAGTCAGGAATGGATTGCCACCTAAACGTGAAATTTATGAACACTTCAAGAGGTATTTATTATTATTGTTATACCTGTCTGGCTAGTAGTTGATCCTCCCAGCAAATTATCCAAGTTTACAAGATTAGAGTTCTCGCCCAAAAAATTTTCGGGAGTCTTTCTGGTTCCGTTCAACAAGCCCAAGTTAGTAGGCAAAGAGTTGTCAGGTGCCAGCAACTAGAAAAGAACAATCATATATCAAAGCTAAAATTGTTTGCTCACGTCTCCGCCAAGAAGGGACATGGAAGTTCCACTCGGGGCAATAGCGCTCGTCTGAGCAGGGGTGTCCCAGGCAGCAAATGGATCCGAGTTAAGGGAGGACTGTGCTGCAGGTGTCGGCGCTTGAGGAGTGCTCCACGGGTCGTTGGAAGAGATCGAGTTTGTGAAGAAAGTGTCCGAGGAGTTTCCAGTCTTAGCGGGCTCCTGTGGCAAACCCCACGGATCGACCATTCCTATGTTGTTCCATGTGCTTGACGATGTCGGTTGATCGTTGTTGCCGGAGACCAGCTCTCCAACTCCCAACGAGAGCAAATCGTCGAGAGCAGACTGAGTCAGCTGACCACTGCTGACAGTTCCTTGCTTCGTGGTAGCCAGACGATCAGCTTCCTGAAACTAAATGAAAACTTTATCAAATTCCTGTTTTCAAATAACCTTCTGCGATTCCTCCAGGGCCATTTGAAGACGAGCCTCGTCGCTTTTTCTCATTTCGTCCTGCTTTTCACACTCTTCACGCGAAAGAGCCAGAGCGATCTGCAGCTGCATTTCCTCCTCGGTCGCTGTCGACGGACGCGCGTCTTCGTATTCCGCATCTGCAAGTGTTTCATTGTTTTTAACCGAGATGTCGAACTGATCAACTACCCAGGGATGCGTCCCCGTGGTGCTGACGACTGCGTCGACTTTCAGCTCCAACAGCGCCCGGGTTGTTCTGTTTGAATTTGTTTCTTGTCAGGATGAAGCGCGTGCGTTCGTTCTTCAGACGTTCGTCATCGGATAGTAGCGAAGTGATTTGCTTCGCCTTCTCACGAATATTCAGGCCCTGGTCTCGGTTATCCTCCACGTGTTGGAAGTCTTTCAGAGTTTCGATGGTAAACACGTTTTCGCGGCATTGCTGAGCGACCTGCAACGTAAAATTTGTTTGTATTATCTTTTGCAAATGTATGCTTCTCGATGTGTCAGTTTCAACAACATGAGTCAGCTCTGTCACACTTTTCACAGATCCCGTTTCAAAATCAAAAATCAATAAAAATGCCAGTCTTGAGGTCAAGTTTTCTCATGTCATCACCAAAGATTGCGACAGAGCATGGAACTCATTTTTGGCACGAATATCTCTCACCTTCTCATGACCGCATTTGATGAGGAAATCGAGAAGCACCAGACTCTTGTACACGTGTCTCCAGTTCTTTCCCGAGTCGTTCAGTCGCTTCCAGACAATCGACATGATTTCGGTGAACGCCATTGGATTGTGAGTCAAGTCGGCGATTTCGGACATGAGCGCCGTCGACGGTCCCCACGGATCGTTGCTTGTCGCCTCACGAACTTTGACCTGCGCGTCCGAAAAGTTGTACGCCACATTTTTGACTTGACGGCGAATCGTTGAAATCGACATCTTGTCTGGAAAAATTGTGCCGTTAACAATAAGAAACAAAAAAGAGGAGGAACCAAAAGAACATCATCAAAAAGAAAGCGTTATTGACGCTCCTCCGAAACACAATGCATAATTGTAAACGTGTGAGCGCTTTGGGTGAGTGAATGGAGGGAATGAGGGGAATGAGCGTGTTTGTGAGTGAATGAGTGAGTGTGAGTGTCGGTGAGTGTTTGTGAGTGAGTGTGTGCGCTGTGTATTCCGGGTGAGCGCGCGCGCGTGCGTTCACGAGCGTTCAGCGGAGAGCGTGTATTGGTTACAGTGAGACTAAGAGACGGAGAGAAAAATAACAATTTTACATAACAAACTATTTGGAATCAAATCAAACTATCAGCCTATTCATAACAAAAGTTGAACACTCAAAAAGTTGAAGATATTTCCGCTGATATCTTTGAAAACTGGCAGAAAATTCTGAGGATGTAAAAATTGTTGTGCGGCAAGCATATTTAGATGAGAAGAAGAGAAAAACAGGTTTTCTAATGAATGACAATCAGATTAAGAAGATCTTCGTTTCCTTCTAGAGGAAGTGATGATTTTCTACGCGCGTACACGACGCCTAGCTGCATTTGCTGGTACATGCTGGACAAACAGAATTTTATGTAAACGTAAACACCGCAGAGAAGTTATGATTGACGGAACAAACCGTGACAAAAAAAGCGTAAAATGAAAAAAACACAGTAATTTACATAGACCGTTTATTCTTATCTCAGTCTGTAATTCTATATGAATTGATAAAATTATTATAGAATGGGAAAAATATTCAGTTCAGTACTGGGTCGGGTTTCTTAGAGCTTGTTGTTTGGGTAATCAGATTTTTCCAGATCTCGACCGGCTTGATCTTCCACCTGCTTTGGTTTGTTTTGGCTTTGGCTACCTTTCTTGCTGAAAGATGGTTTTATATTGTTATGCGCCAAGGATCACAAACTTTACAACTAGTGTGAGATTTAGAAAGCCGTGTAAAAACTTTTTTGAGACATACAATCAATATTTGCTTAGGTGACTCACTCGAAATATGCCTCCTCAAAGTCCATTTGGTTCCTCCAATCATTCTGTTCTTGACGTGACCTCTGTTTGTTCTGATGAAGAAATTGGCTCTGAGCAATCTGTTCTTGGGATAAGGCCGGCAAGGACTTTGGTTGACTTTGTGGAATCGACATAATGTGCTGGCGATGTGAAGTTTGCTGTTGCGGCTGTTGTTGTTGTTGCTGTTGCTGAAGTTGCATCTGGAGTTGAGCTTGCGCTTGTGCTTGGACTTGGTCTTGGGTTTGTGGTTGCACCTGCTGAGAATCATGTCGCTTGGGTTGATTGTAGTTTTGCGACTGTCCAAATTGGAAACTTGCTGACGATTGATAACTGGGCTGGATAGAAGAGTAACGGCGTCGTGACGAATCGCTCTCAACATTATCCCCTTCATCAAAGGACGCAGTCAATGGCATCGCATTAGAGGAAGACGCCAAACCTTGTGGAATGGAAGCACGATATATATTATCATTCACCAAAACCGTTCCCACACTGGGTTGGTTGTCCTGCAACGGTTGTTGGAGAAACATTTGGGAGACATGGTCGTTGTGCGAAACGGGCTGCAAAGTTAGAAATTATCAGAGGACAAATATGAAACTGGAACTAACCGGTTGCGAACTGACGCGTTCCTCTTTCTGCTTCAAAAACGGATGTCGAACCACATAATATGGTGAGATTCTTTGTTTCGGATCAAACTGGAGCATTCGTTTAATTAGATCCTTGAACTTGCTGTAGTCTTCAACGGAATGGCCAGGTTCTCCCAAACGCCGTCCTCCTGGGCCCCCTGAAGTGACACCCAGAATTTCGTGAAGTTTTCTTGCTCCCGGCGCTTTGTAAGTGTGTCGATAGCCGTCTCGCGTCTTCTTACAATAATATAGCCCATCTTCAGTTTTGTCGAAATATTTGTGAGCCTTCGGTCCGATATCCAACATCTCCTTGGGTGGCATTCCAAGAACTTCTACAATCTTCATCATCTGATCAACTTCTGACGATCCAGCAAACAGCGGCTCTCCAGTGTGCATTTCAACCAGAATACATCCCAAAGACCACATATCAATTTTTGTGTCGTAAGCGATTCCCAGCAAAACTTCCGGTGAACGGTAAAATCTTGACTGGATATACTGATAGATTCGGTGTCCTGTCTGACACGAAGAACCAAAATCAATAACTCTGATTTGAGATCGCTTGGCGTTGACTAGGAGCACATTCTCAGGTTTCAAGTCGCAATGAATAATTGAAAGCTCTGGCGATGACAAAAAGAGCAATGTTTTTCCAAGTTGCTGAGCGAATTTGCGAGCCAAATTGAGAGAAACACCGCGAAAACTTGTGTTTTTCAAGAGATCATACAAGTTGTAGGAGAGCAGTTCAAATACAAGGCAGAGATGGGCACGATGAACAAAATGACCTTTCAATGTAACTGAAAATAATTTTGATTTAATTTCAACAAAAAAAACGCAAGTTCTTCTCACCTATATTGTATTTATTATCTTTGTCATGCGCATTTGTCATTTCCAGCAGATGAATTTCAATTTGAGCTTGATCAAAGAACGTTTTCTTGTTTTTGATTATTTTAATTGCGACTTCCTCCTTATTCAATGTATCATAAGCTTTTGTGACTTGTCCGAATGATCCTTTACCAACCGGAGTATCACTAAGAATAACATATCTGCAAAACACAGTTGTTTGATGAAATTTATGTATATTTGTGGTTAAAAATTACCTCTTATCAAAAATCTCTCCATTTTTCAAAATGTAATCATAGTTCTGATCATCATAACCATTATTGTATGGTCCACCACGACTGCTTTTCTGACGTTGTTGCTGTTGTAGATCAGTTTCAGTGCGCATTGGAACAACCATTGTAGATGTTGGCGGGGCATTGGTATCCAGCAATGGTGGTCTGAAAAAAGTAGCGTAATGTTGTCTGAAATAAATTATTGAAACATACGCTTTTTCGTGTTCATCAATATACAGTTGCGCTTGATTCAAAGAGCTTGACGGATGAGCCTGAATATTTTTTTCATTGAACTAGAAACAGAATTAACAAATGACATACCACATTTTGATTTGGAAACGTGTCGGTGAGAGTGGCTAGCATTGTACCATCCTTTTTAGTTCTGCCGTCTTGGCTCTTATGACGATCACCACGTCGCACTTGCTTTCGCAAGTAGAACGACTAAAAAAGACATGTTATGATAATCATTGTAAAAAATATTTTTTACTTCATTTATTGCTTTGTACGTCTTGATCAGATCACTGGTAAGTTTCCTGACAGGAGCGTCTTGAGGATTGCGATACTGACGCTGAGCAACTGCCACTTCTGATATTATACTTTTGCTAGTAGTTTCAAAATGAAGATTTTAAACTCACTTTCGTATGGTATCTCATTTTGAATGGGATTGACGGCGGCAGGTTCCTGGTAATAGTTATTGCCAATGTTTCTCTGAAAGTAGAAATAAAAAATTATAGTTAAAATGGAACTTCCTACTTTTTTTGGTGCATGTTTTTCCGGGGACATTCCAAGAGTGGCTTCTGCGCTGGTTAGCGATGAACGGTGCTTTTTGGGGCGGACAGTGACTTCCTGTAACAGTTTGAAAAATAAACAAAGAAATTGATTCCTCTTTTGCATTTGGGAGAGAGAAAATACAATTACACACTGTATTAATGTTAATAAGTTCAATGCTTCAACTTATGAAGTATTGTGAATTGATTATGTAGCATTTAGTAGACCGGTCAATCAATAATCAGTTATAAATATTTTGAAAAGAAGACAAACTAATATTATAAAATCTCTCTCGATCGATAGCTACCGAAAATTCCACTTCTCAGAGTGTGCGAGAGCATAGTGTAATGTTCTCTCTTTCTCCTCCGAGTGATTATATCTATTAGACAAGCAAATGTGAGATGAGAAGAGTTTAGAACATGCGTCACATTTGTTTCAAACTGTTATTATGCTAGTATTATCTTTGATTAAAATTGATTAATTTAAGAAACAAACCCACCTCTTGTGGATAAAATGCATGAAAATTATTTCTGATCGAAACAATAGGTGGCTGCGGGTATCGCAAAATATTATTAGTTTGCGATGGGCGACTCATTGATGGTGCCTGAACCAAGTGTAGAACAGTTTGTTGCTCGTGATGATTATGCGCTTGTTTTCTCTGTTTCGTGGGTTGACTGTATTCTGCTGATCGCTCCTCAGTCCTTAGATAATCTTCGCTCATGGGCTCCGTTTCCGAATTTTTCTTGGTGAGCATTGCAGGTAAAGAGTGTTGTTGAGTTGAAAAACTTGTATTTGGCTGTTGAATCCAGTCTGGACCGTTTTCCGCGGGTTCGGAAGATTCCATGTTACCTTTAAAGTGAAATGACGAGTTTTTAATAAAAATTAATGGACGGGTGGTTAGAGTGGAAAATGTGATTAAAAAATAAATTAAAGTACGCGAAGGTTTTAATGATAATGGCATACGTAACACAGAGTTAAGAATTGCGAACATTACAAAAATAAAAATTTATTACGCAACAACTACTATAGAAAAGGTGAATATGTCGAAAAAAAAGCGAGGGAAAAGAAGACGGAGAGTGCGAAAAGGGGAAGGTAGACAGTGTGGAAAAAGAGGAGAAACAGACACAACGCAAACGCACGCACCGCTTTTGCCATGAGCAAACAAATGGGAATGAGTACAAGTTCCATTGAAAAGAGGAAGGAACATGAGAAAAAATCAGATGATAGATCACGAAAAACAGAAGATCAATTGTAACATTTACTGTAAAAAGTTGGTGTAGAGGATATATGCATTTACACGGGAAGTCCTAATTTATAATGCGTGGAACGTTTGCTTGTACTTTTAAGGTTACTTTTAAGTTTAAAAACGCATGCTTGTCAAAAATAGGCCCGGCTCGGTTGCTCCAGATTAGAATATTTTGACATTGAATCAGCTATTACAAGCCTAAAAACGTAGTCAGCAACACGACTCACGAACCCCTTTCTAAATTAGGATTTCAAGTTTCCAGTTTCTAGCAAGCTTACAATGAAGGATAAAGATTAAATTTCTGATAGCAGTATATTACCAAACAGGATGAAAAACTATGCCATTAGATTCAGCAAACCTGTTTCTGTTTCGGTCGTCAAACAAAAAAAAACGATTTCTTTGAAACGCATACCGTCATTGGCAATGATCACAATCACAACTGTTCAAGACATGACCTTGTAAAACGCGCCCACTTAAGCGTATACGTTAACTGTTTTATAGGACTCGATTCAAGTAATTTTCAGAAACGAGCAAGAAAAGTTTTAGCATTGATGTAACAAACCTTTTTATTATGAAGGGTATTTTCAGGATGCCAAAGACTAACACGTGCGGCATCTTATTAGTATTTACACAAACTGAAAGCACTAATTGAAAACAACTATTTTCATATCTCTATTGCTTTGGTTTTCATTTTAGTTTCTATTTTTAAGCATACATATTGAAATAAACTGTCATCCTGCCCTCTTCCTAGTAAGTAGACGAGTTTTGAATATTCATGGGCAACAAGTTTGACATGAACTTGACTTGAGCTCAAACTGCTCATAATAATATTCTTCGATGTCGTTCAACTGATTTTTAAAATGTCAGTTCAGTCAATGTCAGCGTCTTGTTGCTCTAGATGTGTACTGTTGCATGGTAGGAGCAGTTGCAGAAAAAAGAAAATCATTTTCAGATATCCGTGCCAAGTCATTTGTCGCGTTATTGTTCCGCCCAGCTGACAAGTTCTATTACAACACGACCTTTGTGTAAATCTGCAGTTATTATTAGTTTAGAAGGGACTTGATATAGAAAGAGCAAAGAGTTTTCTTATTGTAATTGGATATATTCACAGTGTTATTGACACTCATACCACATTTCGAATGGTATCGCATTGTACTAAGCGGCTTTGTTACACCATCAAACACGATTTGGTCGCCCAGTCTCAAATATGTTGTTACCGTCGTGAAAATGAAGAGAAATTAAATTAAGTTGCCAACCCCTTCAGGAACTTTTTTTCTGTTTTCCAACAAGGAGAGATAGTTCAGTTTCATCTTTCATTTTCAGTGTTACAGGGCACCTCCTTTCCCCTTCCGCGTTTTCTTTTTCATGTAGATTCTGTTTTGAACAGTCACAGTTGTATAATTCCAAAGTTATATTTTGCAGAATTCCTTACTTAACTCAAGCTGGATATCAGTATTTCACATATCAATGGAAAATGTAACTTTTTTGGTTATTGTTTAAATGTGTTTCTGTGCTGTCTCAGTTACTAAGTTTTAGGCGTATGACGTGGAAGATCAAACATCGAACTGTTACAATAGCAACCACACATTTCTTGCTAAATTGTTTTGCGGTATATTTTTGCTAGCTGTTTGTCTGGTAGTCGCTTTTTCAATCATCTTCGCATTCAGGCAACAACGTAATAGTTTGAATTATTAATGTCAAATGAGCAAAAACAAAATTTGTATTCAGCTGTTGACATATCCTTCAAAGATATTGATGAAATGCCTAAACAAGAACCTGGCGAGCCGTTACCAGTGCCAATGTCTTCCCGCAGCAATAACAACTACAGAAAGTTTACTTCTGATGATTTGTGGTCTGGAAAAGAGTATGTCAAAGATAGCTACAATTACATGTGGTTAAAAGATGGCACATTTCTATACAACAAAGACTTTTTTTTGGTCGGTGTCTGGATTATTTGAAAACCTTCACTTTTTTAATTTGCAGAGCGCAACAAATATAACAAAAGTAGCCAAATCTTCATTTGAACCAGAACACTTTCTTGAGAACTATGAACTTTTGCGCACTGCATCATCTGATAGAAAATACGCATACATAGCAACTTTAGTGAGAATGGTTTGTTATATATATATATTCATTTATTTTATAATTACCGTTAAGATCTAAATTCTGAAGCATTGTTTTCCAGGTTTTTCGCTATTCGTCGGAACGAATCTTCAATATTGTGAGAATTGACAATAGCAGCATACCGAAGTAAGAAATAGTCAAACTACACAACCTGCAACCCCAGCCTTTCAATTAGCGACTCGGATGACGCGTTATGCGCGCGAAAGTTTAATGCTGCGCATTTTAACAACTAGTACTATTGCGAGATCTGTAAAATTTTGAATTCTTGTGCTAAAACAGTGAGATAACAGTATAATTGCATATGCGAAATGTTTTTCAGTTACTCTAGACCTTATAAAATATTAAGTTTAGTTCATATCTACAGCATTTTCTTAATTTCGTTAACCTAAAATTGACGACCTCCAAGTTCGACACCCTATCTCGGATGTAAGTGTCTGAAATCTGGTTTTGTTCTCTTCCGTCAGCTCTGAAAAAATCTGTTTTGTTTTGCGCTTGAATCTAAGCTTTTTGGTGCAACTGAGCATTGTTCAATGTCATTGAGAAATATCTTGCAAATTGGATCATCATGCGCAATATGAGCATCTATTACCATTTTAGAGACAATTGGCACGTGGGTCCTGAAGACGGCGCAGTTATTCAAGCGTTTTACTGGAATCCGAAAGTGGACAGCCATGATTTTGCATATGTTCATAACTACAATTTGTACTATCAGAAAGATCCGGAGAAGCCAGAATCAGCAGTTCAACTTACCACCAATGGAACATTCTTCGAACGATTTGGCGTAGCCAACTGGCTTTATGAGGAAGAAATTCTAGCGCGGTCTAATGCAGTTTGGTGGTCACCATCGGGACGATATTTGTCGTATCTGAAGTGAGTATATGTGACTGGAAAACGTTCTTATTTCGATCGGTTCACTTCAGATTCGATGATAGTAAAGTTAACCGAATTTTCCTCACTAGGTACACCAAAGAAGACAATTACGTCGAGTACAATGAAATCGCCTATCCAAAAGCTGGTGTTCCCCATAATACTCTGGTCACTCAGTACATTTGGGACAGTGAGAGTCACAAAATCGTGGAAACTGAACCGCCAAATGAATTGCGTGAAGCTAATGGAAACTATTACATTTTACAAAACAAATGGATTCAAATGCCCGAAAAGTTCAGAGATTTAGGAAAAGAGCGGTTGATAACAATATGGAGCAATCGAGATCAAACAGTTGTTCATTTCTCATTGTGCAATGAGAGTGATTGCATTATGGTAAGTTTTTCTAGTCAATTTTGATCAAACTATTTCTTTCAGACGTTCTCATTTCCTTTCACCATCGACGGAAAAAACTTGTGGGTTGAACCTACAGAAGTAGGAAGTATTTTCACGACCACGACTGGCTTCGTGACAATTCTGCCTAGAAAACGTCACGATGGAAACATTTACAATCAAATCGCACACATCGAACTGGAATCAACTGGACTAGGAAAAATTACAAAATGGCTTGGCGATAACTTTGATGTTGCATACATTTTGGATTACTCTCTTGAAACTGATATTCTCATCTTTGGTGGATACGGAACTGGTATTGGTGAAGAGAACATTTACAAAATATCAAATGCGTTGCGTAGTAGTGAAAAGGTAGGTTGTTTTTCATTTTCAATTCATACATTGCATGGCATTCGTTTATTGTGAGGAGGATAAGCAGGAGAAAAAATAGAGGAAGGAGGCGTCACAAACAAACTAAGACAAAGTTTGTTTGTTCCAGACAATTTTAAATTATTTTAAAAAGAGAAAGTGCGAAGAGAGGGTGGGAAAGAGCAGAATCAGAAAAGGAAAAAAGGGAAAGATTAGAACAGAAAAAGGAAAGAATAAGAGGGAAGGAGAAGAAGGGGCGGATTTGTAATTTGACAATGTTAATGGATCGAATTAAGATGGAGAGAGAAAAGTGGTGACGTTATTAACAATACTGTTCCAAATCGGGTACAGTAGAAGCGAGAAAGTGAGAAGAGGCAGAGTCTCTGCGGATAAGGGACATGGGACGTCTCTGCGAATTAGTAAAAGTGATGAAGTTAGCATTTCAAGAGTTGCTGAAGTCAGCATTTCAAGAGTTGCTTGAAGCGAAGCAGGATAATAGCTGAGCATTTGATAATGTGATCACAAAAAGAGAGCTGTGAGTCAGTGATAAGGCCGAGATCGCGAGCGCAGGGTCTTAATTTTGGGAGGCCTTGAATGAAATAGTAAAGGGGCCGAAGTGGATTAGAGTTGTCTTGGAGGGGGCTAAAGGGAGATGGATTGCTAATGCATGTGATCAATTTTCTTTTCTCAGAATGAACTTGTTAACCTTAATTCCTTGCTGGAAGACTGCGGATATGTGTACAAATCATCAATGGACCCAACTGGAGAAAAGCTTATGTTTCAGTGTCAAACACCTTTTCAAAATGCTCGTTTGTACATGATGGACATCGTGAACACATCAAAACGTGATTTTTTTCAAATAACTTGAAATAAAATGGTTTTGTATTTCCAGAAGTTCTGTTAGAAGGAAAGGAACAAAACTATTTGCCATTTGATTCACCAGAAATGCAGTTTGGGCAAATTAAACTTTCTTCTGGAATAGGTTAGTAGTTTCAGTTTCATGCAATGCATTGTTTTTATTCAGAAGGACATTACATGATTATGACCCCTCCATCTAATCCAGTTGGAAAAAAAATTCCAGTTTTGGTTGATTTGTAAGTTTTTTCTGTTCTGTATTCGTTGAATAATGCACCAAAACGCAGGTATGGTGGACCAAATAGCAAACGAGTGAACAACAAAACGCCTTCTGCTCAGTTGATTCAAATCTGTTCGGAATATGAAGTTGCCATCGTGCAAGTTGATGTTTGTGGAACAGCTGGAAGAGGTAAGAAGCTTTTCGAATATAAATTTTTTACATTTTTTGTCAGGTTGGAATGTCAAAGAACCCATCTACAGAAACTTGGGCGAATGTGAAATTAATGATACTTTGGCTATGATTAAAGAACTTCTACTAAGGCATATATTTCTAGACGAGGACAGAATAGCTGTTATGGGATGGGTGAGTTCAGATTATATATGTTTTTTTAATTATATATATATATTTTTTTAAATGTTTTTTTTATTATATATATAATTATTCAGTCTTATGGAGGATACTTGGCTACAAAACTTGTCGCCCAAGATCAAGGAGAGCTTGTGAAATGTGCCATTGCTATTGCGCCCGTTACGGATTTCAAGTATTATGGTAATAATTTACGTTCAATTTTATTTTGAAGTGTCAGACAAGAGATATGTCTGTTCCAGGCTTTCAAGTATTTTTCATTTTTTGCAGATTCAGCTTACACTGAAAGGTACATGGGACAGCCTGAAGAGAACGCATCAGGTTACAATAAAACAAATTTGATTCCTCATGCTGGAAACTTGACAAACGTCAAATATTTTTTGGCGCATGGTGAAAGAGACGGTATGCCACTGTGCCTATCTTACGTGAATGTGAAAGTTTTTAATTCCAGATAATGTTCATTATCAAAACAGCGCACGTTGGTCAGAAGCTTTGCAAATAAATGGTATTCATTTCACTCAACTGGTTAGTATACCTATTAGTAGCATAGCATTGAACGTGCAAAAGTCCGGCAATAGCGCTCTTTTCAATCAAAATGCTCCCTTTATCGGCCGGGCTTTCACGTAGAATCACGGTAGAGACTAATTGCTTGAGTTTTAGGAGCATTGAAAACACCATTTTTCAGGTGTATGCTAATGAAGCACACGGACTTAGCGGGAAAATCAAGCATCTTTACTCTGAAGTTAATCAGTTTTTAGTGAACAATTGTTTTAAAGTGACGACTGACTTTTATTAAGTTTCTGCACCTGTTTTGGTTTGTCCCCTATCTCTGCTCAAAATTTGCTCAGAGCTTAATATTGAAGATTTTATAAATATAATGTATATTTTCTTCCGTGAGCCAAGCAACAGTTGTCTTCTTCTCTCTTCTTCTTCTTCCTCTTTTTTTCTCTGTTAAAAGTGTTTGAATTTAAATTTACGAAATTAACATTTGAAACCCTCACATCCCATTAAATAAAATCAATACAAAGCTCACCAGCCTTCTCTTAAACTTTTCTTCTTGGGCATCTTTGGGACAATTGTCGCTACTCATTTTTGACGCTCGAAAAAAACGCTGCAAACTTTTTTCATAAGGTCTCTGTGAGCTCGCAAATGTGTGTGTGGGCTTTTGTCTGCCGGTCTGAGTCTGAGTCTGAATCTGAAGTTGAGTATCGGAATGAATGAGCGCAGTGTGCGAGAGGAAAATGAGGGAGCGTGAGCGCGAATAAACGCGTGAGTGTGTCTCTTTCTCTCGCTCTTGCGTGTATGTGCCTCGAGAATATTTCTGTTTTTTTTCCGTTTGTGTTTTGAATTTGTAATGATCTTCTGGGGGCAAGATTGAAAGTTGACAAAGTTTCATTTGCGTTTCCGGCATTTTTAATTTCCGGAAATGCTGACAATACATAGTTTGTCAGAGCTGTACTCTTCTTGCCGATCACTATCAGGTTCAGCACTATCATAATATCCATCACTTCCTAAAAAAATTAAAAAAATTCAGATTCAAACTATTTTATATATATATAATGTAGATATAGATTTACTAAAGTGAAAACAAACGCTTAGGTTTCTAAACCAAACGCGTGGGCGTTGTGTTGTGTATACTCGAGAAGTTTGTTGACAGAAATGATTTTGGAAACGTTTTATTTGTTTTCTCACATCAGTATCGGATTCGGAATCCGATGGTATCACCAGCATTATCAGTTTTGCAGTAACATGTCAAACAGAAAACAAGACAAATGAAAAAACTGAAATTTTACGAAAATATTTTTCACGCGTATGTTTGAATAATAGAATCATGATACTGAATTTCGAATGTTCAAGTTATTACAATACTGGTATGCCATATTATAAGTAGGCCTCATTGCTCACTTCCTAGATTTGCCTGTTTGTCAAGAGGATATTGTCTTTAAACCCTGTTTGAGATCATGATCGTTAATCCGTATTTATGTAGCTCAGCTAAAAAAAACAAGCGTTTTAGATTCAGTTCGTCTGTCAAATAATAATAATAATCATCGAGCCGAGCTGAGCCATTTTTAATTTTTTACGTTTTGTGTTCTCAAACATTGTCAACCTTGAGAAGCCTTCTATGAATCATACATAAAACGTTTGAAAAGTTATAAAAATGTGTCTTGATAAGCCCAAAGACACTTTGAAAAATTTCTTAATTCTTTCCCGTTCACTTCGATCACGGGTCATTCTGCCGTCGACATCGATTCTCTCGCGTTTTCTGTCCTTTGACATATGACTCTTGCAAGTTTTCAACATTTTCAGGTAGGTGGGAAAAAATGGCGCTGCATGGGCCACCTTCCAAAATAAATAGGCACTCACACTCAAATCTTCTTAAACCTCCATCGCTCAACAAACCAATTTTGACTTTCACAGACAATGATTGTCTTAAAACGCCTACTATGAATGATATGCTCAAGGTAAATTATTATTAAAAAAAACCTTATCCGAGAAAACGTTGATTTAATTTTTCCAGACTCCTACAGTGAACTCTCCTCGTCATACTCCTCTGAGTATTGATGGTACACCCAAAGTGAATGGCTTTTCTGGTTTCACCCCACAAACTGATCAAACGTTTTTTGGAGATCACGAACCATTATTCGCTAGTCAGTTCGGGCGATCAACCGGAGAGAAAGATGTTGCGAGTGCTAGTGAGCATTTATTGAATTTGAATAGCGGGTTGAAAACACCTAAAACAAACAATGAGTTTGGAAACAATCGATTGGGTGCAAAACTGAAACCGGAGGAATTGAAGCTGAGGGATAGCGATTTGATGCCTTCGACAAGTGGAACCTGCGGGGTGGATTCGCCTGGGCTGTCAGCGTCGATGTTTCAATTCTCGCCGATGGTTGAACATTTTTTGCAAACTCTTACAAACAAGGGAACAACCGCCGGTCTTCCTGAATTGATTGTGGACTCGAAAGCGCCTGGATTTGATCAAGAACCTGCGGATTTATTGAGGGTACATTTTCTTTAAAGTTCTCTGAGAACACAAATTTTTGCATAAATACTTTCTTTGAAGAATAACCAAATCAACGTTTTGATTTAGTCTGTTCAACTGCGACGAAGCTCGAAAGAGGACAGCGACATCTTTAAGGATATTTTACACGTTCCCACACTTCCAAGAAAAACCAGTGAACCGTCACACTTGGGATCGTCACTTCAGATGGAATCATCGTCCAGATCCTCGACAGCCGTCCCTCGTATGCAACGGGCAAACACGGCTAGCAATCTGACAAAGAGCCTCGAGCAAAATAGCGCGTCATCGTCAAATCTGAGAGGAGATCCATTCTCTAATGCCACTTCAACGAGCTACTCTAATCTTTCGAACCACACTACGTATTCGTGAGTTTTTGTTCCTTGACAACTCAATTTGAAAGGAATGAAGAATGAGCAACAGCAGACAAGGAACACATGATAGAGAGCTTCATTTCAGAGAAAGTACTAGTGTGGCACTATTTGAACCAAAAACGGAGCCTATGGATGACTATGGATATGGTTTTTCAGGTTCGGTTTCTGCAATAATCATTTTTTAAGGTTATCAAAATATGATTTCAGACGACTTTGGCAGTTTTGAATTTTCTTCTGCGTCGGAAGAACTGAAAAACATTGGCTGTCAGAAAATCAAGGTAATTCTATATTCAAAGCTTTTTTTTCAAAACTTTTCAAGCTGAATTTTCAGTCTTCAAAACTTCCGTTGCAAGACCGACCGTACAAATGCCCTAGAGACGGGTGTGACCGACGTTTCTCTAGAAGTGATGAGTTGACAAGACACATTCGCATACACACTGGACAAAAACCATTCCAAGTCAGTTGTCCACTTTTTAGAAATGTTATTATTCACATTTTTCAGTGTCGTATCTGTATGAGAGCCTTCTCGCGATCTGATCACTTGACAACACACGTCCGGACGCACACCGGAGAAAAACCATTCTCGTGTGACATTTGTGGCAGGAAATTTGCGCGAAGTGATGAAAGAAAACGGCATACAAAAGTACACAAAACATCGGTACGCCCAATGTTACATAAGGATCATGGTAAATATGTTATTCTTTCAGCGCTCTGGATCATAGGACGTTCAGGTTCAGACTAAGCTGTGGTACATTGCTATTTGATCCCAATGCGATAATGTGTCTTTATTGAACAATTAAAACTGGTATCTATATAGTTTGAATGTTAGAGAATCAATATTTTCGTTTTTTGTTCTTTCTTTTAATAAGTGCAAAGAAAGAGATTGTCAGGCCTACGGGTTCGAACACAAAAATCATAAGGAAAATGCAATGTGTGAACGTGTGGATAGGCTTTTATCAGAAACTGATCTCCGGTAATTTTTAACAGTCACAACATCCCGATTATATTATAACTATGTCATTTTAGAATTCTAGTCTGTTTTTATTTTATGAACAATACTTTAGTCAACATCTTAGTCAGTCTAAAAAAGTAGTAGTCCTGTTAGTGCCATTTTGATTAGAACAATTATTGTGTGTGGGCGTGAACGTTTGATTTCAGTTTTTTGTTGAGTTTGTCATTACTCTTGTTTGCCATTCACACCCTAGCAATTCATTGGAAATTTTTGTGCTATTGTGATTTTATGAAGATTTTATGAATTCGGAGTTTTTACGTGGAACATTTTGGTCTGCTCTATTAGAACTGAATGTATCACAACGAAGCGCTGATAAAGAAAAGGAATTCATGTGTGTCTCTTATTTGCAGTTGATCTTCAGTCTCTATTCGTCGCCGCACGTTGTTCTTAATGACTAATGATGAAAATTCGTCAACCATATCTGAAGACTCAGAAGAAATAGAAAAACGAATCGTTTTGCACGTTTACGATGACGAGTCTAAAGAATTCACATCGCTTACAACTTACCATGGCATGGTACTTGAAGGCTTCTTTAAAATTCATCAAAACCATTTTAGATTCGAATCTACACCTCCGAGACATGGCCTTCTCGTATATTTTGGGGAGTGGTAGTTGTTACATGCGTTACTTTTTTCATGATTCAGGTGCCACCCAAGTTTCTAAAAATTGATAGTGAAAGTTTAATAAAGACAGGGTGGAATTTTACTCAAGTTCTATTATTCCCATCCGACGGCCATGAAAATTGATGAACTCCTCTTGCCACATACGTTTTTACCATCTATCTCGATCTGCCCGTATGGATTCAAACAAAATGGTATAATTGTTAAAAATTCCTGATAATAGTTTGAAAATTTCATTGTATTACATTTGAAAGGTGATTTTTTAAGATTATATGTTTCGTATTATTATGAAAGGGGAAAAAATGATAGAAGTTTCACAGAATGATTTGAACGTTTCTAGCAGGGAAATTCTAATTCGAGACAGGTATTTCAGTTTAGATTCTCGCAAACATAACACGTCAACTTTTCAGCTATTTATGTAAAGATGTGATTAAATCGGTTTCATTCGGACATTCACAAAAAATCGATTTCTGCAATATGTCGCGTGCACCTATATCCGATTTTGGAAAGTGTTTCACATTTGATGATTGGAAGAAGAATCCTACATCTTCAATAACATTGGAACTGAAAAATAATTTTCAAAGTAAAGTAACTGCGCCAAGGAATTCTGGCAACGGCACTCTACCGCGATCGTACAAGAACATCCTGCAGCTGCTGCAAGCTTCGTCGATTTAGCTCGAGACTTACATCGAGAGCGGAAGAGTGCGATGGCCAGACTTCTGCGGCTGAAATTAATGCTTAAAAATAGACTTGTAACAGGCCGGGCCGGTCTTTTGCGTGCGTAAAAACATTGAAAAAAAAAGAAATTTCTGGAAAATAAACCAAACATTTTGAAAAATTTTAATATTTTCTCTTGAAACTGGCCGACTGGGCCCGCCCTGTATTTGGCAAGTCTGATTCAAACAAGAGCCATTGACTTTAATGTATTCAGAAGCATTCACAGCTCACATTCACAGTGGTCTAATCGACGCTTCAAAGTTATCATCTCATTACTGGATTAAAACAGGAACACATGCAAAGTTATCATTCAGTATTCAAGAAGTAATCTTTCTTATATATAAAGCACAAGAGCCATCTGTCCGTCTGCCTGTCTTTTTGTATGTTCGCTGACTTGTGAGCGTAGCAGAAAAAAGACGGACCGGACAAAACCGAACCCGTTTTCCCACGTAGTCACCAACTTGTGTATACATATATACTCTATTTTACAACAATGTACTTTGTTCAGAAACGTTTGTTATCTAGATCTAATTGGGGGAAATGCAAAGACAATCAGAATGGGTATCCTTATAGTCAATCAGAATGTTTCGAGCACTGCTCAATGGCTGGATTTTCCCGTGGGTGAGTTTTTCAAATTCTCTGTTGCTCTGCCAAAGCAAGCGATAACTTTTATTTCAGTTGCGATTGTCAGCCGTTTTTTGATGGAACGACTCAAAAGCATTGCATTGTTGAACAACTTTTGAACTGCACCAAGTGTCAGTTAAGAAATTTATGAGAAAAACCAAAGAAACCGTTTTCAGTTGCACAAGTGGAGTGTGATTGTCCTGTTCAATGCTACTCACACGATATTCATCTTCGACCACTGTCTTCGATAAAGAACATGCAGAAGTGACTGATCTATAATGGAAAAAAGGCATTACCAAAAATGATTAACGTTTCAGTACGACAACAGTAACATTTCAATTGAATTCGTTAAGAATGAAAAGCCATCGACAGTACAAAAGATTTAAACAAATCGACTTGATGAGTAAGTCAACATGCATGGGAAGGTAACCATGATTGTGCCTTACCATGAGCCTGAGTCTTACCTTATGCCTAATTTCTACTACATTTAATAAAAATTTAAATTAAAAGAATTGCAAAAATACCTTACGGAGAAGTAAAACTGCGTTTTCTTTATTGAGACATTATTGTTCACTAGACAGAAAATAATTCCTCATAAGGTAAGATAACGCTTAGTGCTCTTTTCAATTAAATTTCTTTCAATTATTCTTTCGAAAAATCTCAAAACAGAAACAAAACTAGCAGTCCTGTCATACAGCTACATGGTTTGTATTTGGCATAAAAGCACTTCATTTTCATTTTTTACTTTTATGCTTAACTTGACATCGGCGTACTGTGCAATTTATGTTCTTGCTTTGAAACAATTTGATGTTTAAAGTGATTCTTATTATAGATTTGTATGCTCGAACTAAACGTCTTCAGGTTATATTGGTGGAGTGATGGGATTATTTCTCGGAATGAGCTGCATAACACTTATTGAAGTGTTCATCTATCTCGTGAAAACAGTTTTTGGTACTTTGAATGGAACGAGGCACAAGGAATTTGCGGATAAGTTCATGTCAGATGACTCCGACAGTTTCCGAGGATCACATGAAGAAATAATTATCACTCAAAAAATGTGAGTTGATAATATTATTCGTGAAAATGTCTACAAGTGTTTATCAGAAAAAAGAATGTCGATCTGTCTCCACTTGTTGAAGAGAGATTGGAAGAGCCAACTTTTTCAATTGAAAATAAACGGTTTTCTTGTATTGCTCCAATTCTGGATAACCCGATGAACGGTAGAAAAGTAAGAACATACGATTTCTATGGTACGTACAACTACTATTTTTCAGTTACCACCTTATCGATCAAACTACGTGTTGAAAAGAAATTCGACGTATCTTGGAGCTTGTGATTTTTGAAACTCGTTTTTCTCTCGAATGAACTTTAAAATTTTTGAAATATATTTTTATATGTCCTGTTCAGTGTGTGATTTCGAAACCAATTTGAAAGATATTTCGAGAGATCTTGCTAAAGAAATGCGAAAGAATCTTTCGGCAGAATATTGCAAGAAAACCGAATTTCTTTCGCAAGATCTCTCGAAAAAGAAGCGAGATTTTAAGGAAATTAATTCGATTTAATTTGTTCAGGCTGTGAAAAAATTATTTTTTTTTTAAATTTTTTTTTCAGGCTGTGAAAAAATAAAAAAACAAAAAAAAAAAAATTTAAGACAAAAAAGGAAAAACCGAATTTCTTTCGACAGATCTGCCGAATTTCTTTCGAATTTCTTTCGAAAGAAAATAGACAGATTCTCTCGCATTTCCTGCGAAAGAAATGCGAGAGAATCTTCCGGAAGAAAATCGGTTTTCTCTCGCAAGAAATGCGAGAGATCTGGAAAATCGGTTATTCTAGTGACATCGTCAACTTTTATGTCCTGAAAAAAAAAATAGTTTCCGGCTGCTCCTTCGCAGTGCTTTCAGGCGTCTCCCAGGGCACGGTCACAGGACCGTTCCTATTCCTAGTGTTCATTAATGATTTGCTGTCCCTTTTTCCCGCCGACGTACACAAAATAAGTCCGCAGTTGTCCACTTTGGAAAGGAAAACTCTAAAACTAAATATTCCCTGAATGGCATCGTAATCGAGCCGAAAGATTCCGTTAAAGACCTCGGCATCTGGATAGACAAATTCTGAAAGCCTTTCGCTCCACGAACGCTTGTCTCTATTTTTAACTCTTCAGCGTTTACGTCAGACCCATCGTCGAATACGGATGCGAACTTTTCCATCCCTCAACAACGTCCCTCTCAAACAAACTAGAGTCTCCCCTCAGATTTTTCAGCAGAAGAGTCTTCCAAAGATGCAATATGCGATTCTCCTCATATAGGGACCGTCTAAGCCAATGCAATCTGAAACACTCTGTAGACGGGTACTCCTTATCCTCAGAACATTCCAGTTTTTCTCGACTTGCATTGGGTATTTCAGATTTTTCGGAACCACCGAACAGGACAGAAGTACCGCTAGTCTTCGCTGCCCCCGTTGCGAACGTATTCGTTCCAAATAATGTCGATTTCAGTTGTAACGGTCTTCTGAAATCGACTCAGGCATAGCCACTGACAAGGGGGGCAATGAAGATTAGTGTTACTTCTGTCCTGTTCGGTGGTTCCGAAAAATCTGAAATACCCAATGCAAGTCGAGAAAAACTATCAAAAAGCTGATTATAACGTATTCGTTCCAAATAATGTCGATTTCAGTTGTAACGGTCTTCTGAAATCGACTCAGGCATGGCCACTGACAAGGGGGGCAATGAAGATTAGTGTTACTTCTGTCCTGTTCGGTGGTTCCGAAAAATCTGAAATACCCAATGCAAGTCGAGAAAAACTATCAAAAAGCTGATTATAACGTATTCGCTCCAAATAATGTCGATTTCAGTTGTAACGGTCTTCTGAAATCGACTCAGGCATGGCCACTGACAAGGGGGGCAATGAAGATTAGTGGCACTTCTGTCCTGTTCGGTGGTTCCGAAAAATCTGAAATACCCAATGCAAGTCGAGAAAAACTATCAAAAAGCTGATTATAACGTATTCGTTCCAAATAATGTCGATTTCAGTTGTAACGGTCTTCTGAAATCGACTCAGGCATGGCCACTGACAAGGGGGGCAATGAAGATTAGTGTTACTACTGTCCTGTTCGGTGGTTCCGAAAAATCTGAAATACCCAATGCAAGTCGAGAAAAACTATCAAAAAGCTGATTATAACGTATTCGCTCCAAATAATGTCGATTTCAGTTGTAACGGTCTTCTGAAATCGACTCAGGCATGGCCACTGACAAGGGGGGCAATGAAGATTAGTAGTACTTCTGTCCTGTTCGGTGGTTCCGAAAAATCTGAAATACCCAATGCAAGTCGAGAAAAACTATCAAAAAGCTGATTATAACGTATTCGTTCCAAATAATGTCGATTTCAGTTGCAACGGTCTTCTGAAACTGACTCAGGCATGGCCGCTCGCAACGGGGGCAATGAAGATTAGTGGTACTTCTGTCCTGTTCGGTGGTTCCGAAAAATCTGTAATGCCCACTGCAAGTCGAGAAAAACTATCAGAAAGCTGATTATGCCGTATTCGTCCCAAATCATGTCGATTTCAGTTGCAAAGGTCTTTTCAAACGGACTCAGGCATGGCCGCTGACAACGGGGGCAATGAAGATTAGCGGTACTTCTGTCCTGTTCGTGCATTCTGAAAAATCTGAAATACCCAATGTAAGTCTAGAGAGACTATCAGAAAACTGATTACGCCGTATTCGTTCCAAATAATACAAGGGGGGCAATGAGGATTAGTGGTACTTCTGTCCTGTTCTGTGGTTCCGAAAAATCTGAAATACCCAATGCAAGTCGAACAAAACTATCAAAAAGCTGATTATAACGTATTCGCTCCAAATAATGTCGATTTCAGTTGTAACGGTCTTCTGAAATCGACTCAGGCATGGCCACTGACAAGGGGGGCAATGAAGATTAGTGTTACTTCTGTCCTGTTCGGTGGTTCCGAAAAATCTGAAATACCCAATGCAAGTCGAGAAAAACTATCAAAAAGCTGATTATAACGTATTCGTTCCAAATAATGTCGATTTCAGTTGCAACGGTCTTCTGAAACTGACTCAGGCATGGCCGCTCGCAACGGGGGCAGCGAAGATTAGCGGTACTTCTGTCCTGTTCGGTGGTTCCGAAAAATCTGTAATGCCCACTGCAAGTCGAGAAAAACTATCAGAAAGCTGATTATGCCGTATTCGTCCCAAATCATGTCGATTTCAGTTGCAAAGGTCTTTTCAAACGGACTCAGGCATGGCCGCTGACAACAGGGGGCAATGAAGATTAGCGGTACTTCTGTCCTGTTCGTGAATTCTGAAAAATCTGAAATACCCAATGTAAGTCTAGAGAGACTATCAGAAAACTGATTACGCCGTATTCGTTCCAAATAATACAAGGGGGGCAATGAGGATTTGTGATACTTCTGTCCTGTTCTGTGGTTCCGAAAAATCTGAAATACCCAATGCAAGTCGAACAAAAATATCAAAAAGCTGATTTTAACGTATTCGCTCCAAATAATGTCGATTTCAGTTGTAACGGTCTTCTGAAATCGACTCAGGCATGGCCACTGACAAGGGGGGCAATGAAGATTAGTGGTACTTCTGTCCTGTTCGGTGGTTCCGAAAAATCTGAAATACCCAATGGAAGTCGAGAAAAACTATCAAAAAGCTGATTATAACGTATTCGTTCCAAATAATGTCGATTTCAGTTGCAACGGTCTTCTGAAACTGAGTCAGGCATGGCCGCTCGCAACGGGGGCAATGAAGATTAGTGGTACTTCTGTCCTGTTCGGTGGTTCCGAAAAATCTGTAATGCCCACTGCAAGTCGAGAAAAACTATCAGAAAGCTGATTATGCCGTATTCGTCCCAAATCATGTCGATTTCAGTTGCAAAGGTCTTTTCAAACGGACTCAGGCATGGCCGCTGACAACGGGGGCAATGAAGATTAGCGGTACTTCTGTCCTGTTCGTGCATTCTGAAAAATCTGAAATACCCAATGTAAGTCTAGAGAGACTATCAGAAAACTGATTACGCCGTATTCGTTCCAAGTAATACAAGGGGGGCAATGAGGATTAGTGGTACTTCTGTCCTGTGCTGTGGTTCCGAAAAATCTGAAATACCCAATGCAAGTCGAACAAAACTATCAAAAAGCTGATTATAACGTATTCGTTCCAAATAGTGTCGTTTCAGTTGTAACGGTCTTCTGAAACCGACTCAGGCATGGCCGCTCACAATGGGGGCAATGAAGATTAGTGGTACTTCTGTCCTGTTCGGTGGTTCCGAAAAATCTGAAATACCCAATGCAAGTCGAGAAAAACTATCAAAAAGCTGATTATAACGTATTCGTTCCAAATAATGTCGATTTCAGTTGCAACGGTCTTCTGAAACTGACTCAGGCATGGCCGCTCGCAACGGGGGCAGCGAAGATTAGCGGTACTTCTGTCCTGTTCGGTGGTTCCGAAAAATCTGTAATGCCCACTGCAAGTCGAGAAAAACTATCAGAAAGCTGATTATGCCGTATTCGTCCCAAATCATGTCGATTTCAGTTGCAAAGGTCTTTTCAAACGGACTCAGGCATGGCCGCTGACAACGGGGGCAATGAAGATTAGCGGTACTTCTGTCCTGTTCGTGAATTCTGAAAAATCTGAAATACCCAATGTAAGTCTAGAGAGACTATCAGAAAACTGATTACGCCGTATTCGTTCCAAATAATACAAGGGGGGCAATGAGGATTTGTGATACTTCTGTCCTGTGCTGTGGTTCCGAAAAATCTGAAATACCCAATGCAAGTCGAACAAAAATATCAAAAAGCTGATTTTAACGTATTCGCTCCAAATAATGTCGATTTCAGTTGTAACGGTCTTCTGAAATCGACTCAGGCATGGCCACTGACAAGGGGGGCAATGAAGATTAGTGGTACTTCTGTCCTGTTCGGTGGTTCCGAAAAATCTGAAATACCCAATGGAAGTCGAGAAAAACTATCAAAAAGCTGATTATAACGTATTCGTTCCAAATAATGTCGATTTCAGTTGCAACGGTCTTCTGAAACTGAGTCAGGCATGGCCGCTCGCAACGGGGGCAATGAAGATTAGTGGTACTTCTGTCCTGTTCGGTGGTTCCGAAAAATCTGTAATGCCCACTGCAAGTCGAGAAAAACTATCAGAAAGCTGATTATGCCGTATTCGTCCCAAATCATGTCGATTTCAGTTGCAAAGGTCTTTTTCAAACGGACTCAGGCATGGCCGCTGACAACGGGGGCAATGAAGATTAGCGGTACTTCTGTCCTGTTCGTGCATTCTGAAAAATCTGAAATACCCAATGTAAGTCTAGAGAGACTATCAGAAAACTGATTACGCCGTATTCGTTCCAAATAATACAAGGGGGGCAATGAGGATTAGTGGTACTTCTGTCCTGTGCTGTGGTTCCGAAAAATCTGAAATACCCAATGCAAGTCGAACAAAACTATCAAAAAGCTGATTATAACGTATTCGTTCCAAATAGTGTCGTTTCAGTTGTAACGGTCTTCTGAAACCGACTCAGGCATGGCCGCTCACAATGGGGGCAATGAAGATTAGTGGTACTTCTGTCCTGTTCGGTGGTTCCGAAAAATCTGAAATACCCAATGCAAGTCGAGAAAAACTATCAAAAAGCTGATTATAACGTATTCGTTCCAAATAATGTCGATTTCAGTTGCGACGGTCTTCTGAAACTGACACAGGCATGGCCGCTCGCAACGGGGGCAGCGAAGATTAGCGGTACTTCTGTACTGTTCGGTGGTTCCGAAAAATCTGAAATACCCTATGCAAGTCGAGAAAAACTATCAAAAAGCTGATTATAACGTATTCGTTCCAAATAATGTAAATTTCAGTTGCAAAGGTCTTTTCAAACCGACTCAGGCATGGCCACTGACAACGGGGGCAATGAAGATTAGCGGTACTTCTGTCCTGTTCGTGCATTCTGAAAAATTTGAATACCCAATGTAAGTCTAGAGAGACTATCAGAAAGCTGATTACGCCGTATTCGTTTCAAATAATGTCGATTTCAGTTGCAACGGTCTTCTGAAACTGACTCAGGCATGACCGCTCGCAACGGGGGCAGCGAAGATTAGCGGTACTTCTGTCCTGTTCGGTGGTTCCGAAAAATCTGAAACACCCAATGCAAGTCGAAAAAAACTATCAAAAAGCTGATTATAACGTATTCGTTCCAAATAATGTCGTTTCAGTCGTAACGGTCTTCTCAAACTGACTCAGGCATGGCCACTGACAATGTAGGCAATGAAGATTAGCGGTACTTCTGTCCTGTTCGATGGTTCCGAAAAATCTGAAATACCCTATTCAAGTAGAGAAAAACTATCAAAAAGCTGATTATAACGTATTCGTCCCAAATCATGTCGATTTCAGTTGCAAAGGTCTTTTCAAACGGACTCAGGCATGGCCGCTGACAACGGGGGCAATGAAGATTAGAGGTACTTCTGTCCTGTTCGTGCATTCTGAAAAATCTGAAATACCCAATGTAAGTCTAGAGAGACTATCAGAAAGCTGATTACGCCGTATTCGTTTCAAATAATGTCGATTTCAGTTGCAACGGTCTTCTGAAACTGACTCAGGCATGACCGCTCGCAACGGGGGCAGCGAAGATTAGCGGTACTTCTGTCCTGTTCGGTGGTTCCGAAAAATCTGAAATACCCAATGCAAGTCGAAAAAAACTATCAAAAAGCTGATTATAACGTATTCGATCCAAATAATGTCGTTTCAGTTGTAACGGTCTTCTCAAACTGACTCAGGCATGGCCACTGACAATGTAGGCAATGAAGATTAGCGGTACTTCTGTCCTGTTCGATGGTTCCGAAAAATCTGAAATACCCTATTCAAGTAGAGAAAAACTATCAAAAAGCTGATTATAACGTATTCGTCCCAAATCATGTCGATTTCAGTTGCAAAGGTCTTTTCAAACGGACTCAGGCATGGCCGCTGACAACGGGGGCAATGAAGATTAGAGGTACTTCTGTCCTGTTCGTGCATTCTGAAAAATCTGAAATACCCAATGTAAGTCTAGAGAGACTATCAGAAAGCTGATTACGCCGTATTCGTTTCAAATAATGTCGATTTCAGTTGCAACGGTCTTCTGAAACTGACTCAGGCATGACCGCTCGCAACGGGGGCAGCGAAGATTAGCGGTATTTCTGTCCTGTTCGGTGGTTCCGAAAAATCTGAAATACCCAATGCAAGTCGAAAAAAACTATCAAAAAGCTGATTATAACGTATTCGATCCAAATAATGTCGTTTCAGTTGTAACGGTCTTCTCAAACTGACTCAGGCATGGCCACTGACAATGTAGGCAATGAAGATTAGCGGTACTTCTGTCCTGTTCGGTGGTTCCGAAAAATCTGAAATACCCAATGCAAGTCGAGAAAAACTATCAAAAAGCTGATTATAACGTATTCGTCCCAAATCATGTCGATTTCAGTTACAAAGGTCTTTTCAAACGGACTCAGGCATGGCCGCTGACAACGGGGGCAATGAAGATTAGCGGTACTTCTGTCCTGTTCGTGCATTCTGAAAAATCTGAAATACCCAATGTAAGTCTAGAGAGACTATCAGAAAGCTGATTACGCCGTATTCGTTCCAAATAATGTCGATTTCAGTTGCATCGGTCTTCTGAAACTGACTCAAGCATGGCCGCTCGCAACGGGGGCAGCGAAGATTAGCGGTACTTCTGTCCTGTTCGGTGGTTCCGAAAAATCTGAAATACCCAATGCAAGTCGAGAAAAACTATCAAAAAGCTGATTATAACGTATTCGTCCCAAATCATGTCGATTTCAGTTGCAAAGGTCTTTTCAAACAGACTCAGGCATGGCCGCTGACAACGGGGGCAATGAAGATTAGCGGTACTCCTGTCCTGTTCGTGCATTCTGAAAAATATGAAATACCCAATGTAAGTCTAGAGAGACTATCAGAAAGCTGATTACGCCGTATTCGTTCCAAATAATGTCGATTTCAGTTGCAACGGTCTTCTGAAACTGACTCAGGCATGGCCGCTCGCAACGGGGGCAGCGAAGATTAGCGGTACTTCTGTCCTGTTCGGTGGTTCCGAAAAATCTGAAATACCCAATGCAAGTCGAAAAAAACTATCAAAAAGCTGATTATAACGTATTCGTCCCAAATCATGTCGATTTCAGTTGCAAAGGTCTTTTCAAACGGACTGAGGCATGGCCGCTGACAACGGGGGCAATGAAGATTAGCGGTACTTCTGTCCTGTTCGTGCATTCTGAAAAATCTGAAATACCCAATGTAAGTCTAGAGAGACTATCAGAAAGCTGATTACGCCGTATTCGTTTCAAATAATGTCGATTTCAGTTGCAACGGTCTTCTGAAACTGACTCAGGCATGGCCGCTCGCAACGGGGGCAGCGAAGATTAGCGGTACTTCTGTCCTGTTCGGTGGTTCCGAAAAATCTGAAATACCCAATGCAAGTCGAAAAAAACTATCAAAAAGCTGATTATAACGTATTCGTCCCAAATCATGTCGATTTCAGTTGTAACGGTCTTCTCAAGCTGATTCGGGCATGGCCACTGACAATGGGGGCAATGAAGATTAGCGGTACTTCTGTCCTGTTCGGTGGTTCCGAAAAATCTGTAATGCCCACTGCAAGTCGGGAAAAACTATCAAAGAGCTGATTATAACGTATTCGTTCCAAATAATGTCAATTTCAGTTGCAACGGTCTTCTCAAACTTACTCAGGCATGGCCGCTCTCAACGGGGGCAATGATGATTAGCGGTACTTATGTATGTCCTGTTCGGACGTTCTGAGAAATCTGAAATACCCAATGCAAGTTGAGAAAGACTATCAGAAAGCTTATTATGCCGTATTCGTTCCAAATTTTATCGATTTCAGTTGCAACGGTCTTCTCAAAATACAAACAAAATTTATCAAAGCGGCCGTCGGCCGAAAAAACGCCTGCATATTCTAGTCCTCTGACGGAAACGCTTGTACTGATTGCCTCCATTTTTGCCCAGTTCCTCAAAAGTTATCGGAAAATCCACTTGTTTTGTTGAACCAATGATGAGGCGAGACCTCATAACGGTTTTACAAGTGGGAGCCAGTTTTACTTTCATTTTCTCTGCTTTCAATTCGCAAGGGTTCATTGAGGTTTGGTTTGAATTTGATTCGAAATTGTTGTACCAATTCAACGATTCACTTATTTTGCGAAAATTATTTTACCAAGTTTTAACTTAATGTCAAAAGAAGGAATCAGAAATGATATTTTAATATGAAATCAATCTAATGATTTCTATAGGTAGCAGTTCTGCGGAAAAAAGCCAAGACAGCACCAGAAACAGGGATCACAGAGAGAAGTGGATATTACAGGTGTTCATAGTTTGTTGAGTAACAGTTTACCGTTCTTTTTTTAAGTCTTTCCATCATCTACTTCTTCTTCACTTTCTTCAATTTTGTGATTCCGTCGGTTGTTCAAAAAATCGGTGAAAAATGGTCTCAGGTGGGAAATGCAAAGCGTACCAGCTGGTATTTTGTTTGTTTATTTTATGTTACAGGTAATCGGAGCATCGGGATATTTGTTTTTCATGCTTACATTTCTGTACTTGAACGTTTACCTGCTTTACTTTGGATCTGCCGTGCTTGGAGCAGGCGCAGCATGTAATTTTTTATAGCTTTACACAGAAACAACGATAATTCAAGTGCTGTGGGCTGGTAATGGATGCTACCTGGTCAGTGTGTCGAGAAGAAGCCAAATAGAACGAAATTCGGGTATCATGTGGGCAATGATACAGTCTTCTTTGATTACTGGCGGATTCTTCTTGATATTCGTTTTGAAAAAAGGGTAATGACATACAATGCTTCAGAGCTATTGTAAATACTATAAAAATTGTTACAGAGATCTGGCGGATTCATTCACGCTTCTCTACATGGTGTTTTCTGCCTTAACTGCAATCGGGATAGTGATGATAATATGCTTGCCCGGAAATCCTTCTCAATATGGTTGGTTTAACAGAAAAAAATAATAATTTTTTGATCCAAAGATTTTCAGGGAGCGCAAATGAAGAAAATGAAAATGAATCATTAATGTCAAACGATTCGAACACTATTGAAGAGCCACCACCACTGACATTAAGACAAAATTTCATTCGAACTCTAGCTACGTTGAAGACCACAAAAATGATGCTTTTTTCTGTTCTCTTCGTGTTCAGTGGCCTAGAGATGACGTTTTTCACAGGTAAATCTAGGCATAACATCTAAGAAATGACATTTCCTTCAGGAGTCTACACTTCATGCCTGTCTGCTACTACTCCTCTAAAAAACCTTTCCGAGCTTGTCATTCCGTACAATGCGTTGTCAATCGGAGTAGGTGAAATCATTGGAGGACTGTTAGCCGGATCATTGGGCAAATTTCTGAAGATTACTGGCTCGCAAATTTCTTTTATGGCATTTTGCAGTCATTCAATCGCTTTCACGCTTACTTATCTCATTCTTCCATTTGATTCTACCATTACTGCCACTGATGCTCCCACGTACTTGACACCAACGCTGACTTTAACCCTTCTTGTCTCCTTTCTGCTCGGAATCGCTGACGCTTTCTGGCAAACACAAATCTACATCACTATCGGTAAAGCGTTCAAAAACGATGCGGTCACTGCTTTCTCACTTTTCAAGTTTTTTCAAGTAAGTTCTACTGATTTGAATCAGCTAAAACAAACATTCATTTTAGTCTGGTTCTGCTTGTGTGTCATTCTTATACGGTTCCTTCTTGTACCTATCTACACAGCTTCTCATTCTTGGAATCGGATGCATTGCGTCGGCGATATTCTTCGCTAGACTAAAGAGAGTGCTTTTGGACGATGAAACTTCATAATTTGTGACAATAATATTAATGAAACTGTCTATGAATGAAGATAATTTATTTATTGTAAAAGTACTTTACTAAATTTACCGCTCTTGCTCTCGTACGCAGACAAATGTGTTCCCGATTGCTCCCGATCAACGCTCACTGTTTTTATTCACACCAAAAGTTATACCATAATTCTGACCTAATCAAGTCTTCACTGGATAATAATGAATCTCGCGTGAATAAATTACTGTCCAGCGGACCACCTGGTTAAACCTGATACAACAACGGCAAACAATTGTTTTATTTAAGTAGATGAGACGGTTACGCAAGAAAAATAACGTGGATAATACGCAAAGCGCTATTTACTCAACAAGATGTCATCTAGGATAATGTCTGAAGCAATTATTATTCGCGTGTAGTTTTCAATAATACTTTACTTATAACAAGCCTGATGCCCCGGCCACACCGGGATCCAGGCTTGGCTACGGACATTGCTGCGCAAAGCAAAAAGGATCGCTTCGCTCGCATGTCAAAGCGAACACCAGCGGTTTCCCGTTTGCACCCGGTGCACCTGAGTTGTTCCTGAGTTCTGCACGGGAAAGTTTCCAAGTGTGGCGCCGTTTTTGTGTCCTCGGAATGGCGCCAAGTAAACGGCTCACTCAGAAAAGGCGAGAGTTTGAAAATCATATAAAATCAAGCAATTTTTGACAAAAAATGACATCCAAAAAGACGGACAGACGCTTTTTGCGTTTTATATGTAAGCAAGATAATACTTTATGAACATCAATTTATCAGTAAAGGAATTTTTATAATATAGAGGTCAATCTTCATCAGTCAAACCACTGCTAGGAGATGTTGCTACTTCACTCTTGCTAGTGTTGCTTGAGAAAAACTGATCAGAAGTTGAAAGGTTAGGAGGTGTCTGTAAAATTAACGTTTATTAGTGAACCTTATAATATAATTTTTAAACCTGTAGCAGTGATTCAATCGAAAAAGCTGGTCTCGGTGGAACATTGGGTCCATATGGGAAGTACGAAGAGATATGATTCACTTTTGCAGCAAAAAATTTTAGATGATCGGCGTTTTTGAGACGTCGAATGTTAGCAAAGTGCTCGATGGTTTGCATTAGATGACCATTACACGCCTCCAGAACCAATTGCAACACATGCTTTTCGTGCTCACCAAACAGAACAGTCAAAAGTTCAATTGACGAAAAGCTGGTTAATTTGTATGCATTTTCTTTAGATTTCTGTTCAGTAGAAGAAACGTCTGAAACTGGCGTTGTTTCTTTCTCTCGCATTACAATATCCTCTTCCAGATATTCCATGTCTTCTTCTTCGCAGCCAGTGTTCCAAACTGGGCCTTGTGGCAGTCGGTCTATCACTTGTCCAGCGACAACTCTAAACAAAAAATCAAAACTATTTGTTAAAATATAAAGTTGTCAAGTACCGTAATCCAAGTGCAATTGCATCTTCTGTCGCTTGCCTACGTTTCAGTGCTACTTGTGCTGCCATTACTCGCTGACGTTCAGCAATCAGGTTGCATTTTTCGCAAGTACACTCTCTGTAAGCACATCGAGACTGAAGATTATGTCTAAAAAAGTTTCAGCGTTTTTTTCTGTTTTGAAACACTCCCTCATCCTTTCATCTTTCAACCGTCAAACAATACTTGATACCTATTCGAGCTATATTATCTTATAACAGATCGTTCCCGCACTCTGTTCACAAGCTCTAACGGTAATCCAGTGAACAAACATACTCTGCAATCAAGCGACTAACAGTGATGTTTAAGTGGATTCGCACGCTGGGAAAATTGTAGCCCTTATGATAAAGCGTTATTCTCGACACCTTGCGGAGGACGACCGTGTTTTCTTTTTGGTGTTGCGCCCGCCGAGGAGATTGAAGTAGAATTGTATTTAAAATGAGTTTGAACAGGCACTTGCTCTGTTTGTTCAAGTCCAATCCAGATACCGTATCTATCACGGTGCCGGAAAAAGGCGTTTAAAGAACATTTTTCGATAAAATAAAAAAGTATCAAGAATCTAACGATGTGGAATAAAGGAATACGCATGGAGAGTTCGAAGACGTCGACAGTACTCTTCTCGTCTGGATTTGAAATTGAACATCCCAAATACGTATTCAAGAAATACAGTAAACCTTTTCAATTTCATAACAATACTTATGTTTTGTTTCCGTGATATTTAGTTTTTGCAACGTTCATAAGTTATTTTTAATTGCATGATGTAAGACAATACAGTAATCCGAACACTACAAAACTTGGACTTACAAAAAAGCAGTGCAAACAGCTATATTAATCTTAATTCAATTTGCTAAGAAAACTAGAGTGTATCTTAATTTACGCAGTTTCATCAGGCGATTACTGTAGGTCAAGACAAACTGTTCAAGGCTTCATGTATTTTGTCGGATAAAATGTGATTTTTCATTTTCTAGATTCAAATAGGTCTCAAAAAGGAACTGTCATTTTTTATTGAGTAACAGGAACGACTGAACAGCATTGACCTCTTCTACTGTTATGCGCAGCAGATACAGTAGGCCTATCTTCAATACTCACTGGGAGATGTGCTCTTCTCAAATTCAACCTCAACATAACATACAAATCTCATTCCTATGAATGATACTGTTGAAAACACTAGGAGTTTAGACGAAAAGCGTATAATCATTTAAAAGATATTCGGTTGACTTACTTGAACTTGCAGTGGCGCTTATGGCCTTTCAGCCAACTCACAAGTCCATGATTCCGGCATCTGAAAAAAAAAGTAGACAACTTATGAAAACGAAAAAAACACAAAAAGAAACCTACCGTGCACATTTAGGTTTCCGTTCTCTTTCGATTCGCCCATTAGGAAAAACTTGTAGGTTTCCCAACATTTGTCACTCGCTCTGGTTTAGGAAGAGAGTGTTATGACACAATATAGATGATCTGATATAATGCCAAATACTACAATATCTACGTTTGCTCTTTCTGTAGATTGTGGGCGGGTCTTACATCTGATTGGAAAGGAGGCGGCTAGCGCACAGCTCTCGGCAGAGTAGCGTCGGAGTCAGCGGATGTGCACAATATTGTGCCGGCTAATTCAAGCAGTTTGTTTATCTTATAAGAATAAGAAGCCATCTACCGGAAATTGTCACATAATTGTATATGCAAGAAATGCCATTGTAATAAAAGCGCCATATGTCAAAGTTTGATTTGTGAGGATTAAGGATCATTTGGAATAGTTTGAAATATCAAATAACCATCCACGGGAAATAAAACGAACCGGAACCAAAACTTTAAGCAAAGCATAGTCTGATACGTTGAAAAGCAATGCTTGAAAAGCTCATCAATCATGAATTCGCTTGAAAATCTACAGTATCTATTGTGTGGTTTTCATTTTACAAGCCAAATCAATCCGTTAGGTACAATTCACTTTCTGCTATTCTATTTTAATAACGATTACTGTAACAGTTCATAAAGCTCATGCACATTATAAGGCTAATAGTAATGCTTTATTGACAGCCGGATCGAATCGAGTTATAAGTACAGAATTACAATTTTCAGAGAATTATTTTTAGTACGAACTCTTGTCATATTCTAAATATTTTGTCGAGATATCATTTTGAAGACGGTTCTGACACGGTTTTCTGTTGTTGTAGTTCTTTCTGTTCCGGTTGAAACAAGATATAATACGGACAGCCACGACCGTTATAACAAGACCATTGCCGGGTACGGTGAGGTGTCTTCAAGAGTATAATTAGTTGTAATTGAGTTTATTAAAGGTAACATTTTATGTGCCCTTGAACCCGTATTGTTTCTTTCATTGTGTACCGTATACGTTTAGAGGTGTGAAAACATTTTCCTAACTTTAGTGATCTCCAGTTACTCGGGAATTTCTTGTTCTTCTTTAAAGATCGTGTTGATACCGTAGTATTTCCAATAAGTAATTTACTTCAATCTTTCTTTTTTCCTCTTCCTTTGAGATATGAAATTTGTTTTTTGCTTGAAAATATCCAGACACATGTTTGGAAATGCTTTTAAACGTGTTTGTCGCAAATTAAAACAAATTTGAGTCTCCCTTATTGTGAACCGTTATTTCTTGTACTGTTGAAATTAGATTGCTCTGTGAGGATACTGCTTATACGCTCATGCAGAGTTGGGAAAATGGCTGGCTCAAGCTTTTCTAAGGTTTTCTGAGTGATGAGATGCACGTTTGACTCAGCTGCACTAATCCGATCGGACCCAAACATTGCAGACTTTTAAGACTTGGATTGAAGTATTTCGGGTTCAAGTTCCAGATGATTTACGATGATTCACTTTGGAGATATATTGATGAAACACCGAAAAGAAAGGTTTTTCCGAAAAACATAAACTCATCCGATCGGAGAGAAATTTGGGCCAATTATACATTAATTTAACATAAGGCAAAGAAGTCATCAAAATTGGAACTTGATAGGAAAATTGCAAATGAAAGAAAAGTTAAAGTCTCAAAGTGCCATCGAAAAGTCTGGACCATCCATTTGCCCAGCCCTGAGCACCCTCTCCCCCAACTGTCATTAAACTTGGTCCAACCTGTATTTCAAACTAAGCTACTCCTTTTGACCAGTTTGTCAGGCTAACACTCGTAGACCCAGCTATGAAGTGTGCCTAATTTAAGAATAACACTTGACATTCAACACTTCATAAATATGCTGCTTGTTTTCAAATAAACTAAGATCACATGAAGTTTACGTTTTTTTTCCCAAATGTTAAGCCATTTTGTTTCCGCATCGCGTGAAAACTCATTCTGCGCATAACTACTTCATTCAGAAAATTACATTGTATTGCTTTTTATAAAAGTTTTGAGAAAATAGTCCATTATTTACCTAAGAATGAAGAAGGATAGTGCTCACTGACCGTTGTTGGCGACTTGGCCAAATCAACTGTCACTCGCTCTCTTTCTTTCTTCTTCGCGCACGTTAACCTTTGAGCGAAATAACAAACAAACGTTTATGAAACCGCCACTACCGTTCTTTCTGTAGTTTTCTTTCTGTAGTTGTCTTTGTAGCTTTTTGAACATCTTCTTCTACTTTACTTGAACAATTATTGTATTGTTTCCTTTGGAAAATCTCTACAGTCTCCTCGGCCGCTGGTGATTCTTCGACATTTTTATTGTTCCCCCGGCCATTTACAACAACTAAGCCGATGTTCGCCTTACTTTTCGTGGCTTGTCTAGTACCTGGTAAGTGTTTATGGACAATGAATATCATTTAATCAGAAAATGTTCAGTGCTTAGAGCTCAAGACATTCGCTGTTATGCTTGCACAACTATTGATGCTAACGCCATGCTCAGTGAAATATCCGATCCGAACTGGCTGAGATGGCTAGAAAATGTTCGATACGTTCCATTTAGTCAAAAATGTATTGATAGCTTTGAGGTAATAACTGTTAGAGTGTAATTTATAGAAATTTTAAATGAACGTTCTTCAGGTGGACTTAGCTCTGCGTGACGGTGTTCGTAGCAGTGAATGTGGACAGGGTGTCTGTATGAAAATGATTTTCCAAGAGAAAAATGGTAATCTTTCTTTCTTTTAACAAAATCAAACTGTAAGTTGTTTTAGGTATAAGTCATGTTTGGAGGAGTTGCATACCAAACGCCAGGGATCAGATTAGATCCGATTGTACCAAAATATCGAGTGGTGAAGGTTAGGCAGATTCTATTCTTTCTAAAGAATTAAACTTTTTGCAGGAAATCTCGAAGTTTGCACATGCGATGGAAATTTGTGTAATGGCGCTGTTCAATTAAAGACTTTTGCGATGTCCGTTCTATTCTTATTAGTTTGGGCTATTTGGTTATAGAATTGTAAAAAATTGAAGCGGGAGCAGCGGATTCAATCAATATCAGATCTCTTTTTACGACTTTGTAAGCATAAATCATAATTACAGCAATTTTGTACCCACCCGAAATAAAAGTTAACTGTTTTTGGGTCCCTTGACGTTGTCAACAGATGAGCGCATCTGCTCAGTGGCATTTTCACATTTCCACTTGCACAGTGAGACTATGCATACAAAATTATTTTTTTCGTTGCATGTTTTGGGTTCCTCGTGAACACAACAAAACCATTTATCTGTTTTTCACCACAAAAGCACTTTTTCGTTTTTTCTCCCAATTAGTTGGAAATACTTAGATAACAAGACCAAAACCATTAAAGTACTTCAATTAATTTTATAGAACCATTTCTATACAAATTGCGTAGACATCACTCAATTTTTGAATCTCAAAACCGCAATTCTAGTTCCTTTTTCACTCACACTTAATGATTTCAAAAAAAAGTACGTGGGTTTATATAAAAAATGACACGCAATCTCTATCGTAGTTCATGTTTCATGTTGAGCCAATGAATATGCAATGAATAAGAAAGTTTATGCGGCAAGTGAAATCATTACGACCATGATTTTAGTGAATAATTGTAGATATAATTGAACTTAGTCACCACTCCAGTCGACCGTCTTAAATTGAAAATAACATATCTTTGTACTCGAAAAAGTTTTATTGAATTTGAGACAAAAGATTTATGAAATGAAAAGCTCTTGAATTCTAAAAGCGATACTAAACATAAATCTTGTAAAGTGTGTGTATGCAAAGTGGACCAATAACGTCATGCTTGGATACCGTTGCAAACCGCAAAACAAGTTTTCGATACCAGAATATGCTTTCACATACACAACTGCTGAATGCTAAACCAACAACTATTTAACCTGAAAAACGCGGGCATTTTCAGTTTTCTAACGTTCTGGCGGTCAGAATCTGTTCGGCCATCTTAAAATGTACGTTATCTTAGTGAAGTTTGTCACGCTGTAAACGGAAACTGTAACAAATTTTAATCATTGTGAAAAAGACCTGAAATTACTGCAGTCAAAGATTTTAGCCCTTCTTGACACACTCTTCCCAGATCAGCCTAACTACTCTAGTTGAACAGTTTTACAGCACCGCAAACAATTCCAAAGTAATCTTGTTTGCAGCGCAAGAGTCATTACCATGTATTTCAATTATTTGTGTTCAAAACTATCTTCAGCTCAAGTTACTGCGTGCGTATTAGCAAGTAGGCGTGGCCGGCTCAATAGGCGGAGCCAAGAAAGGTGAAGAGCAGTGATGGCATCAAAGTCGGTATAAAAGGCTGCCGACTAACTTCACCTACACTTTTGAAAATAGAAAATGCTCCGTGGAGTGCTTTTTTCTATTTTTCTATTTGCCATTTCGGTCCAAGCCGACTGCGATGTTTCTTCTTTGAACGACTCGGAAAAGGAGCTTACCCTCCGTATCTGTCACCTTGAGGTACTTCATTACATAGCGGATAACTTTACAAGTTTATCGTAATTTTTTCAGTCTGAACTTGCTGTTGTCCAGCGAGCATTGCAGGAAGTGATGCAACAAAGAGGCATGACTCTGTACGATGAAGCGATGCCAGAGATGAGTAAGCGTAAGAACGAGTTCATTCGGTTCGGAAAACGGAGTGACGGGTTAGTGACCGCTAATCAGAATTTACTAGAAAAGATCCGGTTTTAGTGTCGAGAAAAGGAAAAACGAGTTCATCCGCTTTGGTAAGCGGAAAAATGAGTTCATTCGGTTTGGGAGATCCGATAAGGGACTCGTCAACGACGATCTGGCCAGTAAGTACAGTACAATTATACTCATTTTCATCTGGAATTTCAGTGGAAAAGCGAAAGAACGAGTTTATCCGATTCGGATAAGAAAGTCAACTTCGGCCGTTTACCTATGTTAATTTCCAACTTCTTTCCTCTTTTGTTGAAATCTGTCTAACATAACAGCAGTTGGAATAAAATTTCATTGTGTACATGGTCTATCAGAAAACTTGAATGAATCCAATCCTAAATGTGGATTAAGTGAAGTGAACTGACATCTGGAAGAAATGTAAGATTCCTGTGCGGCTTTGGCTTTTGTTTTTCAATAGGAAAGCGAAAAATACCGTTGAAATTTGGGAGACGTACAAGTGGCTATTGCCATTAGCCGCCACTCCAGTCCACGACCATGATGGCAGACCACTATTATGTGTTCACAGCTAGTTTGTGCGTGTCTGTTGCGTCGTCGTTGATCCTGACGCAGTGCGTAAGCTGGATTTTTTCAAAGTTGCATTACATGTTGTACTTGCTGGCTGGATCATACGCCTTTTTTTGTGGGATATCTCTTGTCGTTTAGTCTAGTCTACCTTTCCGAGCGAGATTCACTTTTCGTTCAAAATCAGACAAAAGGTACTTGTGAAGTGCCGTAGAACGTATTCTGAATATGAATTAAACATGCAGCTGTGACAAAGTTCTATTGCATATTTGAGGTACTAGCTACTAAGTCTGAACGTTTCATAGCTTTAAAAAACCGACCGTCCCTTTACACTGATATCTTCAACTTTTTTTCGAAGATTTCCCGTTCACAGGATGTTCTTCCAACATGAAGCACATTCAGCTAGCCAATTTGGGTCAGAACATAATGTGTGATGGAGATTAGATCGCCCCCCTCCCCCTACCCCTCATCCTGACATCTTTCGTCTTTCGTTGATCTTCATTCCACTTTCGCTAATCACACTTCTGTTGTTGTTTTCAGTTGTACAGGTCAAAAAGTAGTTAGTGACCCGTTTTGAAAGCCGTTTTTCTTTGTTTTACTAAACGGAACTCTTTAGAATGAAGCTATTCTACTGTGAAATGTATTCCAATTCCAATTCTAATTCTTACGTTAGACAAAGCAAAACAATAAATGTTACGGTTACGGTTCTGCCCACGAAATATTTCAATCAGAACACGGCGCTTTAGGCTAAGCATTGAATCTTCGTTTTATCCTGATTTCGTTTGCTTTTGGTACTGGTTTGTTCGTGCGCGTTTTCGAAAAGACCAATGTCTGCAATAAAGCGGACCGGTCATCTTCTGATCCGGATCAAGCCCGATTATGCTGTGGTTTCTGAAAAGTACTGTTCAACTATTTTGTCAAAAATCATACACTTGAATATTCACTCCATGCTTTTTGTTCGTATCAAATACGTGTATTGCTGATTGGATCTTTTGATCTGTTTCTGAAAACGTAAATGGTTCCTGATTTTCTTGATCGGTCATTTTCATTATATCAGCTTCTTCTTCTTTTTCTACACATTGTCACTTTAACCCTTTTCAGGTTTTCTATGCAATTCTTGCAAATAGAACCTCTAGTCCGAGATGCGTTTAAATGGTATGGCCCAATTGCACATCGCTGGAGATGGTACCTGTTCATTGTCCCTTTATTCTTGACAATGTTTTGCCTTACTGGCTTCATGAAAATGAAAGAATTACGAGTTGATGACCCGGCGTTTGTGTTCACTCCCTCAGACGCAAGGTTAGTTCGAAGAAATTAATAAGGCTCTGTGATTGTTTTGAAAATTGTACAGGTGGAGAAGAGAAATACAAGTTTTCAATGAGAACTGGCCCCTGAATGAGAACAAGTTTTTGCCCGGAAAGTCATTTCAAACCAAACGATTTATTAACATTTTGATTCGTGCAAAAGACAATGGTTCAATTATGAGAGATCATGTCTTGCAAGAAATTGAGGTGATATTGTCGATCCCGCAGAAAGCAACACTCATTTTGTTCAGATTCTCAACAAATGGATCATGAACAACATTTCTGTACCTACTAGTGACATGGTTTATAATTTGACTTATCAAGTAAGTAACACACTGACTATTGTTCGCACAAAAAACATTTTCAGGATCTCTGCCTAAACTATGACTGGGTCTGTGGAGCTAACGAGCATATTCAGATGCTTATACATCGTCATGACGTCAATCAAGTACTAGACATGCACTATCCAAAAGGAGGAAACAAGGTTGGCACTAGATTTTATCCAAATTCTTTTGCTCAATGATATCATGTAACAGGACACTCCTGTCTACCTTGGAAGCATTTTCGGTGACGTTCAACTATCAGAAAACGGAACAATTGAAGATGCTAAGCTAACCCAACTTTTCTATTTCCTCAAACAAGATCAAAAAATGGTTGAAGAGTACTCTTCAAAGTTTTCCTACGCAGTTGAACACTTTCTGAACGAGGTCTACAGTTCTAATGTTATAACGCTGTCATTTGCTCATTATCAGTCACTCGAGGTGCTTTGTAGTACTTTCTCTGCACAGACTTGTAAAAGATTTTTTGAATTTAGGACGGACTAGATGAAAATGCAAAAGCTTTTGTTCCTAACTTTGTTGTCAGTTTCTTTGTTTTGGCCATGTACGCTCTGATCTCATCATTTACCTTAAAACAGTCATCTGCTCGGAAAATTGATTGGGTTGCTAGTAAACCGTGGCTAGCTTGTGCAGGTTCAGTAGTTTCTTTTGGATCATTGTCTCATTCTGATTCTGTAGGAATGTTCACGACGGTGCTATCTATCCTGAGTGCGTTTGGATTTCTGTTTCTCATTGGTGTCCGGTACAATGTGATCAACACCATAATTCCATTTCTCATAATTGGTTCGTCCTCATTCTATCTTTTGAGAAAACGGAAAGATTACAGCTATTGGAATCGATGACATGTTTTTAATGAATGCTTGTTGGGATCAAACCAGTAAATCGTTATCCGTTCCGGAAAGAATGTCGAAGACTTTGTCGCACGCCGGTGTAGCAGTTACCATAACCAATGTCACGGATATCATGTCGTTCGCAATTGGTGAGCAAGTTTATACGGCATTTTCGAAGAACCAAATTGCAGGATGTATTACTGATCTACCGGGAATTCAATTTTTCTGCATTTATGCGTGTGTTTCCGTGGCTTTTAGTTATTTTTATCAGGTTTTTCAGAGCGTAAAGTAGCATAAAAGAATTAACATTTCAATTTTAGTTAACTTTTTTTTGTGGAGCTATGGCAATAATGGGAGAAGTTGAAAAAGAAAAACGACATTGCCTATTCTTCTACCAAATTTTCCATCTTGTTGACATTTCACAAATGAACAAAGAAGCCAATTACAAACTGGAAGCTATGAGAAAGTGGGACAATGAGCTATTTCTTTTTACTCATCAAGACTACTTACAGATCTGTAATTTCATCACAATCTGACTTTGATAGTAAATCCACCTACTCATTTTCATCTAAAAATGAGAGTTTTACATCTGAAAACACTCTCCCTGCAAAGTTCAAGTGGACGGATTCATCTGACTCCAACACGGCGTCTACAAGCTCAATTCCAATAAAAACATGTCCGCAACCAGAAAATAAAGATAGGATTGTGAAGTTTCTCGGAGAAACTTATGGGCCCTTCATTCTCTCAAACACAGTGCGATTAGTCAGTGGTTTGATATTTTTGATTTATATGGCAATCGCGTTATATGGTAGGTATTCGAATAACCTTTTTGAAAATGAATTGCATGTTAATTTCAGGATGCTACAACTTTCGAGAAGGTCTAAACCCCGGAAATTTAGTTACAAACGATCATTACATTGCCAAATATTTCACAGACATAAAGCACTTTTGGAGAGTTGGACCTCAACTGCATGTAGCTATTTTGAATCCACCAAGCCTCGTCAGCAGTTCGAACCGGTTTGATTATCTTGAAATCATGAAAAAAATTAGAAATGAAACGTTTCAGAGATGAATTGCTACATATAGTCAGTTCTTTTGAAAATACAACGTATACAATGGGCAGAGAAGGGACTGTCTTCTTCCTTTTGGAATATATGAACTATCTGGCTGATCTGAATGTGGAAATTGAGGATTCCAAACATCTTTGGGAAACGAAATTCAATTCCTGGCTCAAGTACACTGGTGGCTCGACGCAATGGACTAGTAATATTAGAAGAAATGAATCTGATGGAAGTTTTCAATGCTTTAGATTTCAGGTATTTATGAAACTTGAAAAATTATTAATAAATATGGTTTTAGATTGCTATGAAAAACTTTGTGGAACCAAATGATCATAAGAACGCAGCGAAAATGTTACGAGAAATAGCGGACAAGCAGTCTCTCACTGTAGTCGTTTACCATGAGGTACGTGATTTAATTGAAAACAAAAAATTGAAGAAAGCGTTCAGGCATTCCCATTTGCTGATCAGTACCTTATCATTCTTCCCGCCACAATTCAAAACGTTGTCATTTCTCTACTTTGCATGACCGTCGTCTCGATTCTGCTGGTTCCCAGTCTCCCTTCAGGATTCGTTATTTTTGTTTCTATTGTGTCTATCAATGTGGGAGTGTTCGGCTACATGACGTTATGGGGAGTCAACTTGGATGCAGTCAGCATGATATCCATAATCATGAGCATCGGATTTGCGGTCGACCTTTCTGCACATATTACATACGCGTTTGTTACATCTCACGGTGATACCAAACAACGAGTGCTCGGAGCATTGGAAACACTTGGTTGGCCGATTTTCCAAGTAAGCATAGAAGCAGGAAAACGTAATTTGCTTTCTCGAAATGACAAAAGTCACGACATTTGAAAAGAATGTGACTCATGTTTTGAAATTTCAGTAAAGTCAGGCCCACGACAAATATGAAAAAAAGACTTCCAAACATGTGCACAGTAACTGGAATACAAAACATGTCGAAAATGAAAACGAAAAAAAAGCGCGTATGTTGTTTTGCAGGGTGCTTCCTCCACAATCGCTGGGATTTCTATATTGTATACTGTCGACGCATACATCATTCTTACTTTTTTCAAAACTATTTGGCTGACCATGTTCATCGGAGCCATTCATGGTCTCTTTTTCATACCAATATTCTTGTCCTTGTTCCCTGTCGAGTTTTTCAGAATACCAAAAACCACTGAATTTCATTAACTTAATTTCAGTTCCAATTTTCGAATCTCACGAAACAAAGCGAGTATTACTGTTGTGAACACATGTTTCCTAAACAAAAATTGCTTTATAATGTTAAATTTTACTGTTTCTCACGGAAATTAATAAACGTTTTGGATATTACAAGCAACTTTGAAACGTGTTTTATTAGAAACAGAAGGTCAAAGTAGAGCATAGTGTCCTTGGGGGTTCACAATCGTCATAATACTATTACTAACTTGCGTGATATGATCCGCAAAAGAGGATACAGCAAAAATGTTGTCAAAAATTAGAGACGTACTAATTAATCATTGTCAATCGTTCTGATCAGTCCATTGGGCGACGTGATCATTAACAGTATTATTACACTTTTCAGTTTTTCGAAATTCTCGTTTAATACTAGTGAAAACGTTGAAGTAACTTTTCTCAAATTGTGATGATGTTTAATGTCTTTTATTTTATCGCACAGTGTTTTGTTTTTCAGTTTGTATGCTGAATCCTGTTGTCAATACTAGATTTAATTCTGTATTGTCGAATTTTTAGATACAAACAAATTCCGGAGAAATTCTTTGCTGAAAGCCCAAATTTAAAAAAGAGTAATATTCCGAAATTCAAAATTACTATTTTGTTGTTTATCTTACTTTCTGTTAGTGTATGCAATCCACACAGTCCCGGTTTCTGGAAAATTTAACTTTTTGTGAGCATTCCTTTTCCGTTTCCATAAAAATTCCTCTCTGTTGATGCTGGCTCCCTTTGACATAGTTCTGACTCTTGTTACAGTATACAGGATACAGTAGACTTAGGGAACTTTTTTTCATAGAAATATCGGTTTCCGGAGATGGTCTCCACCGCGTGGCCTCAATTTCTGGGGTAAATAAGATTTTGTGATTATTGTTTGTCAGTCGATATCGATTCAAGCCTGACTTGGAGAAGAATTAGTGAAAATTGATAAGCTCTAGTCTCAACATTGGTGTGCATTGCCTAAGTTCAAAATTTTCCAGTAAACATGTTCTGTTTTCCATTTCACATACACAACAATATCACCTGAAAGTGACTGTTAGGGATTTAATAGTATGAGAGAACAACTATATAAAACAAATCGGGCGGTTTCACGGCTATTTTTGATATGGCTCGACTTCGCAATAATGTTAAACACTAAATAAGGCACACGAGTTTTGAATTTAGTAGTTAAACTAATATTTGTTCCAGTTTAGTGTAATCCGGTTGTGTTTTAACTAAGCTGTCTCATTAGTCTCACAGTCTCAATCTCATTAGTATCCCATATATGACAAACTTTACAGAATGGCACGAAAAAAAGGAGTAACGGCAATTTTCTCAACATTCAAACACTCATTTGTAATATGGGGCTCTATGGTGTTATTCTCCCCGCTTCTGATATTCGGAGGATCTCATTGGGTAATCAGGAAATTGATTTTCAGACAATGGGAACAATTTCGTACTGTTTTCAGCTGCAAGCAAGATGTCTTTTTTGCGTGGCAATTATGGGCGCGTACTGGGTGTTTGAAGCTCTTCCGCTAGCAATCACGGCTTTCATTCCAATGATTCTCTTCCCCATGTTCGGAATCATGAGGTCAGAGGAGGTAGCTCGAGCTTACCTACCAGATACGTGTTTCCTGTTCATGGGTGGTCTGATGGTGGCCCTGGCTGTTGAGAAATGTGAACTTCATGCAAGAATCGCTCTGTTCGTGTTGAAAACAGTCGGATCGGAACCTGCTCGAGTGATGGCTGGATTCATGGGAGTGACTGGTTTTTTGAGGTTAGTTTTCGTAGTTTTTTGAATGAAAAGAAAAGTGTATAATCACTGAACTAAAAATCGATATAATTTTACAGTATGTGGATCTCGAACACTGCAACAACTGCTTTGATGGTTCCAATTGTGCAAAGTGTCATCACTGAACTTGTCTCAAATCATAGAATGGAAGACTTGGTTGCTCTTAATGAAGCCCACCAGAGTAACGCTCGGAAGCAGAGCGTTGGAATGCGACGTCTATCTTTGCCCAACGAGAACATCGAGATCAACAGAGAGTTTGTTCTTTTTGTCTTGATTTGACATGATAACTGTATTTTTCTTTAGTGATATGTCCACAGCCATGTCGCCCAGAGAACAGAGAATGGCCAAGGGACTCATGTTGAGTGTATGCTTTTCCGCAAACATCGGAGGAGCTGCCACTATCACTGGAACCGCTTCAAATTTGGTTTTGATCGGCCAATTGAACGAGTTTGTTTGAAATTCTGGAGGAAATTAACGAAATCAGGCTTACAGACTCTTCCCTGGCGCAGACACCGGTGTAAATTTTTTGTCCTGGCTCACTTTTGCGTTCCCAATGGTCTTTTGCTGCTTGTTGTACTGCTGGGGTGTTCTATACCTTCTTTTCTTGCGTGGAGCACCAAAAGGATCAATAATTGTGACCAGAAAGCTTCAACAAAAGTACAATGACCTGAGTACCCTGTCCTTTGCCGAAATATCGGTCGTCTTTTGTTTCCTTCTGCTACTGCTGCTTTGGATTTTGCGAGAGCCGCAAGTGGTTCCGGGATGGGGAGAGTTGTTCCGTTCTGAGTGAGTGATAGGTATACCACTTTTAACTTTCGCTTTACGAAAATTGTTGAAGGTTTGTTGATGATGCAACCAGCGCCATGTTCATAGTCATTCTACTCTTCACGCTTCCTGAAAAACTTCCTAATTTTCGAAGTAATGGAAAAATCAAATGTTCTCTTCAAACGTACGTTTCAGGAAAATCGAGTACATGGAAGGCAAGCAGCGGACTTTTGGACTGGGCTACTGTGCAAGATCGATTCCCATGGAGTGTCCTGTTTCTTCTGGGCGGGGGATTCGCACTTGCGGCTGGAGTAAAGGTTTCTTAAAGAAAAATAATTTTGACCGCCTTATACTAGTAATATTAGGAATCTGGATTGTCCCATGATATCGGAGCAATTATGCGTAACCTGGACGTGTTCAATCATAACATCATCATGCTCATTTGCATTGTCATCAGTGTGACTCTTACAAATGTCTGCTCAAACACAGTGATTGCTTCCATTTTTATTCCTATTGTGGCAGAGTTGGCAAGGTTTCGACAGTAGAAAAAACGCTCGTAGATCAATATGTTTCCAGATCACTCCAAATTGATCCATTAAACTTCATGCTGCCTGTTACAATTTCTGCTTCGTTCGCCTTCCTGCTGCCAGTTGCTACTCCACCAAACGCCATCGTTTTTGGATCAGGATATCTGAAAGTCTCCGACATGGTTTGACAAACGAATAAGTTTATGCAATTGGCAAAATCCTCATTTTTAGTTTATCGCGGGGTTATGCTTGACTATCGGCTGTGTTATCCTCTCCATGCTAAACATGCTGTTATGGGCTGGATTCGTGTTCAACCTTCACTTGTTCCCACAATGGGCTGCCAATCCGTCGCCACCATTGGATGTGGAGGATTGGTTAGAACAGAACAACATTACTCTCCTCACCACCCTCAAGCCATGATTTCAAAACAGATAACATTTAACCACGGTTCATTTGCTAGGAAATAATCTGGTAAAAAAGTTGACTTTTTGAATGTTATTGAAAAGGTTTTGAAAGGATTGTCAATTTTTGTTAACCATACGGTCCGAAAGGCTCACTTTTTTCCTAGTTATCACTCCCTAGTATCTCTATGAGCATTTTATCATCAAAACTCTTACTTTATCCATGAGTTGTTCCACTTCCACCCGACTAAAGAATTTACTCAACATTGCGATTGAGAAAGTAGTAATTAGAGAAAGTTTGAAGTTAAAGTAGGTCAGAACAGTTTTCTCTTCATTCTTGTGTTAATAGAATTGAGTGATGAAGCTGTACTCACTATTATTATTTGTTTTTCTTTTTTTACACAATATTTGTGCTAACTTTAATAAACACTTTGCTGAGTTTGTATCCGAAAACTACGGTAATTCTTTTCTGGATGCATTACAAAGGTTTGCCCTATATCATTCACAATATAGCAAAGAGCGATTATGTTCAGAACGGATCTTGGTGATGGTGGATCTTTCGGTGGACGATCTAATGATCAAGAAGTTGTCAAAAACGATCCTGTGATATTTGTTCATGGCGTTTCGGATATTGCGGGAGGAAAAATGCAGGCTATAGCATCTACTTATAAAAAAAATGGTTACGTAAGCGGTGAACTGTATGCTACAACTTATGGAAACGGTCCAAGAAACGGTCCAATATCATGGGCTGATTATTCTCTGAAATGTGAACATATAAAACAGGTTTTTGATAATGGGATGAACAAAATAAGCTCAACAGTGTCTCAACAGATCCGGACCCTTATCCTTGCCGTCAGATATTATACGCTACGGAATGTAGACGTTATTTCATACTCGTTAGGTGTACCAATAGCTAGGAAAGCTGTTTTAGGAGGTTTGTAACAATTTTTCAAGAGACATCACAAAATGAAAGTGCAGGATTATGTGTAGACACTCAAGAAGATTTGGGTGCTCCTCTCACACAATACGTTGATACATTTGTAGGAATAGCCGGTCCAAACCATGGTATTTCTTTCAATGTACGATTGTGTCCTTGCTATTTTCACAAATCCAGAAAAAATTTTATATTTAGTTGGCTGGTTTATCCGTTCCTGGCTGTGTTATCGGTGCAATACCAATTCTTCCGATTTGTAGTAGAGTCATCGGATTGTATTCTGGATTTTGTCCAGTTGAAAGCAACTTTTTGACTGATATAAACAAAATCAGTCATTACGAAGGACAATTTATATATTCATTGTACACTGAAACTGATAATTGGATCGGATATAAGATATGCGATCAAGTAAGTGATGCTGAGCAGCAATACTTGAAACTAAATTCAGGTGACAGCTAGAATACCGGAAGATGATAATTATAAGGTTTACAAAAAGCTCAATCATGACCAGGTGTTGTCAAAAACATGCGATGTGCAGCTTCAAATGATACGTGAGTCACATTTTCATGATTTTCGCATTGGAAAACTTCAGAAGTTCATTCGATTATTGTAAAAGATTCCAAAGAAAGTGAAGAAACAATGCATCAACGAAACGATAGGAATTCGGTTAAAAAATCGGAGAGAACAAGCAAGAAGCGGCATGTGAACACTGCTGTATATGAGAAAGGACCGACTGGCATTCGAAAAGCATATAGAGAAAATGTACATTCTAAACCTGACAAAGTTGAACCAAAATCGGAAGGTTTATCAAAGTCAACTGTGAGAAAAACGGAAAATACTGTACCTCAACCAGTGCCAGACAATGAATCAACCGGCGAAAGTACAGGAACTGCTTATCATACTCATGTTAGTGTTCATTTTGACCAATCCTCCAAATAACTTTCGTGTTAATAGTCTTGCATTATGTGGGCATTTCACTGCAGTCGCGCTCTAATCAGAAACTTATTATTCAGTGAAACCTGCAATGATCTCGGGACCGAGTTTTAAGAAAAATAAAAAATTTCGGTCAGATTTTCAGCGTGATTTCAGAGAAATACCTCCATAATATATGCACGTACATATTGAAATGTTCTGATTTTCATTGATAGTTTAATGTTTGTTTTTAAATTAAATATTTTTTTCATATAACCTAAAGTAAAAAAAATCAACAATCGAGAAATACACTATTGTTCTGAGAATTGTATTGTACTTGGCAAGAAACATTGTTGTGGGGGAGTAAAGCCGTATTGTATCAGTCAAAACTCAATTATGTCATGAACCGGGGAACGTAAACCACGGCCTAGGACTGTATGACTTTTTTGTATCAATTGTATCCACAATTGTTTTTCTGAAATCGAAACAAAAAACGATTATTGTCAACTTGTATAAAATACCGTTTTTGTAAATCATTATACATTGGCCAAACGTAATCCTCCATAAACTCTTCGATCACATCCGGATAGAATATTTCATTAAACGAAGATCTCAAGCTATCCATGACGCTGTCCAGTTTTTTGAGCGTTCTCTCATAGGCCTTTCCAATCGCATCGATGTAATAAGGATTACTTGCCGCAAGTCTCATATGAGATGGTTGAAGCCAACCGTTCTCCCTATTATATATTATTCGTTCTTTCATTATTTTTCATATGAGCGCACTACCTATTATGTACCCAGGTCGAATTTTCAAAGAATGCTTTTAATTGTACAAAATCACGAATAGCATCGCGCACTTTATATCCTGGGTAACGACAACGATCAGAACCAGAAACAAGCTGATCCAATGTTGTTGACGTTGGACAGTCTAATGCTTGCATGACCTGATTAGTTGAATCTACTGAAAAAATAAGAGATATTGTCTTTTTGTAATTCCATTATATGCATTACCGTCTATGTGAAATTTGGTGAGTACTATTATATTTAACGCAAGTGAAATCATAGAAGTTGGTAAGAGCTCACATAAAGACGCGAAATGGTCGTATCTAAAATTAATATAATACAATCTACTATCGGTGCATTTCAATGTGAATGCGCTCAATTGAAAAATCCGGGGCCTAAATTTTCAACCGTGAAGCGAGTTTCATTTGTTTTTCAATTGAATTCTGGAAGAATTTTCACTTTGAAATGCCCCGATAATACTCTTTTGTCATAGTCCAAAACATTTTCTAACCTTTGCCATCCAGTCACAATGATTGAATCGAACGTGGTAAACAACGGTTTATATTTTTCATTTTGCAAGTACCACTCCTTGTTGTTCAAAATATACGGTTTGAGTCTGTTCCAATATCGACTCGCTCCATCAGCCCCTGAAACCACTTTTTTGCTTGCGTTGCTAGACCGTCCTCAAAATACTCAAATATCATAGTTTAACATTACAACACGTTAAGCTTGGCCTGACAAAGCTGTCGTAGTTACCAGAGTTGAGCGGATATGGAATTTTGAAATTCGGAAGACGGCAGACGGCAGACGGAAGAACATTTTTCTTACGGAACACGGAAAACGGAAGACGGAAAAAAAATTTCTCACGAAAGACGGTAGAAAACTTTTTTCCCGGAAGACGGAACAAAAAATCGTCAATGCAGAACCTTTTTCTCCGGTTTTTTTGAAAAAAATAACTAAACAACAAAAAAATTTTTGGATCTGGGTCACTGCCCGTGGAAATTCGCGTTCTTCGGGGCTAGTAAATAGCTTCTGAAAAGCTATTACTCTTTTACGGTAAGAAGAAAAAATCCGGGAAGATGGCAGACGGCAGACGGAAGAAACATTTTTTTACGGAAGACGGCAGACGGAAGACGGAAGAAAACCTTTTTCCCGGAAGACGGCAGACGGAAGACGGAAGAACAATTTTTTTTAAGGAAGACGGCAGACGGAAGACGGAAGAAAACCTTTCTCCCGGAAGACGGCAGACGGAAGACGGAACAAAAAAAAACTAGTTGGTTACACTGCAGAGGTCAAACTACACGATCAATCACAAATTAAGATAATTTGATATGAATTGATAATGGAGATGGATAACTAGCTAGCTAGAACTGATTTCTTGAATTATCTTGATATCCGTTTTTTACAATCGGTTTTGCAAGTTGAACAAAAAAAGAAAATTTTACCTTTAAAAGCACTGCCACCCCAAACTTCTCCAAAAGAACGCGATAGATTGCTCCACATTTCCGGAGGCAAATCATTGTCCAAATTAGCCGTATACTTCCAAACCACTGGTATCAAATTATCTCTGAGCCCGTATTGTTCTATGAGATCAAGTGGAGCACTTTTCAGTTCATCATACCAGACAAGAACCTGCATTTTGATACAATTCCAAACCATTTCGTCATAGAACAACAAACCTTTGTGCCCGGAAATGTGTTTGATATATTTTTTGATACTTTGGTCAAGTGATCAAAAATCAGTCGAAGAGTGTCGTTCTGATACTTGACAGGTAACACTTGTTTATCCGCTTCACAAACGCCAACTTGAAACGCTTCATCAGCTCCTATATGTACATATCTGCTGCCAAACTTTGAGTGAACTTCCATCAACTAAAAATGAGAATTGAACAGGTTTAGTAAAACGCCGAGTGCACCTGATTTACAGAATCTAAGATAACATTGAGACTTTCTTCATCGCCAATACACGCGACCATTGGATATCTCTCATCTTCTCTCAATTGCGCATACTCCTCCGTCTTCAAAATCCATTCCATGTGAGCAAGAGTCTGCACAAGCGGTATTATTTCCAACTCAAGCAATTGGGCACTAAATTTAAATGTGATTTTTTTGTTGAAACAATCTACTTACTAGTCTAAAATAGTAATAACTTCAACTTCAGTATACGCATTTTTGTTGACAATTCTTGATAAATCTCCTTTGAATGGGAACATATCCTGAAAATGTTTTTTGAATTCATCAAATCTTTCATGAAGTCTTGCCTCCCACTCAATCAGAACACCTGTAGCACCTAGATTGCTGATTGTTGTGAGAAGTTGTTTAAAATACGCCACTTTGGGGGGAGCTCCTGCATATATAAAGCGTTGATTCTAAGAAGAAAAAAGTTATACCCTTCAAATCTAGATGTACAATTGATTTTGAATATCCGCATTGTGAAAACTGCACGGAAATTATTAATACTAATATAACCTTGTAAATTTGCATAAGACAACCTGTAATCTAAAAGTTAGTGTTCCAAATAATGCCAAACGATAGGAACGGAGTATATAAATCAAAGTTGATATGATACGGGCAATGTCTGTACCAAACAATTTAAAAATATGGAGTAGGTTAGCAAACAAGGTGAGTATGAACCGGGTTAGTTGCGAGAAGAAGGGGATGGTACTTGAGTACTAAGAAAACATGTATTGTTATTAAACTCTTGCTTTTTCGTAAGTGATATAATTCATTTTTAGTGTAGCTTTGTTCATATATAAGAATGTAGAAATATATTCATAGGTTAGGTACAAAAATCTTGTTGAGAAAGAATCGAACTACTGAAGAACTGTGTAAAATTGCTTCTTGTCAGTAGCAAGGCGCGTGACAATTAGAAATGATCTGAATGCCCCGGGAGAGGGGGAAGTGATACCGTTTTTGAATTTTTATTTCACAGTGTACAGAAGAAAACCGATTTTTTTTTGTAAAAATTGGGAAGGCGAACACAAAAAAATGAATGAAATAGAAGCAAGTCACATTGTCAACACTTAAACGGGTATTTGAAAATGAAAAATGCCAAAAAAGGGAAAGGGAATGAAATGAATTGATGGCAAAAATTCCTGACAAAAACGTGAGAAAAAGAAAATCCTCTTAGGTTTTGGTTGTCAAAAAATCCTACTTGTTTGATCAACAGTTCAGAAAGTCAGAAAAGTGTTAAAGCGGATGAATAGTAAGTATTAGTGTAGCATAACTTTATTGTTGTTCTCGTCTAAAAACTAAAGTGTGGTTTGCCCTGAGTTAATGTTACAACACGTGTGAGTTCCAGTAACCGGTGAAAAAAGCTCAACAGTGGTCACTGAAAAGTTTATAATCAGACGAAGGCGGGGTGTCGAATTTATCAAGAGGTCTCGTCGTTGTTGCTCTCGAATGAAACATTTTCGCCCTTTGTCGGCCTGACCTGAAAAAAACGATTGAAAAATGATAAGTTGGAAAAATGAATTATGTTTGAAACAATTATATCCGATTCTGACCGATCAAACTGCAGAAACCCCAAAAAATAACAGATATACTCCGGTCACCTCTGAGACGTGCTCGAGACACTCAGCTGTTGATCTCTGGCCAGCCAGTCAAAAACCACATGTTGACGACCTGAAAACGCTAAATTCAGTTACAAACAAACGAATAATAAGAAAACCGAAATGCACAACAAAATTATCGAAACATATCGAGTGGGTTGTTGAAAAAAACATTATTGAATTTTACTTTGAAGAGAGCTGGTTCAAAGGGATAAGAGGGGATAGAAGAAGAATAATAAGAAGAAGATGATGTTACCCTTTATCGTTATAAAATGACATTTTTCAACCATTTTTCTTTGTCCAATTAATTATGGGATCTTGTTTGAGCTCTAAGGCATTATTGTAAGAGTGGTGGATCTTGTCGTCTACTTTGACCCTTCTTTCTCCTAAAAACCTTGCTGATTGGGCCAGTGAGAAACTGAATTCAATTTCATGAAAAATATTTTGAGCTCATAAGATTTGATGGAAAACTATGTTGTCTGTCGTGACTTATGGTACTCTGTTTTATCAAATTCAGCACGCGCGAGAAACAGTTATTTTGAATTTCAAAGCAAAAGGTAGAAACTTGTAAGTCTCTCTTTCAAAGCCAGAAAATGTTTTCACTTCTGACGCTCCACCTGTTATTATAGTTTAGAACAGGAACTTGCACTCTACTTATTTCATTTTTCCCGTTTTCTTCAAAAACATAGTTTGTCCGCCGTTTTTTATCCTGCAAATCACAAACCATTCATCATTATGATTTCCTGAGAAAATGTAGGCCATCCTATTTAGATGCGATGCTGATTTGGAAACATTACGAGAAGATAGATGAATGGAATGCTTTTTCTCATTTCAGAAGTAACCGAACAAAACTGAAGAAGAACATTTGAAAACAAGCGCGATTCCTTTAACGAAAATGCCATTTGCTCTATTATCTGTGCGCGAAAATCAGCAAGGGGGTAGCGGCGGTGTGGAAACTGAAGAAAAAGTAGGCACTACCTATCAGATCGCCCTTCTGGAGTGGCTCATCTACACATTTTTTCTCTAACGATGACAATGAAAGTTTTCATTCCCAATGTTGTACAGATCTTTTTATTTCCTTGCAAGTCAAACAGAAGCTTTCACTTCTGGTAGGTCTGTTCACGTTCTCGTTTCCAGATTGAAAAAAGTTTCATAATTTTATAGCAAATCTCCTGACTTTTATAATTGTTGTGTGAAATAAGGGAAAAAGGAGAAAAACCCCTCACAATCAGATTTTGAAATCAAGTTTTCCGGATCGTTCAAGCGAAGGTCCGATCCGATTTCTATTCAATTTTGTCCCATCTCACTATTTCTCTTCTTTGGCTCACCAAGCGTAATTCTTAGATCTAGTTCAGTTTCATTCATGTTTTGTTCGTGTAATGTTTCAATTAATCACAAACGTGAGCATGCTTAACGAGCTAGTTGAAGAGCATGCAATCTGAAATAGAATTACGGACGAATGCAATGCAACATCTTCATCTTATTTGTGAAATTCTTCTTTTTTGTCATTATGACCACTTCTTAACTGTTTTCCTAGTATCAGAAGACAGTACTAGTACAACATACTTTGTATATCAAAGATATGACACAAAGACGCCCGTCTTGGCGAGTCTCGTTTTGAATCGAGAATCTGTAAACTGTTAGATGAACCAAAAAAAAACAGGTCGGGCTGTGTATTACAAATGTGTTACAGCATAATTTCTCTGAACAAAGACAGACTCGATTGCTTTGCTTTCTTTCTTTTCCTTCCCGTGTCATGATGTTCTTGTTTTACTTTCTAGAGACGCTGTTCGTCAATCCACATCTACAGTACCTAAAAATGTCAAAATCAGAAAATAATTGAGTTTAGAAGAAAACAAGGCATCGCGAAAAACATAAGATTGGCGAGTCAAGAAGAAACCGAATTGAATTCAAATTCACTTGTGCACTGATAGCTCGTTTTTGCTTGAAGGGTCCCCGGCGTGTAGGCACTTGACTCCTGACTAGATTCGTTTATTAGGGTTTGAAGAGCCTGAGCATCGATTAGATAGTTTTTTCTCAAAAACCGAATATTTGACGAAATAGGGCGCATAAAAAGTACGTTCTGTTTTTTTTCGATTGTTCCTGCCATCAGTTTAAATGCGTCATTTCAGCTGATTCTGATAATTATCAACTCTTTACCCCCGATTTTCTCTATTTTTGTCGCAAAATGTTCTTTACTACAATATGTCTCCCTTTTCAATTTCTATACTGACATCATCATTATTTAATAGTGTTTGAGGCTCTTTTTCTAAAAGTTTGTCTTTATCTGCCAGGTGGTGTAGTATTCGTTTAATCGTTTCGGACAATTGAATCAATCGTCTTGAAAAACGAACAGAGCAGTATTGTCATATAAACTTTGAAGTCACTAGATCCTATTTACTTAAAATTGTAACTTGAATAACTTTTTTTATACCTGAGAAACAATTCATTCACAGGTTGTCTTCTGTACGCACAATTGTTAAGGATATATTTCACGAATATTATCAAATTATGCAAATGCAAACATTCGACAATTGACCCCGAAACAAGCTTCCAAGGTACATATAAAAATATGAAAACACATTGCTCCGGCTTTGTTATGTTTTCTCACTTTTTGCATAGGTTAGGTTTACCACGTTTTATTTGAGGTGTTCAACTTGTTCAAGTCTAGATCTAAACATACTTCTTGTTTTTAAGAAATAAAGGTCAATAAAAAATGCCAACAAACCTGACATTACTGGAAAAAGCAGACAAACTAATCTTGAATAATTTCCCACGGCATTTTCTATAATTCTCTCTCGAAAATTTCGAGGGCTTAGAACTTTCATGGCGGACAGGTTGAGTAATGAAGGTCCGCGTCTTACTAATAGAGGTTTTCCGGTAGTTCCCCTGAACTATTTTGGCTAAAATATCTAGAAAATGTTGTTTCCGTGCTTCTCAAGTCATTTTTTCACAATTTAACCGAAACTAGGCAAATTGTTTTTACAGTTCTTCAAAATCCTCAATTCAACTCAACTCATCTGTAATGGCGGTTTCTCATCACTTGTGCCAATTTCTACGCAAAAATGAGAGCATTGACTTTTCCACATTATTGAGTCATTCGGCAAAAGAAGAAGCGACGTCGAACATAAACAAGGTTAGAAACGGAAATTTATTTTTCTTCTCAAAATGAAGAATCGAGTACTACTTCAATCAGAGTTGTGGAATTCAATTTGGCTCAATGTCGCAAAAAACAACAAATTCAACGATTTTTTTTTGGAATTTCAGATCACGTATGCATATATTGCACCGTTCATTATCATATTCGGAATAGTTGGCGATGTACTGACCGTAGTCACATTAACACATCCACTTTTACGGAAATCTTCAATTATATACACTTATCTCACATTACTTGCTATGACGGACTTGGTAAGTTAGAAAAAAGGGTACTAGGAGGGAGGGGGGGAGCCTCTCATTGAGTAGTAGAGAGATCTACGGAGGTTACTTGGTTCCACTCCCTAGCCAGCACTTAAAATCAGCCTCAAGGCGGGTCACCACCGTTATACCTAGTATACAGCAAAAACCGAGATCCACAGTGATCCAGCACCTCTGAATATATTTGAATAAAAAGTTTTACTGATGACAATATCTTTTCATCAACCCTACTGTAAAAAACGGAAAACAATAAACTTTTCCATTACAGCTCACACAATTTTCTGTAATACCAATGATAATGTGGCTACTTGACATCCGAGCTTGCTCCAAAACTTCCGCTTTTTTTTATGCACATGTTGGATTTCCATTAGTAAGTTTGAACGACAGATTAATAACTGATAATTTTAAATTGAAATCATATTTTAATTAAGGCAAACGCGTTGATGGGATCATCTGTCTGGGTAGTTGTATTTTTAACTCTTTCGCAATATATGGCTGTATGTAAACCATTTGCGTACGGTTTGAGGTAAAGATTTTTGATGTTTGACAATTTTGAATGTGCAATCATTGCAGATCTCATAAAATTTGCTACATTTTATTTGCACTTTCATATATTTTCAATTTCTGTATATATGCACCATGGGCCATTAAGAAAAATGTGCATGACATATCTGAAATGGTTCCGGAGGTGAGGAAACTACAGATTTCCGTCAATTTATCCCTCTTCCAGCATTTTTTTGAGTCCGTATGCCCTTACGTGGTTTGTGATGCAAAACGACCGGATTGGTTCGTTATCTATGAAACAGCAAGAGAACTCATATCACGGATATTTCCATTTTTCTTAGTCGCTTTTTTAAATGTGAAAATTCTGATAACGTATCGGTAAGTTTATAAGTAAAACGAAAAAAGCATCGCAATGCCAGAAATTGTTCTAGAAACACAAAGAAAGATAGAATGGAGCGATTAGCAAACTCGCAAAAAAAGTTTATGTTTGAAAAAAGTGAACGAGAAGAAAAACGTCTTTTCATTTTGCTCTTCGCAATTGTGATTGTATTTTTTGTGTGCACGATACCAGCAGCTCCATTAACAATATTAGTTGCGGACACCAAGAGCAATAATGTTGGATTTCAAGTATGTCACTGATATTATTTATGTAAAAACTGGGAACAGCAGTTTTTGAAGATATTCCGAGCAGTGGTGAACTTATTGGAATTCACAAAGTTCGCAATGAATTTCTACTTTTACTGCCTAATTAATCCGGATATCCGAAGTATATGTGCCCATGTCATAATGTGCAAGAAAATTACTAAACCACCACGTGTTAAAGGCCAGCCCACCACTCCATTGTCCATGTATACTAGGTAAAGTACACGTTAGAGTTAGCATTGAATTTTTTCGTTTTCAGGTCAACAAAAAATTCTACAATAAGAGATGCATATAAAAATAGTGAGAAACGAACTGTTATTGGAGATGATTCGAAAAAATTCGATGATTCGCGAAATAGTTCATTAAAATCCACGTAAGCAGGAGAAATAATATGTTAATTTACGTCGAAATTTATTTTACAGAAAAGATATGAATCGTCGTGGTGTATTACCGGAGACACTAATCGAAAAATTGACAGTTATAAAAGAAAACGAGTCGGTCACTTCGGAAACTGGAGATCGAGTATGAAAATTTAAAAAGAAAACCTTATTCCTTCCTCTCCATGTTGTTGTGATTTTTTCAAAACAAACCATCTCTGTATAGTTGCATTTTGCATTTTCCATAATTCATAATAAATATGTTACATATTCTCTCACACACTTGCAGATTTGGCAAATAGCTCAATGCCTTCTGTAAACTGTATTTGAACTATTATTTCAAAGTTTAGTTTACTTTTACCAGGACGTCCAAAACTGTTTCGTGTAATTTCAGTCATCGTTGTGCCTTGAACGGAATCTAAAGCTTTCCGCACGTGTGAGCGATTGAAAAATATATAAATCCAGGGATTAATACAAGAGTTCAAATTTCCGAGGTATGATATGTATGGAAGAAACCAAACATCTGTAATTTCGATCTAACTAGTAAAAGTGAAGTTTACAAAATTTGACATACGCGCAATTTCAGGCCAGAATGCTTGAATAACGTTAATAAGACAAAATGGCATCCAAAGGAAGAAGTTGCATGCGACAATTGTTATTGTTAATCGCACTGAAGTTAGTTCATCACTACAGTTATGAATCATTTTATACCTGCGTGCACTCTTTTCCTATCAAATTCTGACACTTGTTGTCTAAAACCTTTGGATTTCTTTCGCAGTTCTTTGATATAATCTTGAGTCGCCATGCTGCAATTGTTGTTTTTTAAACAAAAGTAAAAAAATGTTTACTCTGATGAAAGCCGTTCTCCAACTATCGTTTTGTTATAAAGTAGTCTAACGGATGTTGAAGATGAATACCGAACAGCTTTACACACGCAATCTGTAAATGTTTCTTTCCCGGAACTTCTAATTTGACGTGTTCTTACAGTAGAAGACAGCGGCAAAGATAGATGGCATTAACCAGGCAAGCGTGTTGAACATTAGCACGTACACATTTTTCAACGTATGCCGATTAGGTCCGTAAACGGTTGAGCACTTTCCTTTCCTAAGACATAAAGTTCACTTCACCAATAATTCTCTTTTGAGTTACTCATTCTTCGCCCAAACGAAGAGTTGCGGGATGGAGAGAAGAAGAGCTAAGCACCATGCAATTGCTGCCATCCAGTTTGGACGGCGATATCGGGACGAGCGGAAATGAGCTAGTGGCCGGCAAATAGCCTGTGAAAAACAAAATAATGTTTAAACTAACTCATTATAATTTACTCCTGAAAATCTAGCGAATCAACTAACCTGATACCGATCCGCACTCAACGCCACCAGTAAAAACGGGCTTGCATACATTGGAAACATTTGCAGATATTTCATCGACTTGCAGACCAGATTGGAACCATGGAAAACGGGGTAGGTTAACTGGAAACGTCAACAAATATTCAAACTATTATGACTTGCCTCACCAAAACAAGAATGTTAGTACCCAGTGCTAGAACGGCAAAGAGAATGTCAGCGGCACAAGTGTGAAGAATCAGTAGCTACAAAAAGAAGCGTATAGTATCCATATGTGGGACTAACCTGTACTGGCGACACTCTTCTCTTCATGACTCGATTTCCACGAAAAATCACGAAAAGAAGGAATGCGTTACCGAGAAGTGAGAAGATCATCACGACTGTTTGATGAACAATCAGAAAAAATAGTTGACTCATTGTTCGGATTGGTCTCAAAGTCGGCCAAGTATGGTCACTGAAGTAATGCATTTAGGACTTGGAACTTATAATTATATGCAGAGAGCATCGAGAGCTAATTGGGAGTTTGTTTGAACATTCGAGGTATTCTTTGAGAAACGACGTATTCCTGTCATTGCAAATTACTTCTAAGCAAAGATTTAACAGTAAACAGACACGTCAATGCTTTTTGGTTCGGTATTCAATCCTGGAAAGAAGAAATTTTTACACAAAAATAACAGGTGCTTTTTCCAAGCACCGTCACTCATTTTCAGGCGAAAAACATCATTTTCTGGTGTAGGAGGAAGTTCTGGAAAAACTGGAAGAAAAATGAGTTCAGCAACGATTAATATTATGATGAAATGAAAAATATGAGGAGCGGTAATGAAGGATCTCTCGAGGCGCTCGAGTATTTGGGTTTTAAATTTAATATAAACTAACATTAATAGAAATAAATATAGATATAGACGTATTATTCCTATTCCAATTTCAAATATCATGATGTGTATTGTCTATTTTCTCATTTTCATTTCTAACTTTCTCTAAAGAAATTCTATTACTCATTACAAAGTCAAAATTCGGTTTTCTCAATTTGGACGCACGTAAAATGGTACTCCTCCATATTGAGCGCCTGTTTTTGAAATTACAAATTACTCAGTGGTCTCTAAAAAATGCGTTTCCGGATATTTTCTTCTGGAATCCTCTTGGGTGGAGGATCCTGTAAAGCCGGACGTCATCTGAATGAATGACTAGTGGAAAGTGTCGTTAAAATTCGGTTTTATGGTGATTAAGTCACAAGAAACATAATTTCGGTTCTTCTTCTTATTCTACAAAATTGGTTTTCTCGCATCTTTTGGGAATAAAGAACTAATGAAAAATAAGACTCGACAAAATGTGAAGTGTATGTTGTTTTTTTTCTGTTAACGTTTTAAAAATTCCATTTTGTGAAACAAACACTATGCATATTTTGGCAGGATTTTTCAAGCAGACCCTATGTACATGTGATAAATATGAGAAAGAATCGAATATTGAGAAGTGGCAAGTTTCCGGTGTGTGCATGTAACACCGTAATTAACGATATGCAGCTGGAGAAGGAAAGAGACGACAACTTTATTTTGCACTCATTACTAGTTTCTGTTTTATTCTAAATGGGTCCTGGAAAGTGCTTTTTAACCTTCTCCGGTTATGCTTTTGCAAAAATGCAAGTTTCAAGTTGCTCTTTTGAACCGCTACAGTAGTTGAGTCACTGAATTACTAGACTCCTATTCTGATAAAGCATTATTTATTCCTCAATCGTTTGAGCCGTTCAAAGTCATTTTTCATGGTTGTTTATATTCTATGGTTTTAATGAACAAACAGTTGATGTCAATACATTTTTATTCAATACACAAAAAAGTAAGCAGATGGTAATGGTACATGTAAGGGGAAAAAAAGAAAAAAGAGATTAACAGTTCGTGACATTAAGTGTGCATTAAAGTGTACCGTAGCAGATATACCTGACTCAATAAGTTTTCCTGATACTATTAGAGAAGGACAACTGAAATTAACAAAACCAGAGATTTTTTGAAACTCAAAAAAATTAGCAAAAACTGGTAAAGATATATTATGAGATTTTGTGAGCACTGTGATATACAAATGGGATTTTCGAGTTATTAAAGAAAATATCTTACACGTGTAGAGCTCAATTTACAACTTCCAGGTCTGTGTCGCTATCTTTGTTTTGAAATTCAGGTTTGCCATCGTCTTCACCACTTTCAACGTTATCCGAACTGCTTTCTTGTTTTTTCTCAATTTTCACAATATCATCTGATTCTTGACTGCTTCCTTGGGAGCTCTTGTCTGCATTCTCGCCACTTGTATGCTCACTGTTTTCTTCGATCACTACGGTCGAGTTTACATCATCTTCTAAAAACAACTCATGTGCATTTTGCATTTTAAGTTTCGGTGCTTCTGTGCTTACCTTTATCATCAAGTCTGTATACAGACCAATCATTTTTGAAAATCTCTTGTGGTGTTGTGAAGTTGACAAGTGATCCGTTTTTGAGCATCATAACACGATCCATGTTCCGCACATTGTCCAGGCGATGAGCAATGATAAGTATAGTGGCATCAACAAAGACGGTTTTGATTACCTAAATGTATAGTCTTTGTTTTTTCTAATACTTGGGAAAAACTCACGGTTTGAATCAATCTGTCAGTAGCTGCATCCACAGAAGCGGTTGCCTCATCCAGAATCACTACACGAGACTTGGATAAAAGTGCCCGCGCAAGACAGAACAGCTGTCGCTCTCCGACTGAAAAGTTATCACCGCCGTGGCTTACATCCGCTTCAAGCTTCTTGTCCAAAGTTGTCACCAAATCTTTCAAGTAGCATTTCTCAAGAGCTGTCCAAATTTCAGAATCTGAGAAATCGTTGGAGGGGTCCAAGTTGAAACGGATAGTGCCGGAGAAGAGTGCTGGGTCTTGAGCGATTGCCGAGACTGCACGTCGCACTTTAGTCAATCCAACTGTGCTGATGTCCACTCCGTCAATAAAGATATTACCCGAAGTGACGGGGTACAATCTACTCAGCAAGCTGCCCATGGATGACTTTCCAGAGCCAGTTCTTCCTATAATTCCGACTTTTTCTCCAGCGTTTATTTCGAATGTGATTCCGTTTAGCGCTAATGGCAAGTTTGGTCGGTAGCGAAGTTTCACCCCAGAGAAGTTAATCTGTCCGTGAGCTGGCCACGAAGACGGTACATCAACACCTCGTCGAGTTTCCCATTCTCCATCGGATGGAATGTTCTGAAAAGCAGAGTATTGAAGGGATGCTAAATGTTTCCAGCCTATACCTTCGAATAATAAGCAACTCTTTCCACGCTAGTCATTTTCGCTTCAAGTTCCGTTTGAGTTCTTACAGCAAACTGGAAGATACCACTCATTTGCACTGCAAACGCAATTGCCATTCCAGCGTCGGCCGGAGAAACAGTTCCAGTCAGCACTACAGTCAAAAGAGCAACGATTGAGGTCATGACGACTACGAGAAGATCCAACCAAACAGCTAGCCAACGCATGGCTGATTGGAACATGAAAATAGCTCCGCTATTGGAATCCAAGTGCTTCTTAAGAGTATCCAAGTATCGGTTGCCTTGTTGCATTGAGTGGATGGTGGTCAATCCTTCAAGACTTGACGTCACATGGTCAAACAGTGGGGATCGGGAGATGTGCTCGGATCGCTTCAAACTGAAATTTTTGTATGCTGGTTTGTTTCTTCTCAAAAACGAGTTACTCACTTTCTGATTCCTGCGCGGAAACATGAAACGAACACGAGAAAAATTACGAACAGTGGAATCGCAAACGCCTCAAATTTTCTCCTAAGTTTTTGTATAATTTATGAAATTGTTTTTACCAAGAATAGCGGGAACACGGAGACGATGACCACGAGGAATCCAAGACAGGTGATCATGTTTTGAAGGAAAACTTCTGCGGTGAAGGGAAGTTTGACGTCAACTAAAAGTTACTCGATTGTTTTATGCAACTATCTATACTGAAGGGTCTCACTTTCATCCATATCCTTGGAGAATCTGTTTAAGATTCTGCCAGTTGGTGTCGAATCGAAAAAGCTTGTTGCTCCACGGATCAGGGCGTTGAACATTTGATCGTGAAGTCGAGTTGCGGCGGTAAGTGACACCTTAAAATATCATCCTCAATCATTTTCCCATAAAATCGAATAAAAGTGTGTACCTTTACGAAAACACAAGCTTTGAAAAGTCCGGAAAGCGTGAGAATAACAAGGGAGACAAGGTAAACGGAAGCATAGAATGAGGTGAGTGGACTTTCCGCAAGACTCTCACTAGATGTTAGGTAATTTGTCCCATTAACTTCCAACACTTTCTCTTCATGTCCTTTTTTGAGCCATCTTGACAGCCAGTATGTGGAGAAAATATTTGAAGTCACATTGATAATGAATCCAATAACCAGGCACACCCAAATTGGCCAGGAACCAGCAGCATGGATGTATTTCCTAAAAATTGATGTTTGATTTAGCGCTCTGAGCACGACAGAAACTCACATATAAATGTTGAAAGCGATGTTACTGTTTCCCATATCTTCCTCATCTTCAATCAGTTGATCAGGCTTCGATTCACTGGCGATCTCTGCTGACTCCGCTTCGTAGTGTTTAGCTGGCGATTCTTCTGGCGAAGAGAGCTCGCTAGAAGTTTGATAAGTCTGGCAGGCGTCTACAAAATTTTTGTAAGTTGCATTCTGCTGAAGCAACGCTTCGTGATGACCGTCGGCAACAATTTGACCGGCTTCAATAAAAATAACACGATCGAAGTCATTTAGAACCTGTAAAAAGTGATTGTTAAGTAAAGAAAATGTAGATTCGGAATATAGTACCGCCATATTATTGGTGACCATTATCACCGACTTCTTTTTCAAAAGCTTTTGAAGTACTTCACTGTAGACTTTGTTAGCAACCTGCAAAATAATTCTTGTAAAAAACTGTAGTTTTGTTGTTTTCTTATAAATAATTACCTTTTTATCAAGACTGGCAAGAATATCATCAAGCAAATACAAGTTTTTCGCTTGAAAAACTGCTCTGGCTAGAGAGATTCGTGCTTTCTGTCCACCAGAAAGGGTAGTTCCCCGTTCTCCAACTTCCGTTCGATCTCCAATTGGAAACGCTGTCAGGTCCTCAGTTAGCTGACATCCGTTCACAGCGCGATAATATCGTTCAGTATTCATTTTGTCACCAAACAGGATATTATCCTGAACGGTCCCATTGAAAATCCACGGAGTTTGTGGCACATAGACAGTTTGCGTCCGATCCACTGAAATGGCGTCATCATCAGAAAACATCTGAAAATTGTTCTGTTTTGCTGGGATGTTAGCTTCGAATAAAACGTACGTGACCAGAAATAGCCTTCAGTATCGCTGACTTTCCACTTCCCACAGCTCCAATTACTGCGATATGTTCTCCACGGCGAATGGTGAAGTTTTTGAAAGAACACGTGAACGTAGAAGCTTCCAGGATTAAGTTTTCTTCTTCGGTTTTATTTTCAGAGGTCGCTGTAAAACATTTTCAGCGTTATTCACCTATAAATAACAAATCTTACCATTTGGTTTTCTTGGCTGATAGTTGTAAGAAGCATCTGAACAATAGAGAACAGTGTCATCGGACAAATTTACGGGGAACGTGGTGTATTGCTCTAGCTGGAGAAAACATATTGATAAATAAATAATAAATAAAAACAACTCACCAAGAGATACTCTTGAATTCTTCGGACTGCCACAACTGCTTCAGCCAAGTATCTCGACCCATATGGGATCATTCGAATACCGAACAGCATGACGAAGTAAACAGTGATTGCTGAGAATGCATCCGAAGCCAACAAATCGTTTCCAGCAAGAACGACTCCCAAGAAAGTGAGAATTGCGGCGACAACAGGTACAACTGGTCCACAAGCGATGGCCAACGATTGAGCATATCCAGATTTGCGGATTTGCATCTTTTCTTCTTGGCGGAATTCTATAAAAAAATAAGATTAGTATTCGTTTGGTCTGAATTCTAATTTACCATTAATTTTCTTGCTGAAAATTTCCTCCCAGCTGTTGATTTTGATGATTCTGATGTATTTGATGATTTCTCCCATAAGACTGATGCGTTTTTCGGTCTTGACAATTGCAAGATTTCTGCATGCAACCATCGACTTTCCGAGACCGAACTGTAAAATTTTGCACTCTAAAACTGTGAATCATGTGGAAATATTACCTGAATGACATCAAAAATAAAGAACACTAAGATTCCGAGCAGAGACCATTTTCCAATGACAAGAAGCAAATAACCAATTCCACCAACAAGTACCAGGGGTCCAACAAGAACAAGAGGGGCAAAGGTAACTGCGTCGAACAGACGTTGTCCATCGTTTGCGAATATGTTGATGACATCTGGAGCAGTTCTTCCGCACAAGTCCTTAGAGTTCAACACTGTTTTGTAAAGAAGAGCGAGAACAGCACCACGCACACGAATTCCAGTTCTAAACTCGATTAGTGATAATTTACTATAACACAGTTCGGACGAAACCTGTAAGAAACAGCCCATGTTGCTCCGTAGGAGATAACTCTCGCAAATTCGACAATTCCTATTGCTGCTACGAGAGCAATTCCATAGGAATAAAGAATTTGATTGTTATCATCACGTTCCGGCTTTTCGGCAAAAGCAATTAGACGTCGGATGAAGCAGGTTGGGCCGATGAAACCGAAAATGAGGCAAAAGAAGAAAACGGCACATGAGAACCAGAGTCTTGTACTTATGAATCTTAACAATTTTTTCACTTATTACTTGTTCATTATATAATCGCTTACCGATAAATCACCTTGAAAAACGATGGAGTTTTCGGGTTCAGTTTTTTCTCTTCTTCCCACAACACTTCTAGTCTGAAATACTATTACTTCGAATGAGAATATTCTGATTGCGGTTCCGATTCATTTTTACTTCCGAGAAAGATTCCGCAAGTTATTCCGACAATTATTCTTATTTTGTCGGAAGAACTTACTACTTGCATTGTTTGTGTTGCGCAAATAAATTTAAATGCCTTTGGGCCGAAAAAAGAGTTACGACAGATAATCGGAACGGAGTAGGAAGATTCGGAAACTTAGAACCAAAATTCTCCTCTGGGAAGCAAAAATGTATATTCGCGAAAGTCTGATTCCAATGTTACCTAGCCATATTCAATCCACAACTGTCATAGAAGCTGCATCCCCAAACTTGATCTCGATTCAATTTTCCTCTCACTGCTTGGTACAAATAGGGGAAAACCCATGAGTATGTGACGAACGAGAATAGACCGGCATCATCAATCCGGCTTCCTCCGTTTTTAGTGTTTCTGTAATTGAGATAGTTTTAGAAGTGCCTTCCGATATTGCGAATTTCTTACATGTTGGTTGTGCGCAGTGGAATCAAATTTTTGACGGCCGCCGAGTAGCGCGACAGGTTTTTACGCTCATTTTTGTCAAGCGCGTATCTTTGTGCTCGTTTTGTTGTTCTAAAATTGAAATACATACATTGTCTATGAATATTTGAAAATCAATTCTCACTCTTTTGTATAAACAACATTTTCATAGACGCCTGTTCCTGATTGTTGTAGACAGACTTCTTCGTCGTCTGACGGCATCTAAAAATAGAGGATGAAACGGAATTGCAGAATTCGTTTCAGATAAAACCGGTCTTTGAAAAGGATATATAAGAAAACGGTAGGAATGAACTAGCTACTGAACTGATTATGAAATCATGATAAAATATTAGGCAAATGTAAAAAAAACCTCTGAAGACATGCACTAATTCCTTTTAAAACCATTCGATAATCACAACTGATAATGTCATTTACACGCCATATGATGTAAGTTGTGTGTCTTATAATACCCCCTATCGCCTTGGGCTTGGTTTGGTTTGCCTCTCGGTTTCATCAAACATTGCATGATTCTTTTGCACTCGTTACAAATGTGATGATGAAATGACATATATTATTGTGTGTATTTGAAGATAAAAAGGTTAGGAAAATTGTGTTGTCATCACTAGAAATTGTATCGAACGGGGTGGAACGAACGGAGAACAAGGATAGGGATTGGGAGAAAAAGGGAGGGGGAGTACAAATAAATACGTTGCACGTCTGTTCATTCAAAATAGCGAGCGAGTACAATGGAGCACGGTTTCTGCATAAGGGGGCAGAGGACACCTGTCACCTGTGCACTGCTGTTATTATAAGAATAGACAGCTATGCGTATTTCGAAGAAAATTGTTAAGACACAATCAATATTTGAACACAGTTTGGAGGAACAATAAATTCGTAGCATACTGCTGATAATAAACATTCTCTGTGCACTTGAAAAAAATATACATATAGACAAGAGTCATTCATTGCACGTAAAAAAGTATCAATTTATGTGAAGGGCCTTAATCCTTGAAAAATAAGTGCTCCCATTCAGCTTGTTATTGAACATTTTAGAAGAAATCGCATCCAACAGCTGGCCACTGAAACAACAATTGTCTTTCTTTGTCAAAAGATAAAGCATGTCCCCTTTTTCTTGAGTCCGTCTTTCAACTCATGTAAGCTACATTTTGGTGGCGTCAAAAGGGCCCTTTTGTCTGGGTTATTTGAAAACTAATTACTTGCACTGCATTAGTTAGAAAATCCCTTATAACCATTATTTTGTGGCTTTTGGAAGAAGGTGCTTCGTGATTAGGTTAAGCTATCCGTCCAATTTTCTTTTTTGTATGATGTCGGGTGACCTTGTAATCCTCTCTCCTTGTTGGAAGCCCATGTCAAAATCTGGAAATGTACTCATTTTCTATGGAAAAAATGCCTTTATTATGCTGAAAGCAGTCATCGTCATAAATGTATAATATTAGGGAAACATAACAAAGCGAAAGCAATATATGACAGGTCTGGAAGATGGAAATACTTCAAAGAAGCAGATATGTTGGAAATACTGACCATCCGCGATACAAACAATAATCATTGCATAGCTGATAGGCGAAGAAAAGAAAAAACTGAGAATTGAAAAAAAAGATAGAGATCAATCATTGAAAACAAGGAGATATTGCATAGGCCATACATATAGATAAATTGCCGGTTTATGATGTGCTAAGGTTCAACACCTTTTCTTCCTCATCCTCCGTCTCTTCCGACATTTCTTGCCGGATACCAAGTAAATCAATCGGTAATCTGAGTGTTTTTTTTCAAGTTCATTCAACTTTCGATTGTTTGTATTTGAACAAACCTGAACGCGTTGAGAATTTCGTCGGACGAATCGAGGTACCCGTTGCTTGTCGGAGGAGTCATGTATCCTCCTTTCGGTGAGAGATCTGATGAAATTTGAGATGCAGACACTGCAATTGTTACTGTAATGACTACGGTACACCAGGGAAATACAATAAAGACTAGATTGGCCAAATTTTGTTGAGGAGAGGGGGAGAAAGTGAAAAACGAAACGAACCGCATTCTTCTGGGTGTCCCGGGTGATGACTTTCTCGGTGCCGACGACGATCGACCTTTCGTTGGAACGTTCGACCACAAACATCACACGCAAACGGCTGAAAGTAACACACGTGTAGAGTAGATTAGTTAATTTTCAGGTGTTTTACTTTGAAACCAGTGTGCTTCCTGGTGTGAGTGATCAAGTTGGATGATTGACTGAAGGCCTTCCCGCAAACTGTGCACTTATGAGGCTTTTCTCCTAAAAATGTTGATATCGAGTAATTTTGTGGGATAACATTACAATGTTTTCTGCTAGTGCAATAAAGAAAACAACGTTGATATTACAATTTTGGAGCTATAAAACTTTTTTCTTTATTCTAGAGTTGAGAATATCATGTACCAAGACCAAAAAGTTAAAATCTGAAAGTGAGTGAAAACGAGTAAAAAGTCCCTACCCAGAATCTGGACAAGTGCGCAGAATCCAATCGCAGGCTAGCTGTCACCGCTAGGACTCATGAAGCGGTTTTAATTTGCTTTCAATTTCATCCCCAGAATCCTCTATCCTACACTCCTTGCAACTCAACGCTCGAAGCTCGAAACTAATTTGTAATTCACTTTTGATTTCTGTTACGGAACGGTGGCCAGGCGATACGATGACACGCCGCTTTCATACTGATTCATCAATCATACTTAGAGATGGAAGAGTTTGCTCAAATGAGGGGCACACGCATCTGACAAGACAACTTTTCGATTCATAATAAACCAGAATCCTCTCTGTGCGGAATTTTTGATGAACAAGCATAATCCCGGCTTTCTAATAAAACGGGATAAATAAGAAACAAAAAAGAAAAAAGGGGTTACCTGTATGAATGTAGGTATGCTTCTTCATGTCAGATTTCTGATGAAAGCGTTTCCCGCAATATTCGCATGGGTACGGTCGAGTGTCAGAATGAATAAGTAGGTGTGTGGACAAAGTGGACGACCGGAAAAAAAATTGAGGGTAGAGAGACAGAAAATGATTTTGTAGATACCTTTTGAAAGTTTTCCCACACTGCTTACATTCAAATTGTTTTTCACTGTTATGTACTTGTTGGTGTTGCTGAATCACAAGCATGATAAGATAGTCGGTCTAGATTTGCCATACAACCTACCTCCAACGCAGCAGACGTTGAAAATACTTTTGCACATTTTGAACAGTGGAATGACTTGATTTCGGATGAAGGTGACGGTGACCTGTTGGACACTGAAATGAACACCAATACAAAAAAAACTCAGTATTACGGTACCTGGTGGAGAATCAGCAGTAAACGGCGTCATTCCCACTGACATGTTCCGCATGTACTGCTGCCAAAAAACATTGGCATTCATGAACCCAAATGGGAAGTTGGACAACATTGTTGGTGGACGAACTGAAGAAGACATATAGGAGGTTCAAGTTTCAATAAGTATACCTTGTTGCATCATAAAAAGTTTCTGTTGGAATGATATGGAAGCGGCCATTCTTTGCCACGATGCAATAATGTCATCAGGGATAAAGAATTCGCTTTTATCTTCATTACTATCTGTTGGAGAAGAGCTCGATTTTTCGACGTTGGAAAGTAAGGATTCTACTGAATACATGTTTGACACTTGCTCGGTGCTCATAGGAAATCTGGAAATTGCTCAGTGGCTCAAAGATAAGGAGGAGTTGAAGATTCCAAGACATTCAGCACAAAAAGAGAAGGACAAACAGAGCAGCTAAAATAATCAAGGGTCCGAAGGGATTCGCAAATCAGGGTCAATTAGAACAAGAGGCAACTTTATTTGGTTCAGGCGTCTAATGAATGGTGAACAACTAGGATTTAAGTGGGGTTTTGTAGAAAAAGCATTGTGATGTGCTCGGCCTAGTGTGAAAGTAAGCATATGAATAATGAATAGGTACATCAAAACGACGCATCCTAACCGGGACAAAACTCAACCCCAACAGAAAGAGGTGACCAACCAGAGAAAACTCAAAGTCGGTGGGGAATCTGAAATGTTAAATGCATCTCGGTTGTGATCCTTTTCCCGACCGTCGCCCCTACCTCTTATGTTTCTCGCTCGGTTATTGGATCTCCCCGCCCCTCTTTGGGTTGAGCTTGCTCCCCTCTGCATATTTGTAGATAGATGTCGGGACGGGGGAGGCGGGGAGGATCCAAGTCAGGCTATGCTCGATCTATTATGCCTGTTTTAATAATCTCATACGATTTGAGTGCTGTTCAAGCATAAACGTAAACCTCTGACACATCAGGGCACTTCACTGAACTTTTTCTTCGGGATGAGATAGGAAAGGAGAAGGAAAGGCCATGAAAGTGTTAGCTGTGCTACATTGATGGAATTCTTAAAACAGGCAAGCTGCTTCTGTCCTTTTTTGCTTCTTTTTGCGCTTAGAAAAAGATTGAAAAGAAAGAGAATCCCAGCAATCTAACGAAAACGGAGTGACTGTAAACTTTGAATATCAGGATTTCTAGTCGGATAACGGAGAAGAAGCCAAGCATCAGTCAGGAAGGCACACAAAAATCTTGTCCCATCAAATTCACCAATTTGTATTCTGAAGACATACCGTAGTTAGTATGCATGTGCACCAAAAGAACTTGTGCACTCGTAGTCTGCGAAGATTCATGCGCAAGGGGTGCATGAATATTTGTTCGAAAACCATAGATTCACGCAAATCTTGTATTGAAATATGACAGTTGCTCTGACGTATCACCTCTCTCTGGTTGCGAGGAAGGGGTCTATGCATTTTTAACGACTTCCCACAGTGATGTGCTTTTAACAAGATTGAAATAAATTGGGTGTCATCGCAATGCATAAATTTCGAGTCGAGTACGATGCTCCTGGGGTGGGTATGTGGGTAACAAGCGTGAATAGCAATGTGAAATGCATACTGTCATGATTTATGAAAATGTTTTTGCTTGGTTTTTGTTTTCTTCTCCCGTTGTTGTATTCAATTCAGCCTATATTTGTTGGTAATGGGAGGAATCTTGTCATAATCGTATCCTGAAAATATCAACTCGTGTCCGTTCCAAAATGTGTGATTTGCATATTTGTTAATATTAATCATCTGTCATCAGTGGCAAAAACAGCAGGTATAACGACGTGATGCTACGATTTTGATGATGAACCCTCCTTCTTCTTTTCCACGTATTCCCCAGTGGTTTGATACCCTCGTCTGCAATCGGTATGCATGACGAGAGGTGATTGGATTCAGAATCGCGTTTTGCGCGGAATATTTGTCAAGAAATTTGTTTTGGCTCCAAATTTGAAATGTGTGAATTTTTAGAATTGGTAATAGACTTTTACACACAAGGGATGTATCACAGGATGCAACGAAGAAGAAGGTTTCGGATGACACGTCTGCTTTACGGTGTTGAATTGCCGGTGAGATACCTGTGGGAATCCTGTGAGAAAGATGTGCTGGTGTGAAAATTTTATACTTTATTATAATGTCAAGAATCTCGAATATAAAACCAAACCAATTGTTTGCTCATTACTTTGATTGCGCTAAGCACCTCAGGTTGAGTGTGTAATTTGAATCCTGAATCGGCCCACTCTGAAAACTCAACTCAATGCACTTTTGCTTTCAATTTATTTGCAACCTATAGAGAGACTTGATGGGATGAAGCGAAATGAGACGACTTTATGATTTTGCTCAATTCAGAATTCATCTTTTTCCTACACCACACATACCGTAGTAACGTATGGCGGCAGAAAGCGCGTAATTGGAAGAGAAGAGACGGGGCTTCTCGGATGCTCTGCACATCAACCATTATTTTATGACGCAATCCAGCTGGATAACAGAGCAATTGGAGGAGACGTGCTCATAAAATGATATTTGCGAGTTTTGTGAATCTCCTTGCCGACTTGTTCATTTCACTCGGCAAGGCGCACGATATAGCTATAGCGTGTCGGGAAATGGATTGGTGACAGATGTACTATGACTAGATCTGCAGGATTCCCCTCCTTCTTCTAATATTTCGTCAAATGTTCGGGTTTATTAATCTTTTATTAACTTGTTCATGTATTCGGCTGCACATGAAATAAAATTTCAATCATGTTCTCAACGTTGACATTCAGGAGTTCATCCTTCCGTCCGAAATGTGAAAATTGTTATGATTTTACTATAATAAGGAGGGTTGAGTAACAGAAGGTTCTTGGGTGTTCATAACAACTACCATAAACGAATGATGTGCGCGTTGTAATTGACAATATAACAGTGGGAGAAGAAGGAAAGCAGTCAGGGGACTAGTGCGCGAAATTGGAAAGTGATGGGTTGCAGCTGTCACCAGGAAGCGCGGTAATTTTCACACACAGCGACCCGCAAGTCAAGCACGTCTAAAGGGGAACCTTTGCTTTTCGAAACTTTTTTAAATTTGGCTGGAGCACAACACGAAAGGTCGGGAACGTCAGATTTACAATATACCTTGCCATTAACCTGAGGTTTTGTTCATCGGATTACATAAGAGGAGCCGCCTCCAATTAACTCTGTTGGCATCTTTTGGCATTTCCTTCCAATCAAAACAATGTACATACATATAATATAATTATTGTTTGTTTGCAAAGGTCGACTCCTCAATTGGAGCCCACTCTACAGTAGTCACACCACCCAATTGACCGGTGCAAAATCCCTGTTAACTTAGCGCGGCGGCTTCCTTTCAAGTTTCGCTTTTCCGCTCTGGCTCGGATTACGGTAGCATCTCCTCGTATTGTGCGGTCCAATTTCTTGTTTCTACTGCGCATCATCAAATAATTGAGTTGACTTTTGAATGAGCACTGTTGAAAGAAATGAGAATGTGAAAGATAATCTAATAAAGGCAACACTACACAACCCGACGTCTTTATTTGCATTCATTTCATTCTCAACACCATATTGACGGAATGAAATGACTTGGAGATGAAGAAATGAGGAACCTTATGATTGAAAAGACAAGGCACCATTAAATATGGAAATTTGGAAGAAGTCAGGAAAATCTAAATTTTTCTGATCTCAAGGGAGTGATTTTAGTGATTCGCACCTAATTTGCAGATTTATTTACAACTTCTTCTCGCTTGGAAGTTTGCTTCGGAATTTGTATCTGGGGACTTGCTATTTCGATGTGTTCAAACAAAATCTGCACAATCCAAGTGTTTAAAGTGCGGACTATTTTGTCAAAGGATACAAACACACTGCCATTATTTAATTATGCCACTAATGTCAGTTTTTATGAGTATTCGTAACACTTTCTCTGAAATTTCCAACTTTGAAAATAAAAATCCGGGTGTTAGCAAATAAGACTGTTTTTGAATTCAGAAGTGCGCGGCTAATCTCGAGTTGGATTAAATATATAAACTGCTTATGTAAAATATAATAAAATCTGAATAAGATGAACAATCATAAATATATCTATCTATCAATTAAAGAGACACGTGAAAATGTTGAAGAATCTGTTGATGAACATCCCTGCGCATTCTTCTCATCGAGCATTCCATTGGCGACATCGGGCACCTGAAAGTATATTTCATCGTAATCTACAGTAATCAAACTGATAACAACCTTGCAGACGGCATATCACAGTTGGGGCAGTCAATGTTGAAGGTTGGAGCTGCGCATCTGCATGGCACGGGTCTTGGAGCAGCACAAGTGCAGGGAACCGGCTTAGGAGCGGGCTGGCAGCACGGATTTGCGGGAACAGGAGCGGCGGCACAGCAAGATGGAGAAGATGGGGCTGGTGGCATCACATCGGCAATAGCTTGGCAGCACGGATTCTCAGGAACTGGCGCCTGTTTGCAACAGATAACCGGGGACAGTGCTGGTGGTGGACAACATGAAGCTGGGCCTCGCATTGGAGCAGGAGGACAGCATGCCGGTGGTGGTGGTGGAGCTGTGACTGGTGGGACGTACGGGCAACAGGAGGGAGATGGTCGAGGAGCCGAGCAACAGTTCTTAATTGTTGTGAACAGTGAGTATCGATGGGTTCACAAAGGGAAAAAAGTAAACACTCACAAAGTTAATGTTGAAAACCGGGTTGAAAGGTCGGCTATCACAACAAGTAGGGCATTCTTGGCAGACAGATCGGCCGCACCCATAGTTACTACAATGTCTCTTAAATCTATGGACAACGGGCGATAAGCTTGTCTGTAAAAACCGATACGTCAGCGAATTTTATGAAAATCATAGGCAAACCTCATGAGCAATCAAAGCATTGGCTAAAAGCGAAGAAACGATGAGAAGCGTTGCTTGCATGTTTTCACCCAATGTGCCAATGAAGTACCATTCGTGTCAGCCGCCATTCTTTTATAGTGGGATTCGAATAATTCCGGATCGTGCAAACCCGGAGAAAGTGTCAAAGTCAAAACGGTTATTTAGCACGGCATTGTTTGGGCAATCCATTTCTTCTCGCCGCGCTTGTTTAAAATATGTTTATTGACATAAACGGGGGAAAAAGTGAAAAAGACAGAGCCGATAAGAAATCTCCACTGCCTTCGATATTTTTTCCGAGTCATTGTGTTTGTTTTCCAAAAAATCTGCTGAATTCAGTCTTGTCTACTTCTGCCGCTGATTCCTTACTTTTTTCTAGAACGTTTAACTTTGAATAATTTCTTATCAGGTTGTGACTCTGTTTCTAATCCATAATTGAACATTCTACTGTTTTCTCGGATGTGAACTTTTTTTGAGCCCAGAAATTTAGTTTGTATAGAAAATAAGAAGGCATTGTTTATTATTTTCAGGTGAAATTTTGGCACCGGTCTAGAATCGAAGACCGAACTGAAAAAATCGAGGACCGATCAAATCGAGGTCCGAAAAATGAAGGACCAAACACAGTACATTTGGAATCCGTGCCGTTTCTCACAAAATACTAATAGCTTTTCTCTATCATTCTTTACTGTTTTTACGCTCATATAATTGGCTAATTAGCCGGCGAGCTTCCAGACGGGGAACTACTCCCAGCCATGTGAAGAAAGCTCCTGTTTCCGTTCTTCGCCACGTGGAGGCTTAGTCATTGAAGGACTTATTACCGTCAGAAAATGGAAAACTAAACTAACGAATGATTTTGCGAAGCAAGAAAGAGGCAAAGCGGCGCAGCCGTACGCAGTCCTATAAAAACACCAAAAAATTATGAAGGTGTATAAACGGTAAAGAATGACAGAGAAAAGCAATTTGTAATTTTTTGTGAGAAGCGGCACGGATCCCGACTGCACTGTGCTTGATCCATCATTTTTTTCGGTCCTCTGTTTTTATCAGTCCTCGATTTTTCGGTCCTCGATTCTAGGCCAGTGCCGAAATTTTTTGTTTATGCAGATTGAAAACATTCGTAATTGATACTTTCATTTTCAATATAAACTAAATTGTCCTACAATTGATCAAGAGAAGAACGAATGAAAATGTCACAAGTTAATTTCATGATTGTTCCATCAAACTGTGTTTGCCCTCCTTAAACAAGACTCGATTCCCAGTGATAAGGTTCTTTCTCTGTTTTTTTCTTTTGAGGAAAAAATTGTCAACAAAAGTTTATTGATAGAAAACTAAAGAAAAATGCAATGCCACAAACGCATATTGTCACTAACCAACTTTTGTTTCTGAAATCACAATACAGTTCGAATGCGCATTTTGAGGGAAAGGGCGGGATGGACGGAGAAAGAGAGATTCTAGTCATAAATAGTGATGATTGCATTTAACAGTGGATATTTTCAGGTAATTGCAATTTTGAGACAGGACGAAAAGAGAAACTTTTGTGGTATTAAAGAAATTAGGTAAAGCGACTGGAAAGAATATTATATAAATTAATGAAAGTATATATATATAAGTAAGCATTACTTGACAGTACTCAAGTGCGGAGGGAGAGGAAACTCAAGGAATGTTAGATTGGTTGACTTGTGGGCTCCAGGCCGGGTCCCCGGCCGCCATCATGTTGGTACGATCGGCCTTCTTTCCAAGAGCCATGAATCCGTAGATGACTCCCGACGCGAAAATTGTTCCGCTTCCCAGAATGGTGTTAAGCTCGATGCAAAGGAAGATTGGAATTAGACCCATGCTGAAAATGTTTTGTTAACCGCAACATGACATCAGATTGATTTACTCACATTCCGTATATGGCCGCCTTGTGCCACAGCTGACGCGACTCACTGAAGCGTGCAATTTTCTCGATAAAGTCGACAAATTGACAGCAGAACGGCGCTTCCAACGCAATCACCAATGCTCCGGAAGTCCTAAGCACAAAAATTAGAGTCTGCTACAGGTTTTACAAGATTACATCTGAAGAAGAATAGCGACCATGCAAGTAGCCGACAGAGTAATCAGTCCGAGAATTCCAAAAAAGAGCGACAGGAATCCGCCGAGAATGGCGACTCCTTTGGCAAGGAAGCGAACCCACCTGAAAGTAAATTTAAATGAATAAAGAAACAGAAATTTATTATTACCAGGGGAAAGTAGCGTTTGGATCATGTTCCGCTTGCATTTGCGTGCTCACTCCAGAAGCGGCAGCACCCATGATGATGTTATCAGAGAGACGTAACTACCTGAAAAATAGTGATTTTAAGTAAAACATCATCTTCATTCAAAGAACAAGCGTGGCTGAAGAGGAAAAAGAAATCGATGGGGCTTATAAGAAACAAGCGCATGCTCTTATGAAAGCGCAACGGATACGCAGCAAGCAGAGATACGAATCAACTGGTAAACAACGCGCCGGGTGTACGGGCGGAGTGTCGTTTGTGTGGACACTCATTGCCAGCACACTTTTCTCTTTCTCTCTCTCTCTCTCTATCGATGTTTATTGTTCATAAAAACTAATTTGCAAAAGGTAAAAGAACATAATTTCAGATTTGATTTTCTCAATGGAACAACCAAAAGATGTGAATGCCAGTTTCAGCTCCTTAGATGATAATTGGTAACGCTTCCAGTTGAAACAAACTCATTAAAAAATGATTTAGGGATACTGATATGAATGTGCTCAGCAACGAAATGAATGAAATCAACAAAGAAGAAAAGTGGGACGATGAGGCCAGTTGGCTAGTAAGGAAACTATTATCGTCTTTATAAATAACAGTTACTTTCAGCGTTTCCTCGGTGTATCTCTGAAACCGAATCCTCTAGATGATTGGGATCAACTGTACAACTTGAACAGTCAATGTGCTCTTCGAAATGATTGCCGGAAACTGGCAAATGTGTTGAAAAATAAGCGGAGTGTCCCGGAGTTAGAATCGTTTTTGACGTTGTATTGCAAAAAGAGGGGAATGGATTATCAGAAGAATGCTGGATGGCTGACTGTAAGTCTTTCACACTTAACCCAAGCTCTTATCAACAGTTTGATTTTTGCAGATTCTGGAAAAAATAATGCTGATAGACCTTCCACAAAGCCACGAATTCAACGCTTTCTTCGCATTCACCACAAAATACATTCCTTACGATACCCGACCGGAAGCCCAAATCTTCGACCTTTTCCGTCTTCTGTTACAGTATCATGATCCACAATTGAGGTTTGAAGACACGTGTGTTCATTCAGAACTCCCGCCATAAAAATTTGAATTTATTTTCGAAGGGCGCTACGCACCAATTCAAACTTTTCGTTTGCCGCCTTTACGCCGGCGTACGCCCATTGGCTGCGTGTCGCCCCTGTGCAAACACCGTTCTAGATATTTTGCGTACTTGGCACCAGATACTACGCAAATTTTAGGTCAGCTGTTTATTTATTCAAATTAGAGAGTGCGAGATTGAAGAGACGCCGACGATGTTCGGTAGGGCGCGCTTGCATGCGCGTAACAGTTCGAACGCTCGTGTGAAGATATAAAACAGATTGCTCAAAAAAATGTTTTTTTCAGCAATCACCTTGAATCTCTGCATTGCTCTCCCGCAATGTACTCCAAAAACTGGTTTTCAACCTTGTTTGCGAGTAGTATGTCGACAGAATCGATTCATGCGTTGTGGAAATTGTACATTGAGCAGGTACACATAGTTTGCAACATTTTATATGTGAAACAATGTTAAGGGTGATCCGTTTTTGGTGTTCAATCTTGCGATTGTGTTCTTAATCAATGCAAAAGAGGAAATTCTGAAAACTAAATGGAATGAAAAGTAGGACTCTTCGTGATCGTATAATAACACTCCTGACCAATTTTAGAGAATTGGCTGTTCAAATTCTAGAAAACATGGCTTCCCAACTCAGCGTAGAAGATGTCCCCGATTTTTTCCAACTGGCACTCCATTACTCGGATAAGACTCCAGAATGTATTCGCAAAGAATTCCATCATGTTCTTTTTGGAGCCAACTTTGACGAAGCCCCGAAGGATTTATCATTAAGCAAAATGCTCTGCTTGCCTATTGCAGCTGTGGATTTAACTTCTAATGACGATATATCAAGCGGCAGTGTAAACTTCTTTATCATTGACACGAGATCAAATGCTGACTTTGATTCTGGTCATTTTGTTTCCTCTTTCAATCTGGATTGTGTGGCGGTGAGCTTTTCGGTATATTATATATTATTGAAAATGTGTAAATGATTTCAGATTGTCGACGATCCGGAAAAGTTCGAGATTGCCCTGAATAGTTTGGAATTCTACAAAAACTCTCGCCGTCAAGATGACCATTACCTTGTTCTGGGATATGGCTGTGATAGCCAGGACACGTACATGAACATGCTCATTGCTATGTTTGTTCAAAAGGCAAAAATTCACGTTTCCTTTGTGCAGGGTGGTTATAGAAGTGAGAATTAGACCGATATTTTGTTAACACAATAATTGTTTTAGAACTTCATGCATTTGTTCGTCACTTGGAAAAATGGGAGCTGTTAGCCATGCACTCCGAGGAAAGATGCGAACTTTGTCATTCTGAGAAAAATGCTCCAAAATGGGTGAGCCCTTTTAGTTTGAATTCTACTGATTAAACACAGGATTGAACAATCTCATGTTTGTTTTTAAGTTTATGTTGAATTTTTCAGGGTCTTATCTCCCGAATGAAATCAGTTGTCAGCAACACTTCTAGTAGAATGAAGGAGCGTGTCGAATCTGTAGTTTTCCCCATTGGTGAATCGAAATCGCACGATAAACTGTCAAGCCACGTGGATCCCAAACAACGTCATAACAAGAGATACAAACAACTGTCCGTATTCACAATTGATGAAAATAGCGATGAAGAATTCACAACTGGCGCTGCGGTGGACGAGAATCCAAAAGAAGAAGTGAAGACCCAACCATGAAATAAATTGTGAAGACAGAACATTGTTTCAGATTCTTCTTTCAAAAGAGTTTACCGAAACTTTCGAATGCAACGAGCTGTTCCGTGATGGCAGCATTAGCGGCCACATTGCCCTTACACGGACTCACATTTATGTCCTTCATGATGTGCAGGGCAAGAAAGGATATGTTACCACTGAAGCGCGACATGCCCTTTCGACGGTTGTGGCGGTGACGAGCAGAAGAAGTGTTCCAGAAGTTCTTACCTTTAAGTTTGGCTACGAAATGAATGGAACTTCAAAAGTTACGGCAGTTCACAAGTAAAAAAACAGATATTCTCAAACAACTATAATATGTTTTATTGCAGACTGTATGTTCCAAAAGCTGGAGAATGTGCAAAAGCAGTCAAGCTTGCAATTTACGCTCTTCGTCCGCTACAAGAAGAACCATAATATCTTGAGAATGATGCATGATTTTGTAAATATGTTTAACAAAGGTTCATTTTTTGGGTTCCCCGTTATAATTGTGAGTAATGCTAAACTTTTTCGCGTAGAAGTGTCATGAATAAAAATAAAATACTTTAATTGTTCCGTTTCCTTGTGTTTTTATTTCATATAGCTGTATCTATTCAGTTTATGTACTTGTTGGTAGGTCAATCGATATTCGAGGGAGAGGCGGCAAAGACGCCTGCGCGCGGTCGCAAAACAAAACTCACACGCACGCAACAACAACAAGTGATTCATCGCCGCAGTATCACGTTTGTTTCGCAACTTCCTGAATGCCTTAGCAGACAGATATTCGTCTTGGTTTTTGGCCTTACCTCCTTCTTTATCTTTTCTCCATCTCACATCATTTTTTGATCATGAAATTTCCTCTCCTCTAACATTTTTAATTTCAGCGGATGCAAGTGAACAGTGAAGACATTACTGTTGCATGGGGTCAACAGCCCCATCAACTAGACTCACAGTACGGAAAATGGCGGCTGGCAGTCTTCCAAGACGTCCAGGAGTCGATTGACGGAACGAAACTCTATTTCTTATACGATCCTCAAGCAGATGAGCAGAGCGGAACAAGCGGACAAAGAAAGGGATATCCTGGCTTAATCATCTTTGACACAAACTTTAGATGTTTCGCCGGCGAAATTGCTATTCACAGTCCAGGTATCGCAGTTGTTCAGTTTTCCCGACATTTAGTTCATTATTTTAGGCAAAATGAAGTTTTTGTTTGCTCTGAAATGCCCAGCGCCACAAGGTGGATCTGCTTTCGTTCTCGTCACCGAAGAGGAAGTTTATGGCCAGGTCCGCTTGAATGTGTCTCGTGTTGACCTTGCTCAAGACGGACTTTCAATTGCAAATGTCCGCCCGCTCATCCAACAGGCTCTCGTGATTGGCGGTGAATACATTTGCTCAATGCGTGAAGATCTTCCGGAGATTGTTGTCATGGCTAACCCGGGGCTTCAGGTATTTCTGCTTAACACTTTTGTTTTGAAGTGATTTCATATTACATTACAGATCTGGCGCATCGATTGCATGGCCGAGTCTCCACGAGCTCCAGTGGCTAACTTTACTGTTCCCGGCGCTGACCTCAATCATTTCTACGATGGATTTTTGAACAATGGAAATATTATTTTCTTGTCTGCAACCCCCGATGGACACTTTGACAATACTCGAGTTCATTTGCTGAGTTTGAGTAATCCTGCACATGTAAGTTTCATTTTTTTACGCGAAATGAATCAAATTGAATTGCAGATTACTTCACAGAACTGCAGTGGAGATCCATCCCGTGGAATGCCGATTCCAAGAAAGCAATGTGGATTCGATTCTATCACCAGTGAGTAAAACGGAATTCATTCACAGAAAAATTTATAATCGATCTATCTTTTTTGCAGACGCAATCCTCATGGCTGGAGGAGAAGTGGACCGTGGCTACGGAAACTTTGAGCGTCTCATCGATTACTGGGTTCTGGACACTCGTACGTTCCAATGGATGCAAATCCCGTCTCAAATGCCGTGCCCGTTGATTGAGCCTCGTCTTACCGCATGTCATTCTGGAAACATTTACGTCTGGGGAGACTTTGACGAACCGCTGCCAGGAATGCCACCAAATGGAACTCATCTGCGTATCCTTCGTGTGACTGGTCTCGAAAAAGCCGGACACCCACCGGCGTACACTTCCTACAACCCTGCCCCACCGGCATACCCATCTTTGGATGGTACTAAGGGTAAGTCACAAACAAACTTTTGAGTGCATACAACCATAAACACATTTTTCTAGGCGGACAACAAGCTCCGCCATACCCAGTGTACAACCCAAATCAAACTAGTTATGGAGCAGGCGGAGGAGACACTTCCAACTATCAAGGAGGATCCGGTTACCCAGGACAAGGACAGAATCTGCAACATGGAAACGCTGGATACGATCAACCACAAGGCGGATTTAACCCGAACCAGCAAGGAACTTACACTTCTACTTCCGATGGACAGACCGCTTACTATCCAACTCAGAAGAAAAAGAAGGACTGCTCTATTCAGTAAACAGTGATTGTGTACATGATTATATACACGGAACCAACTACATAATGTGATTACTCGATAATTTGTACATGCATAATATTTTCTACTTCGTATGTGCATAATATTTTTGTTTCAAGCACGCATAAATTAATTTCTGTACAATGTTTGTGTATCTTTTTAAAAAAATAAATTGAAGAATTAGAAATCGGAAGCTGAATGTTGATTTTCATCAGTTTGAAACTTCAAAACGAGATATGATAAGTTATTATATGTAAAAAAGAAAACAAAAGTTTTCCTGAACTATATGTGTTGGTTTTTCAAAATTAATATTAAAATTAATGTTTACGTGTTCTTTGATTTATTGTTTCTCAAAAATGTTATTCATCTCGCTCATTGAATCAAATTACTTCCGTATTTCAAGGTTTCACACTACGTCACGCCGTTTGAAGGCAATTTTTCAGCTCCAGTCATCATGAAAACACGCTATTGATGAGAAAAGAGAGCGAGCGAGAGAGTGAGGGCAGACACAACCAAGTGTCGGGTACACATACCCCGTTATTTTGCCGTTTAGAAAAATATCTGAAATAATTAATTTTGGAATATGCTATCGTATGAAATGTGTTTAATTTTTTTAAATTATAGTCTTTATTTGCTTCGAATATCAGTTTTTTAAATCAATCATTTTCAAGAACAGTATTGCAGAGATATCTTTAATTGATCCTTCGAAACACTACAAATCAATTTCAGGCATGTCAGCCGGAACTGTGAATGTTCTGCAAAACGTTTTCAAAACTTTTGTCAAACAAGCGCTGAATTCGATTCCAACTGGCACCACAGGTATCAGCGTCACTGCCAACGCACCAGGAAATGTTGGGCAAAGACCGTTCACCAATCGTGCTGGCATGCTCAAAGTAAGTTGTAGTTTCCGCTGCAGTTTAATGTACAGAATTACCAAAGCAATATTTTTCAGCTAATCGTAGTATGCTCAAGCTCACTTTACATCGGCGGATTGATTGCTCATAAAGGAGCGTCGTACTTGGAAGAAAATGAGATTTTCGTTCCGACCGACGAAGATGATGATGATTAACGAGAAAGCATATTATTTCTCAGTTTAAGCTTGCCTAGCAGATTGTATGAATGAAGTAATGTAAAAAAAAATATTGCAGATGAATATTATAGGGACACCGCATAGAAATGGCGCTCTGTGGAGAAATTTTTTTGCAGTGCAAATTGACCGACCTCGGGGCCGAGTTTGAAAAGTTAGGCCACATTTTCAGTGGAAAATTACTTCGGGGCCTAGAAATTCGGCCAGATTGCAAACAGCGCGCCCTTTCTGTCCGGTGCCCCTATAAAACATATTGTACATGAATTTTTTTGTGTGAATTTTGTCGAATGAATGAAAAGTAGCTGAATATTTTCAAGCCTTTCAGATAAACAAATTAATGCTCAGCATATTTCGTAAATACAGAACTATTTCGTAAACTAATGCGCTTCCTGCAATACTGCATCGGAGGAAGAACACAATATCTGTCACTTGAAATAACCTGCAATTATATAGTTCTCCCGACAGCAGCAGTCATTCTATTCATATTTTTTGCTTCACCATTTGCTTTGTTTTCGCATTACTTTCTTTATAGGTAATGATTTTCTCTTATTTATTGTCGTTGATTTTAAATAGTCTCAATATTACAACACACCCACTGTTTTTTGTCTAGTAGTGCTCATTGCAAACGCGCTCTGTCGTAGTCACGCATTCCAATTCCAAGCATTCGTCTCTGACCCGCGAGTTGTATTGTTATTGTTATTTTATTATATCATCTTACTCAAGTCTCGCATATTTTCTAGATTGAAAATGGTGGACAACGAAGTTTTCGAGATTAATGACTTCACAATAGTCACTGATATGGAGCACTTTGCGGCCGCGTTCGAAGGAATTTTGCAAAAACATGATTTGTTTGGTAGAAGACCCAGTTCAATGGTAAGTTATAACTTTTTTCTGAATTATAAATCAACTGTTGAAGGAAAACGTCAATTATCGATTGCTTGCTACTGAGACCGAGACCGTTTCGATCGGAGATCATAAACTGTGCGTTCAACTGTTTCAATACCTTGTAAGTACTATTACAAAATTACAAATGAAATATTTACACGTTATCAGACGGATTCACAAAAATCCAGTATCACAACGGAAGATTCGAAGGACGTCGACCATGAAAATTCATCGATTCCCCCGTTTGCCGTTCTTGACGAAATTCTCCACGCTAATGGTATATTTGATGCCATTCATCACTTGACCATAAAGGTATGTATAAGAAAAAAACTGCCGGTATATATATATATATATATATATATAAATTATTGCAGTTCGGAGTCAAAGAATGCATTATAGTATCACCGACAGACAGTACGGGTACACTTACCGATGAAAATCAGGCAGCCACTGTTTTGGGAACAATCAAGACTGTTCTGCATTCGAGTAGATGTGAAATCCCAGTGTTCTGTTTTATCAAAGACAAATCTCTGAATATGTTGGAGGGGTATGCTTCCGATGGAAATACTTCTATCAACTTTTCGGTAAGAGTCTCCAAAAAAATACATTGAAACCTGTTTATCTACTAGTCGGTTGTTCTACGTAACATCAACAGAAGACATCGTACATTGGCTGATTTGCTTTTCTTGTTCAAAGAGCATTTGGGCGCCAGCACGTCAGCATTCCACGATGAAGTCCGAATCAGTTCCAGATTCACTCATCTTGTACCTGTGAGTGAAAAATGAACATACAAGTTCATTTTATTTAATTGTGTTTTAGATAAAAGAACTATTGTTTCACCGAATTCACACCGTTGAAAGTTTCGGAAATCTCGCGAGCGGCCCATTCTCAGGACTGCCATTGTGAAAAAACAACACAATAAAAAAAACACTTCACTGTGCAATTTTTTCAGCAATGTGCTCAAAGTCACAGCAACTTGGCATCCATTCCGTGAGAATTCGCTTACGGAGAACCACAACCACTCGGATTTCGATATCAATTTTGCCTCAATTTGGAGTATTGAAATTATTCCAGCGCCTGGATGTTTGTCGGGGACATTTGGTACGTATACGATAGTATTATGAAGTGACTATAATTATATGTATTCATTCAATCAGATGAAATTCTGGGAGCGTACTCTGACAACAGAAGAAAAGCGATCAGAACCGACCTTAAATGCCGCGACATACTGGGAGCTCACTACACGCATAGAACTCACACTAATGCGTTTTCGAAGTTGACTTCAAATACTGCGTCAGAAGTAACATTTGGAGAGTACAAGGCATCAGGAGAAGAAATCACAAATGGCCCGCTTTCTAAGGTGTGATGAACAATTATTAAACGGAAGTTAAAACAATTGATTTCAGGGATTTGTCCGTGCATGGGTCCAGTTTATTTTCAATGAAGAAGGCTCTGCCGAAAATTTGTCACATGAATTGAACATGCTGAATGTTGAGAACACATCACAACATCCGCTTTCCGACGATGACTACGTTATCAATGAACAACTAGGGAAACTGTATAATTATGTGTCGTCTTCATCGGATGGAAGCTTTTTGGCACCATATAAAGCGGCCAAAAGGAACTCGACCGCCTGGAGATTGGCGGTGGCACTGACAAATGCGAGAGTATTGATGCCAGATCAGCCTCGTGCTGAACCGCAACTTTGGGTTGAATTTCTGTTGCGTTTGAGAGAGAAGTATGAGAAACTAGAGACAATTGAGTAAGTTTATAGTTGCGAATTGATTGTTCAAATGTAAATTGTTTTATTTTCAGAATTGTCAACAATGGAATTGACCATATGCAATGTTCATTCTCGCAAAAGCTTCAAATGTTGCAGTTATGCATCAATGCCCGTCAGAAACGTCACAAATTCTTTGACCTCGCGCACAGTGCTTCTTCGCCCACAGATGAATTTTTTGATGCCAACGAGACTTTCAACAAACTACAGATTTCTGAGGGAAACAATATCGAAGGACGTCTGGATGCCACCAAGCTGAATCTCATTGGAAATCCAGCGGCGGTCATGTACGTACCGATCACACAGGACGCTTGCCCAATGACTGACGAGATGATTGACGCTCAGAATGAGTATTTGTTCAGTCTCGACGAGGAAGGGCGGGTCAATGCGCAAATGGAATTGGTTAGAAGTGATATGCAATGCTTCAAATGCGCGAATCCAGATGCGATTTTTGCCGATTTTCTTCGGTGGCATTCGCCAAAAGATTATGACGAGAAAACCGGAACTATTTCGGAAAGAATGATGATTCCGGATAATGTGTGGGTGAACGCTTGGGAGACAGCACCCGCTATTCCAGCAGTAAATCAGGCACGAATTTTTAATGATGGAAAGATTGCGGAAGAGGTAATCGACATTTAAACTTTTGAAAATAAAACTTCATTCTGGTTGCAGATCTTTGAATTGTTTGATAATGCAACTATCGATCGCATCCGTGAATGGATCAAGCCGTCAGTCTTTGCTGCAACATTAGAAAGACTGACAGAGGTGGAGAAAAGCTATGGTGCATCGGAAGGCAAGCAGAATCAGCGGGTCAAAGTGGCGAAAATGCTTGCAACTGCCACTATTAACAATTCGGCCAAAGAATATAATGAAGTCGCAAAGTATTGTAGTCAAGTGGAGATGATTCACAATATGAAAATTCATCTTATACAACTTTTTGAAACTGCGGTAAACAAACAATGCTCACTATTTTTCAAACTAATCGTTGAGGGTTGCAGACGCAAAAAATGCATCCGCCACATCCGACGCAAGATGAGATTCGAGATGCGGTCAAGAAATTGGTGAATTTGGCTGTGTGGAAGATTTGGGAAGAAAGTAACGGAAGGCAAAAAATATTTATCGTGAAACCGCAAGATTCCATCGGTAGAGCTCTTGCTGTCATTGGAGATTTTGACAAACTGACTGAGAAGCAACTGATTCACGGGGACAGGTGACATTTAATGATGTTTCAAAAAAAAAATATTAAAAATATTTTGTTTTCAGAAAAGAATACATATTCACTTGGAATCTTAAACGTCCCTCAACTACGACTTCACCTATGGTACATCGCATGTACGCCGACTTAAACGCCGACAACCATTGTTTGTATTTTTCGACCAGCAAGGATTCGAATTTTTTCAACGCTTCATACTTGCTCTGAATGTACATACTGTGTACAATGTATATAATTTGGTGAAACTCTCGGTTCTTTCAATTTAAAATGAATTCATTGTAAGTATTGAAAAAAACAATTGTTAAGACTGTTATCATCTCTAAGCGAGGAGTCGTTCGGAGAAAGATAACACCTGAAAATATCAATGTATGTTTTAAAGCAATATCAGTTAGTTATTTACGTTTAATTGAACATTTTCGTATGTCATGGCTTCTGACGAAGATTGGGAAAGCATAGATTGACCAGAAACCGATTGCTGCATTTTTGCTTTTTTCTTGATGACGGACACTTCGTAGCGTCTTTTATATATACACGTACAACTGCAGATTAACAAAATGATTATTATAACTCTGAAATTAGTTATTCGGTGTTTCTCTTTGAAATTGTTTCTGACTTACAATAGAGGTGTGATCGATATGCTTTGAATAATTGATTTGAAAGGTTTGGTTTTTTGTGAAACACAAGAGCGATAGATATTTGCTCCATTTTCCGTTAAATACCATTCCAAGCAAATTTCAAACACTTCATCAGCAGATAAATTGACCAAGTTATAACTTCGGAACATATTATACAAAGATAGTTGAACTTGACGCTTAAAGCGATTCTTATTTGAAGCTGTTATCTGCAGTGCGACTCTGAATTCACAAATACTAGTTTTTACAAACATTTCTAAAAAGTATTATACCTATCAACAGCTTGTATCTTCAAATTGTGACTCCAGCTGACATGAATTGAAGTTGTTGAAACGTGAGAAACGTTCAACTGTATATCAGGCTTTTCCACTTTCAGTTCGATTGTTTGAAGTGGTCCGTCATATTTCGTGAAGCAGTTGTAATACCCGGCATCGTTCTCCAGAACTATGTCGAAACCGTAGTATTCAGTAGAGACATGCACTCTTTCTTCGTAGGTTTTTGAGTATAACGGGTCTAGCAAAGATGTGGTGAAATAATCTAGTTTACTTTTCTTTTGGCTTCTGATAACCGGAGTTTTTGCTTCTATTGTTGTACTATTTGGCGCTTTCCATAGTAACTGATAGTGGAAACCATTGCTAGCACAATGAATTCGAAAAGAATCGCCCACAGTTGCAGTTTGTACTGTTCCTAATGGTATGAGTAAATCTTCTCGGCAATTATCATCACCACGTTTCAAGTGGGAAAGTCTGAATGAAGCAAAAGTCACAATGATTTCAATAAAAATAACTATTTTCAATACTTCTGAATTATTCCACGTTTTGTGCGACATGTCGCATCATTCCAATCCGCGATTGTAACTGCTCCAAAGTCACGCATATCTCTTGCAGCACAGGAACAATCCAGGGCAATGTCTTTTATATACAGTTGACTAACATGAGTTAGAATTGATAGAGGTATTCGTTTCAGTCCAGTATTTTGCATGTCCAATCTAAAACTTTGTCATGAATCAATTGTTACAAAATTTGAGAAACCTGTAGATTGCAGTGTTGTTTTCGAACGCAAATGGTGAAATAAAACTGAGATTTGGATTGTCTCGGAGGTTAAGAGAATGCAATCGAGGTGTTCCAATAAAAGCTCCTGATTCCACAATCAACATGCTACAGTTGATAAGATCCAGAACTTGCAATTCAGATATTTGCAGCGATTTTTCTTTCATAATTCCCAGAGGATTCAAACTCAAATTAAGGAAATATAAGCTTCGAAATGTTTGTTGAGCGTCAATTGGGATTTCATTGAGATAATTTCCGCTCAAATCCAATTTTTCGAGTTGTTGTAACGGGTTTATAGTGTCGGCTTCAATATACTGTATGTGATTGCTGCGAAGGCTCAATTCTCTGAGAAATACTGCTGATGTGAAGTCACTAGTCTGTAAGGACGATTGTGCACATTAATTTTCGGATGGACTTACCACAAGTTGCTTCATAACATTCCCGTTTAGTTCTAAAAACCGGAGAGACGGCATATAGCGGAACACATGAACACCAATGTTCTAAAACTCGTTCACGCATATTTTTTCATTATAATCCCAGCTACCCACCATTATTATGTTATTATTTATCAACAGCCTTTCTAGTTGTTGCAAATGAATCGAATCGGACCCAATGTTCTCCAACCTGTTCTCACTGAGGTCCAATTCTCGTAAAGCTGGGAAAGCGATGGTAAGAGCTCTTGGAAAAACCTGGAAATGTTCTTAAAATCTCCTAATTCAATGTGAACAATACCTTGAGACTACAATTCGTGTAGCGTAGCACTTGTACATCGCGGAACTGATTATGCTTCAGAATCCATTGACTCTCATCGGGTGAGTTGGCGATTTTAAGAAATCTGAATTAGAACATGGTGAGATCAGTTGTAGTCATTCCTACCGTAAGTTTTGAAGCTCTGGCAACAAATTGATTGAGAAATTGCTTGCTCCATCAATGGTCAAGTTGAATATTCCATTAAATGGAGCGCTGGAAAGAGCATCCACCAAAAAGTCAATGCCGTTGTGATCCAAATTGTGGCAAGCAATATTAGTTTCTAAATTCTCATAGAAAGAGACTTTTTCCAAGTGATTTTACAAAATTTCATACCGTTGCAAAAGCACCCGATGGGGCATGAGTCCCCTAGTATCAAGTTCTTGTAGAGTATTAGCAGTAACAAAGTCGAAGAGTTCATTTCAGACGATTGAAATCAAGTTAGGTAGCCATGGGAAGTACTGTTTCGCATTGTTTTCACAAGAAAAAATCTGAAACTATCTAAATTATCATTCAAAAAACACTCGAAGATTGTAACTAGGAAAACATTTATATTTTCGATTAAAAGTCAAGTATCTCAGATGGTGTTCCTAATTCCTAAATCGCGGCTATCAAATGAAACAGATGGCGTTCGTCTTCCCAACAAGCTGTCCATAATGAATGCACAAGGCAGTAATTAGGCCAGATTCACACTGCGTGCAAAAAATTTGTAATGTTTCAATAGAGCCAAGAAAAATGACAAGTTATGCTGCTGACATATAGTGTGATCCGTACATGATGATTCCCTCAGGAAGAGCAATTCATCAAAAACCGAATGATTGCAGTTCATCATCTGTGTGTGTGTGAATAACAAAACATGTACACATGCTAGGAGAGTTGAAAAACTTTGACTAAATAGGGATATTGTGTAATTGAAGAGATATTCTGGATTCTAATTGAAAACGCGTCAAAACACTTTGAAATGTACTAAAAAGAAGATTTCGGACTGAAAACTCCGATTCGAAATCCGAAAAATACGAATCCAAAATCTGCGATGCTTTTGTGAAATTTTGATTCAATTTCCACAACATGCATAACGTTTTGCTTTTTGACAGAGGGTTTCTGACCCAAGAAATTGGAAGTGAAAGTGTGACAAACATGGTGTTTAGTTTCCTGCTAACTGCTTTAGGATCAACAGAATAATGCCTAATTGGAACGAACGAGCAAGCTTGCAAAGATTGAGAATTCTGAGAATTAGAGCAAGAAAGGATAGATTGTGAATGTTTTGTGGAAGAGTAACAACAAAAAAACCGAGTCTAATTACAATTTGCAAAAGTTTAAAAAGTCATTTTTCATATTTACGGAGCAAGTTTGACTCTAACAGTTTGATGTCGAAAGCAAAGTAATAATAGTGTTATAAAACAGACAAAAATAGTTGAAGAGAGTAGTATTAGTAATCCTGTAGCAGTTTTAGTTGAGACACATACGTCTGGCGAGACAATCATCTTGGAAAACTGTAGTTCTGATTTTCTTTTGCTGGCTTCTGAATGGAAAATGATTAATGAGACATTATTATTTCTGTTTAAAATAAACGCTCACTTGTTGGTTCATCAATGTCTAAAATGGTCAACGTTTGTGAGACGACGTCAAAATCGTCCTCATCTTCCTGGCCAGCGGATCGTTTACCACGAAGAGCGGCAGGGCAATTATCCGACGACCGTTGACATGATCCATCTTCATTTTTTATTCCAAGACGTATTTTGCATTGAAAAAATACGGATGGCTGATCGGCAAATTTGAACACCTAAGCGAGCATTCACAGTGAAAACTAACATAAGTCATATATACCTGAGAAACCTGTCCGCCTGACAAATCGTCCGAGTATTCCAAGTTGTTTATAAGATATTTATCAACCGCACATCCATTTTCATCAAATAGCTGCACTTCTTTTCCAGTTTCATCTTTGACATTACACGAATGAACAGTTAGACAAAACGGAGAAACTTCTACAAAAATGATTAGCTGCAAATCTCAAAAGTTCGAGTAATCCTACCATTTTTGTCTTTGCTTGCACAAGACCATTCATGATAGACGACTTGGCCAACTTTTGCAAATGCAACTTCCTCATTTCTCGCCTCATTCAGAACTCGGTAATTGCATTCTGGCAGTGGGACGTTGTACTCGATCCGTTTCTCCACGGATTGACTAAATAATTTGTGTAAGTTCATATTTAAAACGTTTAAACTTACTCGTTCATCTTTCTAGACTGATTTTTGACAGGATGTTCATTATCACTATTGGCTTCATCATCCCCAACCATTACGAAAATCTTTTTCTCTTGCTCTTTATCGATTCTGAGATTGTTTTATCCTGACTTTACGTTCGGAAAAGCTTGCTTACTCTACATTCAACTGCTGTGTAACAGTCTTAGAAGACTCTGCATAAAAACACTGAACTTTGTACGATTTATCCGTTTTTGTAATAAACATTGGATGAAATGAAAGAATTATGGTAGCTGTCATCATTATTCCCTTTGGATTGCTCTGAATATTCTTCACGTTAAAGCGAATTGACAAAAAGTATGCTGTGTTCATTTTCCCGACTGCGAATTCAATGTCACATATTTCTTGGTTAATTACAGTGCGGAGGACAGCAAATAGTCGACCCACGGCTGATTAAACCAATCTTTTCTTTGCGTGTCTCGTGCTTCACCTTGACCTCTATCCTAACTTCTAACTTCATAAAAACCAAAAAATGGCAACGAATTTCCCGTTGGATACACTCACAGATCTTTGTCGAATAACATCACAAGCCGAATATGGAATGGAAAGGTTAACTGTAGGCTCGAGAGTTGCATCTGTCCGGCATTCTTTCATGCTGAAAACATCAATTTGAGATTATTTGATGAATTTCAACGCCCCGACATAACTTTTAGAGTAAGAAGACAAAAATTTAAGTTTAATTGTTACCTGTAATGCCCTTTGACATAAGCATGTCCTTCGAAAGCGCTACGCGTTTTAAAATTAATTGATAAGTGTTCGCTACCACACTGAACAAATGGATTGCCTGGAAAAACATGTTCTCGTATTAATGACTTCTAGATTAACACAATATTCTCACCAATCAAGCCATTATCAATTCTATCAGCGTACAACACAGACAGAATCTGTAAATAATCGTCCAGTTTTCATTTACACGAAAATGTTGAACTTACTGTAAAAAGTACACTTTTTTCGAGATATTGGTTCATTATGTTTTATGCAAATCCGAGGCAAATGACCTTTGCCGTGTCGAATATATTAGATCCGTAGGGTGCACTAATACTGTTTCAAGTGGTTCAACGGTTCCAAAGAGTCGAGTCGTGGGGTCAGCCTTTGCCTGATCCAGGTCACCAGAAATAGTAGTTTGTCACGCCCAGTATACACAATCACAACAGAACAGAGGAGGCTGAAAGTGGTTTCAGCAGTTCTTGAAATAGGAATAGAACCAAAGAATTCAGAAGAGAATAGTGAATGAATGTTGGTCTGGGAAGAAAAAAACTCATCAGGTCGCCACCATGTAGGAAGGTAAGTCGAAATTGTTCAAATTCTTCGAGTCAGTCACTGGCGCTCTTGGTACTTGTCAACCAATTTGACTTGACGACTTCCTCTAATAGGGCATGAAAATTTGGGTGGAATTTTCCAGTTTTAAAATTTTTCTACAAAACAGCTGGAATAAAAAACAAGAAAACAGAGTGATGAATTTGGCCTCTGTTTTTACAAATGATTTCTGAACTGAACAAGAAAGAGGGAGTTGTCAAGAAAAAAGAACTAGCGCCGTACTTATTCACTTTCACTTCAGCCAAGTTGCAGTTGAGTTTCATTGGCAATATTTCTATGGCAAATTCTGGATAATTAGGGTACTTGAGGTTTGAGGAACTTAGAAAATTAGCGCGTGAAACTAATATCCCAAGGTTTAGCGTCTATTTGAACTACACAACAGAATGCGACGGAAGTGAACGGATTGAAACAGCGTACGCCCACAATTGAAGACATTGGGAGTGAGAAAAGTAATTATAATTGTGATTGTACTTTGTTTGCAAAAAGAAATCTTAGCAAAGGATGGTCAAGATTCAAGATTTGCTAACTTTTTCAAACTCAATTTGACTCTGAAGGTCAACTTGAGATTGGACATGATTCGGAATGTGACACATTCAAACAACAAGATACTACTGTAGAATAGGGGGAGAGGCAATGGGCAATGTTGATCTAACCTACATGCCAAATGTGTTTGAACAGGGTTCACGAACTGGAAACTTTATTGAAATGTCGTGCGAATACAGTAGATTTAGAGCGTTTTACAAAGAAAAATATATAATTAAATTCGAACAATATTAAAAGATAGAGCTAAAAAATTTTTAAAGACAACAGGTTTTAAAGATTTTGATCGGACTGCTCTCAAAAAGTTGGAAACCACAACACAAATTAATATTTCAGTATTTCTTATCACTCTCCATAAATTCTTATTCATTTAAACGTGAGCTCCTTTCTGTATTCCTAGAAACTTCTCAGCAACTCCGATATAATAAACGGTCTGAGCTATTCCGAACAGCGGCGCCATCACCATCATACGACACGCAGCTCCCTTAAACAGAGCCTTTGGACCTTCATTTTTCAAAATCGTGCTGAAAAAAAGAATGATTTTGATAATAGGCTAATGTTAACATACACGAAAGCATCAGGGATGTTCTTGTAAACCACTTCGTTTGCTCCTTTGTTGATCGTTTGCATTCTTGTTTTGATAACTGTAATTTTGAAAGAAGTCTTTCTTTTTCATGAAACACAAAGTATTACCATCCAATGGAGTCACGGCAAATGACGAAGTTGCTCCAGAAGTGAGACCAGCGAGGAAGGATCCGTAAAATACGGCATCGCCGCTTCCGTCCGATTTTCTTGGAGCCAATGAGTCGAGATAGGCAAACAAAGGGAAGTAAATAACGGAGAACGTGACATCTCGAGCCAGAGTCGAGCTTAGTCCTTTGTAGAGGCCGGCAATTCCATTTTCTTTTACCAACTTCATTGTGAGCTCTGTGGCTGACAATTTTTTTTGACCCGGTTCTGAAAACATTTGATAATTCAGTGAGAGCTAAAGCTTGGTGGCAACGCAGCACTTTCTGATTGATTTTAACAGAGCAACATTCCACGAACTCACTAAGTGTCCGTCCTTGATCTTGCATTTGAATCTTCAAGAGTTCCATAGGAGTTGTAACAGTGATTTGGAACATTCCAGCCAATCCTCCGGCCAACATCCCTCTGCCCACAGACAATTGATTCTCGCCTTCTTTAGCAAGCTTATGACGGAAGAAGTCATTCGCCACAAGTTTGATAGCCTTTTCAGGAGTGATGAGAAGAATATTCACTCCCGAACCACTGTACATTCCTTTGAATTTGGAAAGGCTGGATGCTCCTCCAGCCCTCCATGTCTGCTTGGCACAATCCGCACTAAACAGTTAAAAGATATTTTTGAGAAAATGGATTGAATATATGTTATACTCACATTCCTTTATATTGAAGTTTACCATCAGCTCCAACAGTTTGGTTTTGAAGTCGAGTTTTCACTAAATCTAGAGGGAAAACACATGAGACTCCGATAATTCCAGCTAATCCTCCATTCAAAATTTTCGGAACGTACCTAAAATTTTCATTCAATATCATTTGAGAATTGTTTCAAACTTACGAAAATTGCTGAGGTTTCTTTTCGCCAGTAAACATATTGATTTTTATGCTGAAACTGCTAATGTAATAGAAACAAAACGTTAACGAAAAATATAAATTGAAGATATAAACTTGTTTATGTTTATTTTCCAATAACTGTCAATACGTTTTATTTGAGAAGCTTCATTTTTCGTGGAGGGACAAGGGAACAGTTGTTAAATCAAAGATCACTTGAGACGACGGAAATTCAATAAGAAGAGATCACGAATAAAGAAGATTGCTTTCATTTTCATTTTATTTCATCGTTTCAACGCCAGACATTAAACAAGCCCAAGAAAACGTTGCAACAATACCCATGCAAATGATGTTATCAGATTCTCTTTGCAACGAAAACGTGATAACAGTATAACCGGTCATTTTTATAACAAAAACAATGATTTAATGAACTTTCATATTGGCATCCATAACGAAAGCAGGTGGTCCGTCAGTTGAAACCGTAGTTCTGGAATCCCGCAAATTTTGATAGTTTTTCAAATTCTCGCTCTGAGGATAGAGAAATGATAAAAGGATTTGTACGATTATGTTGACAATGGTGCTGGTTGCATAAACTCCTCCCAGAATTGAGCAAATTCTGATGATATAGGACACAAACGTTCTGAAAGACATTAATTTTTGAGAAAGTCATTATTCGAATTATCTGTCTACTCACGCTGATGACTTGTGAATCTCAATGACATTTGCCGTGAACTCGTACTCGAATAGAATTCCGCCGTGAGAATGCTCGCCTTCTTTAAGCTCTTTTTTCTAGAATGAAGTTTTTCGTGTCCCCACTTCTCTTAATTAAAACTTACCAAAAAAGTAACCGAATACTGATATGACATAGTGTATCCAAAATAACCATATATTTTAGTTGGCACTACTTTGATAAAGTATCGGTAAATGTCTTGACCTGAAGGAGTTTATTAGGACCACAAAACGTTTTGCTCTGGTCTCACCAGAATAACTTATGTGTTCAGCTCCTGCCAACGGAGTCACCAGACCAGGAATTCGAGGTCCGAAGTTGAATTTTTCAATTCGGTGAGAAATGTTTCCAGGTTGATTGGCTCCCGCTTGATGATCGAACATCATTAATGGGTTGTGAATAGACATCACAATTTTTTCTTCTCGTCCTTTGCGTACTCGGAATTTTCCGTGAAGTCGACATGCCTTACCTGAAATTCAAGATTTCATATTGTTCATCCAAAGATCATTTTTTAACTGATCTCTGTTTGATTTGGCTGCTATATAATTCTCTTGCTAAACTAAAGGAGGAAGTCAAAATTATATAATTCATATAATTTGATGAATTTTTATGAAAAAATTAACAACATCTTACATTAATGCATTATTCACAAGCCTGCTGGCTATGAAATTTTCAGGATGAATTTATAGCAAAATCTTAAAAAAGCAGCAGAACAACATGGCTACACCGGTTTCAATGGTAATATAAATTTTTCAGTAAAATTCGTAACAACATACCTTCTTCGCCGTCATTTCCAGCGTCCGCTACCAACTGGAACATTCCCATTCCGTTGCTCACTAGGAACATCTGAAAATAATTCATATTACTCTACACTACATATATTTCAATTACAATTTGTCCGGTCCCTCGATTGTTGCCCTGCTTACTCCGTTTTCTTTGTTCCTTGATCACAGCCGCCTCTTGTTCCTGTTTCTCATTTGCCAAGTGCTCGAGGTTGGTTTCAATGTCATCATCAACATATTCGAGCTGTCAAAAACATGTTTGAGAAAGCGGAAATAGATAGGAATAATTGATTACTTCTTCAAGCGCCCGTATGCCTTTATTATTAAACTGGTCGTGTGCATGGCGTAGAATTGTCCAGTACATCTGTTCTTCTTCCGTGAATTCGAACCTGAATAGACATTGTTAGTACAAACAAGTGGGAAAGACAAAGAAAATAATGTACCTGGTTGGATTTTTGACGATAGTCTGTTTTAAAAGTCCATCGCCACCAGAATATTCATCCGACGTACTTGCTACTTGCAAAATCGAGCATGGAGTTGCAATAATCATGTCTAAGTCTAAGAATGGCATTCTGCAATAGCAAGAAAGTCAATAAATCAATTATTTTCATTACATCCAACTTACTCATCCATCTCGGTGTCTACTGTAAACCTATAATCGTATTTCTTGTTGAAGATAAATCCATAGGTTTCTGTGCAAAACAATACGAAAATTATGCCGAAACAAACGAAGGAGACTGGAAAATAAAATTACAATATCAAGACCATAATGTATAGTTGCACTTACTAGCTCCGGACGACGCCTTTTTCTCTTCCTTTACATTTTCAACTACTTTTTCGAATATATCAAGTTCTTCCACTAATTTTGTGATTCCTTTCCGCTGACGAACCTCTGAAGATTCGCCGAGATTCATGGTTCATGAGGTGTTATAGAAAATGAATATTGTAAATGTCCGAGCAATGACACGTACTATGTCCGCAAACACCGCGGACGGCTGTTGCACTACAACTGATTGATAAAACTTTCTTTCCTGCCATGTGGACAATCTTATATAAAAAAAGGGAAGCAAATGATGGTTAATTTTTGAAAAAAAAAGTTGGATCTGAAAACTTCAAAAAGAAAAACACACAATATGTATTGCGATACTGAAAAATGTAATTAACTATTTACTTTCCAGAATACATCAATGAGCTCCAAATGTATCGGTTTAGATAAAAATTTGGATTTGCACACTTCCTAAGCTGTTCCAATATGTTTCTTTATAATAAACACTGTTCTTTTTAACTAAATATTTATTTTTTTCCGTTCAACATTTGGTGATACACAATAACATGCCTTTTTTCCAACATTTGTTCAGTTTTTTTTCAAGTTTATGAAAACTCCATGTTCTGATGCTGCATAATGATTGGTGGAGTGGGAGGAATAAAAATAAATAACATCCGCTTCTTAATAAGGGTAGAATTCATTATTATTCTTTGAATTCAAATTCCATTTCTTCAGGTCGCCGTCGTCATCTTTCTCCTCCTCCAATTATTAGACTCAATAATATTTATTGAGCCGACCCTTAAAGCTGATTAATATTTAGCTTGAATTTGCCTGGTACCTCCATGCTTTCAGCTCGGTTGTCTGCGTAGCCGAGGTAAAAGCCTTTTTTGTCCTAAACAAAAAAGATTCGCGATTCCTCGGTAATTATCGTTGGTAGTGAGACTGAAAATGACTATGCTTTCTTCTTTCTTTTCTGCGACAATTACATCCTTTCGAGAATACATCTTTTCCTATTCTTTTTCCCCGACGCCTTCTTTTCTTTCATTTGAATTAGCTGTATGCTCTGTCTTCAGGTTTAGTTTCCAAACTCACATTCAAACTCTAGCTGAAGTTATGTTTTTCGACTTTAAATTCGCTTCTTTGTCCCATTTCGTTCTTGAACAAAAGATGTGGGAAATGTATGGCAAAAACTAATATGGCCATTTATCCCTAGGGAATCAACAACTCATGTTTTCGTCCCGGAATTTTTATAAACTAGTACTCTCTCTCTCCCTTTACTCAAACTTTTTTGGTGGGTGGGATTGGAGCATTGAAACTCTTCCACTACTTTTTTCCATCCAATCTTCTCTAGTCTATTTTCTATTTTCTATCCTCTATTTTCCAATTTAAGGAACCGCCTGTGGACCACAATCATTCGGGCTCCCTGAAATATCCATGACACAGAATTATCCGGCCGGAGATCAGATTAACGCTGGTGCAGCTTTGCGTCATCACAGAAACTTTCTGCTTATTTCCTCCCCTCGTTTCTTCTTCTTCTTCTTCTTCTGTCAAAGGTTATGTGAAAGGCGTAACGGACTGCCTAAAATTGGATTGTATCCGCACGATTTGGGAAGAGGGAGGGGTGCCCAAGTTCGTAGAAGCGGAAAATGTTGCTTTTATATAAGAATGTATGAGCTTTTCAGAAGAACTTGAGTGCTTTCTTTTACTACTCCAATATTTAGTTTGTTCATTTGTGATTCTTGATTAGTTTCCAAGAACTTACCTAGTCAATCTAATTTACACCCTTTTTCAGCGTTTTCAACATGATGTGTGTTGATTGGATCATTTATCACAGGGTTGTCATGAATTTATATGTGTGCCACTTTGAAATAGGAAGGTTGGGGCAGGAGTGGTTCAACCGCCGAGTTGGCGTCTTTTGACAGCTGACAAGATCTATTAAATGCATCGTTTCTTATGGGGCTATTCAGACTGTGAAAAAAATGATTGTTTTCCGTTTTTTTCGTTTTTTTACGTCAAAAAATCCAATTCAGCGATGTAAAAAAACGAAAAAAACGGAAAACAAACATACGCTGAATAGCCCCATTATATTTCGCATCATTTAAACGTGACAACTTTTCTGCTTCCTCATCTTTCACATTGAGTTCATATATATATATATATATATATATTGTTTGCTTACTGAAGAGCTATTGCTATTTTTAGGGTCACCGGGAGTAAATAGTTTAATTAAGGCAACGTGGAGGTCTATTAGGAATCTGTTAGCTTGTTGGCTCATGAGTATTGCAAAGCTAAAGCAAGAAGATAATCTTTGAGAAAAAACCTACTTCCGCCCCTCCCCCGAGACATCCTGAGCCGGAAAAAATTGAAAATAAGTTGAGAAATTTGAGATTTAGGACAAAATATCTCATAGAGGAGGGAAACATATGAGAGAAGAACTCAAATATCATAAAATCTAGATTTTTCTGTTTTTTGGTTTTTCCAGCCGTCAACCTATTTTCCTGTTTCGTCCCCACTCAAATTACCTATTGTATCATCGCCAGGCCTCCTCTAGGCTCTTTTATTTTGCTCGTCGTAGAGTAGAGCAATTGTGAGATAAGCAAGTGTTGGAAAGAAGAAAAAGAAGGAGAAGAAGAAGCCTGACGGAAGAAGAAGAAAGAAAAGAAGGACAACAACTACACACGTCCGTTGTCGCAAAATATTCAGTGAAAAAGACATGATAGAGTGAAGAAGGAAAAGAAGAAGCTTTCACATCTATTCCTAGTACCACATTCCTAGAACCCGCTTGTAAAAACATTAGTTAGGCGGGTAGTGTAGGTTATTCTGATGGCCGCCTTTCTTTTTTGCTCCCTGCTCTCAGTCACCCCTCCGGATCTCGCGTTGGTCTTTGTGTCTTGATGAGGTCATCCACATCTAGTTGTGCTCCGAACTGTAATCGGAATGAATTGCGTTCGTGTTGTTCAATTCACTAATTCTTAAGCAATGTCTTGAACAGTAGTAGCAAAAAACCAGTAGGCAAAACAATTTTGACAAAAAAGCAACTTCAATTTATCTTCTTCAGAATGCTTGAACAAAATGCGAAAACATGAAAATTTTAACGCGGTTTCGAATCATTTAGGTGTTCTTTTCAAAAATAACTTTTCACCGGCAAGTCTTCCAATTTGAGACTGGTTTTAAAGTTGTATGATGATAAGTCTAAGCCCAGTAGTTTGCGGGTGTGGTTGGGTTGTAAAGCGTAACGATTTTCCGGGAACAACAACTTTTTTCTCAAATTTTAGGAAAGGAAATGTCCTATTCCACATTCTAGGCTACTTTCGCCTTCCCTTCAGTTCTCCCCACTAAACCGTATTTTCCAGCTCCGATAAGGTACATATACTAAAAAGAAAACGAGATGGGTCGAGTCGATATGTCATATTTTTTTACCTCTTCCATGTTTACGACAATAGTCTATCTTCCTCTCACTCATCGTATCTCATATGTATCAAGATTGTCCCACCTCAGTCTTCTTCCTTCCCGCTTTCAAAATGCATCGTTATTATGTTCTCTATAAGCTGCTCAGTCGAATATCTTCCAAGTATCTGCTTTTGGGATGAACGACGAGAAAACTTCTTTACACCACCAGAAAAACAGGATGTAGAACGTTTACCTTCTTTCATTGCGATTTTTTCAGTCCCAGTTTTCACTTCAATTCTCGCTTGTTTCTTTTTTTGGCTCTGACATACCTCACATGTATGTTTGAAAAAAATTTTCTTCTGAAGGTGAAGCCAGACAAATTTCGCTTTCTTGAAACTCTCACCTTGTCTTTGTCGGAAAAAGCTGTCCGCCTTATAATAGTGATGTTATAATATCTGTTAGCTTCCTGACTGATTTTCAATGTATAATATTACTCTTTATCTTCCCCGTGGGTCTTGTATGCATTAATTCGCTACTTTCTTGTTCTCGAACTCACAAGTTGTAGAAATAGGCAATTGCGTGCGTTTTGAAACACATAAGAGGGCCTAGGCCCATTGCGTGTCAAAATTAAGGTACTAATTGGTTCTTTTAGAATGTGGGGCAGGCATAGTGTGCTCAATAAGTGCGGTGTCTTTTTTCGTAAGACTAATTAGTAGTGAAACGTTTTTTGGTCGAGTAGCCCATCTCTTAGTCCCTGTTTCGTTTTATAATAAAAGTTCATCGCTATTTGTTATAGGAAAATCTAGGACCCAGACAAGCGCTGACCTACGTTCCCAGCAATGTTCGAAGTGCTTCTTTTTCTTGCATAAGAACAAAAAAAATTTGTGTGTACTGAACTCCTAAAACGCTCTTTGTCCTTCCTCCACTCTTACTCTTCCGTTCTTGCGTATTTATGACAAAAAGAAACTCATGAATCAAGATCTGGCAGTGAGGCGTGTAATCCTTTCTTTCTTCACCACTTCAAACTACTTTCAAAAGTTTTGGGACACTTCATTCTCCTCCTTAACTTTTTGTCTCGTTCTTTTTGTTTTAGGGGGTATTGCTTTTAAGTCAGGCAGTCGGTGGATGAGGATGCCCTTTCTCTCTCTCTCTCGGAGGTTTTTTCTCACACTTCTCGATGGCGCTAAACGGCACAATTTTCATTAAGTCTCTAACAAATTTGTTTTCCGTTGTTCACCAAGTACTTTGCAAATCGTAAAGCCTTTTTATTAACTCACGGAATACTGATTGCATTCTTTTGCCTTTTCACTTTTCTCTATATATCATACTTCATTTTCTAGGAATTGGTTGGTTGGCCCAATGAGTATCGTACGGACCGAGTATGCTGCTTGTGAAGCTCTAAAGCTACAGAATTTGTCTTACAATCTAGGGTAATTCATTAAACAGTCATTGAGCTATACGGTAAATGTTTAGGGGATGTTCTGTGGATTTTGACAAGTCCTTATGTTGGGCCAGCGCTCGTCTCGGACAGCAAATGACTAGAGATTGTCCATTCAAGTACTGCACCTCAATCCCCGGATGTGAAGAGATTAAAGGTATTCTAATCAGATCTGAAAAATTTCACACTTCCATTAGTTCTATTCAACCGAGTGTCTCATCCGTCCGTAAGCCTTTCGCATTCAACATTTCACATTTTGACGTTTCGCTCTCCTGTGATAAATACTTTTATCTTTGCCATTCATCAAACTCGAACCAACCAACGCTAGTGTTTCTCAACTTTTTCCTTTTTTTGCTATCCTAGTTTTTCGAAAACAGAGGCGAAAAGAGAACAAAACACATGGACAACGAAAACGAAAACGGAAAGACGTTAAACGCGACAATCCAAAAAAGTGGGATTAAAAGCAAACTAACAAACAATAATTGCAGACAAGTACATGGTTTCAAGGAATTGCAACAACATGGGTGTGTGGCAGGATTCGAACTACTCGATGTGCATAAAAGTTGTGGAAGAGTACGCACAATGTTTACAGGGATTCTGCAGAGTTGTAAGCTTGAAATTTGGAGGGAACCGACTGGAAAAACAATATTGCAGTGCCCCGAATTCCTACGCGACCTGGTCATCTCGGTTTCGTTAACTTTATCCATCGTCTCAGTGATTTTACTCGTTGCCGCAATTATTTTATTCTCGGTTTTCGACTCAATTCAAGTACATTCCATAACCAAGTTGCTGTGAAATTCTCAAAAATTTTAGTGCCGACGCTTGTCAATTCATAAGAACTTGGCCACTGCGTTCGTGTTCCGTTTTGCAGTTTTGGCTATTTGGACTATTGTCCAGTCCACAAATCTCTTTCAAGATTGTACTAGATTCCACCCTCAGCCACTTTGGGATTTGGTACGTGAAAAATATACATTGTGTGCCTAGAACTATGAACAAAAACATTTAGGAATGGATTTGCAAAGCAATCCTCTGGTTTGTCATCTACTTCCAAGTGGCGTCCGTCATGTGGATGCTCATTGAAGGGGCATTTTTATATAGTCGTTTCACTGTCTTCGCCATGCGACATAGTGATGCCCCATGGTCGCTGTACTTAGCGTGCGGATGGGGAATTCCATTTGTTGTGGTAACTGCCTGGACAGTTGTTCACCAGTACAAATCCAGTCAGCTGCCGAGTTCATTTTGCTGGGTTCCATACGCGCAGGGAAATCACTTGTGGATTCTGGCTGGAACTATGGGATCCGCTCTGATTGTAAGGAAATGGGTTGAAAAATCACTGACACTTTGATAAAATACAGATGAATTTGATATTCCTGCTCATGATTGTGGTCATATTAGTTCAAAAGCTTCGAACTGAGAATTCAGCTGAATCTAAGAAAATCTGGTGAGAACTTTAGTTGAACTGTGTTGATTAATCAAATTACCTTCAGGAGAACAATAAAAGCAACTCTGCTACTTGTGCCCCTCCTTGGAATTTCAAACATCCCCCTATTCTACGAGCCAGAACACCCAAGCTCAGTTTACATGCTTGGATCGGCTATTTTACAACATAGTCAAGTAAATATTACATCTAAGCAAATGAAGTTGTTCGATATTCATTTCAGGGAATATTCATTGCCGTGCTATATTGCTTTTTGAATAGTGAAATTCAAGGAGCGCTGAAGAGACAGTTATCAAAAGTGCCATTCGAGTTTTTCAAGTAGTTTCAGTGTTTTGATGGCAGTTAAACAATTTTCATTTTTCAGAACTAGGCAAAGATTCGAAACTGAACGAACTTATGTTCCCGAGAACCGAAACGCTCCTTCTAAAAACGGGGTGCCCATGGAAGAGCTCAACGGCAAAAACAAAAAAATCGAAAGCGCGAACAACGAGACCCAGGACCAAGCGACTATGAATGCATCAAGCAGCTCAAATTACGAAGTGCCAAACAACAAACCAGTTTATTCAGTGACTACAAAACGTACCTGACTTTTTTTAATCAAAAGATCTAATGTCAAAGTTTCCTTTTTCATTTACCACGTTTAAACCTGAAGTAATGCCAAGAGTCGATGACGGGTAGACATTGACCAAAATTTCCAATAACTTTTTACTGTACTCGTTGAAATGCGACAAAACAAAACAATCCACATTGCAATTCTGATCTCTACTTTATTATGTACTTTATATATTATATTAATAATAATGTCTCATATGATAATGACAACTATAATAAAAATTTGAAGAGTTTAAAAATCATAGATTTTACGTAAAATGGAACGAAACAATAGTTTCTGACTGAAATTAAACGGAAATAAGAGAAAAATAACTGTTGTGGGCATGAGAAATAAGAAAAAAGAAAAAAAAACTTACTAGTTATGGATGGCTGGATGACATTGCCGAATAATCCAGAGAATGACCCTCCTCGTGCTTGGTGTGAAAACGTTCATGCATACTCTGAAATATTCTTTTAGGAAAAAGTCGTTGTTTGTGCCTAGCTATTTGCAACTTTCTTTAAACCTAATTATTTCTCGTATCATTTCACATATAAACGCTAGATAAGCTCATACTTGTTGAGATGACGTTGGGTACATCATCGGAAGCTTTGCATTTGTGTCGATGTTGTCATTGCCCGTTGGCGGGAAGCAAGAATAATCGAAAGAGTTTGGATTAGCAAAGGTATCCGTCCGGTTCCGATCCTTTTGTCTGTGCTCTTTCCGGCGCCACTTGGCTCGCCGATTTTGGAACCAAACCTGCAATTTGCTTTGTGCTTCAATACCCTCATTGATGATTTGAATGGCGTTTGGATTTCGGCGCGTCTTAGACGCTATAATTGTGACATGTATTTGCTCGTAAATTGCAACTCGAGAGTTGAGCCCACATGTGTTGCTGGTCGGGCATCCTCAATAACATCAATCGCTACGGTAGCTAGGGGCTTTTCTTGTGAGGAGAGAGAGAAAGAGGGGAGAGGAAATCAAAACAAAAACATTATGGCAAGTCGTATCTCATTTTTGATTTATGAATTGCTCGGGCCACAGAACAGGATGTTCATTGAAGTACTCAGATTACTCACAGTGATTCGGTCCTCTGGAATATTCAGATATTCAGCCATATTCTTCTTTGCTTTATGGTCTGGATAGTGAGATGCTTTGAAAGAGTCTTCTAGGAACAATGACTGATGCTCGGTGAAGTTTGTACGGTATCTACGTCTTCCTGAGCAGCCTTGGCTGTTTCCAGATGGCATCATCGTTGATGGCATATCTGGAAAAGATAAAGTGAATAGTTGAAACAGATTTTATGCAGTATACCTGCATTTCTGATATCCGGCTCTGAAACTGGTCGAGTTTCAGCGTAGTACGATTTTTGAGTAGCTGAAAATGGGAATTGTTGGAAAATGTGATTTCTATCAATAAGATCGATGAGACAACTACATTTATAGGAGCTACAACGGAATAGAACTCCCCACAGTTTTTTTTACGTTACGAGGAGTTCTATTCTGTTGTAGCAGCCATTTATTTAGTTAACCTCTTCAAAAAATTCAGCAGCACGTTCCAGAAACTAACAAACTGTAACTTGTTCTATTTCTAATCCGACGAAACCAGGACTGTTAAAACTGTGTCCTTTCAAATTTACAAAAAACACAGGCTGGATTGAGGTCTACAGTACCTTTCACATTATTTTTGTTGAAATGTAATTAATATACTGCAAAATTCGAACCTGCATTTGGAAAAGAGTGATGGGGAAAACCTTGTTGTCCTCCGCCTCCCCCGATTCCATCAAAATTAGACAATTGTTGAAGTTGCGAAGTTTGCTGTCCCGAAGCATTGACTGAAGACACATCAAGACCGCAATCAAAGTCCGTTAAATAGCAAAGATTCGACATTTGAAAGTGGTTATGCAGAATAAAGCCGAGGTTATGGTAGTTGGAGGCGGGTCCGTCGGATCCCACATGCTGTGAATCGCCGCAACTCCAACGTCGCACTGGTGGCACAGCCACATTGCGCGTTGCATTTGAGAGGCTCATCGCATCAAAGACGGCATTATGCTGCTGATGGTGGGACTGTGTTGGGAAAGAAAGAGTATTGGTCAGTTCGGGAGTTGACGGAGGCTCTAGTTTGGATAGCGGACATGGAAGGTCCGGGAAATCGAACCATTCGTCGTTTGGGTCTTGCCTGCATAATATTTAGTATCAATTTTTTGGGATTATATAATATTGCGCCTAAATTACTAGGCTTCATTGTTGTATTTATTGAAGACGAAAGATATCTGAACCGTTCACTAGTATTCCTAGCAAATGAATTTGTTTCATGATGATGCAAGAAGTTTTTTCAATAGTAAATGAACAATGTTTAACTACTAGGAAGAACATTCAACAAATTGTTAGAATCGCAGAAAGGACTAGGAAACAAGAGACGAAATATAACAAGATAACATTTTCTTACTAAAAGCAAAACTTACATTTGGAAACAAATAAAAGAGAGAAGCTGTTTTAGAGGCAATCAGTTTTCCAAATGAGTTCGATCACCTTTTGTAGCTCCTTTTTATCATGCAATTAATCCATCGCTAATCTTTCATTCATTGATCTTTTCACAGGGATGAAAATTCTTTGCGAATGCCATACTTTTCCGTTTCCCCACCCTCACATTTAAGATTAATTGGAGAAGATTAATATTTGGATATAATACTGGCAAGTTCAGGCGTTTTCTCGATAATCCATTGACCCGGATGGGGGTGGTTTCTTTTCAAGAAATCTGGGAGCTCCTCTCATTGTTAATCGCATTGATAATCTGTTTGAGATGACACCATTCGAAACCTACAATCGCCATTAATCCGATCCGCAAAGATTTTCCATCTGGAAAAGAAAGAGAGAATACTACGTTCACGAATGTTTCATTCGTGACTCAGCGTTGGAAACATTAGTTGAGCACCAGTATTTTTCATCAGTAAACGTTCATGGGACAGTGTGCATTCACAAGGATAGAAAAACCTATTACAATTTGAACCAGGATGATCGAATACTACAAGTTGACTAGGTTGCAAGACTCAGCATTGAATTTACAGATATGAAACAGACCAGCCGCTACTTTTCGAATGAACCGACAAGGAGTTTTTGATTGGAACTAACAGAAAAATGTACAGAATTTGGTGACGTGAAGGACAATTTGAGATGAAATAGAAAATTGATAGAGAAAACTACAATGTAATAGGATGCGACGACTAGGCAAGAGTGATTTCATTCGAGTTGCTCGTGGACGGCACTGTCGCGTGGTCGGATGTCGGTGCGAAGCTGAAAGTTTTGAAAATCATTACATTTTTTCCGACTTGTCGCGCGACGGTTTTCAGTACTAAAATTTCCAACAGGGACCGGGCCTTTCGTAAGAATCAAACTCACACTTCATTTTCCAACAGATGATTTCCATCGTTTGTACCAGATTGCTGACGAACCAGGTATGCATTATTTTCGAGCCCCACTGGGTTTCCCTAAAAAACAAATTCGTCTGATTTGAATTCACAAAACTATCACACCTGATCTTCTCGCTCAGAATCGTTCATCACTCTATTTATGAAATTGCGCACGCGTTCCGTAAATGTTCTCCTAGAGTTACCAGTCAACTAAAAAATTTTTTAATACACCTCTATCTTCATGTTGTACCACAAGATCCTCGTCGACCAGCGCTTCCTGCGAACTCCACAAATCGTCAAACGGTCTGGTGGGAATAGCAGGAAGTTCCTCAAACCCCTGATGCACTTCAACATTTCCGTATAACGTATCATCCTGAAATTGACATTGTTCGGATACATTTTTGCTATGTTTTTTGCTATATGTTACCTGATGAGAAGTGAGATCGCTCGTTGAACAATCGCTATCCGAGTCGGATCCAATTTTTCTTTTGCATAATGGACAAACTTTGCGAGTTTGGGTAAGCCAGACATCGATACACTTGCAGTGGAACACTAAATATCAGATATTTCTCGGTTTGTTGCTTTAAAAAACAACAGTGTACCATGTCTGCACGGCAAATGACGAAGTTTTTCCCCCTGAGAAAAGCTTTCCAAGCAGATAGCACATGTATCCGGCTCGTCACCAAGACGGTACTTCTTCACTGGGATCTTTTTTAAATTTCGCTTCGAAAGACGTCTTTTGTTTAGTTTTCTTCTCTCCACACATCCACGAACGCACTGCAATAGGCATTACACGTATGATCAAGTCAACAATGACTCACCAGAGTGATTAGGAAAAGGGCAAAGCAGAAAACGATGACGACGAGGAATGGAATCAGGTAGCGGAACAACTCGTAGTAGCCTGGATCGATACGAATGCGAAGACGATACCTGTAGATTTGAATAAATAAACCGAAAGAAAAGAAATTAACTGAACTAACCCAGCTGAATCGAGAAACTTGCGCATAATCTCTTCTTTGCAAGCGTATGAAATCATCAGGACTGGAATGTTGACTCTATCAGGGATATCGCTACCTTCCATTGAAATTGGGTCTTGACCGGCGTAGTTGTAAAAAATGACCAGACGGAATGGGTAGAACGGTGGGAACATTGTTGAATTTTGAACCATATAAGCCTGGAAAAAACAAGATGTAACACTGATTTTCCGAAAAAAGACGGTACTTGATGCGAAAACTTGCACGGATGTTTGATATTGCTTCTGGAAACCAATGCAAACATGTTGTGACATCCCTTGGTGTGATTGCGAGAAATCTGAAAGAAATGCATAACGCATGACTCATCAGGAAGTATGAACTGACAGTCACTGGCCCGCAAGCATCCACTGGATCGACAGTGGCTCCACAACCGAGGTTTTCATCAGAAACAATGAAATCCGAGACATCTTTACCAAAGTTTCCACCCGTAGCTGCACATTTATGAACTAGTTCTTCTTCTCCGAATGATGTCATTTTGACCTGAAATTGTCCTTTTATCGTGACTTCCGATTCTTAAAAACTGACTATGTCAACGACATATTGAGCGGAGCACTGATAAACACCAGCGAGTAACAAAATACTGAGCATTCGTAACACATGTCCTTTTTCTTCTGTCATTGCAACTCTGAAAACGTTTATTTGTCTAAAAATCAATAATAATTAAACCGAAAGAAACGAAAGAGAGATGTATTGTTGAGCAAAAGAAAGCAATCAAATGAACGCTCAGCTAATCGAATAAATTTAATGAAATAAAGAAAGAGAACGTTGAACTGAACGCGAGGAAAGTGAGGGGTCAGCTGATTGAAATGCAAGTGCGCTCTACGGAAAAAATATTTATTTTCGATATAATAACAATAGAAATGAGCCAAATTTAAGTCAGAAATGTTGTAAACAATTGAATAAAAAAATAATTTGTTACATAGAAATTTTTGCTTTAAAAATATTTTTCAAACTGCAGTACAAATAATTGGGGACAAGTTATCACGTGCCAGCAGAAAAACAATATGTCAGAGGTCACATGCACTCAAATTCGTCGTCGGGTCGAAAACATCAATTTGATCCAGGCCAAAGTATGAATACTTGTTCCGCATGTTCTTCACCGAGAATTCAATCTAATAATCGGAGACTGAACTGGAAAAGTACAGAAAACTTACGGTTCCATTGACAGAAAGGAATACTCGTTTGCATTGCCATGTTTTAGAAAATTTATCAAAAGGATCAGAGGCGTATAAACTCAAAATTAACTTTCAGATGACTATCATTTAATTTCAAAACTCACATTATTTTATCCTTTGATTCTAGTGACCATAAAACAACCTCAAATGTAGTTCCGTGAGACATTGAGAAAAAACAAAACTGCAAGCCATATGTACGAGGAATCATCAGTTTTCCTGTCGTAAAAGAGGCATCTCCAGGACCTTGAATATATCCAAAATCTCCATCTACAATACAAAAGCAATAATTTGCATTGATAAAATCGTTAATTTTTTCAACTAACCGAGGTTGTTCAGAATCCCAGTGAGTTTGGGTCCGACAGCTTCATCACTTATTTGCCATTTCTTTCCAAGTTTTTCCAAACATGTTCCAGAATCAAAATCACATTTTACACCATCGCAGACTGTTTTTGTAATGTTTAACAGTTTGGGGATATGCGGTACTGAAATTAGCTGGAGAATTTTTCAAATGAAAGTGTTTGTGTTCGCATACACATCTGACATTCATAAATAGCAGTGGCATTATAAGAAATATCGTCTAGGGCAGCGGCCCCACCTTGAGCACCAAATGCATCTAGCGTAAAGCCATATGCTTCGATTACTATCTGCAAAAAGAATCAAATCAGAACATTCATTAGGCCCTTGAAAGTACTTGCCTCAAACATATTGAGAATGCTTCCGGGAATCACCACGATTGCATTTTTGCTATTTTTCCTCTTCACACTTTCACTACACCATGAATATTTCCGTCCCATTGAAGGTGGTCTTTAAAGAAACATCTAGTTGATCAATCTAAATGAGACTAATTTTGCCCACCGTGTACAAACTCTAACTTTGACACCAGGTGAAGTCCAATAGCGGAATTTCAATAAGCCATCTCCCTGTTGGCATTGAATTGGGTCACTGACAAGCATTGCCGAATACAGTTCTGGTAATTTTTTTTGAATTCCAACAAGGAGGAAAAATCCATCTGAAGAGATTAAAACCGATGCTTAGGTTAAACACGTTCTGAACAATTCTGACCTGGCTTATCAGTTTTCATGAAAACACTTTCACCATCTTGACCCCAAGCGCCTCGCATTCTTATCCAGTCAAGTTCATCACCGTTGCCGTAACATCCATTTTTCTCGTTATGCCAACTGAAAAAATTGCATCGAACTTGAATGAAATGTCTCGTTAATTGTTTGCAACATAACATTTCTGATTCAATTAAATCACAAACATGTAAACATGATTTGATAAATGTTGATAGCAGTTCAGGCGATATTCAGTCACGTTACTATTGTTCAAAAGGTTTTTAGTTCTCAGTTCTTATCTCGACTACGCATTTTAGAACATTCTAGTAACTAACCGACAGGATCTCGTGAAAAACGAATCAAAGTCGTGACATTCTAAGTCGCAAGTACATTGTATTACGACATTTCCAAGAATAGAACCTTCCTTGAAGAACGGAAATATGATGTCAACATCGGTGTGCCCACCAAGCATTTCTGGAGAAATCAATTATGTTTTTTTGGTTGTGGATTCTAGAAGAGGTCAAATTTAACGTTACTTCTAAGTTTTGGCACTTCCTGACTGAAGTAAGCAGCGTCAATCAACTGACTTGTCGGGCATTGCGCTAAAGGAAATGATCAGGAATGCATGGAAGAATTGAGAAAAAACTCACCGAAGCTGATGCCAATTAACGCAGATTCGAGTAGAAATAGAATAAATAAGTGCATTTGGGAACGAGAAGAAAAAATAAGCAGTTTTTACTTTTCTTTTTCATTGTGAACAGTATATCCTTGCGGTTTTTCCGGAAAATTCGAATGCAAATAGAAAACTCGCTTTTTCTACATCTATTATACTTTTCACTGAAACACCGGCTTCCGTATCCGGTCAATTCAACAAAGCATTGCAAAAACTTTATTCATCTCAATGATTCGTACAAAAACATTATAAAGCAGTTTTATAACGCTTGTCAATATCAATATTTTGTGATTTCGCCAGCAAGCTCAGCACAGAATGTTCCAGTTTTCTGGGATCGTAGACACATTCTGCAAGTTGCTCGATTCTGGCCTCTAGATCCATCATTCGACGTTTCCAGCAGTTGTTCTGAAATAATTTGCTTTTCCGATGACCTATTTTGAGTGAAAACTACTTGATAAAGCGTCTGATTATAGAGTTTCGTCTGAGAAACTGAATTTTTCTTCAGTCCTGCATAATTCTTCTTTAAAATGGACTGTTCGGAACGCATTTTTTCTATCGTATCAGTTAACTGAAATTGTAAATTATTTGTGAATCAATCAAATGCATTATCACGTTTTTCAGATCATCCTCTTGTCTTATATTTTCCTCTCGCATATGTGCCAATTGTCGTTTCGCAATTTTCAATAGCGAGTCCATTTTTTCATTCTCCTCTGCCACAACCTCACGTTGCTTATTCAACTGTGCACACTACAAAATATATGATTGTACAACTTGCAAACATTCCAAATTGTATAATAACCATAGCTTTCAGGGACCAAATTTCAGCTTCCAACATCTCGGCATCCTCTTTATGTTTTGCTTTCAACTGCAGCGTGTTATTCTCTTCTTTCAACTTTAGCATCTCAATCCTTTTCTGCGCCTCCACAAGATCATTTCTCATCAGCCGTATAGTTCTTTTTTTCTATAACAAAAAACGTCTTATCATGCAAACATCTCCTCCTTCCATCAAGTGCCCCGCCTACTTTTTCGTTTTCCAGGAGATACTTTGACGCTTGAGAGTGTAATTGTTTTTCGGTGATATGGAATGATACTGTCATTTCCATGTGTTTTTTTTCTGCTTCTTTTCGTACTTCTCTGATCTGAACGGAACTATAAAAATTATCATCAGTCTATCATAAAAAGCAACAATACTTCATGTTGCTTCTCGTCCAATTGCCGAAATGATTTCCGTATTTGATCCTCAATCATACTTTCGTATTTCTTCTTCTGGTAACTATTTTCATCTTCGTATAATCCTTTCAAGTTTGCAATAGTTTTCTGCTTCATCATTTCCGATTCCTCAAAATCTTTCTCAAACTTCTGCAACTTGTCAGTATAAGTCTTTTCTATTCATTTAATCGCTTGCCTCAACTTTATCCTTATATTTTTTCATGGTGTCATCAAACTCCGCTTTGATTTGTTGCATGTCGGTTTTGGTTTTTGAAATGAACATTTCCAGAAACTTTTCAGTGGTTTCCTTTATCAAGTTTCGCTCAGCATTTATATCTCGCAGTAATGATTTCTGCAAAAACGTAACGTTCGAACTTAGAATTTCGAACTAATTATCCGCTCACCAAATTAACAACACTATTAAAATCACACAATATCACGTCGCTTTCCACTTCATTTTGTGAATTTAAGCTTGATTGTTTAAAATTTAACATCCCCACGCTTCCATTTTCATAACCTATTATCAAATCATCATCGGAAACTCTTATCTGAAGTTTGGAATGCAAAACAGTGATTATACATATATACCGTAGATATCCGTGTTTTTCTGATTTTTGACTTGACGACAAAAGGTTCATCAAGAGATGATGCTTGTGCGCATAACAATTCTCCATTATCAGCAGACACAAAAACGTGTTCATTGTTTCCTCAAAGTCAAGAATTATTGTTCTACTTTTCCGCTTAAAAACTGTAATAACCTTCAATATACTCTGAGGTTATGGAAAATCCAACATCGGAAGCGTGCATATTAACGTTTGATAAATCCTATGTGAATAAGTTGATGAAATCATTACAGTATTCACTTTACATACCTTTCCATGCTTTATCCTAGTAACTATGAATTTTTGATTCAACAGTAGTAGGGTAGCATTTGAGTAGCCCATAGATTGGAAAAAGTGCAATTTATAATCAGTACTCCACAAGATCTTCCGATTCGCCAAGTCCACACAAAAAACATTGTCACTTTTTGTAAGAAACATCAGGTATTTATTGTCTTTGGAAAACATCATTTGCTTTGTGTCCTGTATAATATCAATTTACCCTATAACTATCAAAAGTGTTGAATACTTTTTTCACCGTCACTTCTTCGGACATTAAGATAGATCGGTCTTCGACGCGAAAAACAATGAATCCAGTCTCATATAAGATTGCTAGCGTAGACATGTCGTATGAATCAACAGCGGCCCGCAAATGGAGAAGATTGATTGATTTGTTTCAATTACCGATTTGACACTTGGACACTAACCATTATTAGTTTCCTCTCAAATAGTGTATCATTCGCCTTCAACTCATCCAACATTATTGTAAAACATTCCACACTTGTTTTGGTGATAAAAAGCAACTTGTGTGATTTTGCAAGGATTGTGAAGAAGAACGCGTCTATGATACAACCAGAACAAAGAACACGGCTGAAGATTTGAAAGAAATTTTGAAAACAGTAAAGTTGATATGAATTTTATCGTTACTGTCTATCAAGATGTTACTCACCTTGTAGTTTTTGAAAACACTCCAACAAATCCCTGTGTATCCAAAGTGACAACAATTGAATCGGTTGATCGGACACAAACGATCTTCTTGCAATGCCTCACGGCTATCACGTCACCTTTGAAAGAGTTGACTTGCGATAAAAATGGAATTGGTATGCTTTGTAATGAATTTCCACTGTCAAAAAGCAATTGATCTTCGGAGAAGTTGAAGGAAAGTGTATGAGAAAATCTTAGTTCGAAATCAGAAGCCTAAAGTTGATTTGTTATTATAATAGATCAAAAAATGATAGGCTGTATTTTTACAATGAAAGCTTTGCTGGACTCCCAAACCGGTCCACTTTCTACGCTTGAATCAAACAACAATATAACTCCAGATTCAGCTTGACAAGCAAGCCTTCTAGTTGTGCTCCGAATCGATATTATGCCAACATTAACAGAATCGTTCAATACACTTCAAAAACAGATTGATTTTTGCAATAACTAACACAAAGCATTACGTCTCAGTTAGTTTTCGTATGTTCACAGTATCCAAAAGGATAGTTTCGCGATAAATGTGCAAGAATCCCAATTTCGTACCAAAAATGATATTTACATCGTTGGCCCAATCATGGCACGTGACTTCCGGCAAAGATATTGTAGAGAAATGTTCGATATGCCCTCCACTGGCCCGTAACAAGTAGGCCGTGCTTCCACCGAGAGCACAGAGAACTCCTTCATCAGCCGGACAGAACGAAGTCTCCCATGTTTCTGCAATCTTCTCCGTTATAATGTTGCCAGTGCAGTTGTTGATTCCATCTCGTAGATCAAAGGTCTGAAGGAAAACTCGTTCTTCCAGAACGGATAAACAAGATATTATCTGAAAAAGGAAGAATGAACGTTTTTTTCTGTAAAAAGTATAATCCTACTTCGGCCGCTTGAGAAATGCATAATTCAGTAGCTAAATACCGTGTTCCGTGCGTAACTTTCTCTTGTATAGTTGTAGATTCTAATGAGAATATAGTTATTTTGGCAACATTATCCTCTTCAATAGCCAATGCAAATACTGAAAAGTCGTTGGAGACAATCATGGCTGTCGCTCGTCCGGGCACGTCTAATATTGTAACTTTTGGCGATTCCTGCGCCAAATCAATGTACTTTACACACCCGTTCTCTAGGAAAATGACAGTTTTTTCGGAGGCGAAAGCAGCTTTTTCATAGCCAGAAACAGATATGATTTCACTTAGACCGGGCGAACTGGTCATACTGTTTTGAGTCTATAAAGAGTTCTGGAGATTTCTGAGTGATGACCTAAAGGTTCGTTTGTTTTCTTCATACAAAATCAGCGAGAAATTACTTTGAACCAGTTGGGATCGTAATTTTTGAGCTTCAACGCAAGCTCCGATCTGAGAAAATCCCTCGTCTCGTCCTTGTCACTTTCCTCGCTATTTTCCCTTTGCGCTGTATTCGAAACCTGTCAAGATCAACAGATATTAGATATAAAACTACGTGCGATTGCATCACTTTTTTGCTGCGATCTTTCTTGATGATTTGGACTGCCACTTTAGCAGTTGAATACTTTTTTGCACCTACGAAACTTGACTCAGATCGGGATGCAGTCAGATTATTCATAGCTGGTCATTGTAATAGTCGAGTTAGGGAAAGGAGTAGGGGCGGTCGGTGTAAGTGTCAAGAATTTTCGAGTTGTGCAAAAAGGTGGAAGAAGAATTGTATAGTCTACTGGTTTAAATTATTTCCAGTTGAGTTGAATTGCATTTCCTGTGCGTTTTCATTTTCACTTTTGAGCGCCAGCTAACAACTAAAATTTTTATTTCTCCTACAGTGAATACGAGAAACACATGCATTTTTAGTGGAAATGTGAAGAAAAATGAAAATGAACAAACGCAAATTGATTAGTTTTTAAGCTGACTTGGCATGATGAATCCAACATTTGACAGGAAGCTGTCTTTGCGAAGTATTCCTGGAAGTCTTGCGTTATTAAATGTGACTCAACCAAGTGACATACCAACAATCGGCCGGCAAATCGGCTTAATTGGCTTCAGAGCATCTACTACTGACGGTGAAGGCATTTGTGGAATAGGCGCGAACACCAGAGTGGGTGTGGTCTGAGGGGTCGGCGATGGTGTCTGAGCTTGATCTTGAGCTTGAACTCCATCCGTGGCCGTTGCCATCAACGAAATCGTGTTCACCTCTGGAATGACCAGTTTTGGAGGTTGAAGCATTTCCTCGACGATGTCTATCATCTGAAAACACAATAACGAGTTGCTGAGACTTGGAATGTTAGTGACGTACTCGAACTTTCTCGACGGAAGTGCGATGAGATCGGCAGCGATGAACAGTGCTCATCATTGGGAATGACGTCATCTAAAATTTTTGTTACTGTTTTTGCACCTATTTCGCAAACGCAAGTACATTAGAAGGGTGCTGCAGTCGCTACGCGGATGCTCAGTTCGCAAAGGCCGAAGCAGATAACGGAGGTGCTAATCCAGTCGGCTGGGAAAGACAGAATGACAGGCTTGAAGGAAATGATTCCTGAAAATTAAAAAAATGAGCCCAACTATCTCGAACTATTGCTTAGTACCGTTGATTTTTGGAATAAGAGACGACAGTCTATAAGTCAACTCGTTTGTTTGAGAAATCAGCATAGTCCGGAGTACAAGTTGAAATCCATAAATTGTAGACGGCTTTGAAAACAGAAGACGGTTGAACGCGAGGTGAAAAGTAGTTGCACAGAAGATTCTATTAGAATCAATGAAGATCCGATTCGGTCAATGTTGCCTTTATATACAACGAGGAGAGGTTTGCCCGAATGGGCGGGTCACACGATCGACATTGGGCTTTCCCGGTCAATATCGTCCCCCCGTCTTTTCTTCTCAAACAGTTATGGTAAGTAGGTGTGCTTTGAAATAATCAGATGACTGACTGCTTACTGATTGTAGTGTCATACAACACTAATCAAATGAAGGCCTGGGGGGGGAGAGGTTCAAAATGATATGAGTGCATAATGGTTCTCTGAAACACCACGGTCATTTGCAACATTCTTTGATGATTCAATCAAAGTTTTCAAGTTGTTGTTCACGTGAACATAAAAAAAAATCAACCTAACTAGTTTGAAGTACATAATTAATTGAAATTGAAGTGGATACGTACGTGATAAAGATAAGTTCATTCTTATCTTTGGGCTTGCAATGTACTGTAGAATGATTTTGCAAGTACGAACGGATAAATTGTCTGACACTTTAGCTTCTCTTTGTTCGGCGTATTTTGTGTACGACACTGTTTATTATAGAATCAAAAAACCAACTACGGAAAAGTTGAGGGAACCCCTTACAGACACGTTTCTCTTTCAAATTAGCCGCTGGGTTGATCTAAGATTTATTGTGGATATATAAGCTGTATCCATTTCTCGTTTCGTTCTTCTAACACCCCGATCCGCCAGATCGTACTTTGGAGGGGTCAGGGCAGTGTTCTTCCTAACACCGTACCACTTCTTCTATTCTACACGTAAAATTGTCATGTGCGCGCAGTTTATGGTGCGAAAAATGCGTTTGCATGCCACTCGGAATAAACAACTAGCATTGCGCTACTACGGTCTTGCAAGCGGGGGGCCCTTCTCCGTTCAGAAAAACAACCGAAAAGTTTAAAGGTTGGTGTTGAGAAAAAAATAGAATCAAAAGGCGGTGAGGCGGCTTTTAGGCGGCTTTTATAATTTCTTTCCAAAAACTTTTCAAAAATTGCATCACGTAAAAAGCAGATAAAGTTGCAAAACACCGAGAGTTGCGTGATTACCGATACGGTATCTCAGGGATCACTGATCAGGTTTACGGCCCGGCCCAAAATGATTTACGGCAGTACTTGTTTATCGTGATGATGCTCTTACAAACTTATTTTATGGTTACAATCCGTTTGCAACCGGAGCACACGAATTTTGAGGAAACATAACCATTTGTAGAGGGAGACAGTTGACTTCTTGCATAGCAATAATGTCAGAGAGAGGAAGAAAGAGAGATAGTTGACTTCTTGCATAGCAACAATTTCAGAGAGAGGTAGAGGGAGAGAGTTGACTTCTTGCATAGCAATAATGTCAGAGAGAGGTAGAGGGAGAGAGTTGACTTCTTGCATAGCAATAATGTCAGAGAGAGGTAGAGGGAGAGAGTTGACTTCTTGCATAGCAATAATGTCAGAGAGAGGAAGAAAGAGACATAGTCGACTTCTTGCATAGCAACAATTTCAGGGAGAGGTAGAGGGAGAGAGTTGACTTCTTGCATAGCAATAATGTCAGAGAGAGGAAGAAAGAGACATAGTTGACTTCTTTCATAGCAATAATGTCAGAGAGAGGAAGAGAGAAAGAGAGTTGACTTCTTGCATAGCAATAATGTCGGAGAGAGGAAGGAATAGGTGGTTAAGAGTTTGGCTTCTTGGATAGCAATAATGTCAGAGAGAGGAAGAAAGAGACATAGTTGACTTCTTGCATAGCAACAATGTCAGAGAGAGGGAGAGAGAGAGAGATGACTTCTTGCATAGCAATAATGTCAGAGAGAGGAAGAGAGAAAGAGAGTTGACTTCTTGCATAGCAATAATGTCAGAGAGAGGAAGAGAGAGAGTGAGTTGACTTCTTGCATAGCAATAATGTCAGAGAGAGGAAGAGAGAAAGAGAGTTGACTTCTTGCATAGCAATAATGTCAGAGAGAGGAAGAGAGAGAGTGAGTTGACTTCTTTCATAGCAATAATGTCAGAGAGAGGAAGAGAGAAAGATAGTTGACTTCTTGCATAGCAATAATGTCAGAGAGAGGAAGAAAGAGACATAGTTGACTTCTTGCATAGCAACAATGTCAGAGAGAGGGAGGAATAGGTGGTTAAGAGTTTGGCTTCTTGGATAGCAATAATGTCAGAGAGAGGAAGAAAGAGACATAGTTGACTTCTTGCATAGCAACAATGTCAGAGAGAGGGAGAGAGAGAGAGTTGACTTCTTGCATAGCAATAATGTCAGAGAGAGGAAGAGAGAAAGATAGTTGACTTCTTGCATAGCAATAATGTCGGAGAGAGGAAGAGAGAGAGTGAGTTGACTTCTTGCATAGCAATAATGCCAGAGAGAGGGAGAGGGAGAGAGTTGACTTCTTGCATAGCAATAATGTCGGAGAAAGGAAGAGATAGACATAATTAAATTGTACTCGGTTTATATAGTGACAGTGAAATCACGCCCCCTCGGTCACTCATCAACCGTGCTTCACCGCCACCACGCCCCTTTAGTTGACGATCACAAAGGTCGAGGAGGCGGGACCGCATAGCTCAGCTGAAGTTGCGAAACACCGAGAGTTGCGTGATTAACGATCCGGTATCTCACGGATCACTGATCCGGTTTTTTTAAGCCCAAAATGATTTACGGCAGTACTCGTTTATCGTGATGATGCTCTTACAAACACATTTTGCGATTACAAATAGTTGTTTCTGCGTTTTTCTGGTTCAGGCATCAGAAAAACGAATAAATTCCATAATGGGGCTATTCAGACTGTGAAAAAAATGATTGTTTTCCGTTTTTTTACGTCAAAAAATCCAATTCAGCGATGTAAAAAAACGAAAAAAACGGAAAACAAACATACGCTGAATAGCCCCATAAAGTTAAGGTACTACCAAACTCTGACAGCGTGGTATAAGTTATTTTAGCTCTGAACTAATCAACAGTTTTTTAATACAAAATGTTCATTCTGAAGAAAGTACATCAGACTAGAAATGATATCACTATATATATATATATGTTTTCATGACAAAGTTGGAACGTGCTGAAAATCTGAAAAAACTTGAGTAGCAATGAAATGAATTGTAAATCACAAAACTACCGAGTGGAGTCATCATTGTTTACAAATAGAATTGGGGAGTTCAAATAAATAGAAATCACACAAATGTGTTTTTACAAATTGTCAATGAATACGGTAGCGCCATGAGTGATACCGGCTTCCGCGAACGTCAAATCGCTTGAAAAACACTCTTCCTTAGGTTCAAGCTCTTCACAGATAAGAATGTCATAGTACCACTTGGGGAGGCATGGAACCGCTTTTTTTGGAAAGCTTTGATGCATTTGGAAGAACAGGGGGCACAGTTCGGACTTCAACGCTTCTTCGAACAACTTCTCGATGCTTTCGTCTTCATGGAATTTGACGACTTTTTTGCCAGTTGGGAACCGAATGAGAATATCGTGTGGTCCTGTCAGTGGGGTTTTGCTTTGCCGCAGTTGATCCTTATAGTTCTCGATTTTCTGGAATATTTTGACGTTGAAATAAAAACTTTCTAATCTAACCAACCTTCACCCGCATTTCCGACTCTTCCTTCTTCTTTTTATCTTCTTGCTCCGCTTTCTCTGCATCTTCTTTCTCTTTTTTCGAATTTGCAATACGTTCCAGATCACGTTGCAAACTCTCTTGGTATTCGCGATTTTGTTCTTGCATTAGTAAACGTGTCTCATTTCTTTCGCGGTCCTGTGCTATGCGGTCAGCTTCGTCAGCAATCAGATCGATGAGCGCCAAGTTGATATTGGTGTTCACAGATTCCGGATCGTGCAACTGGTCGATTAACAATCTCTGGAAATGACGAACATACAAAGGAATCTTTGTGAATTCATAAGTTAAACCGCTAAATTGAACAAGAAAATTTATTGACTGGACTACCACTAGTTAGCCAAAACACCTTCTGCCCCAAATTAAACCCAATCTAACTCACTCTAGTCAAAGAAGTTCCTCGAATAACAAAGACAATCACACAAGATTTACGAGTTTTTCCGAAGGTCCGGTCAGGACGCACTGAAAACACCAATTGCTATTGAGAAATACGTTTCTTAACGTACATCGGTTGGCATCATCTGAACCCATAATACACCCGAAGAACACTGCTCCATGATTTCGAACTTGCTCCGCAAAGTCAGAGGTGAAGAGGGATTTTAAAAAAGTATCATCGCCATGAGGGTTGTGCATGTAAGCAACCAGGAACTTCCATTCGTTTTGTTGAAGATCAGAACGGAGCTATAATAAATATAGATTGCTATTTGATATACGTAAAAGTTAATGAACAATATGAAGACAGAAAACATAAACACACATTTTGGAGTTGCCGTCCGTAAAACACCGATGCCTTCACTTGATTGAACTCTGAGTAATGCTTTTCAATGTATTCGAAGATGTGAGGATAAACTGTCTTTGGCATACCTGAAACAGGATAGTAATAGTTTGAAGCTCAGACTAAATAGGGTCTTACCAAACAAGTAGGCATACACCAAGTTTATGAACATCAACGGGAGTCTGACTGGCAAGGTAATAAACTGAGTAAACCACTGAAGAATCGAATGGTATCTGAACTGAAAACTGTGAAAAACCCTCAAGCATGGACTACAAACCTCGGGAGAACTGGTCCAGCTTCAGAAGCACTAGGTTCTGGCGTTGTATCTGGAGAAGAAGTTTGCTCCAAAGAACGGGAAGATGATTGGGAAGAAGATTGAGCAACTGAAGGAGATGGGAGGCTGTTGGATTGGACGGAAACTGATTCCGGCACGGTTCCCTTTAAATTTCATTATCAAATCAAAAAAAAATCAATTTACCTCAAAGAAATGGCGAATTGCAATTTCAATGTCAAAATTCGTTCTGGTCAAATAATTCAAAGCCACGTTTTCCTGACAATTGGTGATTTCCTGCAAAATTCCAATCGTATAATAAGAAAACAACAATTGTAATTTGTACCATCATTTGAGCGAGCAACGCTTCCCGACTGTTATCCATGTTGTTTGTAAACGACTAGCAGGCGAGATAACTGAAAATTACTATGAAAAGAAATAATAATCAATGCGAATGCACAGAAGTAAGAATTAATAAATAACGAGAAAGCAAGTAACAAAACAACAATATTGTGGAATGCAATACCTTTCACGCAGATGTCTCTCTCTAGCACTTGCTAAACGTGTACGTACTAAACAACGAGCTGGCGGCATATCGGAGTGTTGTATTAGGCTGAAAGTCAATAAATGATAAAATCTGAGAGAAAAAACAAAACGCTGTGCAAATATATATAGGTTAGTAATGCATATGTAAATAGTCAGATGATCTGAAACGTACAAACATTCTAGACGATTTTAACACCAAAAAATAGTGTTTTGTGTTAAATCAACCAAAATGGCGGTGCAATCCGTTACGGAACACTATGAACAAGACTTTTATTAAAAAGTAGTAAATAGTATAGCACAAACTTGCAAGCAAAAGAGCACATTGAGCATTTCAAAAGGGACCAAGGTTCTGTCCCTAAGCAACGTTGGACACGCTCGTTTTCTTTTTGACAATGAATACGAATACGAAAAAGCAGCAGTCAACAATTATAACTGACCACTGGAATGTTTCGCTTTACGACGCGGACGTTACTTTTTCTGACTTTTGCGGTCATTGCTGTTACTAGTGGTAAGTTTATCCTTGAATCAGTGTAAACTACAGTTTAACAGCATTTTTGTTCAGATGAGAGTTGTGGAGAAAATCAGTTCAAGTGCCATGACGGTAGATGCATCACCAATGATTGGGTTTGTGACGGTGCCAGGGATTGTACGGACGGTTCTGATGAATTACATGACGCATGTGACAGACATTTGAACAGTTATTTTTAAAAATCTTGAACGGTTCTATCCTTTTACTTTTAGGTGATTCGCCATGTTTCGGAAACCAGCCGGAATGTGAGAAACATGGTTCGAGAAGGTGTATTCCACATGAATGGTTATGCGATGGTCATCCAGTATGAGGTGTTTGGAAACATGCAAATGAATGTTTAATTAAGGATTGTGACAAAGGAGAAGACGAGGCCAATTGCTCCACAATATTTTGGTTCCGATCACCGGAGTCTCTTATGCAAAAGTATCAAAAAGAAACTTCTAACCGAACAACTACATTGGGTGTTTTCCCTTGTCAATTCAGGTGAACCATAATTTCATTAATTATTTTAAGAGGTTTTTTTCAGATGTGACGATAATAGGGAATGTCTTGACTTCTCGCTCGTATGTGATGGAAAATCGGCCTGTAAAGATGACAGCGATGAGAAAAATTGTTCAAAAAAGGCTAATACAGTGGAATTGACAACAGAGAAACATAGCAACTTAACGACCACAACTGTTCCGCCCTCAGTGATAAACAGTACTAATGAAATGACTATTACAAAAAGTGAGCAGAATTGTATTTTTAATCAAAACATTATTTTTATCAGATATTAATTTGGAAGAAATACTGTCAAGCACCAGAACTACAACTGTGTCGATGACAACTACAAAACCTCCCACTACGACTTCTCTCCATGAAAAAGGCACGGAGCAGCACAAACTAACTGACATTCCTTATCTTGAAGCTCTTACTGAACAAATTACGTCAACTATAGTGTTAAAAGCAAACACTTCAACACGAACAACTTCAAGTCCATCAACTTCAAATCCTACAACAACGAATTCAACAGCTTTACACCTAGCAACAAGTCCACCAGCCACAAGATCGACAATGATTTTTCATGCAGTAACGACCAAAATTCGAGAGCCGGCAATAAGCGTTAACAAAACACGAGTTGACAATAATTATGTGGAAAGTTCTGGAACGTTGTCTGTTAATTCTGCAAATTTACTAACCCCAAGACTTTTGAAAAGTAGAACTGGAATTGCTGAACCTGTGAAATTTGTGAAAGGCGTTCCAATTGAACCTGTCAATTATCAGAACGCATCTTCAGAAATTGATTGGTAACTTCACCTGAAGTACTCTGTTTTATTACATTTTTGAAAAGTGTCTTTCATGTCTTCCATCTCATTTTCAACTGTTTTATTCGAAAATAAATGTGAATATGTCATATCATGAACAAAAATCGAGCTCTATCAAACTTCGAGCGAAATAATGTCAGCAGAAGTTCAAGAAAGAACAAACGACGAAAAATTCTAATGCGTGATTATTTTCTCAATTTAGCCGTTCCACGTGAGGTTCTGCACCACCATGAAAATTTCGGAAGTTTTTAAAGGCGCAGCACAAAAACGTCAAGTTGTAGATAAACACCAGAGGATTCCGATTCTCCTAACTCCGAGACCCTTCAAAATATTCAATAATCCGTCTGTGTTAGGCCTCAATTTTTCGGACTTATGTAAGAGTGCGTAGTTTTAATTAAATTAAAAATTTGATTTCAGTCTGTCGCTTCTGCTGCAAAACGTGGAATGCTTTAATACGCCCGCTCGCTAAACTGATCGAGTTATTTGATAAAGGAATCATTGACCGCTTATCTATATTTTGACCGAATCATTTGACGTCGCTGATTCTGACTATAATTTTATTGTGCTTTTTATTACGTTTCAGCGTGGAGTCGCAACACTTTCACTTGACCCCCTCTTCTCTCCAAAAAAAAAGCCGTTTTGTTTGCAGCCTGTGGTTGTTGGGAATGCCAATTAATTTTGGTAGAAATGCGTTTGAGGTGAGATTATTAAAATTATACTAACAAAAGTAAACAAAAATCATTTAGGGAAAGTTAAACTTGAGCTCTCAGCTACTGCAATGGTTGGACCATCGAATACCCATTGGAGATCCGATGAGAATTACATCTATGGACTGCTATAGGCATTTAGAAGATTTAGGAAATGGACGTTTTGGAACTGTAAGACCAATTTTCAGTCTAAGTATAACAATTATCGAAATTATTTTTAGGTATGCAAGTATATGAACAATAACACAATGCTTTGCGAAACAGCGAAAAAAGTAAATATGGAAATTTTCGATCATTGGACACAAGACGCTGGAAAACTGTCAAATGTTTGTCATAAAATCAACCTTTCCTAAGTGAGCTCATGCATTTCTTTCAGAGGCTCGACAATTTCATATCAGAGTTTCGTCACCTGCACAAAATCACGAATGATAACAATCGGATTGTTAACTTTTTGGGTATATACGCGGACAAGTTAGTTCAGGAGGTGACGCCTGACACCAAAACTCAAAGAATTTCAGTCAACAATTATACATAATGTCGGAGTATTTGCCGCGAGGTTCGGTTAAAGATCGAATAATGCGGGAGACAATAGCCGAGGACAATGCTATCAAGTATTTGATGGAAGTGAGCTCTTTTTCCGATGCTCAGGGAAAAGTAAACGTTTACAGACTGTAGAAGCTCTTCACTATCTTCATACTTTAAATCCGCCTGTAATTCACCGGGATATCAAAGCTGCCAACCTACTAATTACTTTGAGTGACAGTATAAAACTAGGCAACTTTGGTTTGGTCCGTGATTTGGCTATTGACGGCTTTGGAATTGCTGTCGCGTCGGAAATCACAATGGATTTCCGTGCCACGCTCTTGTACGTTGCCCCAGAAGTGTTGAGCAGTAAGCTTGGTCCCGGAAATCGAAAAGCATATGAACTTCCAGCCGACATTTGGTACTCAAATTGCTCGAAAATGTCAAAACTTAAACTTGTTCATTTCAGGGCTCTTGGATGCACTTTCATTGAAATGTTGCTAAAGTTACCACCTCATTTTGAGTACTTTGGTCATATCAGTGAAATTCCGCAAGTTCTGCTAGGCTACGCGAAAAGTGTTGACGGAAAAGAGTTGCCGTACACGTCAGAAGTTCTTGTGCCATCTTCCTCAAAATGTGTTCAAAAAATTGTCGACCTAATGTTTGTAAAATCACCGGAAAGACGGCCAAATACAAAAAAATTGAGGCAACAGGTTAGTTCATCCAACTTTTCTTGTCTTTGTCATCTAAGTATTAGGTTGTTCGGAAAGTTCCAGTCATTTTTCATAGTATGTTTTTGAAGATTGTTTTTTCAATCGGGAAGCAAGCGACTCAGTTGTCGTTTTATCAGTATGTTGGTAGGGTATTGAAGTGTCAACACAGCAACGGATATCATTCTCCTGTTCCCGAGTAGTGAGATATGCCGAACGTTTTCGTCTCTAACAACTTACATTTCCGAAATGTAATCTTATTTCTATTCCTATCTGACCTGAAAATGCCGACATTGATCGCCGTTTCACGAAGGTTTACAACAAAGATGCACCCACTCGAACTACCATTAGCACTTGGTTTCATCGATTCGAAAAAGGAGAATTTTTGATGGATGATCATCCACGTTCAGGAAGACCGATATCGTTAGACTTGGACGCATTGAAAAGCGAGATTGAGAGGGATCCTCTTCAATCCGTCCGTGAACTATAAAGGACACTTGGGGCGAGCCTATCATCAATTAGTCATGGACTCGAAGCAATTGGCAAAGTCAAAAAACTCGGAAGATATGTTCCGCATGTTTTGACTCAACACAACTTGGATACACGTGTGGATACCTGCTTGAATCTTCTCACCCTGCATCGCACACATGGATGGTCGGATCAAATCATTATGGGAGACGAGAAATGGGATATGTATGATAGCAGTGAGCGACGTGCCGAGTGGGTTGACAAAGAAGCTCAGCCAGCTGACGGGCCAAAACATGAAATACACGAAAAAAAGGGGTTGTTATCAATATGATGGTCTGTCCGTGGAGTTGAATATTGGGAGCTACTTGATGACGGCGTCACTATTACGACCGATGTCTACACTGGTCAGCTGAGAAAACTCAGACTCCATGTGGATCTCCATTGGGGGAAAAATGCGAAAGTTTACTTTCTGCATGATAACGCTCATCCCCATGTCGACAGAAAGGCCAAAGCTGAACTCGCTGGATACGGCTGGCCAATCTTGTCTCACCCACCGTACAGCCCAGACCTGGCCCCTCTGACTACCATCTCTTCAGTCCCCTCCAACGCCATCTCAGTGGAAAAAAGTTCAACTCAAGACAAGATGTCAAAATCTAGTTGGCTTCATTTTTCGACTCCCAGCCGCAGGAGTTCCGGAAGGAAGGTATTCACAAGTTGGTGACACGTTGGCAGACAGTCATCGGAAAACATGGGCAATATGTCTAATTAATTGGATAACTCTTTGACTTGTTTCACTATAAATTTTTCTGAACCCAAAAATGACTGGAACTTTCCGAACAACCTAATACAACAACCTTTAGATAAAGAAGATTCTCGAGGACTGTGGAGAAAGTGACGGAGAAAGCGATATGCTTTCATCTGCAAGTGTGAGTTTTTCAACCGATTCATCCATTGTTTATGTTATTCTGTTATTTCTAGAATAGTAGCACTGATGGTGTCACGGAATCATCATCAGGCCCTTCAAACGAAAGGAAAATAGGAAGGGTTGGAAGTTGTTTACCAATTGAAGATTTGGAATACAATGTAGTCACAAGAAATGAGCCAAAAAAGAAGAAAATACCAAAGCAAAAAGGAAATAGCGCACAACTAATGGTCGCAGGAGGCTATTATCTTTCTCGGATAATTTATTTCCTGAGTCAGTGTTTTTATCACAATATAATACGACTTATATGCGTTTCAGACATACTCAGCCGCTCGGTCTGTTATCTTTTAATGTTTTTATCGCTTGGAATCGCCACTCTGAGTCTTTTTCTGCTCATTTCCTTTTTCGTCGTTCGATTCGTTCGCTACGTCATTGGTCTTTACTGCCACTGTGATCTCATGCAACCGCAATATTTGATAATTTCTGGAATTTTGATAGTTTTGATGTTTGCACTCTTGTTCAGGTAAGATTGTTTCAAATAAATTGTTGGGAATTTAACATATTTCAGTTGTTGTATGGTCGCACTTGGAGAATACAAGTTTAGAATGGCCAATCAAACGCTGGATGGGTCCAGGTTCGAGTTTTCCCGGAATTATTGTGCTATTATAAAAATTATTGCAGATTCTTCGTCTCCCGACCGCAAAAATCAGCGGTTTTGTGCGGGGTTACTGTAATAACTGGAAAAGAGGACATACCAGAAGTGAGAAAGTCCTTGGAAGAAGAGCCTACACTTTTAACCTCCCTGGTCAGAAATCATGATGATTATTACTATGATACTCCTTGATTAAAACAACTTGAATGCTATAATCAAAAATTTATTGAAACTCTTGAATCTCTTTTCACAAATTTACGTACAAATGATTGTGAATTCTAAAACAAATTCATTTAGGCTTTTCTGACTAAACAAAACCCGTCTTGAAAATGACCAATGAAATGACCAATAAAGTGTACTTAGGCTATCGTTCACTGATTGTCACACTTTTGTACATTAGGTAGATAACATATCCTCCAAACGCAGCCGATATTATCTGAAAACGAAAAAAAGGACTTTTCCAGTTTGCAAATTTAGATTTACCACTAGAAGTGACACAAAAAAACGTTCTTCCACATTTTCCAGTGTTCTCGGTTTTTTGTCGCACTCCAAATCGAATCCTACAATAATTGAGCAGTCGTTTTTTGAAGGATAAACATGTGTGGTGCTCAAGTTCTTTGTAAACACTTATGGAATCAAACATGTACATGTCATACTTTTTGTTAATGTTTGAACATTTCACTGTAATCGTTCAGAACATAAGATCAACAAGATCGCTTGACGTTTGTCAACGTTTTCGCGTGAATTTTCAAAAAGCTAGAATAGCATCACTATTCAAACGGGTGAATGAATTTAATGTTCAGTTGAAACTGTAAACAATGAAATTTGAAATGATTTTCAGTACTAAAAAAATACGAGCTACCTAAGCTTCAGCAATAAAGACAAAGTTACCAGAAGATCTATTCATCTTTGGAAAAAATAGGACAGCAAGGCAATAGTTCAGATGAAAATGGGTCAGCCAAACTGATAGCAAACTAAATTCGATGGGCGGGGTCTGAGAATATCTGAGAAATGTCAACAAACTTGCACATCGTCTGCGTTTCTCAAATTGCTGGTTTTACTCATTCCGTACTCTTTGAAAACGTACATCGGTTACATCCAAAGAGTCGAGGAGCACAAACAGATAAACGAACTTTTAATTGCGCAGAGATTTGAGAGGTTTTGGCCTTTTAGCTCGTGTAGATCTGTTCTATGGTTTACATCTGGATGAGCAAACAGTGTGAAAGAAAAAGGATGCGTTTATAGAAACAAGACAAACAACAATAACCATTATCATCATCAGGGACTATCTCTAGATCGTCAGAAACTGATTTACTTTCGAATTTAGAGCTCAGTTTCCCATTTGTGAACAAGAGTGTTGAATTTCCATTCGTCCGGGTGTCCGACGTGGCTCACCTTATCCTTCTGAACACTTTTTCCATTGAAATTTGTAATGTCAGACGTAAAACTTACAAAATCAAACTCGCTCCACTTGAACGAAGGAACTTTGCCCCAGGTTGGGCCTCCTTGAGCAACAAATTGAAGCTTCTTCATGAGTTCAGCATTCGTTCCCTACAAAATACTTTGGTAACCCGGTCATATTCACTTTTTTGGGTACCTTGTAGTCAAGAGCACCGTGATTCACATGTCCCTGTCCTGGAAACTCGTAAGTTCCATTCGCCGGGTTCAAGTCACCACGAGCAGAAATGGCGGCCTCGGCCGAGTATGGCGGGTTGCACTTGCACTTAGAGAACTCTTCATTTTGATAATCGTTGTATCTGAATTGTTATCAGTCATCAATCATTTGCAACGCTCATCAAATCAAACAAACCTCATAAGCGCGGTCAAAGTATTCAAATCGTGAACTTTAATATGATCACGATCGAAAATCTTTGCTCTTGGGGATGCTCCCCATTTGAACCAGTCTCCGAGCTTGGCCGCCTGTCCGATGAATCCGGAAATCTCGGTTATCTCCTTGAAGAACGGGATGTTGTAAGATGGGAAGTAAGAGTACTTTTCAATAAACCAGGTCAAATCGGAGTACACAATCTTTCCTCTGAAAGTGGTTTCTTTGAGTAAACCTTTATATTTGTGGGACGTACGGCATTTGTTCCAAAACGTAGAAGAGTCCGAACTTGGGAAGTGGTTGGTTCGGGATGAATTTCTTGTAATCCAGAACCGCCCATTGGTTATTATAAGTTCCGGAATTGTACAGCGAGTAGATCTTGCACCATTCTCTAGCATCACGGGCGAGTTGGTTGGAAACAATAGCTCTAACCCAGGTTGGGAGCTGCCCGACTGGTTTGGTGTTCTCAAAGAGGGAAGTATTGAAGACACTGATTGTAGTTTCAATAACGGCCTGTAATAAATACAAATTGTAATTTTCACATTTTCTAGTTCAAACTTACCAATCCAGAAGTCTGAAGAGCGAAGTCATCGGAAGAGTACAAAAGTCCTGGGTACGAAGAGAAAGCACTAGCGTATCCTGGGTAGAACTGGCGGTCTGAACAAAGAGACATTATTGATGCTATTTTTTTAAATCAGCATACCATATCCAAACTTGTAGAGCTTGATAACTCTGAGCATGTTTTGGAATCCAGACATAGTCACTTGGGAGATGAATAAGTCAGCATTTCCTGGAGCAACTTTAATCAGTCCAGAGCATTTTCCACCAGTTTGCTCAAAAGCTGGGTCTCTAGTCTTATTCAGCTTCTTTTCCAAATCATAGAAGTCTCCGTTCAAGTTGAGGTAGAGAATCGGGTGAAGTTCATACGTGATTCTTGGGTTGAACTCGCGGCCTTCATATGCGTCAATGAGTCCAGAAATTTGATGATAGGTTCTGTTGACTGCTCCCCAATACAAGTCATCCGGGGCACTGGTCTCCAAACTGCTCTGAATCCATTTCTGGTTCTCCGTGAGGAAGTCGGAGAGTCTGGTGCAGTATCCTGTGAAGTTCTTGCAATAATCTTCTTGTGCGTTTTTCAAGTGATAGGAGAGGACGGTTTTGGACAGGAGACCCTCGAGGTATCCAGCAGAATAGGCTTGGAGTTGAGGACAGTAGTTTGCTTTGGTTTCGACTTCCAAAAAGGTCCATCTGAACAGTTAAATGATCAAACACTAAAAATGAAATGATAATGTGAAGATAATGACAAAATTTAGTTGAAATGTCATCATCAGACAAACATACCCAGTAGTATTCACAGCGTTTTGCCATCTTGCAACAGCAACTTGATTACGGCAATCAAATCCTAAAGGTTAAATTGAGAGAAAAAGTATAATCATGATGACTGACCATCAAGAACTTGAGCTTTGGAATCCACAATGCAGAGCTGTTTGTACGTGTACTTTTCATCTCTTCCTTCCGGGTTCTGTGACAGCACTAGGCCAACTGAGAGAAGATATACCAACACTAGAAACAGTTTTTATGGTTTGAAAATTAATGTTAATTTACCTCTCATTTGGGAAGCGTTGGGGTTTGAGGTTGAGCTGTGCGAAAACTAAATGCGAGACGCTTATCAAAAGTTTCAGTCTTGTGTTATCAGTAGTCTTGTCTTTTCCTTTCTTCATATTACATTAACATATTCTTATCTTCTGATTTTCGAAAAGATTCGACAGAGAAAAGAGAGGCAAGGCGAAACTTTTTCAATTCATTCAGAGCTGATGACCGTTTACTGAGTGAGTTACACGATTCGGGAAAAATAAACGGAAAATGAGGCAATGAGGGAATTTTTCAAAACATTTTACAAGTCTTTTGTGTGAATATTGTACATTTCTCGAGTGACAAAACTTTGCCCGTCTGAAGGAAGGGGGCTCGGGATAAAGCAGGATATTGCGATGAAAGCCCAACGTGTACCCAGTGACTGCTTGAGATTTTCGATAAATCCAAGTTGGAAAGCGTGTACGTCCTGAAAAATTATCAGATAATAAAAAAACCGAACATGTTGAATACTCACCATCAAGTACTCTGGTCTGGTTTGTCCTTTGTAGATACAGAAAGCCTGAGCGGCAGCTAGATAAAAGCCGAAAAATGCCACTGTGAAGGTCAAAACGAAGAGGAGGACATGAAGAAATTGGTAGATGGTGATGAATCCAAAGACCCAGGCAAGATGAGGAAGCATCACTTGCCAAATGTTTCCAAAAGAAACACCGTTTTCAAACTTGATGTTCAGCAGGCTCCATGCGTACGAGACAAGGGGAATTGTCAAACAGAGGAGGTTGATCACGGCTGCCACAAAATATCTGAAAGTAAAAAGAGAAAGGTAAGTCAGATGTTTTGGTTCAAAGATACCTCTGGTTAAAATGGCCGACACAAACACCTCCGAATGAGCAATGATGATCACGGCGAAGAACGCAGATGTCGCACACTGAACAATTTAGTTGCAATTTCTCTTAATGAAAAAATAGAAACATACCCGGACAATGATACGCTCTTGGAGGGGAATTTACACGACACGAGTGGCAGAATCTGTACCCCGGCTTGACGATATTTGGAAGAATTGCACTTTTGCCGCTTGGCCCGACTTTCAACATCATAACCCAGTTTGAGTACAGATTGAATACCAGAAATGTGATGGGTACGACCCGCAGAATCCATGCTTCTTCGAATGCTGGAAACCATGTCGGGAGGACATAGAAAAAGTGCAGGAGAATTCCAAGTGGAAAGAAGATGAGCAGAATTGCTGTGGCTATCTGAAATTTATATTCACTTCTACGCGTCAACAATTTATCGATTTTACTGGTACTCCCTCCACTAGACGTGAAACAACATTAGTTGAGTGGAAAAATGACTCACAATATCTTGAATTTGCGTTGGTATCATCCGTTTGATTTTTTTCTGAAGATCTAAATGGTTTTCGTCATCGCCGTCGTAGGAGAGCTGCATTTTCTTCCTTTCTGAAAAGAAACTGAAAAATGTTCAACTTTCAAGATCAGATTGCGATAAGTTTTCGGTTGAGTCAGCGGCAAAAAATACGTCATCGAATGAATCATCGTGTTACAGTTTATCGAAAGAAAGTTACGCCAAACAGTGTGTTTGATTCTAAATCTATTTGAAAAGAGCAGTAAGAGTAAGAGCGGCACCGCAACGTCGAGTGGCTCTTGTCTGTGCACTCCAGTTGCCGAACACTATTTCACGCGTTCTGCTGTCTGCAATCTCGCCCATAGCGTGCCGCCGTTGTGTTACTGCGTTGAGAAAAGAGGAAAGTATAAGAGAGTGAACAAAGCAAATTTCATATGCATTACTTACATACATAGAATTTTTCAATGATATAGTAAAACAAAAAATGAGCAACAGGGTTTCAGTGAAATGCCACTTGCAATTAGCGATATTATTAGTTATCTTTTCATAATTGATATAAATTAATATATTAGTAGGTTAAGTTTACTAAAATGAACCGAGAAAAAAAAACGAAACAAAACGCGTTCGTTTTGTTAGCCAGAGGTCAATTATTATTGCAATCAGGATAAGAGCTGATATGGCATGGTTGGTTCCCGATGATTGATCAAAACAATTATGCTATTATCACTCTAACAAAGTGGCTTAGCCGTCTTCAGTGGTCCCTCGTTCTCCACAAGTCCGATTCCATCAACAGCACATGCTCCCTGGTTGGTTCGTGTGTTTTCGCAGATGAAAATGACCTGCAAACGGAAATTTTTCGTTGAAATGTTAACGGCTTGCATCATAATTCTCAATTTGCACTGCTGACAAACACACCTTATCAGTTCCCTTGGGGCATTTGAAAGAGGCAGTCTTCCAAGCACGGTCAGCAACTGTGACAAATTTGTCGGAGCTGAAGGGGCAATTCTCGATGGTCGAACAGCATCCCTTGAGCTGAACTCCGTGAGTTCCTTCGTAATAATGGAATCTGATGCGGGATTGTTCGGTGAACGGCTCCACGGCGGCTTCAAGTCCGGCCATTTCGCGTGGGAAAAGGAACGTCGCCGCGTAGAATTCTCCTTCTGCAAAGCGGAAAGTTAGTATCAGTTAATTATTCGAGAAGAAGTATCTTACCAGTGCTCTCCTTGACTCCAGTAACTCTGTTCATGAACTGTCCGGTTACCACATTGAATTTAGTGGTCAGACCACGAATAGATTGAGTGGTATGAGCATCCTTGTATCCACAAGTATTCTCACTTTCAAAATCGCACTTGGTGGCGTTGCAAACAATCTCGGAAAAGTCGGCAGTCTTGGCTCCCTTTGCAATGGCATGTCCGGAAGGCAGTTTTGCGCTGTAAAACACGAATTTTTAGAGTTTGAGAGCATATTCTCACGTCTTGACACTGGCGAAAACAGTTTCTTCTGTGTGCGCGGTTCCTACAGCAGCATTCCCGTTGGCTTCCGTTTCAAAGGTTCCTCCGAACTTTGACCCAGCAGCACCTCCGAAGGCCTTTTCTCCTCCTCTGAATCCCTTGGAACCGAATCTCTCAGAGGCCGACACAACTCGTCCTTCTGGCTGAGTTTTCTCAAACAATTCTCTACGCTTGTTCTTGGCGGCTAGTTCAGCAGCAGCAGCGTCCTCTTTGTCTACGCTGTTTGCGGATTCTTGGGTATCTTCCTCGTCGGCTCCCTCTTCGAACTCATTCTGACACTCGCTTCCGTTTCTGTCGTATGACACCTCAATATCATCCAGAATTGCAACATCACCTTGCTCGCCGATAAAGTTGGAAGCAACGAACACGATCTGGAATAATTTTTCCAGGTATTTCATAATTTATGGTACAACTGGCAGCACTCACATCAACAAGAGACGTTTTTGGCAAAATGACTTCAGTGGTTCCCATTCCATCAACATACGGGAATTCCTGACAATTGATCAGCGGATTACGTTCCGCGTTTGTCGGGAACGATTCACGAAGACACACTTGAAGAAGAACGCTCTCGGATTGCCAGTGTTTGGCGCGGACGACAATGTCACTTGAAGCACAGCCGATCGAACAGGATGCGAATTGGGCTTCGTCGGATGGGGCCGCGGATTTGGCATAAGCAATGAGGTAGCTTCCTTCTGAAAGTGATAAAATAATTAAGAGATTGTCCAATTGGAGGGGTTAGATGTTCAACTAACTGTATATGTTGAAGCTTAACTAGGTTTCAGGAAGCACGGTCTTGAACTAGTCAACGTTTCATAATTGTAAGTACTATTCTTGACATTTAAAGTCAAAGAATGTTAAAACCTTACAAGTTAATTTCAACATGACTCCAGACTTTACACGTAACTTGTCACTTGAGAAGTACTAATGGTACGTTACTGTAGTTCATTCCCATGTCCTCCTTACCAGGCTGTGGAACGCCTCTATTCTGAAGTTGAACGGGAACTCCATTAGCGATCTGCCAGTCGAGTTGATCATCTGGAGGTGGAACATTGGCCCAACAGCATGGTCGTCCATCAAAGTTGCATGTCAAAGCGTTTCCTGAAGCGAACACAATTAGTTTTCCGCTTTTCCACATTCCTTTCCTCCCATGTACATCTATGTCTATGTATGTGTCCTTTTCTTGTTTCCTAGGTCAGTGGGGCATTAATCTATGTCTGCGCACGTATCATGCTGAAGCATTGATCAGCGAAAAAAGAGAAAGGGAAAAGAAAAAGACCACAAGACCACCCAAAAAATGAATTGTTTCGCTGACTGTTTGATGATAAAGATAACTGGAAAAGCTTGACAAAACCTGATCTCACGGGTCCTCCGCCCTCGGCGTTGTATCCGTCGGCGGTGAATTCGGTGAGCGAGACCTTTTGACCGAGAAGACCTGTAAAGAAACGATAATAGTGCAATTGACCGTGGATTTATAATGTGAATGTGTTTTGTCGCTTTCATGTATGTACAAACAGTTTTCACTTTGTTGTCATTCTCGCGGCTGTTTTCATTTCGACAATTTATCTTCGCGCCGATTGAAACGATCTCTCTTCTATTCTCACTTTCGCTCAACGAGTTTTCGCGCGTGTTCGTTCTCATAGAATCAGTGCCGAAAGTAAGAAAAAAGAAGCGGAACATCAATACCAACTTTCAATTGAACTTCCTTGCACGGCAATCGTTTGGGTCGGCGTCTTTCCGGCGGCGGCTACTCGTGCAACTGCGGCTACTGGCTGAGGGGCGACTGGTTGTTGAGCCTGAGAACAACCGCAGCATTGTGGTGTGCACTGTACAAAAAACCACTGTTAAACATAAAACACACATGCAATTATTGGAATTGGAATCAATCGAATACTTTACTGGGACTGAAAGCCAGAAGAAGCAACCTGTGAAATTAAACGTACTGTAGCGTGCACCCACATAAAAGAAAACATTAAATACACTAGATTACACCAACATGACGGCACTTTTCATGCACCATTCCACTCCACTCCATTCTATTCGATCCATTCTATAACCTTAAACTAACCGATGCAAATTGCTGCGTGGGCGCGCCATACTGGTAGGACCGTTGTGAAGTTGGAAAGCATGCTAGGGTTCCTGGAAGACAAAAAAGAAGATTAGGATCGTTTCTGATTCCTGTTTCTGTTCAGGTTTTGGCACGCCGACCGGTTTTGTATGGGAAAAGCGAGATGGAGAGGCGAGATTGGCTAAGAAGTGGGGGCGAGAAGGAATTCTTTAATAGCCGCCAAAGTGCGTTGACTACTATTATGTTTCCCCTGCCCGATTCGCTTCTTCTCGTTCTTTTTTCTACAGTCAATTTCGGATGAAGAACATTTTCGGAAAAGGAATTTTACAATGTCGATGTGTTACGAATTGGATATAAACATCAACGGGATAGAAATAGAGGGAGAGATCGGCAAAATCAGATTTTATGGGAACGGATATAGATATGAGCGAAAGTTTTACGAGGTTATAAATTCCAAACTACATTGGTTTCAAAACATCGCTTGTTCGTCTTTAAAATGTGCGGATTAATAGGATTTCCATGTTTTTGAGGGGGAAAGTTGAAACCTTTTTCGGACGGAGATTTCAATCCCGCCGATAATGGAAATTGGAAAGCGCTATTCAAATTCGAAATTTCCCATTGAATTCCCGAAAGTAGTTTAGATTTGCGAGTTTTATTGGGATTATTTTGATCTGACCGTTAAATAACGGGCTTCCAGCCGCGAGTGAAACGAAGAGAAATGGGTCAGGATTAACATTTTCCGGCAAGGATTACTGTACCGTCTGGCGAAAAGTTGCGGAATTCATAGACGTGAAACCAACGGTAGCTAACTCGTAGGAACTATTTCTTGAGGATATTTCAGTTTTCTACCTAAACGGTCCTGCGGAAGGTTCTTTACAATTACGGTGCAATACTTCTGATTTTATAGGCAAGATTCTGCGTTAGAAAGCAATGGGAAGATGTGAAAGTTGACAAAACTCACCTTGTAGCAATAGCAGGAACACGCTGATCGAGATCATTTTCTCCCAACAACAGATGAAACAGCTGAAGGTGGTGAAATAAAATCTGTAGAAAAATTCGGGGTGGGGCAGAGACGCTGTGGGGCGGTCAGTATCGGCCAGCCGCTTTTGAGAAAGCCACAACGGGAAAAGGGAAGGGAAGAGAGGGGAAGGGGAAAAGTCCGGATTGAGATAAGGATAAGTTGACAGGCTAAGGGCGGGGCTTTTCGTGTCGTTTTTGTCGGACGCGCGCGCGCAAAAAGCGCCCACTAGCGACTTGGCCGGTCTTCTTCCCTTCGTTTTCTTCTTCGCTCTCCACCAGAACCAATCCCCTCCCTCTCTTTCACTTCTGGCTGGCTGGCTGCCTGACTGGGATTGTCGCCGCTGTGTTCTTGTCCTCGATTCGACAGAATTGACCCGCATTTGTCAGATTGGTGACACTTCACCTTCAATTGCAAATCACACCCTTCACACAAATTGTTACTTTTCTTGTGGGAACAGATGATTGAGAACGTGAATTCCGAGGAAAAAGTGAAGGGATATGGATGATTTCATAATGATGAGGAGGGGAACAAATGTTGATTTGATAAAACAATAAGATGGAAGATCTGATGAGGTTATGATGAGATTTCAAAGAGTGTAGCCCCGCAAATCCAACACGAACATTTCAGAAAACTTAGACAACAGAATTATGAGTTTGGGAATCTTGACTTCTCCGCAACGAGCATGTACGTGTGATCTGAACGAAACGGTACAAGTACAGTAACCTGGTTGAGTAACTGACCGGTCTGTCGGTTGGCATTAAAGACATCATCAGCTCGGTCTCCTTTTTCAGCCTTACACTCGATCGCTTCCGTCTGAAGATTTCATGAAACTTATGAAAATCTTGCGCAGAATTGAAAATCGTACTTAAGACTAGCTTCCCTTCGATCCCTGTTACTATGAGCTGATCGGGTACGCGAAGAAGCTCTGGAGCGTATCGTTGTCCACTGAGATCGCAGTTGGCGCCTGAGAGCCGGAGTTCTAAGCACCACAATTAAAGGGTTCATGACGGGATCGATGAATGCAAGAATTCTGGCCACATGGTACCTGAAATCGAACATTTGGACCCGTTTTTCAAAGTTTCCTGTACCATTTTGACAACTGAGCTATATCTTCTCGCTCGTTCACCCAGAAAACAGCGATCTCAATGTACGTCTGACCCATAACCGACAAGAAAAACGTGACAATGGATAATATTAATGTATGAAATAGACGTTCTCTTCTCTGATGTGGTGATTGCGTTCTGAGTACAGAGTTAGAAAAGGAAAAACGTAAGAATGGTGTTTACCTTAGCTCATTGTGGATAATATCATGTTGTCTTCGAACTTTGATATGATATGTGACTGTTATGACGAAGATCACAATAGATGCGGACAGGAAGAGTATCGTGAATAATGTGTGACCCTGAGTAAACAGTGATAAACTCAGAGGCGGGTTCGAACACTCACCCGCAACAAATATGCTCCAAATGCATGAAAAACTGCTGTACGGTCGCAGTGCGACGCGATTTCTTCGTATCCTGATTCCATGGACGCATTACACGACAAGTTGACTCTTCCTTTCGATAGATTAGAAAACAGTGCGTCAAGGTTGTTGATGGCGCTCATCTGCGGGGACAATCGGGTTAGTTTGTTTTCTATGACTTTTTTTGGTGTCAGAACATGGGTTGGCTTAGGACTCTCTGCACTTTCAAATCAAAAAAGTCAAGAAAATGAGATCGTAAAACCCTAGGAATACGGTCCTTGCTTACCTGCATAATGGAGAACATGACATGTGAAGCAATGAGAAAGATCCATACACACGCGAAAACTGATACAACTGATATCCTGGACAAATGTATGGACTTTCCAGACATTGAGCGGTTTATGACCACCTGACGATGAAAATGAGGTAGAAAGTAGGAGAATGAAGTTGAACTTACCAAAACTAAGACAAGAAGATGTATTAGTCCGGTCAATGAGCCATTCTGAGCCAGTGAATAAAGAGTTTCTTGGACCAAATGCTTCTTGAATTCATTATGAGCAAAAAGATGCGTTTGTAATGTTTCTGCTATTATCAGTTCTGGCGATTTTTCCATATACTGAAAAAATACGGTTAGTTTCCCTACACATTTCCTATACTCACATCTTCATTGATGGGTCCATAACGTTCTTGGTAAAGAAGATCAATGAAAAAGTAGGTGAATGAAAACATGAAGGCTATGTTTGAGCCCATAATATTTAGAACGAAAAGTATAGTCGCCGTCGACAACTTATTGTGAGTTTTAGCCAAAAGGAAGCAAAGCAGTACTGTGTTCAAAAAGATAGCTGTGAGTAGGCCAGCTTCAATTCGGAATCCGAAACTTGCATTTTTTGCCATTTTCCTTAAAAATGGTTCATTGCTCACACTTTCTTGATTTTTGTGCCTTACTGATATTTCCGTTCGTTGTTAAGATCACAAATGTGCATATTATTTGAAGGACAGCAGTTGTGAGTAATTAAACTGCTCAACTTTGCCATTCTTTCCTCTTCTGTTTCATTTAACGATGATTCCGTGTAATTTGATTTGGTTTCAAACCGGCATCTGATAAAAATTTTGATTATTCCTTCAGAAAAAAAAAGACAAATTCACTTTCTAACTGTTTCGAGTTGACTCCACAGCTTGATTGCGGCCAATGAGAAGTGTTGCAGGAGAAGACGCGTCTACAATGATTCATGTGTCACACATTCTTTTGTATTGCGCGACATTCTAGACCGAACCTTCAAGACTAGAGAGGGTAGTTCCGAATCGCTGTGGATGTTTGAGACCAGGTTGGAACTGAGGAGGTTCATGTAGGTGATATCTTTGGTGAGCGCAACGCCCATTGTTGTGATATTTTTAGACTTATCTAGGGAAATGAACTTTTGAAAGTCGCTACAATCTGAAAGGAATAGTTTGTTTCAAGGTAAATTTGAATGCATTAAAAAAAATCAGCTTACTCCTTGAAAATCTCAGGAAGAAATCCTGAAACTTCAGAAGCGGAGCCGAAACCCCATTACATCGTTCCTTAATCTTTTCCTGTCTTTTCTCAACATGTGGAACATAGCACCGGCCATACAGATCTGCGTATACATCACTAATTCGATCACAAATTAGTCTGAAACAAAGAATATTAGTCACTATAAACAAGTTCACATTACTGTCGATCATGATTGTTCACTTCATAGAGTGTATTGAACAGTCCGGAGTATGCGTAGAGAAAAAAGTGCTCTGATTGTGGAATGAGAGCTCCTTTTTCACAGATCTGAAAAGACATAATAAAGTTCTCACGAAAACGGTGAAGCTACCAAAGCATAGGAATATTTCAGAAACTCATAATGAAACGTTCTTGCGAAATCTGCTCTCGGTCGACTGTGATGGCTAAGGATTTGGTTTACTTCACAACCTCTGAAGACAAAAACAGTTACGTTAACGTGGTTTTGACAAAAACCTTACCTTAAAGCTTTCAAAAACCAAACGACAGAATGATGTTTTGTAGGTACGAATCTTATATAGTCTGGCCAACACAGGATGTACTTTTCCAGATAGAAACTGATCTGAAAAGACGGAAACTATTACAATATTTTAGTAAAAAACATAGGATAGTACTTACATCACTTTGTTGAATGTTTCCCAGGAAGATTTTGTCGTTTTGGTCGGTGCACAACTGATAAATCCGGTAGCTTTCATTAAAAGGCGGCATGTAGTGAGAGAATTGAAAAGATGTACATTGTGTGATCCAAAACACAATCAACCCATAGTACATAACAATCTGAAAAACTTTCTTGTGAGGCAAAACTGAAGAAAAAGTGAGAAGGTAAGAAAACAGTGTTCGAGAAAGCGATTATAGTGGGTAATCTTTAAATTGCAACCAATGGAAACATGATTTTACGTCAAGACAGGTTAGATTGAGCACAGAGGAAGAGTCTGGAGAAAAATAACTGTGATCTCATAACGCTGTTTGGGACCAACGTCCCGTCATTTTCCCCTGGGGCAAACTGCGAAATTGAACGAGCACATACAAACATTTCCGAAACACCCCCTCCCTTTTTTTCATCTACTAAATATTGAGAGATTTGATCTGAAAACTGAAAAAAGAGATATTCAGTTCAACTCGACTTTAGAGAACTACTGTTTCAAAAAAAGTTGTGCAAACTTTGCTTGGTCGAACCAACGGAAGTGCAAGACGGAAATACGAAAACAATGTATCGTGATGATGGCGAGCAAGCAAAAACTGACTTATTTCGCTGGTTTTTTTGAAGGATTTCTTGTCGGAAGAAATAAAGCAAAGTCCCAAAAAAAAAACAAGTGTCGCTTCCACCTGTTCATACTCTAAACTGAATGCGAATTTTTGCTTGAGAAAACAAGAACAAAATTGTCACAAAGCTCTGAGGAATCCAATCTAAATTCAAAATGTTGTTTTTTGTTCAGGAAGAAATATTGCTTTTCAGATTTCAGTTCTTAGCGAAACATCATCAAAAGCAAATCGAACGGAGGGAGAGAGAGAGACTGGTCGTTATTACGAGAAAAACGAGAATTATGGTAAGTAGGACCATATGAGGTTGTTGATCAACACTGGTGAGAGCTCATCTTACCGCTGCCAATTATTCGCTGCCGAACGACAATGGAACTAATAATGCTGGAGAATGGGGCATACAAAAACAGTGTGTCGAGACTCTTTTCTCCTATTTCTGTGCAGTTTTTGATAAATCGTTTCTTCGTTGTTCTTGAATATGATGTTTTTGTTGCATGCTATCTTTTGTGACATTTCGCAACCGGTATTCGTGATTTGGTTGCAAGATGTCCAGTTACAAAGCGTCTGTGAATTGCGATTTGACATGTCCGGAGGCTGTTTTTCCAGGAATCCTGTTCTCAGTTTTGTCCTTATCGTCTATTTTCACGTTTTGCCCTAGACAAATTATCCGATTCTCAGAATACGATTCGCATTTTAGATGAGTTCAATGCAAGGACATTCTTGGAATGTTGATCTGGATATGCACAGTAAGAACAAAACACACATTATCATAATAATGTTTGATTTTTGATAGCGAAACGGGATTTTTCCTTCCGTATCTAGACAATTTGTCTTGGTGATTTTTAGTGATATTATCGTATCACTGAGAAAAAACCTGAATTGCATAACAACATTGCGAAAAATCAAAAGCGATTATCAGAAATAATTCATCAGAGAGCAAGAAAACAGAGATTTTGTAGATACGGGAAGAATGAACTATTTCAGAAGTTCAGGGTGTCAGAAGTAGAAAGATAATATAAAAATTGTTGGAAAAATGTTGAGAAAAAAGGGAGGTTGTGAGATGGTGAAAAAAAGGAAAGCCGGAGGGGAATTTTGAAAAGCTAGGTGATTGAAAGTCACAACATTAGACACGTTTGCACACAACAATTTCTGAGAGAAAGAGGAAGGAAGGTCAATTTATATGCAAATCAGGTCAGTTTGCAAATTGCAATGAGCTCAATATTTGGATGGACTATTTTTTAGTTTCATGTTCCTAGTTGAAGCACAGATCTGGTCACTTAGGAAAGAACGGAACAGGAGGGGGAGAAGGAGTGTTTATGGCTGTGCACCGGTTTATTGAAGCAGAGGTTTAAAGCTTTTTCTTTGCAAGTTTCTATTGGATATAAAAAGAAAAGGAGGAGCTCATACTAATGATATTGGGTAGAGAAAGTTAACGGGGAAATGCGAATTCACAATATCAGGCCCTAATCTATCGTTCCTTGTCCATGTTCCGCGTCCCAAAACTGCGTAGGACTACGGTCGACGTTGTTGAAGTCTTGCCAAAGAGCAAGAATGAGCTCGCTGCTCATAAGCTCTCCAGCGTGTGTGGAGATCATACGAAGCATGAAAACACCTGAACATAAGAGTAATCTCAATTGGATTTGTTTTTTGGGTACGTACCATCTTTGCGGAGGAAGTTGTTGGTGAACTTTCGCAAAGTGACATCGTCGGCAATCGGTTTGGCTGGATGATCCGGTAAAACGCGGAGGTACTTGCGAACGAATGACATGCCCTGAAAAAAGGATGAAATGGCTTAGAACATAAGATTGAAACTCAGACCTGAGAAGGTATGAACATGATGAGAATCCAGTACATAGTGTTAGCGACGGTGATTATTCCGCATGTCAGGAACCAGAACCATAGGAAAAGGAATATTTTCTCGTTGAACATGTTGATCATCAACACGCATTGAACAGTATGCCGATGAATGTTGCCCAGAACGCGGACCTAAACACAAGTGTGATATTTTTCAATTAAAATGCTCTTATCTACCTCGAAATCACATAGAGTCACTCTCGGGAACATTCCAGTCTGTTCCCATTCAATTTCATGCATCAAGTCCTTCAGCAGCGAAAATCCATAAGCCAAGTCGTTGGATCCGAGTAGGTGGTTCAACAGGAAGAATTGCAGCAGAACGTTAGCAGAGTAAAGCACCTTTAAACCAGCTACTTAATTTTAATTCGCTTCCCTGCAAAAACCTTGATTCCGATGTAGAGCATGGTGACGTAGCAGCCGCAATGACGTCCACAATTTGCGCCCATCTGTAGATTAGAGAAGCAGCTTCTGCTATGAGCTTGTCTGTCGATGTTTGTGAGCTAAAGTGGGTGAGGGGTTAGTAGGTCTCAAGACTGTGTGCAAGATTAACTAACTTGAACTTCATCCTGCATGTGACGAGACATTGTGTAGACCGTTCTAGTCTTCACTTCGGAATCCATGAGTCTGGCGTCGCAGGCCATTTGGACAAGGCCTTGAAGATTGATGCCTGAAAAACTGACTGGCTAGACCAAGTTTGTCCTCCTTCTTCACTTACCGCTATGCCAGTAAAGCAGTCCTCTCCAGAGAATGCAGGGAACGTAGAACAGTAGAGCTTCAATAGCGAGAATAAACGGAACCCATTGGTAATATCCAATTTGTCGGTTTCTTCGTGAATAGATCTCGCGGGGAATGTCTTCCTGCATCGGCACCCAGTAGGTGTTTTGCACCCAGCAATAGTTCTCCGTGTACTGCTCCATAGCGTCGGTGAATGTGGCGGGCACCCAGCATTGAATCGGGAAACCGACGTACTGCTTTGCAGATACCAAAAGGGCAAAAGAAGCTACTGGAAAACAGAAAAATCGTGACCAAAATAAACAAACTGTCCTCACGTATAGTTGTTGTGTAATAATAGTTGAGTTTGTCGACGAAATCGTCATCTAGACGTGGATACAAAGCGCGGAACGCTGACGCCAAATAGTAGAGAATCATCGCAGGTCCGAATTCTTTTTTGTGTCCGTGGCCTGATCCTAAACCAAATTTTAGAGACTATTATTCCGTTCTCAAAACGTTACCTGCTCCGTGACCAGCTGTTCCAACGTGATGGGAGTCGATGCGAAGTTGATGGGAGCCGTCTAATAGTTTTTGGGCCTAAAAATTAGGGGCAATTTTTTCATAATAATCTAATTTTTGTCATATTTCTGGTCGCTCTTACTCTATACTCAAATTCAATTTATTTTCTGATACCCTTTCATGAAACTACATTGTGTACATCAAAATCTGATTATACACGTTTGAATAGACCGAGCTGACAACATTTTTCGGGAGCTCTTTTTCGGACAATTAGCCAGTGGTCTTACATGTGAAGAACATTTTCACATCAGAAAAAAAAGCCCTAGGAATGAAAAAAACCGTTACCTTTTTTATATACTTTGTATTCGCTTGTTTTGAGTGATACATTGATGCTTTTGGAGACTTGTCATCACAATTTCATTTTAAAATCCTCAAATTTTTAAAGAGCAAATCTCTGAGACAAAAAGCAGCTATCCGTCAAAAATGGAAAGAAAAATTGTAGAAAGTGTGAACTTTGTGTGATAGCAAAGTGTTGAAAGGAGGAAAGGAAAGGAAGAAAAGCCAGAGTGCCTCGCAGAAAGTCGTTTTCGTCTACTCCGCAGTAGCCACAAGATTCTAAGTGATCATCCAAATACTATTATGGGGCAAAGATAGACTTTCGTCCCCCACGGGCCTCTTTTTTGACAGAACTGACACTATAAAGTGACATGCGAGAGAGAAAACATGTTCAAACGCTGAGTAACTTTGGGAAGTGCCAAGGAGCGAGGAAGAAGATGAAGTTCTTCTGAAGAATGGGGCAAAACTTATGAAATGCTTGTGTGTTGTCGGGGGGAGAAAGAAGAAATTGTATTAACATTAAGTGTCTCATCGAGATATAACGGGGCCGAGGGACGTCTACAACGCGCGAAATTCTATTTGAACCCAACAGAAACAGCATTCGAGATGAGGAAGCCCGATCAGAAACTTTTATTGTCCATTTCATATGTATTTCAATTTGTCCATTTCATATGTATTTTTTTTGCTCGACTAACCTGATACGATGGAAGATTGTCAAGATGTCTAGCCTTTTCGAGTGGTGTCCGCTGCAAAATTTCGTTGAATTAGCGTGAATTTATAAATCCTATCAAAATTTTTCTACTACTCTCCTAAAATTATCACTTTTCAAGTGCTTTGAAATCTTATAAGTCCTTCAGCTACTATAAATTACAAAAAGAGTATGTTATTCACAGTCTTTTTATCTCTGAGCGCAGTTTCCTGGTACTTGTTCCTAGTGTCGGGTTGCTTCTTTTTGGCCGGACTAGCCGGTGGGATGCGTAGTACAAGAGCGGTAGTCGGTGCTCGAGGCGGGGGCGGTGGAGGTACTCCAATTATCCGCGAGAGGAGTGGCGGTTCAGGATTGCTGGAGGAGCCGAGCATACATCCGTCTGAACTCGAAGCTGATGGTTGTGGAAACACATTCGATGATCCGTTGATGCTTTCTTTGGTGGGACATGATGATGATGTGTTCGAGGTGGAGGTGGCAGTGGTACATATACTGATCGTCTCACTATTGCTAGCCGAACTATCGACAAAGCGGAGACGACGACCCGCAACGTTCGGCACGAAGGACAGTTTGAATCACTATGCTCAAAAAAGAAAAAAGATGAAACAAAGGGAGTAATTGGACCACATATACGTAGAACGGGAAAGATTTGATATGCACACGGAAAGGAAACTTCAGGGGTATTATTATACTTTGGTCCAAGGGACTAGAATCGGCTCCGGAACTGTTTTGGAGGCCCAAGTGGTAATAAGAACTTGGAAAAGTCTTTAGAACGTTTTTTTTTAAAAGCATTTTCATTCGGCTGCAATTCGCACGTAAATATTCCCCTCCCACCACCCCTTCTTTTATTTTCATTGAACCCCAAGCCAGAAAACGACCAAATAATCACATTATCAAAACGACATTTGCGAACAATTTAAAAAGAAACTGCATTCAGCTTGCAAAACGCCTAAGCGGTGAGAGAATGCACATCCCGCGCAACAAAAAAGTCGAGCGTATTTGCTCGCTCACAAGATGATTATCAGTTAAATTGAATGTGGTGACTCTCCTTTTTTTCCTGCGAAAACCCTTTCAATCTCTTTTTGATTGAAAGAACTGAAAGTTTTGGGCAAAACTAAGAAGAAAAGTGTGTGTGAAAAAGCTCAAATCAGCTGCTTTGTGTGTATGTTCATGTTTTCTTTGGTCTTGGTGCAAACTTTTAAGTATCCAAGAAGTTGTTCAGTAATTGCATTAGTCGATTAATGTTCAGTTAAGTCTAGTGCTCAGTTTAGTTCTTCACGATCGTTAATTTGTTGTAAAAAGACAGCTGAGCCACCATAAAATTTTAATTGCTCATTGACAAGACACATGCTATCTGCTATTTACGTTCATTCGATCCAGGCCTACTGAGAATGCACATATTTCAGTAGGATGAATAGAAGAGGAGGTGTGTAGATGTAAAGTAAATGACCAAGTGTCACAGTATAATTGTTATCGAGGTTTCTAGTCAAGTATAATTACACAGATTAACTCTGCTTTGCAGGTTTCGAAATGGAATGCTCATCTAAAAGTAGTGCAGCTAAACGTCTGCCCTTCCTCCTTTTCCCCTTCCCCGGTGCATTTAGATTTCACAATTGAAGGAATAGTTGGATTTGAAAATTTATCCTATTCAGAGTAATTTGATATGTGTCTCGCCTACTGCTTGAATCCGCGCTTCTCACCTAAAATGGCGCAGTGTTATGCTTTCGAAAAGCATTTTCTATTTCTTCCGTTTTTCCAAAAAAGTCTACCGCAGGTGGTTATGATGGCTATTATACATTTTTTTCCTGGTGGTTGTGGAAAAATAACAATAGATGTTCGCTATATACAACAAAGCAGCAAGATTACGAGGTGTTTTTTGTGTTGTGGTGGGGCTCTGGGCCAAACAAAACATTGCCGATGAATAATTGAAGTGGTTTGCGATATAAAACGAGGTAATACAAATTTCCACATTCCTCTCTTTTGTTCCCCTTGTTTGTGGTTTGGCTCGAGTATACTGACTGACAAAAAAGTGAAATATGTGGAAAAACCTGGTTTCTTCACGCTAGAACAACTTCCACCTATTTGGAAAGGAAGGAGGGCGTGCACCCAAGAATTTTTCATGGTTTCGCTCCTTCAAAGTATGAAGGAGCAATACGAAAACTTGTCAAACTTATATACATTTGGATTAAACATCAAGACAGATGTAGTGAAAAAGGGAGACTACTTCTTCTACTGCAGCGTGACGTTCATAATCTGTCAACTCAATCTATTCTTCTTCTTCGTCTTCTTCTTCTATTTCGTCAACTTTTTGAAAAAGTTTTGAAGAACTTGAGAAAGGAAAGGACTACGTCAAAGCGCAAACAAACTGTACCTTATACTTGCCAAGGCGTGCAGCGAACCTGTGCCAGGATGCTTGTCCGGCGTGCATTTCAGCAGGCACCACTACCGAGCATTTCCCGCGTTTCTCCAATTCTTCTTCAGCAGCGACTCATTTATGTGTCAGTTAGTCAGTCAGATTCGAGAATAATGCCGAGTAGCGACAAGTAACAAGGATTAGTTGATGACGGACGACGGAAGGGCGGGCAGAGGGCTTTAAGTACTAGAAAATGCTGGAGATCGAGTTGGACATTCAAAAATATTGAGGTTGTCGCTGGTGGTGGTGAGGTAGTTGTTTTGTTTCCCTTTCCTTCTCCGCCGAATGGGAATGAGATTTGGATTTGGCTCAGATTTAGATTTGCAGTCAGTCAAATTTTTGGGAGAGGGGGTGAATAAACGGGCAAGGAGTGTCAAAAACTGAGCAGGCAACGAGAGCAGCGCAATGGCCAGCCGGCGGGGAAAGGAAAGCTCGATCAGGGGGGAGAGGGCGGCGCCTGGGCAGTAGCCAAAGGATTACCACACCTAAAATTACGGCCGGGTGTGTTTGTTTTGTTTTTTTTTTGTCACCACGTCGAGTTGCTCAACCTGACAAGTAAAGTTTAGCTTTTTAAAATCCGGAAGAAGAAGAAGATGAAGAAGGCAAAAAGAAAACGAAACTTCTCGCTTCCTTTGCGCGTTAGCAAAATTTTTGAAATCAGAAGTAAGTTGTACATATACATGCGTGTGCTCTCGGGTGCGCTACCACTTCTTTTTGTCACGGGGAAAAAGGGGGAGGAAGTTGTTTTCGTTGAGTAGCAACGAAAGTTTTATGCTATAAGATAGACGGTTCCTATTTCACATGTCAACTCTTGCAAAAACGTCGTTAAACTCAGACATCAGAGCCCTGTTCAGGATCTAATCTGGGATTAGTCGCAGATACGAGAATTCTCAGCCCGGTTTAGGATTTGCAGAAAAAGTACAAAGTACTTGGGGTATCACTCTGACCAAAAAGTGATAAGTTGAGCGCGATAATAGCAGGAACACATATCTGTTGTTCGACTATAGTGAAGTTAAAATTATAAAAGTTTTCCCCTATCCTCAAGATAGATCAGCGTTTTAAATTTGAGGAAATAATTGAATTTTTCATGAGCGATGCCCGCGCGCGCTGTTAATTTCTCATCTACTTCCTGACTACGAGTAGCTGAATATTGGTTGACAGATGGCAAAGCCTTTGAATACATTTTTGACACAATTCTAGACAAGTTCTAGGATCACATGCGTACTAGGTGTCAAAAAAGTTGGAAGTTAGGTCCTGATTGTGGTAAAACAAACCTTAGCTGGTCGAAACATTTGTACGAGTGATGATAATCATTGGGGGATTTTCAGCTTTATCTCAATCATTTCTAGAAAAGAACGAGTTATGTGTTTTGTTCTTGATTCGCGGATGAATTGATGAAATGAATAAAACGAGGTCAACAACAAAAGTGGATGAGCAGGGGGGGGGCATTGGAAGCCGGGGCACAAGCTGAGGAGGAAATAAAAAGATGAGAAGACAAAAGATATTGCTTTCTTGTCTTTCTTGTCTAGTTAAAACTAAAATATTTCAGGAGGGCATTCCGGATCTTATTAAATTCTGATGTAAACCATGAAAAGTCAAATGATGCTTTGAACATATTCTTTAGAAAGACCACAAACATATTTGGGGGTGACAAAACTTCTTCTTGAGTCCGTCAAGGGGCAGACCACTACCGAAAAAGTGGAAGTAAATTAGTGTGTCCCACTTTGCGCACTCAATTGGGCTATGAATATTCATATTTGACAAATTCTCAGACTTTTCGCAACACATGGCAGACTGGTGGAGCGCGAGCAGAAGGAGTAAAAGAAAAAAGTCAAAAGAAGTGAAAAATCTGGCATAGAAACTATACTCTCTCTAAGAATTTATCTGAGGGTATGGGTTAATTAGGCTATTTGAAATGCATCCAACTGTGAAGTTTACAAGAGCAATCTTAACGACAGAATGTTCTCTTCTGTTCCCAACCCCTTTATTCATCTGAAAAACATTTCGTTGCTTTCGCAAGGTGGCAAAATAAAGGTAAATGGGCGAACTTCCTTTCGAAAACGCGTATTATACAATCATGCTACGGAAAACTGCTATAATAGATACACATTTTTTTCTGTCGCTGCAATTCAAACGGGTAAAACTGACCTCCTCAATTGAAGAACCTTCGGATTGTAATTGAGATTCAGAACACGAGTCAATGACCCACATGGTGGTTCATATTGCTATTATTTGACAGGTGAGCAAAAGTTGAAACCTAATATAGGATGGAATACAACTATAGTGAATATTTCAGTTGTTCTCACACCTCCAGAGTGAGAAGTCCAAGTCAAATTGGCGAAGAAAACATAGTTTTCGTGTTGCACCTTTGACATTTTTTTCTAAAATGGCTATTGTTTGCCCAAGAATTGCTCCAGACCTATTCAAAACTGGAAAAAAAGTTTTGCCTACCCCTCATTTTAGATTTCTAAGAGGTCTGCCTACCTTTTATTATCAATATTTTCTTATATCTTATAAAACCCGCACTTCACTGATTATTAGTATAATATCTATATAATATCTAAATCACAAGTCGGTTGGAATGAATGAATATTAAGGACGGAGGAAAGGGGGTGGGAGTCATCGATGCGTAAAGTTTTTTGAAGCTAATTTGAACCCAAGCAAGAAAACAAAGTCGAGCCCAAAAAGTCAAAAAGCAGCAAAGAAAAAGAAAAGGAAGAAGAACTGCATCAAGTTCAGGGGGGGCGCCAACAAGTTTTGACGTTTGCTGTAGAGGTCCTAAAGTACCTTTGCATAATCATTCCGTGGGCAATGTTTTGGCACACACTAAAGGATGTGTGTGTGCTGAAGTCACACAAAGCCAAAAGCACTTGAGAAAGTTTTAAAACATCTTTTTAAAGTGAAGTCGTCTTCTTCGGTCATTTTCCCACAAGAGATTGGGCTTGGAGGATCAGAAAAGAA